GTGGGGAGTTGTTGTGGCCCAAGATTGGGTAATGGGCAGTATTTTGTATACAGAATGACGATGATGAAGGAGGTCAGATGAGAGCTGAGTGCCAGTAGCAGAGGGGACTGATTGATCAGGAACAAAAAGCTCCCCAAGGGATTTAAGAAGAAGAACAAGGTAGGAATGTAGAATGATCCTCATGGGATAGTGAGTAACACATGTCTAGCTCCGTGTTAACCTAAGAATACAGCCATCAGCCCCTCTGGCTAATGCAATCTCAATTTAATCAAAAATTAATTGTGCAGTTACATTAACCACATTGGAAATGGTCAATAGCCTGACATGTCCACCACCTGCCCAGTTGGATAGTGATGACCTAGAACATTTCTGACTTTGCAGAAAATTCTCTTGGACACTGCTTGTCTAGAAAAATTAAGGTAAGGGAGAAAATGGGAGATTCATAGAAACATCAACTCCCAGAAAAAATAAAGTCTAGTACAAGAAAAGAAAAGTAATGCTAACACATGGTATTCAGTTGTGAATAGCCTTTTGTTCATAACAATGGGAACAGTGAATTCTGATATGTATATATAGAATTTTATTCAAAGGTAGGGTGGTGAGAGGTGAGGCTTGTGGCTGGTGAGAGCAGAGCTACGTATAAAAGAGCAAAAGTCTGATATTTCCAAGTAGGAACTTGGCAGATAATACTTACAACTGAAAAGTCAAGACACGCCAGGAAACAAAGGAGTTTCATAAAATGTAAGAAAAAGTAAATAGTAGTAAGCACAATAGCTACCATTTATTGTGTACTTGCTATGTGAACAGCCTATCATGGGAAGTAGAGTTGGCAGGACACAAACTGGTATTCATATGGGATGCTATTGCTTGTAAGCAGAGGATTAGCCAACTCCTGTTAGTAGAGCCCATCCAGCTCCCTGCTTGTGGCCTGTTTGGATCAGCTCCACTCTAATTGTGGCCATTTAAGACTGAACCATTCACTAAAATTATTGGAATTTTAGTAGGATTGAAGAATTGAAGTAGGATTATAACTATGTGAAGTCTCTTTTTTTGGCATTTGTGTTTTTATTTATCTATTTTTAATATATTTGAATTTTGAATTATGTGGTACAGTTTTGAATAGGCTGGGATTCCACCACGAACTTCCACCCTCTGCAGATAGATTTTCCCAATTTTACTACAATGGTGTAGTCCTTCATAAGGAATCATAATTCTATCAGTCTCTTTAAGTGTACCCCTGACATTGTTGGTACAGACAGTGTCAGTCCAGCATTCCATTGTCTGCTCACGTCCAATATTTTCAATGGGAATCCATCTTTCATCTGGAAGCAGGGATGCATGTTTCATTATACTCCCACATCTGTATATGATAGACCCCAGTACTCTATCACTATACATTGCCATAATTGAGAAGCCATGAAACAAGGTCAACGACTAGTATGAGTTAAAACAGTCACCACTACCACCACCATAACAACATCAACAATAAAATACAACACCCTGAAAAAATGCACCACCGAGGAACCAACACATGAGTGACAAAAAAAGCACAAAAGTCTCTTGGGAAAAATCATGCCACTGTGTAATCCATGAGCCAGTGATGAATTCAACAAGAGAAAAGATAGTATTTGGAACAAACAAAACTGAAATAAAAAACATCAAAACACATGGGATACAGCCAAAAAAGCAAGCAAGCAAACGGAAAACAGTTGGATTGGATTATTGAAGTTACGCTTTCCATGCTAGTTTCCTTATATAAGAGAGAACATACAGTATTTGTTCCTTTGTGATTGACTCATTTCACTGACCATTGTAGTCTCTAGTTGGGACCACCTAGTTGTAAATAGGATAATTCCATTCTTCTTAATAGCTAAATAATATTCCATGGAGTAGATGTACCATAGTTTCTTTACCCACTCTTCATTGGATGCACATCTGGATTGTTTCCATGTCTTTGCTTTGTAGATTGTGCTGCTGCAAATATTGGATTACAGATCCCCTTCTCATATGTAGATTTCACTTCTATTGGGTATATTCTTAGGAGCGGGATAGCTGGGTCATATGGCAGGTTTATTTGTGCAATTCTCCAAGCACTCTCCATACTGATTTGCACAGTGGTTGTAGTAGCCTATACTACCACCAGCAGTGAAGGGGGATGCCTTTCTCCCTACATCCATGCGAGCAGGTTTGGTTAGTAGAATTCTGAATATAGGCCATTCTCGCTGGTGTTAGGTGGTACCTTAAGTGGTTTTTATTTTTATCTCTGATGGCTAGGGAGCCTGAGCATCCTCTTTTCATATGTCTGTTAACCATTTGAATCTGTTCTTTTGAAAAATGTCTGTTCATTTCCTTTACCCATTTTGTTACAGAGTGGTCCTTTTTGCTGTCCCTGGGTTTCTGAAGCTCTTTGTAAATCCTGGATGTTAGTCCCCTATCACTTGTGTAGTGTGCAAAAATTTTCTCCCATTCTGTTGGTTGTTTTTTCACCTTGTTAACTGTTTCCTTTGCATAGAAGCTTTCTAATTTGATGTAGTCCCATTTATTCATTTTGGCTTTGATTGCCTTTGTTTTTGGTGTCTTTTCTAAGAAGTCTTTCCCTGTTCCTATATCTTGGGAGTGTTTCCTATGTTTTCCTATTAATAGTTTGATGTTTCTGGGTGTGGATTTAGGTCCTTGATCCTATAATGTTATAATGTATAATGGTATAATGTATAATGTACACTAATCCTATAATGTATAATGTTATGTGAAGTTTAATAAAATGCCAATAATAAATTCCTACCTATAAATTTGTCAATATCTACTTTGAAACTATCTGAGTTATTGAGGCACATTAAGATGCCGCCTGGCCTGCCTGTGTCCCATAGGAAATGTGTGGTTCAAGGCTCTGCTGCACTTGCAGTTCAGCTTCATGTTGCTATGTGTCCTGGGAGGCAGCAGGTGATGACCCAAGTACGTGGGTCCTTGCCACACCCATGCAGGATCTGGATCAGATACCAGGCTCATGGGTTTGGCATGGCATGAGGGATTCAGGAGGAGTGAACCAGATGAACAAAGATCTCTTTCACTCTCTGTTATTTTGCATTTCAAGTAAATTAAACAGTGCTTTTTGTTTGATTGTTTTACAATAAAACTATCTGAAACTTAACATTGATGACCTAAGGCTTACGCATTTTTTTTTTACTTTATATAATTTTATACTATGCTTTATTAAGAGGCCTATCTTACTTTTCAGATTAATAATGCCTTTTAAGCCACATAATGAAACATAATTCCCAATTCTTTTAGGTCGCAGCTACCAGTAACTCATCTCACATTATACAAATATCCCTTGATCATGAGACCTGTGAGAACAGGCAAGATGAGCAATGAAGCTGACAAAATGATGTTGAACTTTCCAACCATATGAATCATGCAAGGAGGAAAAGTTCATAGGTCTAAAATATAAGATTCAATCCTAAGTTTTAACTTGAACTTTTTGATATGTTTTCTCAAAGTTGTACCAAGATGTCAGTGACCCAGAGCTTTTGTCTGGCTTTAAGAACAACCCAGAATGAAAGCAATTCTCTGTCCTGCAACAGCTTGTGATTCAGTTGCTGTGTCAGAACAGAGATATACAGATAAAATTCAATTTTTAATTTAAAAAATAGCTCAGGAGCAGAGGAAGCACAGAATTGAGAGATAGAAAGGTACTTCAAGAAGTTCCTGGTAAAACTGAATTTAAATATTTATTTTAGTGTAAGGGTTTTTTTGAAATCCATACTATCCCATGAATATTCTGCAGTGTCCAAGAATTTTAAAGTTTATTTACTTTTTACTGCCAAGGCAGATTTACAGAAAGAAGGGGAGATCGAAAGATCTTCCATTTGCTGCTTCACTCCCTAAGTGGCTGTAATGGCTAGAGCTTAGCAGATCTGAAGCCAGGAATCCATTCTGGGTCTCCCATGTGGGTGCAGGGTCCCAAGGTTTTGGGCCATCCTCTATTGCTTTCCCAGGCCACACGCAGGGAACTGGATGGAAAGTGGAGCAGCTAGGATATGAATAGGCGCCCATGTGGGATCCTGGCAGATGCAAGTTGAGGACCTTAGCCACTCAGCTGCTGCACTGGGTCCAATATGTAAGTTTTAAGGAAATCATGATAGTGTCTACAAAGTAAGTTTTACGTTCTGATTTGCTAATAGGGACATATTTTCTCCTTGTAATTTACTAATTTCCATTTTATCTGTTTATGCAATCATACTTTACTTCTAGGATCCAGAAGCCCAGAGAATTTTATCAGTAAACCAGTTTCACATATGATGGGATGTGAATGCCCAGCCTTACCTGGGGAAGGACAGCTTAATGAACACAGTGATTTTGGAATGACACCCCTACCCCTCAGTTCAGTAACAGAAAAGAGAAACCTCATCTCTCCACACCCAGTGAATATTGAACCTAGCACCACATTAAATGTTTTTTTATCCAAAGCTTTATGCATCTCATTTTAAAAAACTGCCCTTGTCAGTTTGATGTTTTCTGGCTCTTAAGTCCTCAATTTCTCTCCTATCAACACCAGCCACTTCCCTGTAGCTCAGTGTTGTGTGAGTGGGAACATTTACCTGGTGACCTGGCGAGGGTGAGAATGTTTGCCTCCATGAAGAGGGGGCAAAGGATGCGAAGAAGGTGGTTATGGGAGGGTCAAAGCCTCTCAAAGTCATGCTCATTTTCTCCTAATTCTTTTGTGTGGGCAGGGCAGGGATGTGGTATTGAACAGGGTCACAGTAAAGGAGAAACTAAGCCTGACTGGGATCCCAGAGACTGAAAACTAGGTAAAATTCCATTGCATTTGAATAGTTCTAAGCAAGCAATTTGTTACCCTATATCCTTTAGTGGAACTGATGAACAGGTGGTTTTCAGAAGATCACTTAGTATATTTAGCTTCTGAAATTTGAGCAACTCGAGATGTGATTGGCTGCTTGGACCACATGATAATTCGGAGCCCAGGCTCCACACTGGCTCTCGGCTTTTGCCTGGGGTTCTCAGGAGGGGAGAGGTTGGGAGAGGCTTTGCTGCTGAGGAAATTTGTTTGGTAGACTGAAGGTAAGGCCAAGCTTTTGCCTTTTCTGTAATGCTCTTTCTGGGGGATGTCCCCCTGATTTCCCCCTGGCGTATTGTATTTTTTTTTAAATATTGGGGTTATAACTGGGGAACTTAGTGATGGAAATTAAAGTCTGTAACCCCATTGCTCTCCTAAGGCCTACTAATTTTGAGGTGCAGAATGTGTGATGAGAGTCAGACTAGTCAATTTGTTGCTTAACCAGGTTGGCTATCTTGTCTAACCACTTTTGTTTTTCATTTTCTGCTTTAAAATTTCCCCCCCTCAATATATTAAAAAAATAAAGGTCTATGTTTTCCATGTTCCTATATTTATCCTGTTCTATTGGGCTTCATTGCCTCCAAAGGAGTGGCAGTTTCGCTAGCTTAACAAAACCAGCCACCGTGGGGATTGGTTTACATGACAAACATCTCTCCGTGAAGGGACAGCTGCTCCAAGTCATCACCCACTTGCAGCCAGAGTCCCACTCTCTGGCGTCAACTGGGAAGGCCTTGGGACAGCCTTTCATTTCTTCCCGAATTAGAAGCCTGGGCCAAGACTGACAATCTTACAAAATCTTGTTATTTTTCAGGTTTGGTCGGAGCTAGAAGAAGAGAAAAAATTCACACAAGCCAATGGTGTTCAAGACAAAAATAAGCCTGTTGCCTTGAGGTTTCTGGTTTTCATTTAAAATTTATTGGTAGTTTTTTTTAATGTGCTTTAATTATCATGAGATGTAATGTCTATGGTATATTGGAGCAGAATATAAACCAAATTTACTGTGATAAGGAACAATTGTTAACTTTTTTCAAAAGCCAGATTGACATCCCTTTTAGCAAAACTTTGGCCTGAAGAATGTCTTTTTCCTTCAAATGTTTGGAAATTTAAATTCTGTCTTCCTTGAGTTCAAAGTCCTTCATTTCCCTTACCTCAATTTGCTCTTACAACTTTAACTTTCGTGTAGAAGTAGAAATTCTTAATCCAAATACTGATGCAATAAGGAGATAGATCTGAGGCTTCTCTTGTTTAGGCTTATACTTTTAAAAGTTTTTCCTAAGACAGGAAAGAAATAGACTAGTTTTAATTTCTGTTTTTATAATAATATAAAATGGTTCTGTGCTGAGGATAGATTCTAATGTATTTTCATTTGTATGGCATATGAAAAGTTTGTAGGTGCCACTACTACTCTGGGAAAATGGCAGATGACGAAGAATATGAGGAGGTGGTGGAGGTAAGAGTTAAATAAAAAACTGACAGCAAGGAGTTTTGTGTAGTGATGATCTTAGCTGTGTAGGTGAAGAAATCATTCAAAAAACACATTGTCTATTATAATTTCACAAAGAGTCCTTGTTAAAGTCTGAAAGAACTCTGTTACATTCAGTTTCACTATAATTATGTAGGATTAAGAATTGAAAGGAAATATCAATGTTTCCCACTTGTGCTTTTCTTAAAACCTTTAAAAAACCCTATAAAGTATAGGTGGATTTTAATTTGTGATGTAAAGTTGCCTTCTTCCCTGGTTTCTAATTCCAATGATCGAAGAACAGAAGTGATGAAGAGAAAGGTCTGAAGGCTGAACTATGATTCTCAGCATAGCAACTGAGGGAAAAGAACCGCTGTTGACTCCTGGCTTGAAATTTTTGGTTAGCTGTCGGGGCAATGTGGGTTAAACATTCAGAATAATCCCACAGGTGAGGTTACCTACATGTATGATTTCTATAGTATGTGCATGCACACACGTGGACACACGCACTTAAGCAGGTCCTAAGTGACTGTGGAGACCACACTTCTCCATCTGTTCCTTTTATATTCACTCTTGAGAACAAGACTTATATTGTTTTTGAATTTGAAACTAGAAAAAAGACCACACTGGGCTCAACTTGATACATTAGTCATTTTGTTTTTATCGTGCTACTGTTTTCCCTTTAGCTTCACATTGTAGAAATCTAAAGACTTGGGACTGTAATCAGCATAGATTGCCATGAATCTGAAAGTACTGATGATGATGATGATATAAATATGAAAATCTGAGGCTTTTAGAGGTGGGTTTAAAAATCCATGCTTTTTCAAAAGGCTAAAATGGATGATAAGGGCTATTCAAAATTTGAGATGAAGGTACCCTGAAATGTCTTTGGAAAATTACATTAATGATCAAGCTAATCTAGATGAAAACTGTAGTTTATTCTACAAATAAAATTGCTTTTGTTAATGAATGATCTAGAGGAACACCACCTGTCACATTGAAGGAGTCTCATAGCAATAACATTGATCTCTCTCCTAAAATGCAGATGGTGATCTTCCATGTTCAATATTATCACCAGAGAGCATTTTACTTTGGTTCCAAAGGGTCAGACTCATCAGTATCAAACACGCAGTTATAAATTATATTTCCAATGGTAATAATACCAGGAACAATTGAAACCTCTGACTTAAATGTCCTTTGTATTTCTCAAAATATTTCTGCTCATTTTCCCTGGAAATTATCTTAGTGCTAGACTTTAGGGATTTAACAGTATGTCCATAAAATAATAGAGGGTTCTGTACTACTTTTGGAATCCTCTTCTTGTCACTTTGTTCTCACGATTGCTTCTGGTTCTGACCAGCAGGTGCTAAACTAATACGCTGCTTACCAGAAAGCGCTGAACTGGGGTCTCTGACTTAAAAAAAAAATCATGAGTGAGATGGAGGAAGATTTGAAAAAATAGTTGGGAAGAGTTCAGAAAACAGAAAGAATTGAGCTTTAAAAATATTTCCCGGGGAACTTGGCCATCTGAAATGTGTTCTGTTGCTCTTTACTCAAACTTAAAGTTGAAAAGAAAGAGAAAGCAGTAAGGATCTAATTAGTGTCACAGCTCTTTAAAAAATGAGAAAGTGGGATTTGGCATACAAGTGAATGCCAACCATTTGGATAATGTCTGTTTTGTTATTTTTTTTTCTAAACTATGAGAGTGCCTAGCAAAGGTAAAATTGAATGGCTCCCAAAGCATAGCTTTTATATGGGTGCTAAGAAAATCCAAAATAGTTATGAATCATTCATTGTAGTTGAATATTTCTTTCAAGTCATGATGTTTTCTAGGACCAAAGGAGTGAGTCCATGTAGTGTCAGCAGCAAAATCATATGTCCTAATATCCTTTTCTTCCAAAATGAAAGTATAACAAAACAATTCTCTGTGTTGAAGAGATGTGGTTTCTGTTGCTCTGTATGAGGACATGCAGGGAAAAAGGCAAAATTAAAACAAAGCTCTAAAGCACAAGGACCAGGGACAGAAGGCAAATTTCATGTAATTGTGACTGCGGAGGAAGTAGAGCAGTAAGCAACTGTTGTCAACGTTTGGCTGCTTGAATGACGGTTCAGGGAACCAGGGCCCGAGAACGACCACTTAGGGTGCATCGTGCCTCTCAGCATTTTCCCTTCCCTACAGTATATCCCAATGGCAAAGATATGAAAAAACAGAAGCATAAAATGTGATGCATTTTGTTGACTGAGAAAATGAGCCAAATGTTTTGCTCTTTATCCCTTTGCGTGCCTGAGTCTGTAGGAGCCTTTCCCTCCATGCACCCTGCAGAATGGGGTAAGGCCAGGACAGGATTCCACTCCCCTTACACATCTAAAACAAAATGTCAGCCAGTTTCTCTGTGCATCTATTTATTGCTGGTGATGTCAGACCTAGGACAAAAGTAGGCTCAGTCTCGGATCCTGGCTGCTGGCAGCTCAGAGCCATCAGTGGCAAATGGCAGCCTAGCTTCCCCATGTTATGTGATAAGGTGTCCTATTGGTGTTCTTGTCTCCACATTTCCGTCTTTGTACCCTGTTTGGGACCATCGTACTGTGGGAAAGGACTCATCCGTGACTGTGGAAGTTCTTGTTCTGTACTACTCAGTGATGTAGAGGAATAACTGACATGAGTAAATAATTTTGGATCTCCTTATTTCCATGATATAATCCATTGAGGCATTTTGTTCATACTGGGGTTTCTGTTTTGCTGTTAGTAAGGAGTCAGTTTGATCATAGCTCCTTCTTGTCCGACCATACACTCAGGCTACAGTTAGCATATTTCTTTCTCTGCAAATCCTAAGAATTTATTTGACCCAGTAAGTTGGTTTCCCCTGATTGAAAAAGTCTGAGAGGTCTCACTTGTCTCTGCATCTCTTTGTCCAGTCTGAAGATTATTTTAGCTTTCAGGAAGTTTCCAGCAGTGAAAATGAGCGCCAACTAGGAACAGGCTCTCAGAGATGCAGAGGAGGCAGAGGGGAGGAGATGTCTGCTCTGGTTCTCATGTCGCTGCCTCTGTGCTCTATTCACAGTACTACACGGAAGAGACAATTTATGAAGAAGTGCCAGGAGAGGTAAGGCTTGGCCACACCTGCGTAAACAGGATTCTCATTAAGGCAAAAAGAAACTTCTCTCAGACTTCCAGGGTCCACGAAGATAGCAAAAAGCATTACTTATGGGAGGATCACTCACTTAGCTCTGCCCAAACACTGGTGATGAGAAAACAGATATTACCTGTTGGCAGGTGGCCTCGCTGCTCTTGTCACTTGATCTATCTAAGATGGCAGGGCACTGTCTCTCTTGTTGCTCACAGGTCATTTCTCGTGGAGACAGTACTAACAAGAGTAGTATTAGTGGCTGTTCTTGGTCTCTGACCACAGTAGGAGGGATGGCCCTCGCCTTAAGTTGGCATACAGACCAGCTGTTTCATTGTTGAGTCCCCAGGATGGTGGCCCTAAAGCTTTGGTCCTGATGATGAATGAAATCCTGCTCATATTTTAGTACTGAAGAATTCTGGGGAAACTATTTCCGTAAATATTCCAAGTTGGAACTCCTCCCACCCCCACCTTGCCACCTTATCCCCATGTGAAATCCATCTCTAGTGTTTCTAGACTGTTTTCTCTATGAGCGTGACGAGCTGTGGTGGAGATGACTAATTCTGGCGCCTGCTCTAATTGCCTGCAATGGCAGGAAACTAACATCTGCATTGATCCTCAGGTTAGTTTATCATGGTCAACCTTGCATCAATAGTAATGGGCAGAAATCAACCTATTAGCAATGCTTAGACAATACTAAAGAGGAGCTTGCATAGATGTACAATTTCCGTATTAGATTATTGATTTCATAATCAATGCTTGAGCTCTACTTTTAGTATATTGGCTATGAAGGAAAAGACATTGTGAGAATAATGAAATATTTTTCTTTTTGTATTTTTAAATTATTATTTTCCAGGATACAGTTTTGTAGGTATAGGGATTTCTCTTTCTCCTCCCCTTTTTCCAATTCTTTCCCCTCACCCACCATTTTCCCCCATATTACTATAATGGTATAGTCCTTTAGCAATAGTTACCAACTTTAATTACTGTTTCTTTTTCTTTTTTATATTAAAAGAAACATTATTTTCATCTACTTGAGAGTTAGATCAAAACACACACACTCTCTCACAGACACAGATCTTACATGCACTGGTTCACATCTCAGATGCCTGGTACAAACAAGGATGAGCCAAGCCAAAACCAGGAGCTGGAAATTCAAGCGGGATATCCCATGTGGGTCGCAGGCACAAACTGAGTCACCACTTGCTGCTTCCCAGTACACATGTTGATAGGAAGATAGAATCAGGAGCACAACCAGAACTCAATTTCAGGTGCTCCAGCTGGAATGTGGATGTCCCTGGTGAACTGCTGTACCTGAGCCTACCCCAACAGCCAGCATCCTTAACCTTGGCTGAGACTCCACCACTAAGATGTCTTTTCTTCTAGTATAATCTGTTGTTTGAAATTGTACTTTCCAACCTACTACATAAGGAAGACTGTTATGAGGATAATTTTCTATTACATTGTCATTATTTTTGCCCACCCAAGCATTTTTTGGTGTAAAGGGCACTGATTTCACACTATCTTTTAACTCACTAAATGGTAGTCATTTATAATATTGCAGTGATTCATGTTTTTTCATTCTCGTCGTTTATCTCATACCACAGTGGGGAATGACTATGGAATAAGCCACTTACTTTTTATTGATCACTTAAAAGTTAATATTGCAGTCATCAATTTGAACCTTATTCCATTTTCTGGATCTTTTGTTCTTTAATTCCAATGAAACTTAAGAAGATTTTCCAATATTGGAGAATGTCTTGTTTCTGATTGCTGTTGCACTTTGAAATGTTTGAATGGCTTTTTATAAGTTCCATGTTGAAGCTGTGTTGTAGGTTGAGAAAGAATAACCACTGTACTCTGTATCTTCTCTGAGAATCAATATTCAGATTCATATGACCTGATGGGCCTGTAGGTAGAAATAGTGTATGGTTTCCTGCCTTGGCCTGTTGGAGATATGAGGAAGTAACACCAGAAATGTAAATCTGACTCAAAAATAGAATAATTCCATAATAATATTAACCATTAACTGTGTGTCACATTTTCAGACAATAACAGAAATCTACGAAACTACAACAACAAGGACCACATCTGACTATGGGCAATCGGAAACTTCCAAACCGGCACTGGCAGAGCCGGTGCAGGCCAAGCCAGTGGAGAGGAAAAAGATCATCCGGAAGAAAGTGGACTCTTCGAAGTTCATGACCCCCTACATTGCACACAGTCAGAAAATGCAGGATCTTTTCAGCTCAGTAAGCTCAAAGCAGTTGCTTCTGTGCACCTGGTTTTAGCATTAATTAAAGGCCTGTTTCACATGATGGTTAGATTTGTTTTTCAGCTTTGTATGAAGCAGAATGTACTGTACAATAACACATTTTTTATTGTGACTTATATTTTCCATTGATGTAATTACTTGCACCATTGCAGCATCAGGGAAAGCATCCTTATTGAAATTATTCTTGGAAAATAAGCAAGAGGTCAATTGTCAAGGATTTAGTGGAACTGTATTGTTCTGGGTTAGTTAAACTAGTGTAACAAAATCATAAATAAGTATTTGATGCTGGTTCATGAAAACTAAATAACATTTAAACTATTTCTGAGTAGAGGAGCCTCTTTTTACTTTTTAGAGATTTATTATTTTAAATATTTATTTAGTAGAAAGGAATTTGAGAGATCAATCAATCTTCTATCTTTTGGCCTATTCCTGGATGTCCACAAAGGCCAGGGCTGGGCCAAACTGAAGTCAGCTTTTTTCTAGATCTTTCATATGCAGGGAAGGGACACCTGTAGTTGACCATCCTTCTCCACTTTTCTGGGGTCAATAGCAGGGAGCTGGATTGGAAATGGAATAACTAGGACATTAGGCTATGTCCCTGTGGATTGCCTGTGCCACAAGTGATATTTTACCTGGTATGCCACAATGCTAGCCTCTATTTATTTGAAAGGGTTGAGAGTGTAGAGAAAGACCACACACACAAACACACAATAAGTGAACATAGGCTTTCATCTGCTGGTTCACTTCCCAAATGCCTGCACCAACCAGGGCTAAAGCAGGCTTAAGCTGATAGCCTAAAGCTAGCTGAAGCTTGTAGCAGGAACCCCAACACTTGGGGCACTTTGTGCGACCTTCCCTGGCACATTGACAGAAAACTGAATTGGAAACAAAGGAACTAGTACTTGAATCAGCACTCTTATATGGGGTGTGGGCATCTAAAGTAGCAGCTAAACTCGTTGTGCCACAGTCTGCCCAGAGCTACCTAATGTATGTAAAACTCTAAGATGTTAAAGCAGTGAGGAACATGTAGCTTAGAAAGCCAAGGGCAGACTAGACTCATTTAGAATTGAGAACCATAATGTTTGTGCCCTAGTCCGAGAGTTTAAGTGTGGCCTCACAGTGAATCCTCTGGTACCTTTAAAATAGCATGTTCAGGCTATTCTGGTTATATTGGTCTGGGGTGGGAACCTTTGCGGAAGCAGTTTGAAACGCTTCCCTGATGGTTTTAATGTGCAGGTTGAGAATCACTGTGCTCGATGGTTCTTAGTCTTCAGATTCCCACATGCTGCAAGTCAAACTGACTAAAACCTGATCTAGACCCATTTCTGTATATCCAGTATGCTAATGGTTCATGGTTAGCAGAGGTCTGACTCAGTGGCTTGGTTGTATAGTGTCTGGAGGCTTAACAAATGAAAGGCAGGAGAATTTTGGATTGTCTGGGACTGAAGTTCATGTATCAAAAGCATCTTGATATGGTTGGCTAATCTTTCTCTTGGTTAATTGCACTCCATTGGGTCAATTTGTTCAGATCCTTGAATGGTCTAAAAGCTAGGTTTCTAAAACAAGATTTTAGTTCCTCCTTTACCCCTGCAATATTCCACAAAAAATTTTTTGTGCCAACTTGTTACCATAAAACCTCGTTAATTCAGGCAATATGACCCTAGAATTTTTTAATATTCTGAACAGAAAGCCTGCAGAGGTCTATTATATTTTTAAAGTGGGTACTTAACAAGTAAGTAGCATAGTTTACATTGTTGACTTGAGTTCTTGAAATTTTAATGACATTATGGACATTGTTTAAAAAGCAACAATTCATTGTATATTTACCAGAATTAAAAATACTGTATTCAGTTACATAATACTCAGTAATTCAGACTTTGAGTAACTAAGATACTGGCTGAATTAATTTAAACTGCTGTGGGTTAGTAGCAACCTCTGAATATTTTTGCATTGTATTAGTAATCAAATCTTTAGAGATTTAACTCAAGTTCTATATTTTCTAAAGCAATTGAGACTCGGACTTCTTATATATGAATTTTGGGGAAAAAACGAGAATCATTTCAAGACATTTCCAGGAAAATAGGCTGTAATGAATTTCTACGATTTCTGAGATCCAATTGTGTTTAGAAGGAGCAATTAGAAAATCTTTTTTTTTTTTTTTGAAGGTCAGGGAAGGGGAAAAAAACTTCTGTACTGATAATTATGATGGGAAATGAGTATGTTGCCTTAAATTCCTGCTGCTACCTTGAGAGGTTGTAGGCTAGTATGTGCCATTCTTTTCAGAATAAATACAAGGAGAATTATGAGAAAGCCAAAGGACAGCCATATGCCAGCACATCCGATACGCCAGAACTTCGCAGAATCAAGAAAGTCCAGGATCAACTTAGTGAGGTGGGTTGTATGGCTTGGAAAGAGGACGAGGATTTTAAAGAATGTGTGGATCCCTGGGGATGGAGAGTTCTAAGGATTTGTAGAGAATAGGGAATGGAATTACTGGAAGCTACACCTAAGTTGAAAAAAAAACACCAATTGTGCATTAGGTTGCCGCATCCGTGATCCTAGAGAGACTTATAAAAGCTTGCTTTATCTTGAGTGGAAACTCAGATGGATACTCCAAGTCAGTCAACATGGTCCTCCATGTCGGAGAACCATGAGCCTAAGAAGCAGCGAGGAAAGCAGATTAGCTGGAGATGTAGGTGTTTTGTGGATCTTTGAATGTTGCCATCCTCTAGCTAAAATGCTTCATGATGTGATGATTATGCCTAATCACTGGGTTAATGCTCTTTCGTATATCCTTTTAGTAGTCACATATTCACGCCTGTCCTGAACTCTAATTACACATTATTTTTGCAGATTAAGTATCGAATGGATGGTGATGTTGCTAAAACTATTTGTCACGTAGATGAAAAAGCAAAGGACATTGAACATGCAAAGAAAGTGTCGCAGCAAGTCAGTAAGGTAAGGCCATGGTGTGGATAGGCTGGTCTGCAAAACAGCATATGCCTTGCCTCTGCTTTGTCCTCTGCGGAGGATCACCAGGCAGGCCTAGCCTGCTTGCCAGTCCTCGGGACGGTGAGTGGAGTGCCCACGTGCCCCAGGGAGGCTGCATAGAAGACTGAGGAGTTGACTGGAGAGCTGTGGGTGGATTAGAGAGCTCGTGATCTGCCACAGGTCCCAGCACGAGGCAGTTGATGCAGAAAACAGTCCCATGCTTCTGGAATCTCCTATTTCTGTTTAAAAGAGTTCAGGGTGGGTAAGAGGTAAATTTTTATGAGACATTTCCAAATTTCAAATTACCCTGTGGGTCAAAAGAAACATGTCTGACAGCCAAACTGACCCCAATGATTGATTACAGTCTTTGAGAGGGATCTATAGAGAATCAGAATCATGATTTAATTTAAGACGTGGACTTTTTTTTTAAAGATTTATTTATTCTTATTGGAAAGTCAGATTTAGAGAGAAGGAGAGATAGAAGCAACCACAATGGCTGGAGCTGAGATGATCCAAAGCCAGGATCCAAGAGCTTCTTCCAGGTCTCCCAACTTTGTGCAGGGTCCTAGGGTATTGGGCCATCCTATCCTGTTTTTCCAGGCCATAAACAGGGAGCTAGAAAGGAAGTAGAGCACATGGGAAACAAATCAGTGTTCATATGGAATCCCGGCACATGCAAAGCAAGGACTTAAAGCCGCTAGGCTACTGTGATAGGCTCAAAATCATGGAAATTTTTAAGTCAAAAGCTTACTAAGGCAGAATAACTCTAGAGGATGTTGACAGCAGTAGTCTGTGTGAGGACACTGCTCAAACTCTCCCTTTGTTCTTTAGATAATAATGACCTTGGGTGGAGCATTAATCCTTGGTTCCTCTGTACTTTCTGTCTAGGTTTTATACAAACAGAACTGGGAAGACACCAAGGATAAGTACTTGCTTCCCCCTGATGCCCCTGAACTTGTTCAGGCCATTAAGAACACAGCCATGTTCAGCAAGGTAAGGGTCTCTGCTCTTCTGCTCCATCATCAATTCTTTTAAAGATTTATTTATTTGAATAGCAGAGTAACACACAAAGAAGTAGAAGTATCTTTGATCTACTGATTCATTTCCCAAATGGCCACAAAAGCCAAGGCTGGACCAGACCAAAAACCAGGAGCCAGGTACTCTATTCAGATATCCCACATAGATGACAGGTACCCAAAGAACTGGGCCATTTTCTGCTGCCTTTTCAGGTGCATTAGCAGGAAGCTGGATCAGAAGTGAAGTATCCAGAATTTACACGGGCACTTATGTGTGTGATATTGGAGTCATATGAGGGGAGTCTTAATCCACTGTGTCATAGTGGCTTCTCTATCACCACTTTTTTGTCTTTGGTATCCTTTTATCAGACAACTAAAAAAATACCTAGTTAACTCTTTGTAATCCAGAAGGAAGTTCCTGATTTTTTTCTGTGAATAACCTGGAGGTATGTGGGACTGAAGGAAAGGGGCTGGGCAAGGATGGGTTGGGAGGACTGTAGGACAGTGCACTAGACAGTCTTCTGGGAACTTGAGCAATCAGGGGGGCGGGGAGTGTGTGGGGGTGATGATGATGTACCTGGGAACCAGCCAAAGCATCCTCATGGTAACTCTGTAGATCCCATGTTGACCCTCATATAACAAATTTAGTTTGTGATGAACTGAGAGCCGATCCTGGCTCCTGGCACCCATGTTAGCAGTTATTGCCAGAGGCAGTAAAGTCATGGAGAGGAGATAAAACAAAATCAGACGCATCTTCCCCACTCCAAATGAAATTTATTAGGAGAAATGAGATAAGTTTTTATTTAAAATGGTTTGGGTAAACAGCCAGGGGGATGTTATCTGTGAATTTTATTTACCTTTTCCTGCAGCTTGCTTTGGTTGGTTTGCCATAAGTGGATGGGATAAAAGCTTTGTATTTTGCAGAAAGATGATCTTGCTTTCTCATACCTTTTCCTTCTTTTCTGGTTTAGAAACTTTACACTGAAGATTGGGAAGCAGACAAAAGTTTGTTTTACCCGTATAACGATAGTCCGGAACTGAGGAGGGTTGCCCAAGCCCAGAAAGCGCTCAGTGATGTAAGTGCAGTCAGCATCTTTTAGAAAGGTGGAACCAGGAAAACTGCAGTTGAGTATTCTGACCAGAAATTCATTGCATCCCTTGCTTTAAAAAGACCAAATGCCATAAGGCAGAGAAAGGTGTCTAGTAATAGGATAATGATGATGTTTAACTTAAGTTAGATACTTATACTTTATGTTAAGTACAATTTAGTCCAACCCCTTCTTAGGCAGTGACCCTGAGTCTAAGATCATTTAGTTATTGGCAGAGCCCAGAATTATGGTCCCAAGACACATATTCCTACTGGAACCTGTATCCTTCTTTGCCCTTGGCTTTGGTTGAAGACGTTCTGTGACAATGGAGTGACAATTAAACAAAAACTACTAGAGTCACAGCTGTTTCCCCACATCTGCGAAGTAAGCAATATTATCATAGGAGTCTTCTATGTTATACTGATCATCAAGTCTGAAGTCTGAATTGTAATGTGCCTCCTTTCTGCTTGGGAGACTTTGGTTTACTTGGCAAACTGTGTGAAATTATTACAAAAAAGCTCTTAGCCCTGGGGTACACAGAAGAGACTGCAGAGTTAGCAAAAAAAAAAAAAAAAAAAAAAAAAAAAAGAAAAAAAAAAGAAAAAAAAAACCCACTACTCCCATTTGCTAGAATTTTAATATGCTAGACCTTGAAAATGTGTATTGGACAACTAAAAAGGCCCAATGGAGTGCTTATGTTGAAAGCAGCTGCAGCAACAGTAGCAGGTTGGACCTAGAGCTTTGTCTTGTTCTGAGGTATTTTGTGTCTTGACTGTTACATTTGTTGAATGTGATGCTAAAAATCCCAAGACTACCACTGTAGTCTTCCCAGAACACAGTGTTATAAAATAATATGTGTTGGCACTGAGTTGTCAGTTAGACTTCTGGAACTTCCTGATGATTAATAGACTTAAATAAGCCAACTAAGACTTGATGGGTTTTTTTTCCAGAGGATTCCAGAGTTTTAGGTTGTCTTGAACTGAAATTAACATAATGGTGTCTCCAAAGTTATCACTTGAAAATTAATAGACACATTTCCATTCTACTTTCCTTGTAAATAAGAGTAAATAAGGAAACAAGTAAGGCATAGGAAGATTTTGAAGTCAGCTGGTATATCATGCCAAGTTAGGTGTGTAGGTATCATGATTTTCTTTCAACGTTAGCTTTTTGGGTCCTCATTTCAAGAATTCACATTGACATCTGGCCTTTATTAAGTGGTTGGTAGTTGTTTATTGGAAGTCCATGATACATGCATACCTGAAAAGATAGAAAAGTAGTGACAGAGAAAGGAGCCATGGATGAACTTCTATCCATAGACTGGAGGCCTGGGTGAATAGGGGTAGAGGTGCATTAGTCGAGAGAGAAATGAACTTGAGATAATGAAAATTTTCTGATCAAGGCATTCTGGGGATAGTTTAGAAATTTAGTACTGTTACATAGTTGTAAGATCAGAGCAAAAGTGATAGCTGAAGATAAGCGTATACAAGGGAGGAAGAATGGGCAAGGGCAGAGAGCTGGAGGACACCCATGAGAAGGATATCTGGAGAAGAGCCAGCAACAGGATGAGAGAACCAACGGGGAAGTTGACAGGGAACCAGAAAATGCCCTGTCATGAGTCCAGGGAGAAGTTCCAAGAAGACAGTTAATCTCTTGATGCCTCCCTTTGCCCATAAAATGGAGAGATGAGGGGGTCACTTCTGTGCCACTCCAGTGCTAAAGACTTTGAATAACTCAAGCTGACCACATATTTGAGATATCACAAAGGAACACACAATGAAGGAGAATAAACATAATGAAATAAGATCTTCCCTTTTATTCCTTACAAAGATTTGGCAATTAAGGTACAATCTTTTATTATTATTATTATTAATGCAGATGGAATGTGTTCTAAGTGTCAGATAACCAATATGCCTATTAATACTGATGTCAACACTAAATTTTTCCAATGCTTATGCTGGCTTCTGTTCCCACAGCACATTACTGAGTAGGCCCCGAGATTTCAGGTGAACAGCTTGTGTTTAGGGATTCCATCTTCCTTCCTGTACCTTCTTCTTGATCCCTTGTAACTGTATTCATCATGTCTTTCTCATTATCTAAGCAGATACAAAATATTGCAAACTGATCTGGAGTCCAGAATTCTACCTGGACAGAATTCTAAACAAGGTTCCTGAGAAAGAAAGACTTGCAGATTTGATTTCTCTGAAATTTCTTGACAGGATGTCATACTTAATAAGTACTTCTGTTTGAACATCCTTTTCTCCCCACAGACTTAACCAACCATGGAAAATCCCAATTGCCTTATACCTAAAATTAAAATTTCACTTATTTAAAAGAAAGTAAGCAGTGGAGTTTCTATAAATGCACTTTAATGTCTGTTTTAATCTCAATTGATTTAATGTTCAGGAAATCCTTTGTTATAAGCATTAGGTAGCTATTATTAGGAGATATAGCTGAAGATGATTGGGATTTTGGAACTGTCCAACTTTTACTTTTATCAAGAATGCTACCATGTGGAAGGAAAGTCAGTAGAGAAGTTTCCCAGTTGTGCAGAAGAAGAGATGCAAGGATGATTTTCCTCTTCAGGTTTTCCCTGATGGCCTCAGTATGAAATACATGTATTCAGAAGTCAGATGTCAAATCCTTGCTATAGCCAGGAATTGTGCAGACTTGCAAAGATTGCCGATGAGTGGCCATGTCCTCTGCCATCCCAGGCTCACAGTTTCAGGAGGGACGGATATGTAAATGGCCTGTTACAGTGCCATCCACTGGCTCCTTTGAGGGAGATCAGGATCAAGTTGAGTGAGATCCCTGAAGAAAGACACTTTGCCTCAGAAGTCAAGGGGTTGGGGGGGGGGGGCGACTGAGTCCCTCTCATCCTGAGACGTGGAGGAAAAGCAGGGGGAAGAGTAAAGTTGGGGCATTCCATGGAGAGGGAAGAGCATGGACAGGTTCCTTTGGCACTTGAGATCTTTGTGTGTCTGGGAATTTCTAGAAATCTCTACATTATGTCAGGTAGAGGGCAAGATTGGAAGAAAAAGCCAGAGAAATGAGTAATGAAGAAAAGGAGAGCACAAATGAAGGGATTTATAATTCATGGATACCACAGTTGTTTACAGTGATAGAGATCAAAGGAAAGGGAGACATGAAGGAGATGGAGGATGTGAGGAAGAGGAGGGATAGTGGATGAACTAAGTACAATGAGAGGCTAAAGGAAATGACATCCTGGACTTGTCTCTCTCCGCACTAGGTCATGGGTAGCAAAGCAGGGATCAGTGTGGAGAACAATGTGTCTTGTATTTCTTTACACTATAAAAAGGAATGTGAGAGTCGATTGGGAGACTAAAAAACCTTATTGAATTTTACAGTAGCCCTGTGAGTGAGACTGATCAGGAATTTAAAATGGAATGGTGAAGCTTCACTGAAAACAAATGACAATTGGATGCCAAATGCCAGAGTATTGAGCACAAAGTCCCAAGCAAGCTGCTCACCGGACATATCACTGAGTAGGCTCATAGAGTTTATTTATTTGAAATAAAGAATGACAGAAAGATCAAGATCTGTTAATTCGGAGCCCAAGGACAGACTGGTAAAAGCCAAAGTCAGGAGCCCAGGGCTTGTTGGGGTCTCCCACATGGATGACAGGTGCACAGGTGTTTGGGCCATTTTCTGTTGTCTTTTCAGATGTCTTAGTGGAGAATCAGTTCAGAAGTGGAACAGCCAAATTTGAACTGGCATTCTGATATGGAATGCCAAACTATCAGGCAGCAGCTGAATGTACTTGACAACAATGTCAGCTCCAGGCTTGTACATTTCAAGCTAAGTGCTTGATTCAGAGGCTTGATTCTTCTTACTCCTGCTAGTCAAGTTACATTGCCCAATTTACAGAATTTTGTGATTTTCTTCAACAGCACTTAGCATCCTATGTATAAGAATAGAGAAAGTATGTGGTTCAGTTGGGCCAAAGACGGGGATTTGTTAAGTGGATGTGCTAAAAAGATGGCTTTTAAGTTAAAAACATTGGTTAAGAGAGAATAATTACAATTGTAAATCATGATATGAAAGGAAACAGATCCAGGCCTAAGAGTCCTAGAGAAAGGGGAGAATCCAGAGGAACAGAAAACGCACATCAGTCTTGATAGCAAGGGCATGTGACAGCTCTAAGGATAAAGTCCGGTAATATGGCACAGTAAAATATGAAACATCAAATAAAGATGAAATTTTTTTTTAATGCTAACCATTGAAAACTGGAAATAGAATAATTGCCTATGACTCACAAACATGCTTGTCTTTTGTCAGATTGCCTACAAAAAGGGTCACGCTGAACAGCAAACTCAATTCACATCTCTGGCCGATCCTCCAGACATAGAATTTGCCAAGAAAGTAACTAACCAAGTGAGCAAGGTAAGTATATAGACCCAGCACACTGTGTTTTGAAAATTCTGTTTTGTGAAAGTAACCTATGGATGATCATGGTGAACGAATAAACATCTAGCTAGCTTGATGGATCAGTCATTGACACATGTGAAAGTCACATTTTGAAAGCAGACTCCTATCCTTAACAGCACTTGACATTTTTTCTTATGGGAATAATATGCACCAACAGAGTAACCAAGCAACCACACACTTGCACAAGGATCTGGCTTAATTCAGTGTGAAGATCCCGTAGAGTTCAGTGCTCTCAGTAAGACTGGGGGAAGTAGGAACGCATTGAGTGGGCTCCTAAACACAGCCTAGTTGACAACTGTGGGCAGTGTGCTTCGTAACTTTTAAGGGCCCAGCCAAGAGCTTAGTTTGCCTATATTTAGGCTGGCAAACTGTCTCTGAGGAATGCAGCCCTGACAAAGAATGCAGAGAGACAAATGCTGAACACATGACTAGGCCTATGAAAAATTCCTATTTTAAATTGCTCCAAGTCAGGCCACTTTCTCCTGGGATACTGCTGTCTTTGAATACCTTTTCTTTCTTTTTTGCCCTTTGTTTGAGTTGAGTTTCCACTGGGTCTTCTGCTTCAATTTTGATGGAACGTGAAGATTTCTGTTTTGTCTAAATATGTTTTAAGGGGAATTATTTGTTGAGTAGAAACCAGAGAAGAAAAGATACAAATGATGGAGTTTGTTCTGTGATGTGTTCCTAGTGTCTGATATTACAGATTGCCTAAATGTATAACTTCATTAACAGGAATACTACCAATCTGAAATTTTCCCTGGCTTAAGTGCAAATTAACTTTAAAACAATGCACAGAGATAGTCCAGCGAGGGTATTGATATTTTAAATAAAATTAAGGAGAAAGATAATTTATGTTTTTGAAATAAAAAGGAAAAGGTGTTTTAAAGTAGCCATTTAATAAAGAAAAAGGAGTCTTTTTCATCTTATTTGATGCATACTGTAAAAGGTATCTTACTAAAAAAACTTTATTTCATCTCATTTGAATATGCAGCATGAGTACTTAAAAGTGGTTCTTAAAAATCTTTTTAAAATGTTTTTATTTTGGGTCTAGCAAATGGCCTAGTGGCTAAATCCATGCCTTAAATCAACAAGGGTCCCATGTAGGTGCCAGTGCAGTCCTGATTGTTCCGCTTCACATCCAGCTTCCTTCTTGTGACCTGGAAAAGGCAGTTGAGGATGGCATAAAGCCTTGGTACCCTGTACCCATATTGGAGACCCAGAGGATACTCCTGGCTCCTGGCTTCAGATTGGCTCAGCTCTGGCTGTTAAGGCCACTTGGGGATGGAAGATCTTTTTCTCTGGGTCATCTTTTATCTATCCACTTTTCCAATAAAAATAAATAAATAGATAAATAGATAAATGAACAAATCTTTTAAAATAAGTAAAACATGAAAATAAAATAAAAATTTAAAGACATATTTATTTTTACTTGAATGAATTACAGGGAGAGAGAGAGAGAGAGACAGACAGACATGGAGATCTTCTCTCCGCTGGTTTACTCCCCATGGCCAGAGCTGGGCTGGTCTGAATCTGGAAGCCAGGAACTTCGTCTAGATCTCCCATGTGGGCACAGGAACCCAAGGATTTGGGCCACCCTCTGCTGATTTCCAAGACCATAAACAGGGAGCTAGATTGGGAAGTAGAGCAGCTGCAACATAAACTGGTGCCTATATGGGATGCCTGTCCCCCCACCATAGGTGGAAGATTAGCTTGCTGTGCTACCATGTCCTCCCCTACCAATTTAGATTTGCAAGTTAGTTTAGATGTATATATTTCAGTCCCGGTCCAATGCTTTGACTGGTTAATCTTCAGCCTTGCAACGGTAAAGTAGAGGAGTAATTGATAGCAGTCCATCAAGCAAGAAACCATCCAACAAGGGAGACATGGACTGCCAAGAGTGACTGATCTGTAGGAATCTTCTCTCCTGATGTATTTTTCACTAACAATCTCTGTTGATTTCCGTTTCAGCATCATCATATCCTCTTTGCTTCCAAAATAGATACAAATGTACTTTATCCACTCACTCCTATGCGTTCATACCCACAGTATTTCTTTGCTGAATCATGCCTCCTTTCCAGTTTAGATGATAAATGATCATATGTTTTGCACTGATTTTGTTACTACTATGTTTTGTTGACCAGCCTTTCTTCCACCGCATGTTGGAACCAATTCTTCCAGCTTTCTTTGGCTAAAGCCATTGACTATATGGTAGTATTGTCTCCTGGCTCAGTTTCGCTTAGATAGCTCTATTACAGGTGGATGGACACACAGAAGTGTTCCTAAAAGCAGGCATTCCAGGCGAGGAAACTGTAAGCTATGGTTGGCTAAAGATGGGTTCTGTAATTCTTTCGAGAAATCCCTTTTGTTTCTCTGTGCCTGCTTTAATCCCCCGTAGTTTTATAATCAGAAAAAGCACAAGATGTTTGAATTTCTGATTGGATACTCAAGTAGATTCTAGAATTTTAAAAAAAAATCCTACAGTGACATATTGTCCCACAGCAGGAAGTTGCTGGGCTCTGGTTCTCTGAAACCATGGAAACTCTTCTATCACACCAAATTAGGAAGACCCCCATTGATTCACCAGAGAAGATTTGATTAAATCAGAAAGACAGCCCTAGGCTCGCTGTGGGTAATAAAAATTCTGGTTGGGACCCCCTTCCACCCTCTGAAAGGATAGCTTTTGGAGGAATAGAGCCATCAGGCACCCTAATATTGAGCCATTCAAAAACAAACAAAAGGGAGAAATATGCTTAACCAGCTTTGTTTCCGCTTTCTGTTTGATAACCTCATAAAATCTCCAGCTGCAAATGTGACAATAGAAGATGAATCCATGTGTTAAAGCCATGTGTCTTCTATGGATAAGGGAGTATGGCTTGTGAGGACAGTCTTGTTCTATGGACATGTAGTCAGTTCATTTCCACAAAGGGTACCCAAAGCTTGTCATGGACTCGATGTGTTTTCTTCTGTTCAGCTAACACATTGGGGGAAAAAGCATTGCACAAAATTAAATTCTTTCCACCAGGTTTCTGTTGGCAAACTCCAGAAGCAACGTAATGGGAAGGAAGTGTTAGGAACAACCCTAGGGCTTGGTGTGGGAGGAAGGTGTTAGATTAGAGGGTCCCTCCTTCATGTGTCATACAGCAGACCAGACATGCAGAGTGACGCCACTGTGGCTGGCAGAAAAGGACTACAACTTTTCTTGGCTTCTCTCCTGTATGAAAATGAAGGACAAGAACATAACTTCCCCATGGGTAACAAGTTGCAATCTTCCCAACCCTGAGTAGAACATATCTCCCCAGATTTAGGCAAAGCCCCAGGATGGAATCATTGAAATGGAGAGATCCGTCTCTCTTTGACCCTCCATAGCTTGGTGGCTGGGGGAAAGAACAGGTTGGGGTTCATGAAGGAGAAGAAGGGAGGAAAGACTCTGGATAAGGGGGATAACTGATCTTAAATTCTTGCTTTGCTTCTAGTTTTGGAACTCAATTTGCTTTGGGAGGCAGAGACATACAGCGGATGAGAGATGAGAGATCTCATCCGCTGGGTCACTTCCCAAATGCCCAGTAGCCAGCCTGGGCCCAGCGAAAGCCTGAGCCTAAAACTTCTTTTGGATCTTCCACATGGATGATAGAAACCCAAGTACTTGAGCTAGACCTGCTGCCTCCTGTGGTGCACATTAGCAGGAATTTAGAATTGGGAATGGAGCTGGGACTTGAACTTGTTGATTTTGATATGGGTTGCAGGTGTCCAAGGCTTCTGGACTGCTGTGCCCAAAGGCCCACCCTTGTGTCTTACATTCATCTTTTTAAAAGTCAGACATTTATTTTTCACTGTGAGAATCAATTACTCAGTTTCCCTTAGCAAATCTTCAGATACAGTTCTGATTTTAAAGATAATATTCCAATGTTAGGATATCATTTAAAACACAAGGGTACCTTAAAAAGTTTATAGAAAGGTAGAATTATAACAAATTTATTTTTGAGAAAAAAATTTGAGATTGGACCGTAGTTGTTTCATTTCCATGAAGCCCTTTTGTAACTACTACTTGTCAAATCTAAATCATTTGACAGAAGCCTCTGTATGTCAGGATTGAGATGCACTGGGCCCAGTTGCTCCTAAGCAGGTGGCAGGGCAGGAATCCTACACAAATTGTGGTTTAGGAGATGTTAATCTGTGGTGATTATACACCAGGACCCTTTGGAGTTGTGTCTATGGGCATTTTATAGCTTTCTCAGATTCTTTAACAGATCCATGCGCCGCTAAGATTAGAATTACTTCTGTAGATGCTTTCAGCAAATCCAAAATCAATGTTATTGACTTCCATTCTTCAAAGCTTAAAAGGAGAAGGGTAGGTAAATTAATACAAATCCCAGTAAAGATTTTCACTGGAGAATTTTGTCTCTCACACAGATTTTTTTCTCTAGAGTTTTTACTTTCTGTTACAATGATGTTTATTATTGTAGCTATTATACTGTGCACTTGTCTGGCATTGCACAACTTACAAAACCCTATTTCTTGCATGATCTTACGTAATTTTTCATCAGTCCACTGTAAATGTTATTGACAACAATTGTAATTGAGAAAATGGAAGTTCAGAAAGACTAAGTCACTCCTTTAGGAGTCAAGTCTTGGGGATGTGAGGATGATCTGGCTATGACGTTATCCCGTTGATTGCCAGGATGGATTTGGCTGATCTAACTGGCTAGGGGTTGTCCCCTTCCTCACTCACCACTCCATGTGTGTGCCTTCCAAAGCTGCATGCTTTGTCCAAGAGGACCACCATGCCTGCTAAAGGAACACCAGTCTTTGCTAAAGGGTATATAAGTAGCTGCAATCCCCTGCTAGAACCTCCATACAAGCTCTCAAGGAGTGAAATCCTGGGCCCAGAATTTCCAAACCCATGGCTCTAAAATGTGTAGCTATGGAAACCAGATAGCTATTAATTGGTATATTAGCCCTCTGAGGAGACTAAGGAGGGGCCTTTGTGAAGGCTGGACTTTGTTTAACTCAAGCTCATTGATGTTGCACTTACTTTTTCTAGCATGTGGATGTTAAGTCTGTTCATTTCTGTGAACCATGGAGGACATGCGTCTGTCTTGGCTCTGACTATCACTCAGGGGCCAGGTTTGAGATTGGCTGAGGTATTTCCACTCTAAGAACGTTTGGGCCCAGGATTCAAAAGCCACTTATCATGGTCTCTCTTTTGGCATGTGTGGTTTGAATAAACATTTGTGAAGCAACTTTGAAATACTGCCTTTAAAAAAAAAAGATTTGTATTTTTATTGGAAAGGCAGATTTACAGAGAAAAGATGAGATAGAAGGATCTTCTATTCACTGGTTCCCTTCCCAAATGGCTGCAATGGCCAGAGCTAAGCTGAACTGAAACCAGGAGCCAGGAGTTTATTCCAGGTCTCCCACAGCAGTGCAGAGTCCCAAGGCTTTGAGTCATCTTCTGCTGTTTTCTCAAGCCTCAAGTAGGGAGCTGAAGGGGAAGGAGAGCAGCTAGGACACAAATCAGTGCCCATAAGAGATCTTTGCACTTGCAAGGCTGAGGATTAGCGAATTGAGCCATCATGCCAAGCTCCAAATAGTTTCTCTTGTGTCATGTTTTGAAGATGTGAGAATGAAGATATGACACTTGTCTTCAAAGAACTCACAGTCTAGGGTTCAGTTGTGGTGATATTGGAGTACTATGGGACAGGGTCTCATCTTCGAATTTTTTTTTTTAAATATAGATGAGGAGATATTACTCTTTAGCCTGCCAGATCAATTTTATGGTGATTGTTGCTTTAAGACATAACTAGGAGTTTTTGGTAAAGCTTAGAAATGAATGACTAAATTCATTTGTCATGGAAATCTTAGGTAAATATGGTTTGTTGCAACTGAAACATCACAATAGGATGACTTCTGATCCTTCCTCAGACATGAAGGAACTTCTGTAAAACCTTCTGTTTTTTTGCTTCTCACAAACCACCTCTCAAATAAATAAATGCTTAAAATTCCAAATGAATTAAATCCTTAAACTCAGCAAAGAGAGTAGTACTTCCTTTCACATTTTCTACTCCCCCTCCCCCCAGCCTTTCTTGACCAGCCTACTCAGGAGGCACTGAAATACTCATTATTGCCCAGTTTTCTATCACATTTGTTAATTTTTGAATTTTTCTTTGTTTTGCTAGCAAAAATACAAGGAAGACTATGAAAATAAAGTCAAAGGCAAATGGAGTGAGACACCTTGCTTTGAAATTGCAACTGCCAGAATGAATGCTGATAATATCAGCAATGTGAGTATAAAAGGGTAGCTGATATCCTGGGAGAGGACGCCTTTTCTCTATGGCGTCTAGCTACGGGCTACATCTGTGATAGAATAGAGAGCATGAGAATCCCTCCTCTCAAGGATGGGACAGGAAAGAAATTCCATGAACACTTCCTTTGGAGAAACAGTATTTTAACAGAATTCCTTTTTTTTTCAACCTAAATTGGGGTGGTGTACAACATTGCCAGTAGACTTTCTTATGGGCTGCAAAGTTCAAGGAGCTCGTTTTAATGTACTCTGCCTAGAGAACTAAAACTGCACATTTGTGAAAGTTGATCAATTCAAATTTTCTTTACTTGGAGATATAAGTCTATTTTATTTCTTTTAAGTTTTCTACTCCTTGACATCAAGAGTTCTTCCTTAGTGGCCAAGAAGGACCATTTTAATGATTCTTTGAGCTCTTTTTAATTGCTTCAAATCTCTGTTATGCTATTAATCACATTAGTGGAGGCATCACATTCTTGAACATAATCTGACCTGCTATATCAAGGGGCGGTGATGGCTTCCAATATTTTCTCCAAATGCCCAGTAACCTCCCTGGGAATCCTGGACATAGTTTGTTTCCATTATATTCTTCTGGCATGTTTTGATGTCTTACAGAGGAAATACCAGGAAGATTTTGAAAGCATGAAAGACCAGATCTACTTCATGCAGACTGAAACACCAGAGTATAAAGTGAACAAGCAAGCTGGAGTGGCAGCTAGCAAGGTACAAGGGCATTTTCCTATGCATCTTGGTGATGGTAATATGGATGAATCTCTTGCAACCCTGGCTCTTGTTTGGGGGAGTTACCAAGGTGGATACAAGTGGATTCAGGCATTTGTACAAGAATAGGGTGAAAATAACACAGTGACAAAGGACTTTGAAATTATAATAGGATCACTCAATATTGCTTTTTAAGATCACTCAATATTTAAAAAAAATCTTTGTGACACATGAGCATTAACAAGGTCCAAGTTACATCTTTAATACTTTATAGAATAAATTACATTTTTTGTATCCAAAAGTAAAATGGTTATACTCTTAGCTAGTAGGACTTCTCCCACCAGAAAGACAGTTGGCAGCCTACTGTAAAGACGGGTTCTCCCTTACTCAATGCTGCCATTATACTTATTATTTTCTCACTGACCAGAGTAAGATCTGGTCACAGACGAGACACAAATCATTGGATATCTTCATATGTTCCATAGGTCACTTTAGTAGACACTTGGACTCCTTGAAATTCTGAAGTGAGATGGGTACTGGAGAAAGCATACACTTTGAAACCAAGCACAGGGGTTCTAATGCTCTCCTTGGCTGTGGCAGAGGAAAGAAAAGCAGGATAATCACATCCCAGGTGCAATTCAGTGATATCTTGTAGCAGCAGGAAAGGCAGGGCAGTGTTTAGAAAGGAGAGCCTACCTGATTTATTGAGGGATTGGCTGCTGACAAAGTGTTTTTAATAATAAATTTATTTATTTAACACTCAAGAGTTAGAGAAGGGGAGGCTGAGGGAGGCATAGATGGAAGGAAAAGAGGGAAGAGAGACAGGAAAGAGAATCTTTCATTTGCTAATTTGTTGTCCAGACGGCTCATTCCAGGAGCTGGGCCAAGCTGAAATCAGAAGCTACTTCCAGATCTCTCACACAGGTGTAGGAGACAAAAATATCCGGGTCACCATCATCATCTTTTCTCAGACCATCATCAGGGAGCTGGAAAAAGAAGTGGGGGCAGCTGGGACTTGAACCAGTACCCATGTGTGATTTTGCCATTAGCCAGTATGACAAAATGCTGGCCCCTAAAAAGGGGCTGTTAAGATAGGAGAAAATACTACCAAGTGGCTATACTTATGGGAAAAAAATTGAAAAAGGGACAATTGAGTGATGCTGGAGAAAGGAGGATGAGATGAGGTTCTTGAGTAGAAGAAGGGGATGGGACCTGGTGCTTGAGAAGAGGGGCTGGCTTGTTAAAGATCCAGTAGCTCCTCCAGACAGCAGGGAAGCAGGCTCTGCATCCAAGGGACAGGTAGGGAGATGAGAGCTTGAGAATTCTCTCCTGATTGTTTCCAGTTTTTCAAGGAAATGGATACTTCTCTAAGGCAGGAAAGACAGCCTGCCTTCACTCCCTACAGAGTAGCCCATGCATTGTTTATGTCAGCCTTGGTCCCAGTGTATTTCAGTTGGATATCTCATGCCATGTGAGTCCAAACTCTGACACTATGTTTTGAGGTTCTTTCATGCTGGTAGATTACCTGGGGGTTCCTTGAACATCTATGGTTGTATGTTCTGATTATATGGCCTACACTGAGGCTCCTGGTCAGATCCAGGATTAGTTTCTTGTTCTAGTCCCTGTGGGTACACATACCCCATGGGAGGCTTTTGGATTCCATCTCCTCACGACTTCCCACATCTGGAATTAAAAGACAAATGTGGGAAATAAAAAAGGAAAAGGTGAGATTGCCTCTCTTCATCCGATCCCAACTCCTTTCCCTCCTTCTCCTGTTCATGCGTTAAAGCTGTGTGTGCCCAACAGTGTCACAGGTGAGACACTGCAGGGCAGAACTGGGATGCTTTTGGCTTATTTCAGAAATGTGTTCCCCGAAGCAGCTGGAGGAGAAGCCCTGGGAGCAGCAGGCATTTGGAATGTGAGGTGCTGTCACTGTTTAGGGATCCAGCTCTCTTCCGTGATGTATGTGACACACTCTCTTGGAGGGCAGAGATCACGTGCTGTTCTTTCTTGTATCTGTCCCAGCACCAGGCACAGAATTGACAGCCTATGAATGTTTTTTGAATGAATGGGAAATCCAAGGATCCAAGAAATATATGCAGTTTCTCTGCAGCTGTCTTAAGCTTCTAAGAATATTTTGGTTATAGAATGCCAAGCTGCCACTTTCCTAAAGAGAAGATTGATTTGTAGGACTGTGTCATAATAGCCACAATTGAAGTGAGGACAAAAACAGCCACTAGAGTTATTTTGTTATTTTCTTTCTCTCCAACAGGTGAAATATAAAGAGGACTATGAAAAGAATAAAGGAAAAGCAGACTACAATGTACTTCCTGCCACAGAAAACCCACTGCTCAGGCAGCTGAAGGCAGCAGGAAATGCCCTAAGTGATGTAAGTAGATTCTTGTGAAAAAGTGCTTTCTGCATCTCAGTGGCAAGGGAGATTTTTCTCTATCTGCAATGATTAAATTCACATAAAGTTTTTCAAGGACAGTGAGACTGTGGAGTAGTGGTTGGCTGGGGCTGCCCAACCATAGGAAGTTGTATGCACCTAGGAGCCTCACATGCCTGCAGGCCTGTGGACTTATCCACTGGGGCAAGGAACTCCTCATTTGCTTATGAGATCTCTGAGCCTCTTCTGCCACGTGGGCTCCATATGATCTTGATAAAGACACAAAGAGACTTAAACGGAGGTGTCTACCTCAGACAATAGAACTTTAAAAATGGCTCCCTCACTCTTCAACAACAGTTTCTCCTTGTTGGGAGTTGTTAGAAGCCTGACCAAATATGTTGGATAAATGAGATTGACCTGGCATTAAAAGACTTACAGCTTAGATATGCTAATTTTCTTGAGTTAACCCATGCACAATGTACACGTGAGTTAAAACAACTCATTTTACTCCATAAATGTATGTAGTTGTGTCATTGAAAAAACAAAGGGAAAAAAATCTAATAGTCCATGGCCGTGTGTATTGTGTGAGTGTATGTGTATATAAGAAAGCAAGACAGAATATGTACTGAAATATGTAATCGTTTGAGTTTCTACCTCGTGGTTAGGTTTGTGTTAACCCTTCCCAATACTCAGAGATGAAATGCAGCTCTGTGTGGGTTAGCTGTCTTCTCTCTTTCCCTTGAACTAAGTTAGTCCTGTAGGAAACATGTGCACATGAGTGAGGAGTGGGTGGGCTGATGTGGTAAGTGAGAGTGTAAGTGGGTCTGTCTACAGAGCTTGACTGGGACATCCTGGCCCATTTGCCTGCTCACTGAAGGACGTCTTGATCAAACCAGTCAAAGCTCAGGGCTAGCTGTGCTTAATCAAAACCAAAATATAGATGCATTAACAAAAACTATTTTCTGTGATGTTTTGAAAAGTCCATGTAAAAACTGACAGTGGTGCACTTTATTCAGTCTTTAAAACCAACAAGTATTGTGGCTGTTCACATATACCCTATTTTTTAAAGGCTAATTTCTTGTATCATAAGAGATTGTTCTTTGATACAAGGAAGAAGATTGTGTATGTCTCAAGTTATATTAGCTTTTAATGTTTTAGCATTTATAAAACAACCTAATGTTACTCAAAATTGCTGTGTTTTCTGTGGAGTCATCACTGAGTAAGAGTGAGAGGAGAAGAGAGACACAGAGAATATAGAAATACCCAGCCACCCCTACAACAGCTGGTCAAGGGTAGTATTTTGATTTAATTTCTTGAGAATGTTAAGAACTTGACCTTTACCAGAACCACCAACAGAAGACATTTCGGACTCATGGCATCCTAAGGTTGATAGGTTTTCAGGCAGTTGACAGGTGATTGCTTTTCTTGCTTGGTTTAGTGCTGAGAATATGAGAGTTATAATCAGCACAGGAGAGACAGAGGTTTTTAACAGATTTTTTTTCTTTGACAGAAACTGTACAAGGAAAACTATGAAAAGACAAAGGCAAAGAGCATAAACTACTGTGAGACCCCCAAATTTCAATTGGATACAGTTCTTCAGAATTTCAGCAGTGATGTAAGTAGTTCTACCACCACTCCTTCCGTTAAAAAGATTATCCATCATCGCACCAACTGATAAGTGAAAATGTCTTGTCTTTCAGACTAAATATAAAGATTCCTACCTAAAGAACATTTTGGGACATTATGTAGGCAGCTTTGAGGATCCGTATCATTCACACTGCATGAAAGTCACAGCTCAAAACAGTGATGTAAGTTCTGAGATGATTGCTAGCCCTTTTCGAGACCACATGTTGGAGGCCATGAATCCACGGGTTGTATCCTTACTCTGCTTTCTCCTCATAGAAAAACTACAAGGCAGAGTATGAAGAGGACAGAGGCAAAGGCTTCTTCCCCCAGACGATTACTCAAGAATACGAAGCCATCAAGAAGCTCAATCAGTGTAAAGATGTGAGTCTGAGATGAGCTTTGAATGCAGCTGCTTGCAGAGCCCCTAGAGTCCAGGATGTGTTTGACAGTCTAAAAGTCAGAGTAAGCATGGAAATAGGAAGAAATGGAGGACTACATATGCTGTTTGTCCCTCTTGCCATGCCTGTGTTTCAAGAGCTGGGTCTAACTCATCTTCCCAAAGAAGAGTTGTTGGGGCCCTGAAGATGCAGTCGTGTTTCTCAGGTATATGTAGGAACATCAAGCAAAGAGACTGCAGTCAGGAGAAACCAGTAAATGCTCTATCAGCCATAAGTGTCTTTTGAGAGGAGAGCAGCTTTACTCTTGCTTGGGTTTGATAACTAGTTGTTGTTGTGTGTGTTTTATTTATTTGTTTGTTTCCCCCACAGCACACCTACAAAGTCCATCCAGATAAGACAAAATTCACACAAGTTACTGACTCTCCTGTTATGCTGCAAGCCCAAGTCAATTCTAAACAACTGAGCGATGTAAGTCTCTCTGAATATTTGGGAAATTCAGCTATGAGTGACAGCATTTCATAAACGCTATAGATAGCATCCAGTGACTTGTTTATGGGGGAAAAAAGATGCAAGCTTTAGCAGGCTTAACTTGGATATATTTTACTGACCTAAAATAGTTTCCTGTGTGGTTGCCTTAATTTTTTTTTTTTGCATAGACAACATGTTACAATAAAATGATTCAATAAAGGAAACAGATGTGGCTTAAGATACTGAGAGGAACGTGAGCTCTAGCATAAGGCAAAACTCAATAGAAATTCCAGTTACTGGTGACCAAATTATTTTACCTCTTCATGCCTCATACATACTTCACTTTCATAATTAGTGGCTGTTTGGAAGATGAAGTGAAAGGATATCTGTGTGTAGCATACACCCTGGCTCAGATTTCTCTCTAAGTTTCTGGAAAATGAAGTCTTGGTGACAAGTTTTGCCATTTGAGCTTTAGGCATGGATTTCCAAACATAGGTGCAATTTAAAATAGAATTATTTGTACCCCCAATATATTTGTGATCAGAAATAAAGGTTCTATTCAATGTTTCAGCAATCATGATATACAAAAATGGGATACATAACAGTGTTTATTAGGAAAGTGTCTGCAGTAAATGAATACTGACATGATGAAAATAAAGACAAAATTGTCTATCCCAGGATCCACAGAGCTAAATGAGATACAATGGATGGCAGCATTGTAGGAAAGAGCCAACTGACTCCATCAGGGCCCTACCATAGTGATGAGTATGATCTCAGGAGGGCAGATGTTTGTCAGTTGTCAGAAGTGCAGGTGGCCTATCCAGCTCTGATCTCTCTTTTGATGTGAACAACTTAGTCAGTTACTTTGCAACATGTGCCAACAAAGTGTCTGTTACCATCTTTGAATTCATTGTTGTGCATTTTCTCTTTCTCAGCTAAATTATAAAGCAAAACATGAAACTGAAAAGTTCAAGTGCCATATACCACCAGATATTCCTGCCTTTATCCAACACAGAGTTAATGCCTATAACCTGAGTGATGTAAGTGCTTTCTGCAATGGGCTCTGTGATGCACTAGCAAACTTGGCTTCTACTTTGAAATGGCTCCTTGCATGTCACTGAATATTTCAATGTCAAAGACAGAAACAACAGATAACCTTGTATTGTGTTCCTGTGTCTCTGAATCTACCTTTTGAAATATGTGTAGCCCTTTTCCAAGTGGTTTCACAAATTGGAGAATACATTGTAACCCACCCTCAAAATTCCACTGCCTACAAAGTGCCTAATTGAAGATCTTAATGTTAGATTTTAACTGCATATTCATTTATAATATACTACAATTGATTTTCTTGCAGGACCTTTTATTAAAGTTTAATTTTAATTATTCCCTAGGCCTAGTGTTTCTATTTCTCACAAATGATACTTCTGCAGGCAGGAGAATATGAACTAATGAAACTATAAAATATTTAAGGGTCAGAAGACCATGCAACCTTTCATTTTCTTAACTTAATTTTACAAGAAAGTCAAATTGCCTTGAGGGATTAGATGTCCCAATTTCTTAAATTTTATAAATGACTAATACGAGTTCAGTATCCGTTAGCATTGTAATAGTTCATAATGTAACCTTTGAGAGGGACTTAGAGATTAAATGAAATGATGCTTTTCAATTATAAGAAATGAGATTCTTAACTATAAAATGTTTGTACTGCTCTAAAAACATTCTGTGTTGGGAATCAAATATCAGGACGTTAGCAAGCTTAATTTGACAGTAGATTGTAAAAGAGAGAAGTCTGATTTTATGAAACTAAAAGTTCCAATTTGAGCAGCTTTGTCTACAATGTGATTAAAAGGCCCATTTATTTTGTATTAAGACAAGGTAGTTATTCCTGAGCCTGAAATGTGATAACATGGCGATCATGTTTGCCAATCTTTCTTGCAATTTCCCTGTCCAGAATGTTTATAAACATGACTGGGAGAAGAGCAAAGCTAAGAAGTTTGACATTAAAGTGGACGCCATTCCCCTGCTGGCAGCCAAAGCCAACAGCAGGAACGCCAGTGATGTGAGTATGGCTTGCAGGTGTGGGCAGGGCAGCCTCAGGGGGCATTTCCTGCTGAGGAGCTGGCAATGTGGCATTGTGCTGTCCTTGCAGGTGATGTACAAGAAGGACTATGAGAAGAACAAAGGGAAGATGATCGGAGCCCTCAGCATTAACGATGACCCGAAGATGCTACACTCGCTGAAGACAGCCAAAAACCAGAGTGACGTGAGTGTCTGTGACTCATCCTTATCTGCAGATTTGGCCATGTTTACTCTTAACCACCATTGATGTAAAACCAACTGCAATCTGAGTCCACCACAAATTCAATGAAAGCCAGGTGATACAGGATCCACCCTGTCATCCCTACCAATCTTCTGCACTTTCAGTAGACAGCAACGTCCATTCTTCTCCTTGGTGTTCCTGTTTAAGTAGGAAGAGAAACATCTTTGTGATGCAACTTTCTTCGCTGTTTTCCTTAGAAATAGGTTCAATATTTTCAGTGTTTATATCATTTTATACAATCTCTTTTACATCGATATATGTGTATACATATATATAGGGAGAAAATCAAACACAAAGTAGGTAAAACTAGGTAACACATAAGATCAAAAGTGAAAAAATTTTGTTTTGAATGTTTTAAATACTGAACTTACTTTAAAAACTTTAAAATATAAAACATTTTACTAAAATATTTAAATTGTTTACTTTAAAATATTTACTAAAAAATGTTGATCATAGTTGCTTTTCTAATCCCTATGAGAGAGGAAATATTCTCCATTACTCTGTAGCAGGATAATATCTGTTATAATCATTCCTATGTTTGTTGAATATTTATTTCTGTTCATGAGTTTAAAAAGGATATCAGATATACATGCAATAAAACAAATTATGTCCATAGGTTATTATTATTCTGAGGTTTAGTGGTAAAAGCCAGTCTCCAGAGATACTGTGTGTTTTCTCCACATACTGAAATGAACATTTCTGTAGGATTGTGCCTTGGCATCAAAGGTCCACTTTTTACCTGATTTTGCACAAAATTAATAAATTCATTTCCATCAAAGACAAGAAGATAAATTCTTTTAAGACAAAAAAACATGCATTAATAGCAGCACTGATGTACTTTGATTTACTGAGAGATGTGAGCACAAGTAACATAACCATATTTATACAGTCAGCAGCCAAGATTATATAAGATAGGAGCCTGAACCACATCCTGCCATTTTTCTGCTGGGTGGAAAATAGATACTGAGTAAATAGACTGTACCCCTTTGGTTAATGTAAAACAACAGTGCTGAAATTTCATGGGAAATGGAATGAAAAAATTTATTTTGGTGCAAAATTTTTGAAATTCATGCATAGATTTTCACAATATGAATATTCCATGGATTTCTTGAGGAATTTCTCAAAAAGCATGCCTTTTATTCCATAAGATACATTTTTTCTTACTTTCTTTCAATTTTTCTTTTGGCAGAGGTTATACAAGGAAAACTATGAGAAGACGAAGGCAAAGAGCATGAACTATTGTGAAACCCCAAAATACCAACTCGATACTCAGCTGAAGAACTTCAGCGAGGTTTGAAACCAGGGCTACTTCTGGGGCTGGAGAGCCTGCTTTCTGCATGACGAATAGTTGTTAACTTGAATTTTGTGCGTCTTCTTTTTCAGGCTAAATATAAAGACTTATATTTAAAGAATATTTTGGGACATTATGTAGGCAGCTTTGAGGACCCATATCATACACACTGCATGAAAGTTGCAGCTCAGAACAGTGACGTAAGTTTGAAGACAAAATATTCATGCCTCACATGTCTTACATGTTTGGGAGCATTACCAATTATGGTCTATTTTTGTTCTTCTATATCATAGAAAAGTTACAAGGCAGAATATGAAGAAGATAAGGGAAAATGCTATTTCCCTCAGACGATAACACAAGAATATGAAGCAATCAAGAAGCTAGACCAATGTAAAGATGTAAGTCAGTGACCCTTAATTCTTGATACTGGGCTTGGGGTTCTTGGGACACCTAGTGTTAAATTTATAGTAATTTAAATGCTAACATCTACTGGTTAGCAGGAGATATTTTAATTTAGGATTTTGTATTTTATTAGAATTAGGAAACACTGGCATTTATGTAGAGGCCTATTTGTTACTAGATAATTGCGAGTTCACAAATATTTCATTTAGTTCATATTCAAATTCAGGGCAACATGAAGAAAACAGGTTTGTAAAAGATTAATGTTCTTCATTCAACAAATATATGCCAAGGACTAGCACATGCCTGACACTGTCCTTGGTGCTGAAAAAAGGGTAGCAAAGAAGATAGGCTGTTGCTGCCTCTATTTGGGGTAAAGGAAGATAGCACAGAAACAGAAGATGCGAGGCAGTGGTAAGAAAAGCGTTGTAGGATGATAATATAAAATTAACACTGAATGATGTTCAAGAGAGTGATTAGATGGCATCTTAGATTGATCAAGGAAGGCCTGAAATAGGAGTGTCCAGCCAAGGCAAGTGATGGCAAGAGCATCAGAAAGAACAGTCTGAGCAGAATAAGCTTGCTGTTAAAGAAATTGAAAGGAAGAAAGGACTGGACCATGTGGGGATGGGTAAGACTAGTAACAAGTGGAAGATTAGGACATACAGGAAGGGATAGATTCTGTAGAACTCATAAGTCTAGTTTAGAATGAATACCAAGTACAGGATTTGAGTAAAGAAAGAATAAAACAGGTGCTGAGTTGCTGCAGGAAGACCAGAAATAACTTTAGAAGACAGAGGAAGAGGAGGGAGGAGGAAGGATGGAGAGGAAATGTAAACATATCAGCCAAGTTTTCAGGAACAGAAGAAACTATTTTTGATAGAACTTTTTATAAGGTAAAGCATATGGCAAATGTATGAATGAGAATGTAAACATACATTATGAAAATTGATTAAAGAATATTTATTTTCCAGCATACCTACAAAGTTCATCCAGATAAGACCAAATTCACAGCAGTCACTGATACTCCGGTACTATTGCAAGCCCAGCTCAACACAAAGCAGCTTAGTGATGTAAGTGCCTTGATATATACAAGTGTGAGTGACCCTGAGGACTTGGCTTGCTTAAGTGTGGCATGTGCTCTTACTCTTCATGGACTTGTTATCTCAATCATGCTATTTTTCAAGTTGTATTTTTATAAATCTGTGAGATTGAATTGCAAGCTGAGAAAAGTGAAGATAGAAAACAATAAATATTAAAATTCACTAATCATTAGTGACAATTTCTTAGTCATTACCAACTGTCATATTATACTACAGTTTCCTGCCAGTTTAAATAAACAGTGACACAAAAACCATTCATTTGACTAGGAAACTGGATGAACCTAACATTCTGTTTTCTAATAAGTGCCTAGTTGGTGCTGATGCTGTGATTTTTAACAGTAAGGTGCTAGCACATAAGTTCTAAAGAGTAGCATACTATTTTCAAAATAGCAAAAAGAAAGATACAGTTGGTCCTTCTATAAAACCTGTTTTGGTGATATGGATTACTTGACATGCAGTTAGTAAAGAGAATGGTGGCATTTAACCTAGAAGTGATATCAGTTCATAGACAATTTTTCTTAGTATGCTCAGATTATGTGTGCCAAAGAATGAAGTAGAGTCAAGCCTTGTGGCATAGCAACTTAAGCCACTACTTGGCATACCTGTCTCCTGTATCAAAGTGCCTGGGGTCAAGTTCCAACTCTGCTTCCTATCCAGCTTCATACTAAGGCATCAAGGAGGCCCCATTTGATGACTCAAGTATTTGCAGCAGGATTTGGATGGAGTCATTAGCTCCTCTCTGTGGCCAAGCCCAGACCCAGCTGTTGGAGTCATTCCACTCTGCCATTCAAATAACATCAGTAAACTTGAAATAAAGAACAGCTTATTACTAACAGCACTGACTTGGCAAGCTGCTGAGGAAGGACAGTGCTGGAGATGCTACCAGGCACCAACAAACTTGTTGGCGTGCTTTAAACCACAGCAGGTTCTGTCCTGGAGGAGCTTAGTAACAGTTCTTCTCAATCTTAATCTGTTTTGCCTGGAGCTCCAAAACTCAGCAGCCCTGTTCTTCCTTCTGGCTCCCTTCCTCACACTGCACACCACCTTTATAAAATTTCAAAGTCCTTTGTTTAAGAAGATTTTACATAACTTTTTTTAAAACAGTGCTGACATTTTATTTGGAATTGTGATTATTTTTGTAAGTGCTCTGACTGAAGAATTTCATGAAGTTTCAGGTTTTCTTGTCCTCCACAGATACAGCAGTATAAATCAGATTCATTTTTCTCCTAGGTTTGAAGGAAGTTTAAGAAGTTCATGGAAATGAGTAATATCTTTAATTCAATTTTCCATAACTTTTGAAATGTTCTCATACACCATAATAGCAACCACAAAATGACAATTCATAGTCCCTTGATGAGGAGATTAGGTTTCAGAACCAAAGGGAGACTTGATGAACTCCTTCAAAAATTTTCTTGAAGCCCTACGTAAGTTCAGTGGAGTTCCTGCCCCAAATTTCTGGATGTTTTCTCTCTTGTTTTCCAGCTGAATTACAAAGCAAAACACAAAGATGAGAAGTTCAAGTGCAGTGTCCCAGCGGATGCTCCAGAGTTTATCCAACACAGAGTGAATGCCTATAACCTGAGTGATGTAAGTACTAAAGGCAAGAAACCTACTTTGGGTGCACACTTAGAGAGCGAAGGTGATAAAATAGCATTTAAAAAGACTGGATAGGGAATTGTACAATTAATCAACTGCTGAAGTTGTAACCAGAGTGTAAATGGAGATTTTAAAGCCTGAATGCTCTTCTGATTATTATTTAGCTACAAAATCCATTTTCACTGTACTTAGTACCTTCAGAAGCATTCTATTTTTCCCCTCTGCTGAGACAGTTTTATAAAACTTCACCAGCTAAATATCAGAGTTTGCCTCCAAGTGATTGTTATTTTAACGTCGTGATAGCAGAATCTTAATAAATATCACAGAACTTTAAAAATATATTTTATACTTAATGATAGCGAGAAACTGATATCAAAGATTACACTTATATTTGGTAAACATGGTGTTTATTAATAAAATAAGTCTATATACACAAATTTTTATCTGCTATTTTTAGTTTTTACTGAATTTATCTGATGTTTTTGTACCTTTTTGTAAAAATTTCCCTGTCCAGAATGTTTATAAACATGACTGGGAGAAGAGCAAAGCTAAGAAGTTTGACATTAAAGTGGACGCCATTCCCCTGCTGGCAGCCAAAGCCAACAGCAGGAACGCCAGTGATGTGAGTATGGCTTGCAGGTGTGGGCAGGGCAGCCTCAGGGGGCATTTCCTGCTGAGGAGCTGGCAATGTGGCATTGTGCTGTCCTTGCAGGTGATGTACAAGAAGGACTATGAGAAGAGCAAAGGGAAGATGATCGGAGCCCTCAGCATTAACGATGACCCGAAGATGCTACACTCGCTGAAGGCAGCCAAAAACCAGAGTGACGTGAGTGTCTTAGTGAACCTGTCTTATTTTCAGGAGACTGCCATAGAGAAGCTGTGTGCAACAGAGTTTCATACCCATGAGCTCTCTCACGCACCACTGATGGCTGGGGAAAACTTTAGAAGCAAAATCAGTTCCTAGATTCTTGCACCTCTCACATTTGAGGAGATGAAGCACTGATCTGTACTTAACACTCATGTTTTTTACTTTGAAAATGCAAAAGTGGATATTAATAAAATATTGATTGCAGTTCTGAAAACCTCTTGGAAGGTAGCTATGCTTAATTTCATAACACCAATGCTTAAAACCTGCTTGAAGATTCCATTAGATGTTTCCATGTTTCCTCCACTTGAAAAATAGTAAAATGATTTAAAAACTATTCATATCTTGGAAGAAGGTCATGAGCCACATAAAATATCTTAGTATATCTGTTATTGGCCTTTATTGATTTTATCCCTTAGTATTGGCCCTGGTCCAGAAAAATACTACATTGTTTGTTGTTCATAAGCAATCTGAACCCTTGATATAAGGGTTCATGATAAAAGGTGTGGACCAACTATCTTAAAAACTGGACTTTAAAGATTCCGTAAATCCATGAATTGGCTTCTCTGTGGGCCATCCATCATCTTCCATTAGCATTCATACTCTATGATGATCAGCATCTATCATTGCACATTATATGAAGATACTTCAAAAAGTTCATAGAAATGGTGTTAAGTTTTTTTTTAATCCTTGCAGAAATTTCAACAAGCAATTTTAAGAATTTTTTTGAAGATTCATTGTATTGGTTGTTTGAGATACAAGAGGGAGCATGGAGGATTTAATTACATGTTCATATGATCTGTAGTATCTTTTAAAATTTTATTTTGCATTTACTATGTAGTTTTATAGCACTTTAAAACATCCAGTTCCATATTTTTGTTTAATCACTTCACAGTTATGTTAGTATACAGGCCCACACTTAATATCTTGCTTCCTAGTCCATCTCTCTTCACAAGAAAGTTACACTTTCTGTTGAGAGTATTCATATATTTATCATTCTATTCCTTTTTAAAGAGTTACATTATTTTATTGGAAAGTCAGAAATACAGAAGAGAAGAGACAGACAAGAACTTCCATCCACTGATTCACTCCCCAAGTGGCCACAACAGCCAGAACTGAGCCAATCTGAAGCCAGGAGCCTGCAGCCTCCTCCAGGTCTCCCATGTGGGTGCGAGGTCCCAAGGCTTTGAGCTGTCCTTGACTGTTTCCCAGGCCAGAAACAGGGAGCTGGATGGGAAGCAGGGCTGTCAGGATTAGAACTTGCATCCATATGGGATCCAGACACATGCAAGATGAGGACTTTAGCCACAAGGCTACCGTGCTGCGTCCTAAAGTATATCTTTGATCCTGTCACTGAACACTAGGCACATCAAAACACTAGGCACATAATCAATAAATATCTATTAGTTGATTGATCTTTTTACAAGCCAAATGAGGTAGGCAAGGAGTCATTCTCAAATTATATCAAAGATAGGTTTAAACCACAGGTATAAAACATGCAGAAGCTTCAAAACATATCTTTAAAGCAATCTAAATCTTTAATAATATTTTGTATTGTCTGATAATGAGTGAGTTGGTGTGAACATAAAGCAAGAGAGTCAAGGCAATTTAGTTAAAAACATCTCCACACACAGCAGCTATTGTTTTGACTGTCTCATCAGTTTATCTCCTATAAAGGCAAATGATTTTTAAATTGTCTTACACAGCCCAAGAAAGCCATTACATTTAATTTTTGCAAAACCAGTTCTAGATTTTACAGTGAAGTGATAAATTTGTCCAGAGAGAATAATTGTTCACAAAACGTGAGAAGGAAGATCAAGTTTCCTAAGAAGGCTGAAAGGGCACATCATTTGCAACAGGAGCTACTAAAGAAGACTTGTAAACCATGATAGTGCTTGCTCTCTTGGGTCATTGTCTTTTCTTTTAATAAGAAATATTAATAAGAGGAGATTTTATACCTTCCATAGATACAGATCCAAGAAGACAACTCCACTTCTCTCACTTTCCAGTTCCTCTCCCTCCCTCCCTCCCTCCCTCCCTCCCTCCTTCCCTTTCTTCCTTCCTTCCTCACCTCTATCAGTTTTTGCTCAGGGTCCCTACTTTTTGTTTTACCTTTTTTATTCATTAGAGTATAAAGAATGAATTTTACAGATACAATTTCAAGAGCACACTGATATTTCCTCCCTCCTCTTCCTTCCTTTTTTATTCATTTATTTTATTTTTTGTTGTAACATGCTTCCAGGTTTTATCTTATAGCCACAGGCTGAATGCTCCTCTAAACAGAGTTGTACACGTAAAAGAGGTGCATCACTGTTCCTCCGGGGTGTAGACAAGGTTACAGATAACCGCTGAAACACATGTCAGTGTAGTTCAATATAAAGTTTCTGTTTATCCTCTACTAGCTAGAGCTAATGAAAAAACATGTTTTGTTTTGGGTCTGACTGACTTCACTAAGCACAGCGATCTCTAGTTGCATCCATTTTGTTGCAAAAGGCAGGATTTCATTGTTTCCGTGAAATGTATCACAGTTGCTTTATCCAGCCATCAGTTGATGGCCATCTGGATAGAGGGTCACTGTCTTTAATATTTGTGCAGAGAGTGATAGGATTGATATGGTATATCTTTGAAGCGGTGCATCAGAATTTTTCTGTTAAGATAACTGGTGAAGTTGGGAATTTGATCTAATTAGAACCTCTTCTAACCCTTGCAGATCAGCCAAGCACATGGCCTCCTGCGGCTAGGCAGGCCATTTGCTTTATGAGAATATTGTCCATTAGGGCCACAGTTACTTTAATGGCTAATTTCACACACTTTTCTCCTTTGTGGTCTTTTAACTGCTGTAATCTGAGCTTCTTTTAAATTGTTACCAAAATTAAACTTGGTATGAAGAAAACCTTTGCCATTCTCAGTGGGGTTTTCCTTCTGTTGGGAAGGCAGTAAGTTGGAAAACCAGCTACTATCTACTTAAAACTGACTCTGGAGAGCCATCATTTATGAAATTCTAGCTATGAGATGAAATGATTGCCATGTGATTTTTTTTTTTCATTAGTGGAAGAGTTTACTGGAAAACTCTTCAAAGTTTGGGTTGTATTAACAGAAATAATGCCTGTTAATGGTCCCTGAGAAACACTGTTTTATAATAAAATAATTCCTGGCTGAAGCAGAAACGATGGCCCATTGCAGATGTCCATTTGGCTTTTGAGAGCTGCTCTTTGAGCAAAAAGAGATTTGGGAATCTCTTGACCCTATACAATTTTCTGGGGAGAATTTCAACAATGCATGATAAATGAACAAATTTGGAAACAGAATAACTGCTCAGATGTTTGCATCTGTTTCTCCAACTTGTATTTATTGCTTATGGAGATCTCTGATTCCAGCAATCACTGAGGGATATTGATAACAAATGATAATTTTTTTCATCCACAGCGTGAATATCGTAAAGACTATGAGAAATCCAAAACCATCTATACAGCCCCTCTTGATATGCTCCAAGTCACTCAAGCTAAGAAATCTCAGGCAATTGCCAGTGATGTGGACTATAAGCATGTCCTACACAATTATAGCTACCCACCTGACAGCATCAATGTGGACCTGGCCAAGAAGGCCTACGCACTGCAGAGTGATGTGAGTAACTAAATTTTCTGTTGTGTTTTGGAGGTAGCCACTGAGAAGGGTGGGTGATAATTTCGAGTTTCTCAGTGGTGGTTTCTGCACTGTCCTATGTCTGTAAGCAGGTGGTACTGGGTATATTATTTCAGGACCCTAGAGGAGCATGCCCTCCAATGTTATGAGACCAGGGGCTGGCCTGCACCCTAGGATTGTTTTGCTTTGGAAAGTTACCATCATTGCTCAGTCTAGAATCTCTGTAAAACTCAGATAAGATGAAAGAATTATTGCAAGGATTTAAATACATGCAAAATACTTAGCATGGTGCCAGGTGCTGATGAATTCTCAATAAACATTTACTATTATTATCATTATCACTGCCAGTCTTGTCAATAGCTTTACAGAGATTTCTATTTGATATGAAAAGGAAAATATCATCTACAGCATAGATTTTTGTAACTGAGGTTAGGCTGAGCCATACAGTTGAATATTTTATACTAAAAATACTTTTATACTAAAAAAAAGGTAGTAAAATGCGCTACCATAAATTTAGCATCTTTATCTTTTTTAAAAGATTCATTTATTTACTTGAAAGGCAGAGTTATAGAGAATGGGAAAAGAGAGATCTTCCAGCTGTTAGATTACTTGACGAATGACTGGAGCTGGGCTGGTCAGGAACCAGGAGCTTTTTCTGGATCTCCTCTGTGGGTGCAGTTGTTTTCCCAGGCACATTAGCTGAAAGCAGGATGAAAAGTGGGGAGCTGAAATTCAAACCAGCACCATATGGGCTGCCAACACAGCAGTAATGGAATCTGCTACACCATAGTGCTGCCCTGATCTTTATCAATTTTAACTGTATAGTTTAGTTATATCAAATATATTCATATCATTGTGCAACCAATTTAAAAATTTTTTTCATCTTGCAAAACTGAGTCTCTATATTCATTAAGTGATGGCATCCATTTCCTCTTCACCCTAGTGTGGAAGCTTGCCACTCTTTGTTTGGATAATTGTGCTAGGTAGCTCACATATGTGGAATCACACATAGTATTTGTCCATTTAACGCTGTCCTTTTGGGGGTCAGCACAATGGCTCAACTGGCTAACTCTCCACCTCCAAGCAGAGGCATCCTATATGGGTGCCAGTTTGTGTCTCATCTGCTCCATGTTCCATCCAGCTCCTTGCTTGTGGCCTAGGAAAGCAATGATGCAAAATGTTGGGAACCTGCACCTGAATGGGAGAGCTGGAGGAAGCTTCTGGCTCCTAGCTTTAGATCAACTCAGTTCTGGCCTTTGCAGCTATTGGAATGTAAGCCAGCAGGTGAAGATTTTTCCTTCTATATCTCCTTCTCTCTGTAAATCTGCCTTTCCAATGGAAATAAACATTTTTTTTAAAGACTGTCATTTTCACTTAGTATGTCTTCAAGAGTTGTTCCTGTGGTAGCACATGTCAGACTTACCTTTTCAGGGCTGAATAATATCCCATTGTATGCATATACCGCATTTTGCTTATCCATTCATTTGTTTGGAAGCATTTGGATTGCTTCTGCATTTTAGTTATTGTGACTAATGCTGTTACCAACATGTGCCTCTGACTATCTCTTCAAAAACTGTTTTTCAGTTTGTTTATCCCAGTTGTTGAGTTGTTGGATTATGTAGGCATTCTAGTTTAATTTTTTTAGAAGTCACTCTACTTTCTGACACCCAAGTTGCATGGTTTTACTCTCCCCACTAATAATTCTTTACATATTGTTATATTATTGTGATTCGTTGAATTTTGTTGTGTTTCTTTATCCTGAAGAGATTGAAAGCTTCACAAGGTGATGACATATGCTTTGTTAAATTTTCAATCCTAATAAAAGATTCACCTTAATGAACAACAGAATGAATCTGGAAATTAAATTCCAGATACAGGCTATGGCAAGATAATAGAATTAGCTCATTATCTTACTAGTGTTACATAACTAATCCCCAAACAATAATTCAAAATAATAATTGCTCTCTTTGGTTAATTAATAATACATGCAACAACTTAAAATGTTAAATCAACTAGCAGAGAAACATATTCCTAAATTGACCAGTGCCCAGGAAGATCAATGTATGTGAACATTTAGCACAAATAAGGACTATCAAATCTCATTAGAAAATGAACAAAACTATCAAAGCAGCCATAGTCCTAATTTGACAATAGGAATATAACACTTAAAGAACCAGAGAATAATCATCTCATGTTCCATTATCTCAATATAAATATTTCACTTATTTGCAATCCAATATTGAATGTCTTTTTCCAGATTGAAACTAGGCTTCTACATATTTCCATTAAATTGGCAGTAGGGTTAAAATGGAACATATGCCAGTTAAAAACACAAACTTTGGAGTTGTTAGAATCTCTCACTAAAGAAATACTTAAAATAAACTTCATGTGTGGAGGAAGGAAGCCGGTCAGAAGTCTTAAAATTACTTTAAGTAGAAGATAAATATTATGTAATATGGGTGATGCTGAGCCAAGTAATATAATTTTTCTCCTGGTGCTGCAGGTGGAGTACAAAGCTGACTACAACAGCTGGATGAAAGGCTGTGGCTGGGTCCCTTTTGGGTCCTTAGAAATGGAAAAGGCAAAGCGAGCTTCAGACATCCTTAACGAGGTAAAGCTGCTGGGTGTGTAGGACAGAGATTTGCATGTAGGTCGTGCTTAGATCTCCTCACAGTATGACAAGTGCCTCTCTTACTGTTTCATACTGTGATCGTTGTTGCTGAGGGAAAAAGCTAACCATAGGCATGAATTAACTGGGCAGAATCACTTAAGCTAATCCTTCATGCTACAAACATTTCTAACAGCTCTCAAGGTACAATTGGCATACCATAGAATTCATATATGTGAAATGTACACTTCATACATTTCAGTTAATTCACATAATTGTGCAGTCACCACAACTGATTTATTAAATGCTTTCAGGAATTCAAGGTGTTCTCTCCTTATAGGCCTGCTCCCATGTTGAATTCCAGGCTCTCACTGATCTGCTTTCTAAGTTTTTGCCTTTTCCTAGGAATTCCTTCTGTATGTTATTTGCTTCAGTTTGTGTGTTTTTGAGCATCTTCAACATTTCTCTGTGTGCTTGTAGTTCATTCCTTTCTATTCCTGTGTATAAATAAGTCAGATTTTGATTATATTGCTAACAATAGATAAGCAAATTTTTCCAATTTTTGGGTGGTTATGAATGACACAACTGTTAGGAGAAGCTTGTTTGGAGAACTTTGTCAAATTCTAATGATTTTAATGTAGCCTGTAACTAATTATTCAGCCTCAGAAAAAGAATGATGTTGAAGTCCAGAAAGCAGCAAGTATCATCAGCCTCTGTCATCAGCTGATGTTTGTCCCTGTTGTGGGTGACTGCATTGTCAAGAAGGGTACACATCGTCAAGGGAAGAGACAGGGGAGGCTGTCTTCCGCCTTGACTCTTGCTTAGTGAATTTGCTCTTATTTTTTGGAGGGGGGCAAAATCCACTTCCTCAGATCTTTCAGGAAAGGTCCTTGTGGTAGTTTTCAGAAGTCTGATGCTGAAAACCCAATATTACTATATATACAGGGGTGGCGTGTATAATACACACAAAACAAGAGGGTTGGGAAACTTGTAAGAGAAGAATATAAGAGTAAGCATAGCTTAAAAGAAAGTGTAGCTAGAAGTTGTGAGCTTCTCATGGGACACAACCCCCAAATCACCTGTCTTGTGCCTCTTTAGCACTTCAGTGATAATCTGTGTTGACTTGCCACCTTAAGGCCTGTGAGCAGACGTCGTCAGTGTCCTCTTGATAACCCTAGCTTTTGCCTTAGGGGCTTTAATTGCTGACAAAGTGATGTGAGAAAAAGACATTCCTGAGAATGTGCTGGTGTCCAGCAAAGACAGCCCAATCTCCCCTATCAGCTTTCTGTTAATCCCTTAGTGATCCCGTGTGCTATTTCTGGATTTAAGAAGATAGTTGAAGTCTGGCTCCTGAGCTTCTATTGATTTGTATTGCTCCAAACCATGCAAAGTTAATCTGATTTAAAAAAAAAAACACTTTTATTGGAAAGTTAGCTACACAGAGAAGAGGAGAGACAGACAAGAAGATCTTCCATTCACTGATTCACTCCCCAAGTGGCCACAACAGCCAGAACTGAGCCAATCTGAAGCCAGGAGCCTGCAGCCTCCTCCAGGTTTCCCATGTGGGTGCAAGGTCCCAAGGCTTTGAGCTGTCCTTGACTGTTTCCCAGGCCAGAAGCAGGGAGCTGGATGGGAAGCAGGGCTGTCAGGATTAGAACTTGCACCCATATGGGATCCAGACACATGCAAGATGAGGACTTTAGCCACAAGGCTACCGTGCTGGGTCCAGTTAAACTGGTTTTAAAAACACCTGCCTTGCATTTGCTTCTTTCAGACCCATTAAATATCTGGTCATTTGTGTTTTATCAGCAAAAATTTGCCTGTCTCTCTGAAATGAAATCAATGATTTTGACATACTAGCCTTCTGCCAAAAAAAAAAGCAACCTGGTTTTGTTTTTGATTCCCCAAACAGAAAAAATATCGCCAACATCCAGACACTCTAAAGTTTACTTCAATTGAAGATGCTCCAATTACAGTGCAATCCAAGATTAACCAGGCCCAGAGGAGTGATGTAAGTGTTAATCCTGTCGATGTTTTAGTAAATGCTTACTAACTGCATTACATTTGTATTTCAAATGTACTGGTCACCCGCAGCTGCCGTGCAGCCTGAATAACCTCAACTACCAGAGGCACTGCATCATCCCGATGCATACACAATTATTCATGACTTTAGAATTTTATGTACATTGTGCTTGCCTCTCCTTTGGGCCACTTGAAGTTACTTTCTAAAGAGAAGGTTTCTCTGAGTGAGAAGGATGACTACATCTCTATTGCTTGGAAAGACCAGAAAGAATGAATAGCAAGAGGTACTGTATCAAATGAGTTATCTAGTTAACATTGAAGTTAGATGTAAAACAAATGTCAAATGTAGTCAAAACATTCTCCAAGTCCCTTAGTTCTTTACAAAATGTAATAAAGGTGGTTGATGGATTCAGCTTGGTTATTGTCCCTGTGCTCAGGCAGATGTGTGTAGCTTAACCTGTTCATCAGTTGGCCTTTGTGAGCCAGTTTGCACCAGGTGCCCTGACTTGGTTCCAGTGCTTCTTGGTGCACATACCCAGGGGTTTTCATTAAATTGATCCAGTACTAACACAAGACTCTATACAACTGTCTTGAATGCCTACAGATATTTGTGGATGAATATGAGGATAGCATAGGTGATGTCTTTTCTAAAGCCACCTCTGTGTAGTATGACTTGGTCTGAAATTATTTCCCTGTGTCATTAAATGTTTCTCTGATTGATTGATTTGTTAATATGTTCTCAACCCCTTCCAGATCGCTTACAAAGCCAAAGGGGAGGAAATCCTGCACAAGTACAGCCTGCCAGCAGACCTGCCGCAGTTCATTCAGGCTAAAGTCAATGCCTACAACATCAGTGAGGTATGGATGTGTGCTGAGACGTGGATATGCCTGTTCAGCCTTTACCAGCATGGTCTCTCAGCTATAGTCCCATGATATTCTTCTTTCAGAATATGTACAAGGCAGACTTGAAGGACTTAAGCAAGAAGGGGTATGACCTGAGGACCGACGCAATTCCCATCAAAGCTGCCAAAGCTGCCAGGCAGGCAGCGAGTGATGTAAGTCCAGCCATGGTATCACACCGGGAGATTAGGAAACATGACACAGTGGCCTTGGGGTTTGATTGATGGCCCCAAAATTTCCACATCTGCTAAAATCCCCTACTGGAAGCCACTCTGGTTGTGAACTATTTAAAAATGAAAGTTTCCTAAACAAATCGGGCTTTTCCCTGGGAAATAATTTCTACAAAGGCTCTTCAAATAGTTTGTGGAAAACAGAATTAAAATAACTTGTGGTACAAAAAAAAAATCTAAATCTAGGTATATAGTCTTTTTTTCAGGTTACATGAACCTGTGATGATTCCTCATACAATCTTTCTTTCATCGATGATTTCTACACCCCTGAACTTACAATTATCATCTGTAATGCTATTTATCTATATTGCTAGGTTTCAAAAAGTCACATTACATTACTTATGAAAATAAAGAAATGACTTGCTATTTAAGTCATGACAGTCTCCTAATGGTTAAAATTCTATCCCCAAGCTTTCTGAATCTGTAAGGTTTTCCTTTTTCTTAATTTCCCTAATTACCTCCACTGATAAAACTTCATAGCCTCTGATAGTCACTAGTTTCCATTGAAGTTAGCAGTTCATTTTGTACTCTATTTTACTTTCACTCAAATGTGCCACGATGTCACTTTGCTCTTTGAGATGTGGATAGAACAGGCTTGAACTCCCACTTGTCCTAAAGGAAGTGGGACCCCACCACTACCTCTGACAAGATGTCTAGCTTCTGTTTCCTGATCACCTCCAGCTCCTGGTTTGTGTACAGTCATTTTGTCTGAGCTCTCCTCAACTTTTTTTTTTTTTTTTACTGGTTTACTTCTTTCTGCTCTGCCCAACTCCAAAGTCAAACATAGCCCCTTCTGATTTTCCAGAAAATTCCAGGCAACACTTTGCTCATGGTCTGAAATGAAGTCTGTATTGCATGACATTGAAGAGCGCTCATCCTCATCCTGAAGAGCCTTGCCTCTCTGGCTTTCCCACGGATACCCTTCCTTAGCGGGTGCTCTCCCTTAGCCACCTGTCAGCTGACCTTCCACAGCCCTTTTCTCACATCAGCTTCTGATTAACAGGAACCTCTCCTGGTCTTGCTAAGAAAGGTCAACCCCCCTTATTTTATTACACAGAGCCAATTATTGTTTACCTATTACTGGTTCTGGGTGCCCCTTGGATACCCAGTTCTAATACTGGCAAAATTCTGTGACTGATCAAACAAATAACCATTGCTTTTAGGCTCTTATAGAGATTGTGACACATTTCGATTTTCTCCCCAACATTGTTAGATGTAAAGAACCAGTATGGGGATTTATGTTGTCATTGATACAAATTACGCTAATGTTTCCATCTTAAGTTTTCTTAGGTAGGCAGAAACAGCTATAGACAATCTAATTGGGTCCAAACAGCATTTTATCTTACCAGGTTACATTTTTGCATGCAGTTTATGCAGCATGCAGTTTTCATTGCAGCATACAGTTGCCTTTTCTTCTTATTCTGCCTCCAAAGATTCACTTAAGCATAGGAATTATTTTTATTCGCATCTGTACAGAGCAAGCACAGGAACATCCTCCTGTCATGATTCCCTAGACAATGTATCTCACAGCTACTTGGATAGCATTTACATTGTAGGAGGTATTGCAAGAAATCTACACATGGTTTTAAAGTACATGGGAGGACCACATAGGTTGTTTGTACATACTACACCGCTTTATGTAATAGACACGAGCATTCATAGATTTTGATTCCTGGGAAGGTCCTGAAAGTGATTGTCCTTAAATATATGAAGGGCAACTGTATTTGCAGGTGAATAACTGGCTATTGAAGTATAGAAATTCTGCCACACTCAATTACTTCAACTGTGGCCCCCATTTCAGTAAAATCTTCAGAAGTACCATTTTAAAAGATGTCCACCTTTGTTTCCAATAGGTTCAGTACAAAAAAGATTATGAAAAAGCTAAAGGCAAAATGGTTGGCTTCCAAAGTCTTCAGGATGATCCTAAGCTGGTTCATTACATGAATGTGGCCAAGATACAATCAGACCGGGAATACAAAAAAGACTATGAGAAGACAAAGACCAAATACAATACACCCCATGATATGTTCAATGTGGTGGCAGCAAAGAAAGCTCAGGATGTTGCCAGCAACGTCAACTATAAGCATTCTCTCCATCATTACACCTATCTTCCTGATGCCATGGACCTGGAGCTGTCCAAAAACATGATGCACATACAGAGTGACGTGAGTGCCACCCACTTCCCAGCAAATCTGCCTGTTAGTTCAAAGCCTGCATGAAAGAAACCACTACCTGGGTCCTCATTCCTCTTTTCTGCCCTTCCTGTAGAATGCCTATAAGGAAGACTACAACACCTGGATGAAAGGCATTGGATGGATACCTATCGGCAGTCTTGATGTAGAGAAAGTTAAAAAGGCGGGTGATGCCCTTAATGAAAAGAAGTACAGGCAACATCCAGACACCCTCAAATTTACCAGCATTGTGGACTCCCCAGTTATGGTCCAAGCGAAACAGAACACACAGCAAGTCAGTGATGTGAGTACAGCTAAAGAGTGGAGAATGGCTTTTCTTTAGTTCCCTCTGAAATACTGTGACATTTGGGTAAATTTGATATAGTGCAGTAGGTTTCATTCTAGGATCAGATACACACACAGATGCAGAATATAAGTTTAAATTAAGACGTTTTCATGGCCAATTAATCATTAAATTTTATATTAATTTGCATATTTATGCTTTGTAAATAAAACAGTAACACAAGAAGATAGCACACGTGACTATGTTTTCCCCCTCATAATTCAGCACACACAATAAAACTTTTCAACTTATGTCTTGGGGGAAATTAGTATTGTTTTCATGCAAATTATGAGCAGAATGTATGCTTTGGCTAAAGTGAAAAATTCTCAAGGCTAAGTATATTGCGGAATTAAAGGACCTCAAAACCACTCATTACTTCATCTAATGAATGTTTTTGAACACCTGTGGTGTGCCAGGCACCACATGCTGTGCTGAGGATATAAAGGTTAAATAGACAAGGGTGAATGGGTGTGAGAATGAACAATTAAAGACAAGAGCCTCAAAGAAAGCTGTGGATCCAGGCATATAATGTAGGCCCATGCTTAGTAAGCACAGAGGAAGAGGGAAGCTGCCTGGCAAACCAGGAAATGGCATATTCCCTGCAGAAGGAACAGCATAACAACAAAGAAGCAAATGGTTCAGGATTGTCACCTGCCCGATTGTTGAGGGTCTTGTTCCCGAAACGTGGAATCTGGACATTGTGGCTTAAGCAATGTGAGATGTTGAAAATATATGTAGAGTCACAGTATCAGATCTGTGTTGTAAAATCTAGCTCTGGGAAAAAGTATGGGTGCTACACATAGGAAGAATGGGACAGGGAACAAGAAAATGAACCAGAAGCCTGTTAGAGAAAACCAAGAGGAGCCTTCGCTGAACTTAAACTAAGGCAGTAGCAATGGAAAATAAAGAAATATTTAGAAAGTGGAATCCATGAAGTTATGTGAATGTATAGACAGAGTTCCCCACAGGCAGTGAGGAATGAAAGATAACTTTTGGATTCCTACCAGAAATTATTTAGTGTTTGAGGCGTAGAGTTCTTCATGCTGTGAAATATTAAGCATTTTACTGCAGTGCAAATCTAAAATGTTATTTCAAAAGCTGCAAAAGAGAGGGAGGAGCAGGGAGTAGAGGAATGAGGTAAAACTGGAGGAGGAAAGTGAATATCACTGTGTTCTATACAACTAATATGTTGTATTTTGTACAGCTGTAACATAGTTTTGCCTACAAATCATATTGAACCTTTTGAATACTAATTAAACCTACAATTAGAAATTTTTTTCCTGAGAAATGCAATCACTACTTCACAGATATGCAAAGCAAAAATAACAACAAAATGTGTATAAAGTCAGAAAAGGGTGGGAGAATGCCTTTTGTGGTTTTAGCAATAGAAATACAAGGAATTATGCTACGAATAATTCCTATAAGCATGAAAGTACTGTTTGCACTGTTGGCAGTATGTTTTGTGCTTGCGACTGTTTTGCAGATCTTGTACAAAGCTAAAGGAGAAGATGTAAAGCACAAATATACTATCAGTCCTGATCTTCCTCAGTTTCTCCAGGCCAAGTGCAACGCTTACAATATAAGTGATGTAAGTAAGGCTTTCGATGGTGCGGGAAACCAAGGACGGACCTAAAAGAAGGGAATTTCAGAGTAGGATGATGCCTTCACAGTTGCTGAAGTCACCCTCCTGCGTAACCCTCCTGATCACCTATCCCATGAGGGTGATTCTTCACCTCCCATGCTGGTCCTTTCATGTGGAGGATGGCTCCAAAGGATGCAGTATTCTTTACCTTGAGCTCTCTGCTCTGCCAACACGTGCACTTAGCCCGGTTTTGTATGTGGAGTAGTTAATGTCCTCTGTAAAAGTAAAAATAAATGGAGTTTTCTTTAGTAGTCCTAAAATTTTAAATGTGGTCAACAGGTTCTTTCTTGAGCTTCTCTTCAACATACTGAACAACTTTGTTTTCTCTAGCTAATGTTTGCGTGCCATGGTTTCCAGGACCTTTATCGTTTCCTCTGTAACCACTCTGGTTTTTCAGTATGTGTGCAAACCAGATTTGTGTGAATCAGTATAGAGTCCAACTGTTACATGTGACACATTTAGTGTGACATTTGCTAATGTGATTTCCTGGAGTAGCATGTGTGAGACAGGGTTTCTTCAGTTTGTATACTGGAAAAAAATATGTTAACCCCAGCAGTTGAGGAAACACTTTAGTTGATCGATACCTAATAAGCTGAAACTCTTTGGGTCTTTACTTCCCAGGTCTGCTACAAACGGGACTGGCATGACTTAATAGCCAAGGGCAACAACGTACTTGGTGATGCTATTCCCATAGCTGCAGCCAAGGCATCAAGAAATATCGCCAGTGACGTGAGTAAACATTTTAGGAGAAACCTGGGTGATTGCCTTTTTAAAAAGTAATCAAATGTGTGCATGTTCAAACTGATGCTTGATTGAATTAGAGACATTATCAGTCTCTGTATCTGTTGATGTTTTGAAAACCTGTCACTTTGCAACATTCTGTTGGGTTGACCCCACCTGGTAAGGCTGTCATAAGTCTGACAGCAGCTTTCCTCCTTGATTCACAGGCCAAGTTACTTTCTCTGGCACATTTCTGTGGCAGCCTTGCATTTACTTTCAGAAGGAACACGCTAAATGACATGAACATGTTAAATTCAGATCACTGCTTCTGCTATAATCATATCAAGACAGTTGAAAAGATGCTATATAAAGTGTGCAGATAATTATAAACTGGGAAAAAAAATCTACTTTTAAAATGATTTTGTTTTATGTGAATTTATGCTCACGTCATCTGGTTTTTTAGAAAAAATATACACTTGGATTTCTCATGTTTGAAAAAAGTTTTTTCAGAAAGTGAGCATGTTTTGTAGAATTCTTTGTCACATGCTATTCCAGGGGCTAATTACAATCTTCTTTTGAGAAAAGTGAAGAATGGCGCAATCATATGTGCATACTATTATAGGAAATGGGGGTATGAAAGTTTTACAGCTTTCCCCCTAAGGATTGATACTGAAAAGACCTTCCTCACCAGTTTGTAATATCTTTCTGTGAAAAATACTCAGGTATTTGTGGTAGGAAGTGAAGATCTAAAGTAAAATGAACCTTTTATCTAAAACACTTGTATAGTTCTTTCTCTAACATGCTTGGAAATTGATCATCCTGTCAACTGCTAAATCTTTGTGTACGATTTGTTACTTAAACTGCACGACCTGAGTACCTAGCAGGGTTAGAGGACATTTTTATTTTCTTGCATAAAAGTTGAGGTATTGGTCTGTTGCAGGGTTGTTCAGTCTATAATTTGTTGCTGATCACAGCACTGTAAGGCTTTGGACAACAAAGCTTTTGCATCCACAATTTTACTCATGAGAAAAGCCCCAGAGGTCTCTGCCCCTACTGTTACTTCTTAACTCCTTTGCAGCTGCTGTAGCAGAGGGCTTGGGAAACTAGCTGCTGAAACCCGGAGTGGGTGAAGTCTCAGCTAATTGAAAAGCTTGATTCGCACCTACAATAAGAAATTACACGAGGTTGGGGAAGTCCCATCCCTATGAAACTAAGAAATATTGATCTTCTATTTTGTATTTGTTACATCAACATTAAGTGATAAAGTTTATTTGTTTTTTTTTGTTTATTTTTAATGAACGTGCAAATCATATATAGAAACCAGAGCAAAGAAATGAAACTGGTCTTGTACTTATTGTGATGTTCTCATGAAACCAAGAAATAGTTGAAATAAACATTTTCGCTCCACGCAGTCGGGGGACATGCTTTGCATTTCTGGGACACTCTTCAAGATGTTCACAATGTTCTGAGAACCTTCATGAGTAAATAGAAATGTTGCACCCAATGTTATCTTTGGTAAAGACTTTGCTAACTGGAATCCCTTTCTGCAGTATAAATACAAGGAAGCTTATGAGAAGTCCAAGGGAAAACAAGTGGGTTTCAGAAGCCTCCAGGATGATCCCAAGCTGGTCCATTACATGAATGTGGCAAAGATGCAGTCTGATCGTGAATACAAAAAGAACTACGAGAACACCAAAACCAGCTATCATACCCCCGGAGACATGGTTAGCATTACAGCTGCAAAGATGGCCCAGGATGTTGCTACCAATGTCAACTATAAACAGCCAATACATCACTACACATATCTTCCTGATGCCATGAGTTTCGAGCACACGAGGAATGCGAATCAAATTCAGAGCGATGTGAGTATACATAACACAACACACCAGGGGGAGTTTGGCTTTAAAAGACAATCAGATCTTTCTGTGTAGTTATAATTCTGAGTGCAGTGAGACCGTTGAAAGATGATGCATTCTAAGAGAAGCAGCCACACTGTTGAAAGATAGCTAAGACACATGGTAGGCAAGTTCTCTGGCTTGCACCATAATAGCTACCATAGTCTTTATTAACTTATGGATGAATGATAAAGCTGTGTTCCACTAACGGTGTAAGGTACCTTGATTCTCAGTCAGGAGAAATGGGTACTCCATGGGGACTACTTTAATGGTGACAGATATGTGATCATAAATGCAAAATGGGAGAACTCTTTCTTCAGGCAGTTTTTTTTTTTTCAACTTCAAGTCACACTGTCATCCATATAAATCTATGTAATGTGTCATCTGGAACTATCAGGAAAGGTTTGGTGCTTGCAGCATGATTCATGGAGAACTGCACTTGGGAGATGTTTAGTATTCAGGGCATTTCCTTCTGCAGGAGCAAGATTTCTATAAGAATTGTCACTTCTAAAGGGAAGACACTTTGGTGCCCAATGCAAATCTGTCTCCCCAGCTGAGATCAGGAGTAGCTTTCCGTGGGCAGCATGGGTGAAATTCAGAGTTTTAGAATCTTCAGTGAAATCAAAAGGACAGTCCAATTTTATTGAAGGGCATTTTTTAAAGTCAGTACCCATGGAAGTATGTGACCTAAATTCTCTTCTGTGTTGTGTAATGCAGCTGGCAATAGAACTGCATTTTCTTATTGCTAGATTCCAGGTAATGAACCCTGGCAGACACAGGCTAACAAGCATGCTGAAAAGAGTTGCCAGTTGTTTCCTTGGAGAATTGCAGATTCCGGAACTAGCTCTTGAATGTTCTCTAGCGTCTCTCTTCAAGGAGCTTAACTCTTTTACAGAATGTATACAAGGATGAGTACAACAACTTCTTCAAGGGCATTGGATGGATTCCTATTGGTTCTCTGGAAGTTGAGAAGGCAAAAAAAGCAGGTGACGCATTAAATGAGAGGAAATATCGGCAGCACCCAGACACCATCAAGTTCACGAGTGTGCCTGATTCCATGGGCATGGTTTTGGCTCAGCATAACACCAAGCAGCTAAGTGACGTGAGTGATTTCCCCTTCCAAAAGATTTGTCCATGAAAAAAATCTTTTCTGGCAAAACCACTCAGCCTTCCTGATTCAATATGTGAGGATGCATCAACTTTGGGAAAGAAACTGGTTTTGGAGACGTAAGGGAACAATTTCACTTTTGAAGCAACTTGAAACTTAAACAGAGAAAGCAATAAGAGGCTATTCTGAATTTGCTTTATTCTCCGAATGCAGAGTCTGTGCTTTTTATAAGCAGACTCCCACCTGTTGTACATGTGAAACGACACTGTTACTATTATCATCCATGTAAATTGCAAAACAGACTATTGACTACCGCAAGTCACAGTGTTGAACCTGACGACATGGGGATGGGACAGAATGTCCTTGACCCATTGCCTGGCAGCTCCATGTTCCGAGAGGCAGGTTCTGAACAGGGTCTCTGGGATAAGACGAGAGGTTTGTCTGTGGTCCTCTGAGGTCTCCTGTATGAGACCAAGATTCCTATTCCTTTGGTCAGAGACTGAGTACTATCTGCAGTGCCTCACTTCATTTGGTAATTTCAGAACTCTGCTGAAATGTCTCCACCAGGAAAAGAGAAGTAATTAAAAAAGCAAAGAAAGGCCATCTCACTGTGGTTTTTGCCTCTGATTCTAGAACCTAGGGGACACTTTCCTCCTCTCCACTTTGAGGCTTGTGTCTGAATTTTATTTCTCAGGATAGCCTCTTGCCTGCCATTTGCTACATATGCTGAAAGATTCATTCTATTATAGTGGTAATCAGTCATATAAATTCTTTTGTTTCTTACTGAGAAGGTGTTGCTTCTCACTGTGTGAGAAGTGTTGCTGGCAGTTAACTGGAAGAATGGTTCACTTGCTGCTTTCATTCTTTGTCATCTCCATAAATGCCATCAATATATCCCCAATGTTTCAAGTTGAAAATTTGGCACCTGCCACTGACACCCCTCTGTGTGAACCCCACATCTATTGCCTCACTGAGTTAGCTTCCTAGCTGGCTCCCCACTGACTTGTTGGAGTGTTGCTATCTCTAAGCTTGTGCCAGTCTCCGTGCCTTCTGGCTTCTACATCTCATAGAGGTGACTGATGGCCTCTGGCTTGGGACCTCTGGCCAGGGTCTCAGCCCATCACCAGAGGAACATCTTGAAGACATAAATAAACCATGTTCCTCTTTAGTGTAAAAAATCTTCCAGGAGATTCTTGTACTTCAAATGAAATCAGAACTCCTTAATTTGGCTGAAAAGCCCCTTTGCCCCCCCCACCACTGCCCGTCTAATCCTCCCAGTCTTCTGGGCAGAGGCCAGCCCTGTGACTCAGTTGTTCTCAAATCCCCCAAAGTGGTGGATTCACTATTACCTCAAGAGAGTTATGCTCAGTCTGGAGAGTAGAGAAGGACTGGGCAGAAGAGCCTTCAGAGCCTTGAGGCTGGAAATGGTGAGACCCCCACCTGGGGGGATTTGAGAACAACTGTGCCTTTACTGATCAAACTTACTTTTCTGCTACAATTACTCTGTTTGCAATACTCTGCAAATCTCGTCATAAATAGTTGGTAGCTTCTGTATTTATTGTCCCTGTCCTTTAACTGGAAGGTAAGCTCCAAGAGGTTGGGATTGTCCCTGTCACCACTTCACTCGCAGCACCTGCCGGCCATGCCCAGCCCACAGTGCTGGCCAACAAATCCTGGGGCAATGAGGATATGGCTGTGTCCACTAGAGTGGCTTCTTAATGGTCCTGGATGAGGGAAACACTAGTGATAACCTTTGTTGTGTAGGGCCATATGCTTGATGAAGCTCACATTAAGCCAGCTAATGACCCTCATGTGCTGTCTCGTTTCATCTCAGTTGAATTACAAGGTGGAGGGGGAGAAAGTGAAACACAAGTACACTCTGGACCCTGACGTGCCTCAGTTCATTCAAGCTAAGGTCAACGCCCTCAACATGAGTGAAGTGAGTATTCGGCCAATGCCAGCCTGACACTGTATGCGTAGCCCTGTCCTTTTGATTTCTGGTTAACTGTTGCATGGAATATTTAAGAGGACCAAACTGAGTGTGGCCACTGTGGAGTCTTCACTCTAGACCCTAACTACCAATTCATAAAGAGTGCAGAGGCCAACTGACTTTAGCTAAAGTGGGCTCTGACTCTTTTAGTGGCTTGTAAAATCAGTCTGACAGGTTGTGTAGTGTTTTGTGAAAACAAAGCTTTACCTTTCTATTGCTTTTTGCCAACAGTGTTTCTCTGTTAAGATTATACTGTTCATACAATTTTCTTATTTCCATTTTAAATAATTTGATACCAGGGAGACAATCCAGTAGTCCTAATTCTGCGAATTGCTTGAGGAGAAAGGGATATATTAGGTCATCCTCTATGAGAAATATTTTTGGTATCGTTTTTCATTTCTTATTTAATGATGTCAAATAATAAAATAGTGGTTTTTTTTTTTTTGAAGGCTCACTATAAAGCAGACTGGAAGAAAACCCTTGCTAAGGGCTATGACTTGAGACCTGATGCCATTCCCATTGTTGCTGCAAAGAGTTCCAGGAATATTGCTAGTGATGTAAGTCTAATGTGAAAGCAGTAAACTCCATCTGTGCATATATTTTAAAAAATCTGTATATTGTCTATGAGACCATATGAGCTTACATAAGGGAACAAAAAATATAAAGAGAAGAGTGCTAATTACCAAAGTGCTAATGAGTTTTTCAATGTGACTTCACTTAAGAACTTTTAAAACTTACTACAGTATTAAAAAATTCAAAAAATGATATGTGAAATTCTCAGTATAACTGTTTTGAATTAGAAAATTTTGGATTTTATCAGGAAAGGATATTGGCATATTAAATATCACTAAATCAAGAAGTCTCCAAGTATTTAAAAAAATAGTTTTAATCTTAGGAACCCTACAAAAAAAAAAAACCTCTCTGAGTTATGGAAAACCAGGGAGAATTATAGATTAAAGATGACTTCTTTAATGGTTGACTTATTTGAAAGTCAGAATAAGAGATGGAAAGATTATCTTCATTCCTTCCCAAATGGCCATAATCCCTGGGCCTTGGTGAAGTCAAGATACAGGTCTCTTCTGTGGGTGGTAGAAGTCCAAGTAATTGGGCTAGCACCTTATACTGCCTTCCCAGGCATGTTAGCAGGGAAGAGCCGAGACCTGAGCCATTGTTCTAACACAGGATGCTGTAATACAGGGTTAGAGCTTAACCTGTTACAGTATTAACACCGGCCCAAAGAAGAGCACTTTTTAAGAGACAGATGTATTTATTTTTAAGACTTATTTATTAAGTGAGTATATGCAATTGTAAAAAGTTAAGAAAAAGGAAGGAGGTGAGTGTAGGGAAACACAGGCAGGAGGGAGGGTAGAGTGGAAGTATCAATACTCAAATATGAAATTTGTTCATGTTATGTAAAATTTTTTAAATTTACATTTATTTGAAAGCTATGTGGCACAGAAAAAGGATGATACAGGAAGAGTTCCATCTGCTGGCTCACTCTCCAAATGGCCACGATGGCCAACTCTGAACCATCAGGATTTTCATGTGGATATCAGGGGTCTAAGCATTTGGGTATCATCTGTTACCTTCCCAGGTGCATTAGCAGGAAGTTTGATCAGAAGTGGAGCAGTCAGATCTCAAACAGTCTAACATGGGATGCTAGTGTCACAAAGAGCAGCTTAATCCTTTTGTGCCACAACATGCTGGCCCCTAAGCAATAGGATTTCAGTAGGCTGGCATTGTGGCTTAGGGGGTATCATGGTTTTAACACCGACATCGCATATGGGCATGATTTGAGATCTGGCTGTTCCACTTCCAATCCAACTCCTTGTTAATGCATCTGGGAAAGCAGTGAAAGATGGGCCAAGTACTTGGGCCTCTGCACTCACATGAGAGATTGCGATGAAACACCCAGCCTGGTCCTGGCTGTTGTTGTCATCTGCAGAGATAACCAATAAATGAAAAATGTGTCTGCCTCTGCATCTAACCTGCCCTCACAAATGTATAAATATTAAAAAAAAGAGTAATGTTTTCCTAATTAATCATATTTTTATAAATTAAGTCATATTTTGTGTATGAATCTACATGGGACATAACTTGATACATTCATTTAAAATCCAATGCATCAGTTTTTTATGTTGGAAAGTTGTTCCTGATTATGTAAAGTTTTAAAACACAATATAAACTAGAAATAGAACAAGTAATTAAAACAGATATTCAATAAATACGTTTTTTAGTAATTTATGAATATATTCCAAAAAAATCTGCTTCTGAATAATCTAAGCTACAAATTATACCATTCTTAATTATCTTCATAGCAATGCCAAGACCATTCATTAAAATATTTTGGTAGTAGTTTATTTTTTTTAAATCTTAAAAATAGATGTGTTGCTTAGATTCAGACTGAATGCTTTGACTTTGCTTATTCTGTGATACTCATTTAGTCTGTACAAGCCTCTTCCCTGAAAAGTCTCCCTACCTTCCTCTTTTCAATAGTGCAAATATAAGGAGGCCTATGAGAAAGCCAAAGGCAAGCAAATTGGATTTCTCAGTCTTCAGGATGATCCTAAACTGGTTCATTACATGAATGTGGCCAAGATACAGTCAGATCGTGAGTACAAAAAGGGCTATGAAGCCAGCAAGACCAGGTACCACACGCCTTTGGATATGTTCAGTGTGACGGCAGCCAAGAAGTCTCAGGAGGTTGCTACCAACGCCAACTACAAACAGCCTTTCCACAACTATACTCTCCTGCCGGATGCCTTGAACGTGGAGCACTCCAGGAATGCCATGCAGATCCAGAGTGATGTAGGTCCCTGCCAGTGGCTGGCGGCACAGTTAGGGAGCCCTTTCTTGTGGGTGGCAGGGAAGAACAAGATCCAGGTGCTCCATCCTATGTCTGGCTGAACTCACTGCTATTATGAATCTCCTTCAGAACCTGAAATCCTAGCTTTGCTTATTTCAATGATATGCAGCCTTGCTAATGCTTTTGTGGCTACATGTAAGACTTTGAATATTAGGCCACCATATAAAATATCTATGAAAAGTGAAGATGCTAAAATAAGCGATATATAACTTTCTGCCTAAAATTATATTACCTCTTCCTTATTCTTCAGGGAAATTGAATTTGTAAAGAATTTTTTGGGTCAGGATTTTCTCTTAAAAACAATGATCAGTGCAATTTTTTTCTGATCCTTTTATACCTCTAAAAGATGGCAGAAGGTGGACAGGTAGGAAGTAGACCGGTATCAGGCTCTTAATGATAAATTAAAATGTCCCTTTTTTGTTATAAAGAATCTGTATAAATCTGACTTCACCAACTGGATGAAAGGGATTGGCTGGGTCCCCATCCAGTCCCTGGAAGTGGAGAAGGCAAAGAAAGCAAGCGAGATCCTTAGTGAGAAGAAGTATCGCCAGCATCCTGAGAAACTCAAGTTCACCTATGCCATGGACACCATGGAACAGGCATTGAACAAAAGTAACAAACTCAACATGAACAAGGTGAGCATTTTTTCTGTTGGCCTCAGCAGAGCACTTCCGTAGTCCTCGGGCCTAGGAGCCTGGGATGCCTGTAAAAATTTTTCTGATAATTGTGCTGGTGGTGAGGTTTCTCTGTCTAGACTTATCCCCCAAATCTTTGTCTCTTCTGTCTCCTCTTGATCCTGCTCACTCTGTTTCTCATTTGTTGTCATTTGTTCCTTAGACTGTCCCTTAAGTTAGGGATCCAACAGAACTGCAGAGCTTTACCTAGTTGAGAGGCTGGGGCATGAAGTCCTCTGTTGCTTGGGTGGTTGAGGGTACCCTTACTGAATGGTTTTTGTTGTTGCTATTGTATGCCCAGGTGCCTCAGCCCCCTCTGCTTGCCTTTGATCTGGTTTGTACTCTCAGATTTGGCCATGTTTTCCATGGGGTTGCGTAGATCTTACTCTGCAGTCTTCTACTGTAAGCTGATGTACTCACCTTCTTCTTGCAGAGGCTCTACACTGAGAAATGGGATAAAGACAAGACCACCATTCATGTCATGCCTGATACTCCAGATATCCTGCTCTCCAAAGTAAACCAAATCACCATGAGTGATGTAAGTGTAGATTAACAATAGCAAAGGCTGGGGAGAAGCTGGAAGGGAACTACTACTCTGGCAATATCCATCTTCTCCATGGTAACCACTTTGAAATTGGGATCTCCATTTTAACCCAGATAACAATAATTGGTTGTGTTTCTATTTCATTATTTAGAAACTGTACAAAGCAGGCTGGGAAGAGGAAAAGAAGAAGGGATATGACCTGAGACCTGATGCCATCTCTATAAAGGCTGCCAGAGCTTCTAGAGACATTGCCAGTGATGTAAGTGCTTTCCCAGGGCCTTCTTCATTCTGAGCAAATAGGAACAAATGAGCCAAGCTTGTATGTTCCAAGGAGCTGCCGTCAGCTCCACTTCAGTGGTAACACCATCCCACCTGACATATGAGACATCTCCCTTTTGTTCATTATTTAGCATACACAGTGGTCAAAGTATTCAACTAAGAGATTAAAATGTTCATATGCTTTTTCAGAGTGCCCGAGTTTGCATTCCTGATTCCAGTTGCTTGCTAATGCAAACCCTGAAAGACAGTAATGGTGGCTCAAATAATTGCATTCCTGCCACCCCAGGAGAGATCTAGATTGAGTTCCTGACTCCCAGCTTTGGCCCAATCCAACCGTGGCCACTGCAGGCATTTATAGAAGTGAAACACAAATGGGAATTGTCTCTGTCTTTCAAAAAAAAAAATTTTTTTAAATGACTGGATCTGTTAAAAATAAGTTGCTCTTAGTGATTTTAAATCATTTATAGCCCATTCTTAATCAGATGTAAGAATGCCTACGTATTTTACCCAGGAAGCCCAGGGCCAGGCTCCTTCCTGACTTTAAAGGTACATGTGAAATCATGTAGCAGCCTTTTCTGCTTCTTTGCTAAATATTGAAAGCTCCTTTCTAAACCATCCCAAACCAACTTCTTTGCATATCTCTTTGATTTGCACATCTCTTTCCCCCCATGATCTTCAGTCTTGGAAGAAATTTGAAGTAAAGCAACTGCAGTGGGCCTCTCCTGCACTCTCCTGGTCTGACTTAAGAGTTGTTTAAAAATCATTCATTTACAACTGCAGCAAACCAAGGTCAACTGAGGGAAGGTACTGTCTTCTCCTTTCCTCACTGTTTTCATCATGATGCTCTCTCTTCTGTCTGCAGTACAAATACAAGCAAGCATATGAACAAGCCAAAGGGAAACATATTGGCTTCCGGAGTCTGGAAGACGATCCCAAGTTGGTGCACTTCATGCAGGTGGCCAAGATGCAGTCAGACCGGGAATACAAAAAGGCCTATGAGAAATCCAAGACATCCTTCCATACCCCCGTGGACATGCTCAGTGTGGTAGCAGCCAAGAAGTCCCAGGAGGTGGCCACCAATGCCAACTACAGGAATGTGATCCATACCTACAACATGCTTCCTGATGCCATGGGCTTTGAGTTGGCCAAAAACATGATGCAGATTCAAAGTGATGTATGTGAAGGCCACATGATTTACAGAGCTTTTACTATGGATAATAAGAAAATTGTGATATGTAGTGCCATCTTGAAAATCTTAAAATTCATGTGCAGTTTTCTATTGAGGTGTTTTATTTGTTAATATAGATTTAAATGATTGAACTAAAAAGAACTTTGGTTTCAGAAGGAATTATTTGAAGGAAATATGTCTAGCAGAGTATCAAAGGGATAAAAGGCTCCAGGGAGAGGAATGAAAAAACGATCACATAATATGATAGCTCCAGTCCTTCACTCCCAACCAGCACTTTGAACTTTGCAATTCCCTATTAGCCAGTAATTCAGCTAAATAATTCGATGACCAAAGGAATTTAAGTTGCAAACCACACTACAGTCGTCTTGTGTAGGTGAAAGCCCAGTTGTTAACTGCAAAGGAGAATATAAGTGCCCAATTGGAAACACCCATGATGCAGTTAACCAAGGCAATGCTAAAACTGAGGGGAAGAAAGTGAAATTTGCACAAAGTACCAGTGAGATTTCTGACATGCCAGAAGAAATTTTAACACTAGTGACTGGGCAAAGATTTATAGTGGAAGGTGGAAAAAGGTAAATGGATTTCCATAAATCACCTACTAACAAAGGAACTTGAGAATTTTGGTAAGAAAATTATTAGTTAGGAAATAGCAATCAAAGGACAGGTGAATCTATTTCTTAGCACTTATTTATAAAAATCAAGATCAAATCACTAAGTGTTTTATTTTTAGTTTCTCATGCAAGGATATGTTGAAAAGATAAATTGGGGATAAAAGTGATTGAAGTTTAAAGTAGGGGTTAGGGAATACTAAACACATACTTGTGACTTGGGTGAAGATGAGATTTTTCTTTATCATTGAAATTTTCCTCTTTTGTAGAATCAGTACAAAGCTGACTATGCTGACTTCATGAAGGGCATTGGCTGGCTTCCTCTGGGCTCCTTAGAGGCTGAGAAAAACAAGAAAGCCATGGATATCATCAGCGAAAAGAAGTACCGCCAGCATCCAGACACTTTGAAGTACTCTACACTGATGGATTCAATGAACATGGTTTTGGCACAGAATAATGCCAAAATTATGAATGAAGTAAGTATGTCATCAATGTAGTATTTATCATGCATCTGAAAGAGTCCAGATATATTTTACATTGAACTTCCAGATTTTTCTAACACAGTTATGGGAAAACATAGTGAGGTCTACTTTACCTGGAAGTAGTAAAGCACTGTTGTAGGTTAAAGTCCTAAAAAGGAGATGCTGAGACGGAATTTTGGGTCCAGGCCATTTTTAGGGACCAGTGCCTGTGGGAAAGAGGACTGGGCAGAGGGAGAAGTTCAACTCGAATGTAGGCCCAACAAAGTCTTGCACAAAACTGTGGAGGGTTCTTGGATGTCACCTGTTGAGGGTGCCCTGTATCAGACTTCAGCAGCCAAGCCCACTTTGACCTCCACTTTGACATGTTTTTGGATGTGCCCAACTGGGAAGGATATGCTCCTGAGTGAGATAGCAAATCCTAAAATTTAACTGGAAGCAGTCTGTGAGGAACTGGGATAGAGTTCTTTCTTAAGTGGTGAAATGGGTACAGCATCCCCAAGTCCACACAAAAATTACAGTTTGTTGCCAGTAGTGGGAAAAGACTGGGAAGCACAAATTAAATATGTATCAGTGTGGAATTGGTTAAATCCTTCAGAGTATACCTCCTAATGAAATGTGGCTTTCAAAAATAGGTAAATTACTTTAAAAAGATTCCAACATTATCTAAAATATTATTATTACCTAATAAAGCAAGAGGTAGAATACTATGTATTATTCGGCATTTAGTATCTTTTCCATGTTAAAAGGAAGATATGTGTGTTTTAAGGTGCATAGAAAACAGAGCAGGTGCTACTCTCCCCAGGCTATAAGATAAGGGGGAGAACATCTTTATTGTTTGCTCATATCCTCTCTGTATTGTTTGAATGAGCTCCTTTTCTATTAATATTTTCTTCAAAATCTTAGTAATTAGCCAATATGTGTCTGTGTGTATATGTACATATGTCTAAGTGAACTCATTTTAAAGTTATAAGCATGACTTTTTTTCTCCAGCACCTCTACAAACAAGCATGGGAGGCTGACAAGACCAAAGTCCACATCATGCCTGATATCCCCCAGATTGTCTTGGCAAAGGCAAATGCCATTAACATGAGTGATGTGAGTATAGTCCTCCTGTTGTCATCTCTTATCTGAACCAACTTATCTGAACCAGTAAAAATACATATATTAATAAGTTCTCTTCATGAAGCTGAATATTTTAAAACTTAGTGGCAATCTGCAAATAAGAATTTTCTTTTCCTAATCTGTCTATGTTAGGAGTTGAAAAGATTTCTTGATGCAGATTGGGTGAAGCAGTTATGAATTTGAAGGTTGATTGGATTTTTTGTTTTAGGGATGGGGACTCTGTCAAACCAGGAGATGTGGTGGGAAGAGGAGGGCTTAGAAGCCAGGAAAACAGAAAAAGGAAGAAGGGTCCTGGGACTTCATTCTTAGAGAGCCCCTTGACCAAGTTAGTGAGCTTGGCCTAAGGAAAGGGTTGCTTGGAAAAGAAATAAGAATATTTAGGAGACTTTGGAGCAAGCTCCAGAACTAGGACTATGCAGCACTTGTTTAAAAATGTACTGATGATTTCTTTAATTTCCTTTCTCATCCTAACCTCCATTGATAGGAAATCCTTTAAATCTCCCAGTTGTTTCTTCTCTCCATTGTTTGAATTCCATAGGGGTTTGGATTTTTCCAGCTTAAAATTTGTAGAAGCCGTGTCACATAATGCAATGTAATCAATAAAAAAAAATTGGGAAAAACAAAACAAACAAACAAAAAAGCAGAACTTGAAAAAAAATTGTAGAATCCTTATAATTAGGCAAGCAAATGTTGATTATAAAACAGTGATGTTTTCTTTGGATGAAATGGTATAACTTTTGTAGTCATCTTTGAATTCCTATTTGATAAAATGAATCACATAAGGATCTGCTGAATCTTTGCCTCTTTAGAATACATTTGCAATTTAATAGAGATCAGCAGTTTTTAATTTTTTTTCTAGTGATTTCTTGAAAATGTTTGTGTTCGTGATTTTCTTCTTCATACACAGTTGTGTTGCTTGTGAGAACATGTAGCTGTTGAATCACCAATACAACATTCTGCTTAAAGAGTAAAATCATGCCACCTTGTAGATTGGGGCACTCTTTGGGCTGCGTGAGCTGCTGATTTCAGCTTCCTGTTACTGCAGCCCCTGGGAAGCAGCAGTGATGGCACAGGTGGCTGGATCCTGCCATCCACACGTGAGATCAACACTGGTGGATATGTGGGGCATGCAACAGTAGCTAGGACTTTCTTTCTCACGCCCTCTTTTCTCCTTCTCAAATAATTTTTTGAAAAACTATAAACCCAGGCTTTCCTATTTAGAAGAAAACGATTTCCTTTGCCTCTGTTTACAGAAACTCTACAAACTTTCTTTGGAAGAGTCTAAGAAGAAAGGCTATGATCTCCGAACTGATGCAATTCCCATCAAAGCTGCCAAGGCTTCACGAGACATTGCAAGTGATGTAAGTCTAAAGGGAAGGATCAGCTCCTGGGGTCTCTATACAGCCAAAATAATGAGGGCTGGAAACAGCAACAGATAAACCATGGAGAAAAAGCATGTCTGCAAACAGTGCCATCACCCTGTATTGTGAATGTTGAAAGCCTTACTGGTGTGCTTCCTTTGATATTTCTGAAAAGAGAAAATGACTGTAGGATACCCACTTTATGATCTTAATAAATATCAGCTCACAAACTTAGATCAGGTGACTGTACTTTAAGCTCTGTCGCCAAGGCTATGGCTAATGGCATTCTGAAGCCCTTCATCAAGCTTTTCTTAGGAAAAGCTTGTGTTCTTGCCTTCTGCTTCTTACAGTCAGAGTTCCTAGCTGGCTCTCCAATGTAGTGGGTTATTGCAAAGGCTTCATGACTGCTAAATGGGTAAAAAAAAAAGAAAAGAAAAGAAAAGAAAATTGCAAAGCATTTGTTAAGCCACGGGTAGCTTGACATCAGCCACTGTGGAAATATTTATACTACAGAAATTATCCAAAACTATGAATAAGGGCTTCCCCTCTCCCTACAGCTGCTGTACCAGTACAGCACTGCTATAATACATTACATGTGTGAAACACAGTCCTGCGATTTAGTTGTTTCTATAAGAAGTCGATTTACAGGAAGCATTGAATGACCTGAGTGTAATGGGAAGAATACACTTTGGAGCACTCTCTGACCATCCTGATTAAACTTTCTCCTCTTTTATCTCTGGTTTTCATTTCCTTACCTACCCATTCCATCCCACACCTTCTGTTATCCTTCTTGTATACTGTAATAATTCTACTCTCCTAGCTTCTAACCCCTAACTTATACATTCCCACAAGAGTATAAGAAGAATACAAAATCTTTCTATATTCTCAGAATCTTTTCATATAGAAATTAAAGTGGTCAATAGTAAACATTTTTTATTAGATCACTTTAGAAAGTCTTAAAAGAAAAAGAGCTCTGTAAATACATAGTGACTCTAAAATTACAATGAGTGTCCTAACTGAAATCATTCTTATCAATGAATGGTTGGCTGATTATGGATTTATCAAGGCAGCATTGAACTGATTTGAATATTCCACCTTTGTTACTGGATTATTGTTTATTAATAGATCAACAAGAAAGTGGGTATATAAGTCAGTGTGGTACATCATCATGATGACTGGGTCCTAATCCTTACAGCTCCAGCAAATCATTCACCTCTCTGAGTCTGTGCCTGCACATCTATAAAAATGACTTTGCTGTCTTCATCACAAAATAGAGTTGCCAGCAGTGAGTGGCATAGATAAATCTGAGGAATGTTTTATGAAGGAATGTGGAGTTCTATATAATTTTTATGAAATGTAGAGTATTGATGCTAGAATGACTTTCAGCCAAAATAATTGCTCTTCATCCCTATTCATCATCATTCTTCATCCCTATACTCCTCACAGTATAAATATAAGTACAATTATGAAAAGCAGAAAGGAAAAATGGTTGGCTTCCGCAGTCTTGAAGATGATCCAAAATTAGTCCACTCCATGCAAGTGGCTAAGATGCAATCTGATCGAGAGTACAGGAAAAACTATGAGACGACAAAGACCAGCTACCACACCCCTGCAGACATGCTCAGTGTTACGGCCGCCAAGGATGCCCAAGCCAATATCACCAATACTAACTACAAGCACCTGATTCACAAGTACATCCTTCTCCCGGATGCAATGAACATCGAGCTGAGCAGGAATATGAATCACATTCAGAGTGATGTAAGGCTATTTTCTGTCTGGGTGGTGGGTGGCTTTATTTTTGTCAGAGAAGGAAGATCACGGCATTATACGCCATAATTTTGTGTAGAAATTTGACAAGGTGATGTGGACTTTTATTCTTTTCTTTATAGAATGAATACAAACAGGACTACAATGAATGGTACAAGGGACTTGGCTGGAGTCCAGCTGGTTCCCTAGAAGTGGAGAAGGCCAAGAAAGCAACTGAATATGCTAGTGATCAAAAATACCGCCAGCATCCGAGCAACTTCCAGTTTAAGAAGTTGAATGATTCCATGGACATGGTGCTTGCCAAGCAAAATGCACAGACTATGAACAAGGTAGAGAGAACAGTAGCTGTTCTACACAGTTGCCACATGAGGGAAAGCTAGCAGATGATAGCTTTGATTGTTCTAGTTCCACGACTCCTGGATAGTGGCAGTTTCAGAACATTCTCCTGCTCTGTTTTTCTTGTTTTTATTTCCTTAGTCCTTTTGATTATGTTAGAAATTACTTACACTTTAAAAAGGATATATATATGTATTTGGCACTTTCAGTTTGTTCCAAAAGACTTTAAATATTTAAAAGATTGTCTTGTAAAATCTGAATTTATTTTTACTGCCTTTCCTGAGTCATGTGGTACTTTTGGCACTCAGCTACTTCAAAGTGTACAAGTATTCAAATATTCTCACTGTCTTTTTTTTTTTTGTCATGAACAGTAACTAAAAGTTCTAATCTCTTTTCTCCTACTTTCTAGCATTTATACACTGTTGACTGGAATAAAGATAAGACCAAGATTCATGTGATGCCTGATACACCAGATATATTACAAGCTAAACAGAATCAAACACTATATAGTCAGGTAAAAACTATATAAAACCTATCTTTGATTTGTTTCAAAATTTATTGAGCTTATACAATGGTGTAATAGTAACTAAATCATATAAAGCTGAAAAAATAGAGGGGAATGACTGAGACCACTCAGCTTACAGATGTTGCAAAATGCATGGATCAAGAGCAAGGGCCTCTGTTCCTTTATGCTCCATCGAGCTGGATACTGTCTGTTTAGTTTATCTACAAGTATGTTGTATTTGGCACAAGTTACTAGTCAATAATTGTTGAAAGAAAAAAATATGTCACACAAACCTTATGAATTTTGACTTTGGCGTTTAGTTATATGGCACGTATATGACATTGCCTGTGACACTGGGTGACTGTGAGAACCAAATGAAAATTTTTCTAAAAAGGTCTCAGCACAATGCCTGGTGCATAGAAAGTGCTGAAAGACTATTAGCTGTTTTTATTATTACCCAGTTTTAAACCACATACATCCATTTGACGAGTTCAACTCCAAGAGTTTAGCTTGTCTATTACAACTTGAAAAATGGTGTATCATCATTTGCAACTTGTTGCATGGACGGTTAAAAATTTCAAACTTGATCTTCTTCCATTTTCTTAATTACTGTATTCAAAGTAGTAAGCCCGGACTATGCAAGAAAAGGGAGAGGTAGCTGATAAATGTGACACGACCATATGTTTTTCTGGGCAAAAGAGTTTGAAACAGATGTCCAGTGTGTCAGAACAAAAGGAAAGAAAAACTAAAGCCGGGACATGTGATACAACTAAGTCACTTGATGCTAGAAGGCTTTTTGTTTTCTATTGAAAATCTTCCTTTTTTAAAATTTGTTTTTCTCATATCCTTAAATATACAGCAGTTAATATCAGAATTTGATATCTACCCTATTTGCTGCTTTGCTTATAATATGTTGAGATTTTGAATATTGACAAGAATAATGGAAAGAATTTCTTTGATTCTTAGAAACTCTATAGACTTGGATGGGAAGAAGCTTTGAAGAAGGGCTATGATCTCCCAGTTGATGCAATTTCCGTCCAGCTTGCCAAAGCTTCTAGAGACATTGCTAGTGATGTAAGTTTTGGTTTGACTTCTGTAAAAATGCATTTTTATATGAATCAAGTAACTTAATATTGTTCACTATCATAGATTACCTTTTAGAATATACATCATTCCCCTCCTCTTTTCCTCCCCTCTTTGCTGACCCAAATTCACTCTTTTTCTGATTGTTCAGATGTCAGAAAGAGTCTTCCTGGATACAGGTTGGGCTCAAGAATCTTAAGCTCCATGATACTAAGATGTTTCATTCTTGAAGTAATACAGTTCATTTTGACCCAAGTTGGTAGTAAGTCAACACCTTGTGCAGTTTGCTTTCTGAATTAAAGTAGTTAGCTGCTTTTAATTGTGTGAGCATACAAAGATCTTAACAGGACAGATTTGACTAAGGAGTCTTCCGAAAGTTCATGGAAATTGCATATTATGAAAAACCACATATACTTTGAATTTTTTCACCAAAATAAATGCATTTTTAAAATCTTTTTTCCCCATAAGCCTAATGAAGATTCCTCACTTTATATAACCATTTGGAAAACTAAAAATTCTGCTGCTCATCTACAGTATTTGCCTGTTCATCAAATCATGTCTTTGTAATGTTTCATTTGGCTTATTTTTTCCCATAAAAATATCATTCTCACAAGCAAGTTGAAAGAAATTTATTAAATAATACCCTAAAGTCAGCATATACAATATATATGGCACTTGTAAACATACATTTGCCCCTAGTAAGAATTAACTTCTCATCAAAATTTCTCAAAACTAAACTTCCTTTGCAAGACTATTTCAACAAGACTAACTTGCTTAAGAGACTAAATATTTCTCTTTCATGTTTTTAGTTTTTTTTGTGGTATGTTTTTGTAGGTACAGGGATACCCCCATCTACCCCCGTTTCCTCTTTTCATATTCTCACCCCACTCTTCATTTCCCCTCATATTCTTAAAACAGTATAGTCCTTCAGCAACGTTTTGCTATTTAAGTGTATCACAGCATTGTATGTACAGGCAATAGTAGAAAGTCGACAATCCTATTTTCAGTTTATTTAACAGTTTCATTGGGAGTTCTTTAATTTGGGAGTAGAGATGCATACTGCGATGAATCTTCACTTCCTAATATGCTAGTCTCCATCATATGGTTTATCCATAAGAATATATGTATATACATATTTACCAACATGGTTGTTTGTATTTATTTGTTTATTTTTGTATTATTAAATAAGCATTGCCAACACTGTTCTGTCATTTCAGTCTTGCAAAATAGAAAAATGAACTTAATTTTATCTTTTTCATATTAACAAAATAACTTTTTCCTCTGACTTCAGTTTAAATATAAACAAGGCTATCGCAAGCAGCTGGGCCACCATGTTGGATTCCGGAGTTTGCAGGATGACCCAAAACTTGTGTTGTCCATGAATGTAGCCAAAATGCAGAGTGAAAGAGAATACAAGAAGGACTTTGAAAAGTGGAAAACCAAGTACACAAGCCCTGTGGACATGCTGGGGGTGGTGCTGGCCAAGAAGTGCCAGGCCTTGGTCAGTGATGCCGACTATAGGAACTACCTGCACCAGTGGACGTGCCTGCCTGACCAGAATGACGTCATCCATGCTAAAAAAGCATATGAGTTACAAAGTGAGGTCAGTTCTGTTCAACTACATAGTGTTATATTACTTCAATGTTTCCTGTGAGTTGACATTTAGTCACAGAGAAGTGGAAATTAGAAATAGAAATGACTATTGAAAACTTAAGGTGCATCTTTTTGAAATACGCGGAAGCATTGGAGTCAAAAGTACAGGTTGCAATGGGATTTTGATGTCTGTCTGTGTCCTTTCACAGAATGTGTATAAGTCTGACCTTGAGTGGCTGAAAGGCATAGGATGGAGTCCCTTAGGTTCTTTGGAAGCAGAAAAGAACAAGAGGGCTTCAGAAATTATCAGTGAGAAGAAATATCGCCAGCCTCCAGACAGAAACAAGTTCACCAGCATACCTGATGCCATGGAGATAGTTCTCGCGAAGACGAATGCCAAGAATAGGAGTGATGTGAGTAACTCTTTAGAAAAGCTAATAAAGGAAATTGTAGTGTTTGCTACCTGAGGGTGTCTCGATAGCTTTGGCTTAGTAAAGGAATAGAATGCCCAAGCAATGTGTCAATACAGCATAATATTTTGAGTTCCTCTATTTGAATGATTAACTACCCTATACTGATTGATACATAAAAATGGGTTAATGTACATTTTAGTTGCCCAACACTTATTTAGCCAGAAAGTAATGAGAAAATTATTAATATTTTTGTTGTGACACTGTATGTTAGGGGGAGAAATCGTGAGTGCTTTTCAGAGATTTATAGTGGATAAGTGAGGGAGAGTGTATTTCCTACTGAATGATGATAATGAGTGAGTTTGAATAGAGATAAAATGCTAATACTATGTCACAATAAAGAAGTATATAGGCTATCTTCAACTTAAATTCTTCTGTAGCACTGGCACTGATGTTTGGTGTAAAATAGGTACTTGATACAATTTGTTGATTAAAATAAAGATGGTAATGTGGAGTGATTGTACAGAGAATAGAAGGATGACTCATCACTGTTTCTTGAATACTAAAGAATAATTATATGCACTGAGATTCTGGTAAAAAAAAAAACTTTAATGAGTGTGTATAATAATTACCATGAGGTTCTCTGGAAGACCTAAATATGTATGAAATTCCTTGGAGGATCTAAATATGTAATATGCTATACATTCTACATACATCATGTATAAAGAGCTATAAATATGATAAATAAGCCCATAATCAACATATACTAAGCAATGCTACATTAAATTTCTTATTTTCCTAACCAGTCCTTCACATACATTTTACAGTGCTGTTTTCCAAAAGGTACAGTGATTGCTGAGCTGTCAGCTTCATTTCGAATATTTATTTTGTTTTGGTTTTGACAAGAAATTTAAACTTGATAGACTGCCTAATAAAGCAACACATTTATGTAAAATATTTCTCCCTTTCTGGAATCTGAGTTTCGCTTTTCTCCAAGCTGAGAGACAGACACATAGAGAGGGAGAGAGATTGATTCTGACCCAGAAAGATAATGAGAAGAAAGGAATTCAGAAATACAGGTAGAACCTGGGCCAGTTATATCTTGAGCCTATCTCTATTTTTTAATAGACCAATACATCTAACCTAGCATAAATAATCTCACCCTTTTCTCTGCACTTCCTGAATGAAAGTGGCAAATGACCCAGCTTAGAGGTTCTCAGCCAGGGAAAATTCTGCCCCACAGGGGACGTTTGGTTGTCATGACTTGCCAGTGGTATGCTACTGGCATCTAGTGGAGGGAAACCAGGGAAGCTGCAGGGCATCGCACATTACACAGGGGAATTTCTCACGACTAAGCATCATCCAGCATATGACACCCACAGTGACGAGGCTGAAAAACTGTTATCTAATCAGACCTGTTGATGCAGAACCGAGAAAGTGGAAATTACCCTGCTTTGCTCTGTTTTGTTCCTGAAGGCCCTTTTTGTCTTATTTTATTAAAAAAAAATTCAGATAACTTACACTAGTTCTACATTTTTGTGGGGTGGAGTATAATATTTCAATGCAGTTATATGACATAAGCCAATCAAACCAGGCAACTAGCCTTTCCATTCCATTTCCTTTTTGTGTTTGGTGGCTCTTCCAGTTCTGCACATGCATAATTGTGACTGTCACAGTGCCATGGAACACCAGTTTGTTCTGTCTGATTCTGTTTTGGCACTCACTATCTAACCTCCCTCTAGTTTTCCTTGTTCCATACTTTCTAGCTTCTAATGGTCACTATAATAAGTTCAAACTATTTTTCAACTATGACATATTAAAGAAGAAAAAAGTTTCTGTTTGTAGCTGATTTCACTTAGCACAGTGATTCTCAATTCTGTCCATTTTGTTTCAAATGTCTTGATTTCACTTATTGATGGCTGACTAATATTGTGTTATGGATATGTCATTTTTATATATACATTCATCAATGGTTAGCTAAGTTAATCTTGGATTTTTATAATGGTTTTTGCAATAAACATGCAAATATTTCTTTGATATGTGAATATAATTTCTTTTGGATATCCAAAAAGTGGGATAGCTATGTCATATGACAGATCAATTTTTAGTTTTTGAGAAAATTCCATACATTTTCCATAATAACTATAGTAATTTATATTCCCACCCACAGTGTATGAAAGTTTCTATTTTTTCCACATCTTTGCTGGCATTTGCTCATTTTTGTTTGATAATAGCCATTCTAACTGGAGTTGATGGACTTCTCTGGAGTTACATGTACAGGAAGAAGAGTCTCAAGCTCTTATATCTTATATACATCAAAGAGTAATTGACAGATGCAGGGAATCAGTGAGATTTAAAAACATTTGTGGCTTACTTTATTTCTTTGAAAGGCAAAGGTCAGTATGAGATAGAGGGGGGGAGAGAAAGAAAGAGATCTTCCATTGATTGGTTTATTCCAATAACAGCCATAACAACCAGGGCTGGGCCAGGCTGAAGTCGGAAGACAGGAGCTTTTTTCAGGTCTCCCACATGGATTCAGGGGACCAAAGACTTAGGCTATCTTCCACTACTTTCTCAGGCAATTAATAGGGAGCTGGGTTGGAAGTGGAGCAGCTGGGACTTAAGCTAGTGCCCATATGGCATGTTGGCATTGTAGGCAATGACTTAACCTAGTATGCCACAATGCTGATCCTTAAATATTGTTTATAACAAAATAATTTCAGTGATCAAGAATAGTCAAAGGGCCCATTGTGGTAGACTAGTGGCTGAGGTCCTCATTGTGCATGCACTGGGATCCCATGTGGGTGCCAGTTTGTGTCACACATGCTCCACTTTCCTTCTGGCTCCCTACTTGTGACCTGGGAAGGTGGTAGAAGATGGCCCAAAGCCTTAGGATTCTGCACCCATGCAGGAGACTTGGAAGAAACTCCTGGCTCCTGGCTTCAGATCGACTCAGCTCCAGCTGTTGCAGCCACTTGTGGCGTGAACCAGCAGATGGAAAATCTTTTTCTGTCTCTCCTTCTCTCTGTAGATCTGAATTTCCAGTGAAAATAAATAAATCTTTTTAAAAAATTAAACAGTATAAATAACTTACATATGTAGGTATGTATATGTAATTCTCTCTAAATATCTTTCTTGTTTGTTTATACAGGGATTTCAGAGTGGAAAATAGAATTAAAATTTGTTTATTATGCTGCAATAAATGATTGAAATCACTATAGCTTTCATAAAGTACATTTTCACTTTTTGAACACTTTGTTTCTGTGAAATTTCTGAGAAAATGAGTTGCTTCATTATGCCATCCTACTCCTAAGCCCTTTAATGTGTATTTCCCAAAAGAAGAATATTATTTATAAAGACACAATGGAATGGCCAACATCATGGAATTAATGTTGACACAATAGTCATCTATAAAACTTAATTTTTACTATCGATGACCTTTATAGAAAAAAAAAACCCGGGGTCTGACCAAGATCCAAACCTGGACTGACAAGCCAGATCTTGAGTCAGCTTTACTGTGGTGGTGTTTCTCACTCTTCCAAGCCCTTAATGTTTGTGAAAAGTACAGGCTAATGCTATGTGCACTCTCCCTCTGTTTGGGTGTTGCTATGTCCTGAAGGTTACATTCAGATTGTCTTGTCAGAAGAACACCATCTATTGTCTGATTAGTGAAAATTTTAATGTTGATTGTTTGGTTAAAGTGGTGTTGTCATGGTATTCCCACAGCCAAGTTGTCATACTCTCCTTTATGATGGATTAAAAATCTTGTAGGAAGGCTTTCTGTGCAAATACTCTGTTTTCCATTGTATCTTCACCTTTAGTTTTCGTAACTTTGATTTTTTTTTTGTTTGCTTGAGCCCTCTTTTGTTGCAGACGGGTGAAAAGATGATTGAGATGTTGAAGAGATTTTGACAAATTTGCAAACATATTCTTATGAAAATCCTAATGTTTGAAATAATTATAACTATAAATGATAAGAAACATAGGAAACTAAACTCCCAAATTTCTAAGCGCAATTTCAATGAGTCTTCTTTTGAGAGGCTGAGAGCTATCTCCTAAGTAAACACGGAAGGGAGTATGACGGTCCAAAAGATAGAGAATCATCTTCTCCATTTGAAAATATTGGCAAAGGCACTCAAAAACTTTGAGCTTTGTTTTCTTATAGGCAGGATGATCTATAACTTTAAAAAAGTTATCCCAAACCTGTTTCTTGAAAGGCAGTTATGTCCCAGATAAGTCAACAAGCAATGCTTGTGTTTTTTGCTGTTGTCTGTTTTTGCTACCAGTTGTAATGTTTAATGCAGGTGAAATCAGTCATCTTGTTTGAAGTTAACTATGTCGCTGATTGATCTAGCAACACCCCCTGAAAAGTTCCTATTTCTCATTTTAGAGACTTTATAGAGAAGCTTGGGACAAGGACAAGACTCAAATTCATATCATGCCAGACACACCTGACATTATCCTGGCGAAAGCAAACTTGATCAATACAAGTGATGTAAGTGACAAATTCTGCATGTGGCTTTAGAAAATCATTTTTGTTGCTTTTGGGTCAGTGAAGTCATTTGCAAGTTCTTTGAAGTCCTTGGATTATTTTAAATAATAAACTCCATGTCATTTTGATGTTTTATGTGGTGCCTTTTAGACTAAAATGAGAACGTTGGTGCACTTCACCTCAGGCAGGGCTGGGGCTCATTATTTCACCTGCGGTCATAACATGAAGGCACTACCCCAATGTGAGCAGGAACACCTTGTGGACAGAGAATATTTTTGCTGAATCTGAAATATTTTGTACCTGACAGTAGTAGATACCAGTGAAATTTTGAATAAATGGGGATGCAAAACCAGACAGCAAATTTTGTTTTTATTTTCCTCATCAAGTAACATAATCTCCTAAAATGTATAGACATTAAAAAAATCTCTAAAGCAAATTTTAAATAGAACAACCTTAACATTTGAGAATATATTATGGTGTATTGCTGTAAAGTACTAAAACATAAGTCCAAGATTAACAGGCATTTTAAACAAGCTGATTTCTGCATTAAAGCATATTAAAATTATGTTCCCACTTGGGATGGGAAGTGCGGTACATGACTTAGGTCACTGCTTGTGTCACCTGCATCCCATATGAGAGGATGAATCCTGGCTCCGCTGCTTCTAATCAAGCTGCTTGGTACTGTCCCTGGGAAGCAGAAGATGATTCAGTGCATGTGTCCCCGCGGCCCACATGAAGACCTGAACGGTGGTCTAGGATTCTGGCTTTGGCCTGACCCAGCCCCAGCTTTAGTGGTTATATTGAGAGTGAAAGAGAATGGAAAATCTCTTGTATTCTTGCCAACTCTATCTCTCTGCCATTCAAGTAAATAATATTTTTAAAAAGTAGAACATTGGCTTTAAAGCAGTTGAAATGTATTCCCAATTATTTGTTATAAATGTGATGAAATAAATGCATGCAAGCTTTCTCAGTATTTGGACTTTCTTCAAAATTCTTTTTAAAATTTTAAGGGACTCTTTAATTTCCCTGGAAAACATGGATCATGCTTCACGTAAAATGTTATTTTACAGGGTATTAGCTCCATGTAAGAGAAAGCCCATGCACATGATCTGTCCCCACTGGAGGAGTTAAATGGAAAAATGACTTTTTTTTTCTGTAAGAACTTCTTAGGAAACAACCGTAGTTGCAAAAAACACTGAAATGACATTTAATTTCTCCGTCAATTTATTCCTGTCTCATCCTCATAGGTATTTGAGAAGAGCTGACATTTAATTTTGTAGATCTTGGTAATTGAAGAGCTTTAAAGTTTAAACAGGACTATTAGCAATCAACGAGCATAAGTTCCAATTACATTTGAGTAGTCTAGAGCAGATACTATTCTCATGGACTCTTAAAAATTTTAGTGTGTTGGATTCATTATACTGCAGCTGTTTGTTTAGAACTGTTTTCCCTAAAGTGATTGTGTTCATCTCTTAACAGAAACTCTACCGAATGGGTTATGAGGAGCTAAAGAAAAAAGGGTATGATCTTCCCGTTGACGCCATTCCAATCAAAGCAGCAAAAGCATCCCGGGAAATTGCCAGTGAAGTAAGTCCTTGTCCCCTGTTGCTGTTGATTTGATTGCAGTTTATCCCTGCGAAGAAAGCAGCCTCGATTTCATTTAAAATTGGACAAAACCTTCTAAGAGATAGAAAATTAAAACAGTAAAGAGTGTAAGATGAGGATAAGACCAAGGATACATTTATTATTTATGGGATTTGTACCTGACCTTAGCCTTTAATCTTTCCTATCAAGATATCAAAGTCTACAGCTCTCTCTGAGCTTAGTAAAATATTTAGAGTAATGTGCTTTGCAGTTTGCCACAGAGATTGTAACCTAAGTTGATTTTTAAAAGGAATATCACACTATTTTTCTCCTTTAGTACAAGTACAAAGAAGGCTTTCGCAAGCAGCTGGGTCACCACATTGGAGCTCGGGACATTAAGGATGACCCCAAGATGATGTGGTCCATGCATGTGGCCAAGATCCAGAGTGACAGGGAGTACAAGAAGGACTTTGAGAAATGGAAGACCAAGTTCAGCAGCCCCGTGGACATGCTGGGGGTGGTGCTGGCCAAGAAGTGCCAGACCTTGGTCAGTGACGCAGACTACAGGAACTACCTGCACCAATGGACGTGCCTGCCCGACCAGAATGACGTCATCCATGCTCGGCAGGCCTATGATCTCCAAAGTGATGTTAGTCTGTTTTCTTTTGCTCTATAAAAGATAGTATATGTTTTCGTCAGTGTAGAATTCCCTTGTAAGAGGAGTTAAGTTTAAGCACCTGAATCCTTCTCTCCTGGATTAATGCCACAAGCTCTGTGCAATTACCCAAACATCTGGGAGCACCATTATCCACCCAGAAAGAGGTGTAAAAACCCCCGTTGCTTTGGTGAAAGCCCCTGTTGGTGCAGGTGTTTTAAGAATTGAGTTGTTCTTTACAAGCTTCTGTAAAAAATTTCCTCAATGTAGTTCTAATCTGAATATATTGATTATAAAATTCATATCAAAATTTTTAACTTTCCCAAGAATTTAAGCATTAAAACATATAAAATCTATGTAATTTGATATAAATGTTTATTTCTTTCAGAGCATAGGTTTACAATTCAGTGACATGCTGCTTTTGATTTCAGAATTTGTACAAGTCTGACCTTCAGTGGCTAAGAGGCATTGGCTGGATGCCTAGTGGTTCTCTTGAGGATGAGAAGAACAAAAGAGCAACCCAGATTCTGAGTGACCATGTCTACCGTCAGCACCCTGATAAGTTCAAGTTTTCCAGTCTCATGGACTCCATACCCATGGTTTTGGCAAAAAACAATGCTATTACGATGAACCATGTAAGTCCTTTGTTTGCTGAAGAAGGTGTTCACCTTTCTTTTATTATTTATGGAAACACTGAAATCTAGTCTAACAACAGAAAGTTCACATTCCATTCTTTTGCTCAATAACACTCATTTTAAAGTAAGTGTTGTGGTTGTGGTTCATACTGCCACAGTGTTTCTAGACCAAAAATTATCACAAATGCAAACTCAGAGAAAAGAGTTTATGCTCATTAAGATTTAGACTGTTTTCATGTGTTCATTTGTTATCCTCCTGTGATCATCATATTTTTCTATTTGTTTTAGCGCCTCTATACAGAAGCTTGGGATAAAGATAAAACCACTGTTCACATTATGCCAGATACACCTGAAGTTTTACTAGCTAAACAAAACAAAGTAAATTATAGTGAGGTAAGCAATAGGTCTGTGCTTCATGATATTTTCATTAAAATGCACTTTTAAAGTCAAACTTGATTATTGGTACTTCTTTCAGAAATTATATAAAATTGGCCTGGAAGAAGCCAAGAAGAGAGGCTATGATATGCGTATTGATGCCATTCCTATCAAGACTGCCAAGGCCTCCAGAGACATTGCAAGTGAAGTAAGTGCATCTTGAGAAGTTCTTTGCTTAGCTTTGGCTCAAAGATTACTTTTCACTGCTTATTAATGGAGCAAGTAAACTATGAGGTTTAATCTATTGTTAATAGTTTATTTTTTTCACCAATAGTTTACAATAATGATAATGAACTTTTCAATACAAAGCCTAAATTCTAGATATGGTTGTGTCCGTGAGAACATTGGTGTCAAGGCAAGTCCGTTTCCTGCTGAACCAAAGCACTGGTTACTTGACTGTACATCAGATAGATTTTTTGTTTTTCCATATAAAGTACTTTTATATAATTCAGTTCAACACAACATTCTTTTAAAACCCAACTCATTCACCATCAATCAGTTAATTTACAAAGGCTGAATGAGTAGGACACACTTTTCAAGCTCAAGCCTTCATGGTGGGTCATATGTTCATCTCTTCATGCAAGGGCTAGCTACAGGTCTTGGCTTTTTTTTAAAGGATAAAGTTGCTCATACTCCTAGAACCTTTTAATTGTTACCTTTTCTTTAAAGTCAGAAATACCTTTGATTTCCAAAGTATGAGTGGTAAGCCTGAGAACTTAAAAATTATTCAAAGTCAAAGAAAGATTAAATGTAATAACTTATACTCAGATAATGAAATACTTACTGCCATTAAAATCAGGTTTATAACAAATGTTTAATGATGTAAAAGTACCTATGTAGTATGGAAAATATCAATTGCCAACATATTTTGACTTCTCTAATTTTTATTCCTTTTTTAGACACATACTACAAAAAGTCATCTCTGCATGCTAGAACTAAATTTTTTTCTTTGTGTGTATTTCATTTATTTTCCAGATGAGATATATACATTATGATCCACATATGATTTATATCCTCAGTTATTATTTTTTTACTAAAAGTTAAAAGTGATTACTCTTTTTCTTAGTACAAGTACAAAGAAGGCTATCGCAAACAACTTGGCCATCACATTGGAGCCCGAGCTATACATGATGACCCCAAGATGATGTGGTCCATGCATGTGGCCAAGATCCAGAGTGACAGGGAGTACAAGAAGGACTTTGAGAAGTGGAAGACCAAGTTCAGCAGCCCTGTGGACATGCTGGGGGTGGTGCTGGCCAAGAAGTGCCAGACCTTGGTCAGTGACATAGACTACAAGAACTACCTGCACCAGTGGACGTGCCTGCCTGACCAGAATGACGTCATCCATGCTCGGCAGGCCTATGATCTCCAGAGTGATGTGAGTAACTGAGGATCAGAAGGACAAGTGTAGATGGGAAATAAGTCAGTGACTACCTCTGGGAGAAGGTGGCATACACCAACCTCACCAACCCTTGCAAAGGGGAATAGTGTACTTGCCTGCCTTGTGAATGTCACCCATCTTGTCTGATAGCTGTCTGTCCTCTAAATTGTATTTTAAGAATGCTTTTCATTTCCTTTATATGAAAATGCATTTCCAATGTGGAGATGAACATGTATTGTCTCTTTTTATAAACAGAATATGTACAAGTCAGATCTCCAATGGTTGAGAGGCATCGGCTGGGTTCCCATTGGCTCTTTGGATGTGGAAAAATGCAAACGGGCAACTGAAATCTTAAGTGATAAAATCTACCGCCAGCCTCCAGACAGATTCAAATTTACCAGTGTGACTGATTCTCTGGAACAGGTGTTGGCTAAGAATAATGCCATCACTATGAACAAGGTGAGGCTTTAAACTCAAAGGTCTAAGTTGTGGTTTCCAAAGTTATACCAAAGAAGAAACACCCTTGGGAAAATAAAAACAAAGCATTAAACAACAAATGCATTATTTATCTACCTGTGAGAGTACTTCAAAAAGTCAAGGAGACATCCCATTAAAAATAAGCTGATTTTAGTACAAAATGTTTGACAACCATATTTGCATAATACAGATTTTCTAAGTGTTTTTTCGAAGACCCCTCATACCTGTATATCTATGGTCTATCTATTTGTCAAGGTATGTAAGGCTACATAAGGCCCACATAACCATTAGATCTGGCTCTGCCAAGGTGACTGAAGTTGTGACTCAATTCAATAAACATATGGCAGGCAAATTTTTGATAATTTCATATAGCTGTTGAATGATGTTATAAATAACCAAATGGCCGTTGGTTAAAAAAGAGTTAATATCTATTTTTTCATCTAATGTATACACCATTCATAATTTAACACTTCATATTTTACTGGGAAGTAGCCTTTGTATTAAACAGGCATTCCTTACTTTCAATGTTAATATCCACTTTAGATTTCAGAAGGCACTTGGATATACATATTTCACTGTGTCCTGATTATTTCAAGTTGTGTTTAAAAATTCACATAATGTGTATAAAATGTGTAACATTTTCCTTTGTTATTTTTCAAGTTTTGTAGTCTGAAAACTTCTGCTAATTCTGTGCTGAAATTTTTTCCTGATGAAAGTATGTGTATTTTCTTTGATAGCGTTTGTATACAGAAGCTTGGGACAAAGACAAGACCCAGATCCATATAATGCCAGACACACCAGAAATTATGTTGGCAAGAATGAATAAAATCAACTACAGTGAGGTGAGGGCAGATGCCAAATTGCTGGTGTTTATACCAAATCTCTTCTTTCAGTGCATTCATTCCATACTAACATACTTTTTTTAAATCGTATTTTTCATGATATGGTTTTATAGGTTTAGAGATTTCTTTCTCCAATTCCTCTTTCTCTTTGCCCATTCTTCATCCCCTTCATTTTCACCCCTCCTTCGTATTATAACAATAATATAGTCCTTTAGCAACAGTCACAACTGTTAAATAACATTCTGCTATTTAAGTGTATCCTAGCATTGTAAGTATAGGCAGTGGTAGAAAGTCGACAATCCTATTGTCGAGGTATATTTAACAGCTTTGTTGGGAGTCCTCCTTGTATTTGGGAGTAGAGATGCATACGGCAGTGTATCTTCACTTCCTAGTACACTAGTCTCCATTGTATAGTTCATCTATGAGAATATATGTATACAGATGTTTACCTATTTCTATTTGTTTGTATTTTGCATGAAGGTTGTCATATCAGAGAGAACATATGTGTACAATGTATGTTTGCTACCATTTCAGAATCAGTTGCTTGGTGAAATCAGCCTCCCTTCCAGCAGGAGTGCCCATCCACAAGCTTTTGAACTGGCTTTGCTTAAGGATTCTCAGTGACAAAGAACTTATCTCATGAGTCAGCTCTTTTGTCCTAGAGAATATCACCAGGAAGTATTTGTGATATGTGGGGTATCCCCCCAAATCCTTTGCAAATCCATACACTGTGCAGCCTACGTCTGTCCCATCTAAAAGGACAGGGACAGATCCTCTGAGTGCCCCACCCAAGTGTTCTCCTGTCCAAGTATTCCCAAATCCTGGACACCACAAGGAAAATGTAATGCTCAGAAGTGAACAAAATGTTGTGTCTGAAGAATAATTTGTATAGACTATGGCTAACATGTTTTCTCCTCTGGACATTTGGCCATCATTCTGCACCCTGTGCTGCCAGCCCTCACTGGCAGCTATGTCACTTTTCATGCACATGGAAATTGTGCCAGCTTAAATTTTTATGAGCAAATGCTAAGTTTTCTCTATCCTGAATTTTTACAAATAGTATTTTAAATCTTAATTCTGAGACTAAAGTTTATCTCTTTGTAATTTTTTTTCTAGATTAACCCCATAGGGGTTTAAGCTTGTGGAAATTTTTGCAAATCTGGCTTTCTCTCAATCGATACATTATGTATTTCTGCCGACTTTGTGCCACCCAAAAGCAAAATATTGCTTCGTGGGTTAAATAAGCATTATAATCTATATTTTGCAGACTGTAACTTAGAGAATTTAGTTAGAATAACTATTTGGAGATGTAGACTGCATTTAGAGACATAGGCTCTAATTTTAATATTTGCATATAACTCTTCATTGTCACCAAAAACTAAAAATGTCAACTCCTACTTTCAAATTTAAAAAGTTGAACTTGTAACTCAACCTGTATGATAGGGCCTTAATTATTACAGAAAAGTAGGTATTCTTTATGCAAGAATTTTAAGACACAAAAAGCCCCTTGGGCTTACCCCTCTGCGTTGCTGGAATTCTCAGCTCAGTCTTTGCTGAAAAACCTCAGAAATGCTATTACATGACTGCTAGTTCCACACGTCCCTGGGGACAGTCCTGCGCATTTCACCTACCTGAGCTCTTGCCTCTCTTTTGCCATCACTTTAATTCAATGATTTTGTGTTGCCTTCTCATTTAGGACAGGAAGATAAAATGCAGATTTATGATACCATTCCTTTCCCAAGCAATTTTGACAGTTTCCCACTTTTTGTAGAATTAGACATCGTCTTCTCTCTGGGCCTCCTTCCTGGGATTTCTTCATCCCCTGTGCATTTGCTCCTTTGTGGCTTGATGTGAGGGATTCCCCTTGCCTTTGTCTTGCCATCTAGTCTGTGGAATCTTGATTCACCATACAAAGTCTCACCTGAAAGTCATCCCTCTACAGAAACCTCTCTTGTTCCCACTTCAGAGTAAATTTCTCCTGCTTGGGGGTTTTTGTTTTGTTTTGTGAATAACATGTTTTACTACATCTTACTGTTTCACTTTCAGCCATTGATTCTATAGCTTATCAGTTCTCTTAGAAACCTTGAAGTGGCCAAAGATCTCATTCTCACCTTTAAAGTTTTTGTTTTTATTTGACACACGCATGCACACACACACACACACACACACACACACACACACAATAGAGAATGAGCAAGACAGAAATAGCACAGCTGATGGCTCATTCCCCAAATGTCTGCCACACTAGGATTCAATCACACCAAAGTCAGGACCTGGCATCACTCAGGGTTTCCCATGTGCCTTCAGGGACTGAGCACTTGAGCTATCACTTGTCTTCTGGAATGCGCATTAGCAGGAAGCTAGAATTGGAAGTGGAGTTGGTGCTCCAATTAAAGCACTCCAACATGAGATACAGCTGTTCCAAGTGTTGTCTTAATCACTGCATCAAATGGCTGGATCCCCAACTTCATCATCGATGGCAAAGTTCTCATTGTACAGTACTAAGTAAATGTGAATTGAATTCATTGCAATGAGCACCTGTTCATCCACCCTTTGCCAGCTTAGGTCTATCTATGAGTTTCAGCTTGATTTTTTTTCCAGTCGTTTTTAAACTTGATTCATTGTTTTAACTAAAATTTTAAAAACAATATATACTATTTTTAGATAGCTCAACTTGCTCTAAAATAAAAATTGGAGATGCAATACTATTCACAGGCAATACTATTCACAGGCATCATTTGTAGTCTTTCACCAAAGTACAGAAGGGTTGCAAATCTTAGAAGTGAGATTATCATAGACACTGTCTGTGGAGAAGTTAGAAATTACACCAATATTCAGCCAGTTTGGATTTGAGTTGCAATTTATGGCTTTCTTTTCTCCAAATTTAGAGTCTGTACAAACTGGCCAATGAAGAAGCAAAGAAGAAAGGCTATGACTTGCGGAGCGATGCCATCCCCATTGTGGCAGCCAAGGCCTCCCGGGATATCGCCAGTGATGTGAGTTGTCAATCCTGTACCTAGTAGGCATTCATTCAGATATAGCTTTTTCACTGAACTAAGGGTTTTAAAGCAACTTGCCTGGACCTCTGAAAAGACTTTTTATTGTGGACGTTTTCAGAAACCTAGTTCTTAGGAAAATGTGTTTACCAAACAGGCTTGTAACTTGTAAGAAAGAATGTCTTCAGTAAAAATTGGCCCATCAAGGGTTGAGAAAGATTCTTTGATATATAGCAGCAGGTTTTGAAGATGCTTATGTTAAAAATTATCACTGTTCAGAAAAGTCAAAGTGTGACTCACAAACTGAAGTTTTCCCGGAGAGAATTATTGTGTGGCTGTAAGGAGCATTTTAATGTACAAGATTAAAAGTGTGCTGGTTATTACAGCTCACCCATGTAAGATTATGGAGGTAATCTAATCAGTACCATGTGTGGTTAATGCCCGAGCTGCACCCTTAGTAAATGTGCCATGCGGTACCTGCATGCACAGCTAAACCATCCTCATTCCTGGTAACCACGGGATTCTAGAGGAACAAACTACTGCTGGAGAGCTCGATATCTACTCCTCTGGAAGACGGCAGTAGTCTTCCTTATCCTGGTTGATGTGTTAGAGACTTTAGCTTATCTCAGAGGGTATTTCAAAAGTTGATGGCAAAGGGAATGAAAAGATGAATGAATGTGAGGATAGAAATTTTTGAAATCTTGGCCTAGTGTTTTGTTTGTTTGTTTGTTTTTACAAAATATGCATTCCTGTGGCTTTTTGGAAAATCCTCTTATTTTAGTCCCTTCCAGAAAATGGGCTCGTGACAATAAAAATGATGATAAAACAGTATTGAAATCTCTTTGCTAAAAGCCTTACCGCAGTATTTCATTTAGTCCTCATAATATTTCTGGGTACAGATATCATCATTACTACCCATTTTACAGATTATTTAAGCAAAACCAAATTCAGCTGATAGAGAAATAGAGAAGCCAGACAACCCACTTTTTTCCTCTGTGCCCTACTAAACTTTATGGGTTAGTATCCTTTAACCAAAATGCTGGGCATAAGAGGTTTTCTGGGATCACTTCAGATTCTGAAATATTTACTTATACAAAGAGACTTCAAAGAGTTAATGGGAAACAGAATCAAAAGATACGTTTATTTTGTTGTGAGAAATTTTAAAAAGCATGCATGATTTCTTCCTAATACTTGCTTTCAATGAGCTTTTTAAAAGTATTCATTATTTTCATCTACTTGCAAGACTGAGATCGAGCAAGAAAGATCTCCTTCCCATCAGCTGGTTCAATCACCAAGGCGGGACCAGGCTGAGGCCAGGAACTCGGAACTGCATCCTAGTCACCCATATGGGTGACAGGAGCTGCCATTATCTGCTGCCACCCATGATGCATTAGCAGGAATCTAGATTAAAAGTGAGGGAGTCAAAATTTAAACCAGTGTTCCATTATGGGACACAGGAATTCCAAGCTGCAGCCTCACACACTGCACCACAATGCTCATTGCTTCCATTACCTTTTGGAAGATTATTTGTAGATAATGAAATATGTTGGTAATGGGACCCAAGCTTAAATGCAAATTCAGATATGCTTTATTTATACTTTATACACACAGTCTGATGATAGCTTTATGTAATTGCCTTTTAAAGTACTGTAATTTGCTGTGACCTGTTTCCTGAGGTCATGTGTGGAATTTGCCATGTAAGATTTCAGATTTTTAGGTCGGGGTAAAACCTTGAACTTAGTTGCCTTTGAGACTGGAAAAATTTTGCATAATGGGCTCAGATGCTGAGTTGAAGTCATTGGACTTGGAATAATAAAAGCATAGCTGGCTAATGAAAGGCTAGAACTCCTAACTGTAATGAGAGGATGTTCAAATCATTTGGATTGCTGCATCAACTTTATTAGTTGACGTAAATTATTAAAAAATTGTCATTGCCACTGGAATGCATTCATTACTAAAGCATAATAATAATGAATTTTCCTCTGTTACAACTACAAGCAGTCCTTAACATTAAGCATTTCATGCTTGCAGGAATCAGTCACTCCTCTCACTGCTTATCATATACTCCACACAATTGATGCACTTCTTTCCTGATGTGACTTTAAATGAGATCTAATACATAAGGTCACTTGGTTCAAATGGCCTCTCCAACAGCCACTGTGTGTGCTTCCCTAACTCCCAGACTGCTCCTTGTTATCTGGCCATGGATGCTTCTGGGTATATACCATAATGAATTGAATCCCGGCTATTTTACCAGGATAAAGACCAGATATGTGCTTACTTTGAAGATTACTAGAAAAAGCGAACTAAATTATGCTGAAAGCAAGATCTTTCTTACAAATGTATGGCCTAAGTGGGTTTACAACAAAAGCCTCATTTGTGCTTTTCAATTTCAGTACAAATACAAAGACGGTTACCGCAAGCAACTGGGCCACCACATTGGAGCCCGGAACATTGAGGATGACCCCAAGATGATGTGGTCCATGCATGTGGCCAAGATCCAGAGTGACAGGGAGTACAAGAAGGACTTTGAGAAGTGGAAGACCAAGTTCAGCAGCCCCGTGGACATGCTGGGGGTGGTGCTGGCCAAGAAGTGCCAGACCTTGGTCAGTGACATAGACTACAAGAACTACCTGCACCAGTGGACGTGCCTGCCTGACCAGAATGACGTCATCCATGCTCGGCAGGCCTATGATCTCCAGAGTGATGTGAGTACAGCACCTATAATAGAACTGTATGTAGAAATAATCTGAACTATGGGAAAGTGACCCTTTGTACACAGGCATGGGCTAAATCATGCTGGGATTTATTGGCCAGTTAATGAGACTGGAAGCATTATTGCTTTAGTTTGAATATGTTAGTTCTTATGAGGAAGTGAAATTTACAAGTTGGATTTAGTCTTATTTAAAAAAGAAAAATGGAAATAAGTGATGCTAGGATTCGTTTACTCATATCAAGCTTGAGTGAAACCACAAATTTTATTGAAGATTGCTCTTGAGTGGTTTTTTTTAAGATACTAAACAAATGGGGTAATTCTTACTGAAATGCTAATGCCTGTCACAACAGAATGGTATTATGACACAAAAAATGTTGCTGCACCTGTAAGTCACTTGACTGGCTGATGCTGGCTACTTTTAGCAGTGTAGTCCTCCTGGTGGAGGGGCTATGTGGTAATGGCAGACCTTGGTGCCACTTGGGAACTGGTGTACTACCTCACATCTGAGAATGAGAAGCATATTTTCTGCAACATGCATGTTATGAATATTTTAAAGAATTACTAAGCATGAAAGAGCTTTGGAGAATAATAAAATAAATGTTTAATAATTATTCATTAATCAGCTCTTGCTAGAGACTGAACAGCTGAGCTGAAAAGATGTCCATTTCTCTGCTATAGCTCATAGTGTTACAAGACTCAGTGTTTTGCAATATACTCTGAAAGAAAAGGCTTTGCCTGCACAAACCAAGAGTTGTTACCATAGAGTGACAACATGGACAGACTGCTGGCCATCTCACTGCCAGGCTCTTTTCCTGAATCCTCCCCCTCCCATTATGACATGATCTTAATGTAGGAAGCATTGGAAAGTTAGTATTCCCAGGATGTAACATGTCAATTGTCTTAATTCTTCCTGCTGTTGAGTAGCAGCCAATAGGTAATTGGCACAGGAAAGTTCCTAAAGACTTTAAAGACTTTTGTCTAGACTGAAAAAATACTGTTGATGATTTTGACTTAGATGCTGTTACTGCTGAAATCCTACCAATGACTTGAATGGAGGGACAGTACCATTGCTATGAAGCAATTATGAATATTTAGTAGGCACATAAAAATCTTTGACAGAAAAACATGATAAAAATAAAGTGAAAAATAGAGACATGCAAGGATGATTGAGGAAAAGAACCTATGCTTACAGCCTGAGAACGTGGCTCCTCTTAGCAGTGTAGTCCTTGCTTATTGCCTTGAGTCCTGGGCACTGTTACAGCTGTCAGAGGTTGCCCTGGAACGGGACTCTCATTGTTATCATATGTTGACTTCTGTTTCCCCCTTAAAATAGCATTTAGAAATATCTTGAAATGCAAGGAAAAGAAAAACATATTCAGTAAGAACCACCAAAAAGAAGCTTGCTCATCATCATTTATGTACCCACATTTTTCATGTGCCATTTCTTCCATTTGATATGTTAAGACATTTCTACATAGCATTGATATTAGAAATATGAGACTTGAGACAGATGTACAGTGCTTCATATGGCTTAGCCTGAGATTGATTATAAAGGTCACGTTTGGAACAGAAGTGGACCTAGGCACCATTTCTCCCACTGTAGATTGACCTTTTTCCCCTGTGCATGTCGACACGATCGTTAAGTAAACCTTCAGAAGAGACCAACTAGGATGGTTTCTTCCCTAACAGTAGAGATGTGGAATAATGCTTAAAAAACACTTTTTATTGGAAGGGCAGGTTTATAGAGAAAAGGAGACTCAGAGACCTTCCATCTGCTAGTTCATTCGCCAAGTGGAGGGAGCAGCCAGAGCTGAGCTCATCTGAAGGCAGGAGCCTTCCTCTAGGTCTCCCACATAGGTGCAGGGTTTCGAGGCTTTGGACCATCCTCTATGGCCTTCCCCCACCACAAGCAGGGATCTGGATGGGAAGTGGAGCAGCCAGGATATGAACTGGCACCCATATGGGATCCTGGCATGTGCAAGGTGAGGACCTCAGCCACTTAGGTTACTGTGCTGGGCCAGGAATAATTCTTTATTAGAGTTAGGAAACATTTCTGAAGCGTATCTGAACACCATTTCTCTTTCTCTTTCAGTCTGCCTAACAGTAAACTGTTTCCATGAAAGACAATAGACTTTATTATTAATTTCACTTAAATCTTTTTGTCTTGATGAGGAGTTTGTCTCTTTTTCCTCTGCTCAGAATATCTATAAGTCCGATCTCCAGTGGTTGAAAGGCATTGGTTGGGTCCCCATTGGATCTCTGGATGTGGTCAAGTGCAAGAGAGCAGCAGAGATACTGAGTGACAACATCTACCGCCAGCCTCCAGACAAGCTCAAGTTCACCAGCGTGACTGATTCTCTGGAACAGGTGCTGGCCAAGAACAACGCCCTCAACATGAACAAGGTAAGTCCCAGCTATCTCAAATTTTTCTAAGATGCTGTAAGATGGCATTGCAGATTAATGATTGCAGAAGTCAGAATTATCCATGACTTTGTGGGATCATATTGACCTTTAAAACCATATTCTTGAAATCTTCTAAATTCCTATAATTTCCTTTCAATTTTGATACCTAGCAAAAGGATTATTTTTGATACCAACTTTGAGATCTAGCCTTACATCAAAGTCTGCTTATTTTCTCCAGTTAGGTAAAATGTGGACTTAACATTTACTCCACTTGTTTGTCATGACTTTTTAAAATTTATTAGATCTAAAATTCAACAACTTTAATGTTTTGTCGCATCTACTTCCCATGTATGTATTATATGCATACACATGATATTTTTCTTAAATAATATTAATCACAAATGGATTCACAACAATGAACATAATGTAGAGAAATGGATATATTATCACATGGCTCAATTCAGTGAAGCCATATTTATAACTATATATCAAATAATGACATTCACATAATTCACTATACTAAACAGATTTTAACTTGATTTTTTCAAATTCCTGTTTTAAATAGTTTTCAATCAACTTTTCCTCTACAGCGCTTATACACAGAAGCCTGGGACAAAGACAAGACGCAAATCCATATAATGCCTGATACACCGGAAATCATGTTAGCAAGGCAGAACAAGATCAACTACAGTGAGGTAGGATGAAGTTGGTGGAGTACTGCATGTGATTTTTGTTCAGCTGCACTTGGCTGTGTGGAGACCTTAGAGCCTCGCTTCACAGAGTGCATGTGGCTGTTTCATCTAGCACTCAGTCTATCCAACTGTGTGATGAAAGCATCACCAGTTAAATATTCATTTTAGAAAATTCTGCAGACAAACCCAAGTCACATTATCCTTTCAGTTCAGGGCTGATCCTAGTGTGAGTGAGTGGGACTGAATAATGTTTTGTGTAATTTCAGGGGGTAGAGATTATCAGATAAAATGTTGGCCCATTCTTTGTACTAAAGCAGTAGTTACTATTTACCTTAAATTCATATTCAAATGGGTATGCTATATTTGTACTTATAAAAGCTAGCAACACTTCCTTAGGGACCTAAGATCACATGCATCCTGTTCCCACCTCAATCTTGAATAGAATTGAGAAATGAAGGAATGGAAACGGAAGTCAAAATCTTACCTGCTTTCTAATGCTAAAGTTAGAAGAAAGTGTATAATATATATATGGGAGCCAAGTATGCTGGTTACTGAGTTAGGTTTCTCCATCCAGCAGGCTGAGCTGGACCTGGGCCTGCCAAGAATTTGGAGGAACAGAGGGCACTAGGCTTGGTCTTAGAGGTTGAAAGGGGAAGTGAGCTAAGCCTGACCCTAATTCTTTTCCCTGATAAGTAATTGGTGATCAAGTCAGTGCACCTCTGCAGATCACAGAGAATAGAGAATTCTATTTCTTGTAGAAAGAAAACCTCGATAGCAATGAAAAGAAGTCTGCTTTGAAGTCCAAGGAATACCTTGCCCCACCCCTCAAAAAATAAGGGGGGACATTTCCTTCCTTCTATTTTTGAGAAGTTTCTCTACTCATCTGAAGAACACTCGGGGTAAACCAAGCATGATTCATTTGTCTCCAAGAGCAATAGTTACCCAGTTACCAACTAAGGTGAACAAGAAAAGACCAAAGAACAATAATACAGTTTAAAGTCCTGGCAGTAACCTCCCTGGTCCTGGGTGCTGCTGGAACCATGAATGAGAGAAAGGCTAGGCAGGTGAAAGCATGGATATGACCCAGGAGTACCCAGCTAGGATAGCATTATCTACAGAGACCAAGACAGAAATGAGAACAGATGCCTGAGGCTGAAGCTCCCCTTGAAGTGACCAGCACAAGCACCCATACATCATCCCAGAATGAGAACAAATAGGAGACTGGGTACAGAACAGGAGCAATAAAATCTATAATGACAAAATATAAAGACAAAGTCTTCCTGAAGAGAAAGGGCAAGGGAAACAATAGAACCACAACCAACACAAATGAGGAAACCAGTATTTCCCTCAAAAATTAAACAAAGGCAAGAATTTAATAAATATGTCACTAGAAGGCACCTCATATGAGAATGCACAATCAGAAATATGGAAGGTGAACTGAATAAAATGAAGAAAACTGTCAAAGAATTAAATTATATCATTGGAAAATCGAATGTAAGGGCAGTAGGAGTTGTTGAAGCCATGGAAAGGAAAGCAGAGAGAGAACTACAGACCAACATCCCTGATGAACATAGATACAAAAGCCAACAGAATCCAACAATACATCAGACCGATCATGCACATGTACCAGGTAGGATTTAGCCCTGGTATGCAGGGATGGTTTCACATGCAGATGTCAACAAATGTGATATATCTCATTAACAAAATGAAGAATAAAAGCCATATGCTCACATTCATAGATGCAGATGAGGGTTTTTTTGTTTGTTTTTAAGAGACCTGGAAGAAGCTTCTAGCTTTGGCTTCACCCACTTGTGACTTTGCAGCCATTTGGGGAGTGAACAAATGGAGCTTCTCTTTGCCTTTCCCCCTTTGTCTTTCCCTCTCTTTGTCTTCCCTTTCTTTGTCTAAATCTGCCTTTCAAATAAATAACTCATTAAAAATGAGCAAAATATTTGTGTGGATAATACTAAACATTATTGTGACGTGCATTTTTTGGCTTTGTTGTATAATGTGGTTTTATCTATAGTATGACATTGTAACCATTTATTTTAATAATGTATATCATTGAACTTACATATGCTATGAATCAATAATGAAGTATAACAGATTAACATGTCAACAATAATATTCATTGATATAACATTTAGCTCTGATGCTATAAGATGTATTTTAAGATTATTGCAAAGGCAGATTCACAGAGAGAAGGAGAGTTAGACTGCAAGATATTCCATACGCTGGTTTACTCATCAAATGGCCGTAATGGCTAGAGTTGAGCAGATCTGAAGCCAAAAGCTCAGAGCCTCTTCTGGGTCACCCACAAGGCTGCAGGGTACCGAGGCTCTGGGCCATCCTCTGCTGCTTTCCCAGACCATGAACAGGGAACTGAATGGAAAGTGCAGCAAACAGGACTAATCTGAGGCCCATATGATATCTCAGTGCTTGCAAGGTGAGGATTTAGCCAATGAGCCATTGTGCCAGGTCCGTAAGATAAGATAGGACTAGCATTTGCTTTTCTTTTCCACTATTACGAGAAATTCAGAATTTCTAGCTCTTCTCCTTTTAAAAATGAAAAAATTTCACTTAATAATCTTCATATTGTCGCTGCCTTGTGTTTTGACTGTCTTTCTCTAGAGTCTCTACAAACTGGCCAATGAAGAAGCAAAGAAGAAAGGTTATGACTTGCGGAGCGATGCCATCCCCATTGTGGCAGCCAAGGCCTCCCGGGATATCGCCAGTGATGTGAGTACTGGCCCAGAAATTTCTGTGGGCAGATAGAGAGGAGAAGGCAAGATCATTATCACAGCAGAAGCTCCATTATAATACCGGTTAAGACACATTTGTTGGTCGTTTTCTTAAATCAAAGAAATGGTTTTCATTTGCTAAAACCTGTATGTTTAACTGTAGAAACTTTAATATCCAGACCCTAAATCTTCTTACAAGATTGAGTCAGAGTCCACAGGTTTTTATGTTTATTATGAGAAACACATCTCCATATTTTGATAATGTGATTCTTCAGAAATAAAAACAGGTAAAGAATTTTTAAAAATAATTGTCTATTTGCATTGATTTCACATCAGATGAAAACTCAGAACCACTAAGACTGGGAAAATCTACGCTACTCTACTCCTGCTTTGTGATTTTTGTCAACTCTTAGAAAAATTTCTATAAAAATTTCTTTTAAATTGCTTTAAACCCAAAGAAAAGGGGGGAAAAAAAAACCTCAGCAAGATGGTTAACCTAGTTCCTCTTGCCTGCCATCACTGAAGGAAGTGGGTCCTTAGGTAGAGAACTGTATAAACATTTTTACTGATTTGTGACTAACTTTATAAATAGTTGAACTGATTATTGCCTAAACTAAAAGACCCAGAGTCAGCCCTTAACACCACCATCCACAAATGCTTTCCCGTGGATAGTCAGCCCATTTTCTCTCTTGAGGAATCCCAAGCAAACCTATTTTTGAAAGAATAGGGCATGCAAGTGAAAACACAATTTTGTGCATTTCAGGAAATCAAGTAGTCCAGTCCAAGTCAGTAGAGCTAGATATGGGAGATACTTTAGTGGGAATTGTGGGTAATGGAATCAAATCCACAGACTCCTCAATAGCATTATCAAAATGGTGTAAGATTTCTGGGTTGGCTCAAGATAAAGAAAAGGCAGTATACACATCAATTGATGTGGGAAATGCTGCTGCCTTTCCTTCCAGGCTGTGAGTATCTACAGACAGTAGATCTGTCATTGGCCTGTTTTCTCAATAGACTATGGCTGTGAAGTTTGATTACGTTAGAGATAAGATAAATGAAGAGATAAACATTATATTCAGATGATTCCATTTCTCTGCAAGAATTAGTAAAATAAAAATCATGCAGTTTGAAATCAATGAGATTTTGACCTTTTTATTCATCTTAACTTTTGAAATGATCACTTTCATTTCAGTACAAATATAAAGATGGTTACCGCAAGCAGCTGGGCCACCACATTGGAGCCCGGAATATTGAGGATGACCCCAAGATGATGTGGTCCATGCACGTGGCCAAGATCCAGAGTGACAGGGAGTATAAGAAGGACTTTGAGAAATGGAAGACCAAGTTCAGCAGTCCCGTGGACATGCTGGGAGTGGTGCTGGCCAAGAAGTGCCAGACCTTGGTCAGTGACATAGACTACAAGAACTACCTGCACCAGTGGACGTGCCTGCCTGACCAGAATGACGTCACCCATGCTCGGCAGGCCTATGATCTCCAGAGTGATGTAAGTGCCTAAAATCTGTAGTAACCATGCCCATTGTAGTCATACACAATGGTCTAGAGTTAGAATCATCAGAGGGACAGTGTTTCTCTTCTTTTCTTATTGCTTTTTAATGCTTTAACCTTTTCTTCACCACTCCAGGGGGTGGGAATAACACCAAAAGATTACATCCAATTTTGCCTTCATATTTCAAAAGACGTAAAATTTATGCAACAATTTTTACTCATTTTGACTTTTGAAATCAAGTGTCATAACCTCTTAAGCCATATTTGCTTTTGTGTTTTCTCCCACCAGAACGTTTATAAGTCCGATCTCCAGTGGTTGAAAGGCATTGGTTGGGTCCCCATTGGATCTCTGGATGTGGTCAAGTGCAAGAGAGCAGCAGAGATACTGAGTGACAACATCTACCGCCAGCCTCCAGACAAGCTCAAGTTCACCAGCGTGACTGATTCTCTGGAACAGGTGCTGGCCAAGAACAATGCCATCAACATGAACAAGGTAAGTTCCTATTTTGGAAACCCCAATGCTTGTGGTTAACATAGTCTTCTTTGTTTTAGCCAATTAAATTGTTATCAAACATGTAGTAATTAATTTTCCACTCAGCTATAATACAAAAATCTGCGGAAGGATTTTTGCTGTTATCTCTTATGAAATAGCCATTGCTATGAAAATAAGATGGCCATATTTGGGGTGAGTTAAAACTCATGAAATTTTATAGATATTTGGCATCTTTTTTGATTGTGGCATATATGGATAAATATAGAAATAAGAAATGAGATGCAGATCTCCATGACATTGATCAAAAGAAAATTTAGAGGTGCCACATCTGGGTATATTTGTTCAATAAAACACTAAATATCCAAGAAGGAAAATCATGGGAAGTATTTGTTAATATAGCCATGGTACATGGTTCTGTATGTATGATTGAAAATTATTTTAATTTAATTTGGAGTGAGGATGACTGGTAACTTACACAAGGGTTTTTTTTTGTACAGATATTTTCTGCTTACATATATATATCATATGTATACTTTATATATAATATATATGTATCAAACATTTATATTTGTTATTTCTTGTAATTAACCTCATGTAGGCTAATTAACTACTCATATATATATATATATATATAAGTATAATATCCTATAAAATCAAAGTGACTAAAATGAATTCTGACATAGAACACATAACACCAATTGCAGGGAGACTGACTTTCAGCTTTGTTAACTCTTGTAAACTTCTGTTTACAATGAGCTTTGTTCACTAAATTCATTAACCTTTTTATCCTTCATAGCGCTTATACACAGAAGCCTGGGACAAAGACAAGACTCAGATACATATGATGCCTGATACACCGGAAATTACATTAGCAAGACAAAATAAAATAAATTACAGTGAGGTAAGGTCATTTATTTTATTTCCATTATCTGGCCACATTGACCATTGCTTCTGCAGAAATGGCAGACTTATCACTTAAATTCTCATGTGGGCTAATTGACTACTCATTATGCTACATTTTTGTTGTTGTTGTTTTGTTTTGTTTTGTTTTTTAAAAGATTTATTTATTTATTATTGGAAAGGCAGATATGCAGAGAGGAGAGACAGAGAGGAAGATCTTCCATTTGATGCTTCACTCCCCAAGCGGCTGCAACGGCTGGAGCTGAGCCAATCTGGAGCCAGGAGCCAGGAGCTCTTCCAGGTCTCCCACACGGGTGCAGGGTCCCAAGCCTTGGGCCATTCTCAACTGCTTTCCCAGGCCAGAAGCAGGGAGCTGAATGGGACGCAGGGCTGCTGGGATTAGAACCGGCGCCCATATGGAATCCTGGTGCATGCAGAATGAGGACTTTAACCACTATGCTATCGCTCCAGGCCCCGTTATCCTACGTTGAATGCACCTATTCATATATGCATATTTAAAAGGCAGATTGAAAGGCAAATAAATAGATCAATGTCTCTATATCAGAAAGGATAAAGTCCTTAAATTTTAGATATTAATAACTGAAATATGTTAAAATTTTAGTTTAAAATAATTGTTTTTAAAATTAGAACATGTTTCACAATGTTTCCTACAAGTTCTCTTCAGTTACCCAATCTATAAATGATGTGAAAATTTGGAGAATTTTTATAACTTAATAAGGTGAAATATATAACATTGCCCAGTATGGAGTATGGTGCAAAATAGATGCTCTACAACCTTTAATTTCTTCCTTTTCTATTCTATTAATTCACCATGAAAACCAAATTTATGTAATATGCCCCAAATAACTTGAGGTTTATTCATGAGAATTGAAATGAGAATTCCTAAATTCACTAATTTCAAAATTGCCTGAGGATAATAAAATTCATTCTTTTATGGGCTTTTATCTCCTGTCTTGCTAAACCTGTCATTGTATATCTTGGCAGTCCTGAAACAGTGCTGCGCAAGTAGATCCTTGCATATTTGCTCTTGCCCACATCAATAATTTATCAGGCTGATTCAAGAAGAATGCTAATTGCCTACATATCATGTGTCTTCATTTACAAATAAAGAAGGAGGGAAGACTTTTCTTCAGTTTGAGATCACTGAAAACAAACTCATTTTCAAGACAATGAAACTGATCATTTTAGCCGTATTCATTACCTTTGCCTATAATAGTAGAGCCCAGGCATTCCTATATCAGAGAACCAGGACAGGCAAAATGCAGAGATACGGTTTGAACAGAACAGTTTTCTCTGGCCTGGTAAAACAGACCCAAGGACAAGAGTATTATGAGTATTTAGTTGGTGTTGGCTTTGGTAATTGTTGACTGAACTGTTTTTTCTTGGGCGTGATTTTTTTTTCCTGAGAAGCTTGTGTTTCCTGTGGAAACCGGAAGTTAGCTTCTACCTTAGATTATGGCGAAACTCCTATATCTTTCCCTTGCTTTGGTTTTCAAAGGATAAGTTATGAGAGTTTTGTTATTGTTGATGTTTTTCCTCCAGACCCAGACTGCAGAGAGGAAAGTGGATTATTTTCTAAATCTAAAATCTTCAACTGGATTTACTGTCTGAAATTGGATGATTATCTTAATTCCCTAAGAGCTTTTTTCTACAAGATTGAATTGTGCAATGACTTTTTTTTTCCCCCTCTGGTAATACCTTCATTCCATAAAAAGTAAAATAAATGCATCTTTTTTCTTCCTAATTTCTCATTTACTAACTGTTCTTTTGGGTAAATAACTTACCCTGCAAGTTTTAAGATGCAGATTTGATGATAACTGAATATATTTTCTTCTTTGAAGCTTTATACATTTTTCAAATGTTTGGGAAAAAAAACTTTTTAAATACAGGTTTCTTACTTACATGATTTGGGAATTTTTGTTCAAAGGAAAAATACAATTATGAAATTGGATTGTATACAATTAAAGATACAATTACAAAAATATAGCTAGATTTTTAAATGTATTTCTTTTTACTGGAATTTTTAAAAAAAGAATAATGAATCCCCTCTAGTTTACCTCAAAGATATTACAGTTAGTATTATGCTTGCTTGAGAGATGGGGCTGTGTGTAATTGGTAAAGCCTGCAGCTGCAATGCCAACATCCCCTTTGAGTACCAATTTGAGTCCCAACTTCTCCACCTCTGCTCCATCTCCCTCCTAATGCACCTGGGTAAGCAGTGGAGGATAGGCCAACTATTTTGAGCCCCTGCACCCATGTGGAAGACCTCTAAGAAGCTTCTGGTTCCTGGTTTCTGTTTGGCCCAGCTCCAGTTACTGTGGCTATTTGGGGAGTGAACCAGCAGATGGAGTCTCTATCTCTCTTCCCCCTTCCTCTTTCCCTCTCTCCTTTCTTTCTCCTTTTCCTCCCTCCCTCTCCATTGCAGCCCCCACCTCTGCCGCACTCTGCCTTTCAAATAAACAAACAATTAGAAGAAAAAATACGTAAAGTTTTGAAACTTGCTTTTGTTTGGTATGCAGAGAATAGAGACAGAGAGAAACAGGAAAGAGGAAATGAACCCCCATATACTGGTTCACTCTCCAAATGTCTATGGCTGGGGTGCGGTGGGCTGAAGCAGGGAGCTGGGAATTTTGTCCATTCTCGCCCAACTGCTTGAGTGCTCAGCACTGGTTCCTGTGGTATACATTGAGCAGGAAGCTTGAAGTCGAGACCCAGAACTGGGAGATGAACCCCGTCCTCCAATATGGGATGCAGGCATATTTACTATTAGGCTAAATGCCTGCTCCTGTTCTGTTTTTGTTTCAGATTTTCCTGTAAAATGGTATCTTAAAAAGAATGTAAATTTTCACATTGTAATATTGTACATGATAAATAATAACATCTCTTCAGGTCTTTTAAAATAATATCTGTGTCACATTTACAGTTCACATGCTATTCTGATATTCTTAATTCAGTCTCATCAGAGAATGGGACATGTGAATGAGAAACTTAATTTTAATGATTTCTGCCACACTTTTAAAAACATTCCAGTTTTGTCTTTAATCAGTCTAGCAGAAGGCCCTCTTGACTGTGAAGATTAGTGTGGTTTTTCCCCCTTAAAACCATGTGTGAGTTCTGAATCCTTTTCCAGAACTACCTACTAACTTTGTATGTGCTTTACCAGACTCTATAAATCTTTTAATAGAGGACAGGGAGAAACTGAAATTAGAGGTTAAATGATTCAGTGTGACCACAACTCCGTCTTGGTGCACAGGCAAGCGGTCTTGAAGCTCAGCTGGGCTTGAGGTTACCCAAAGGTTTTCCCAGGGGAATGCTGCTGTGGATGGATTGAAGGAACTTGGTTAACACAGCTCTGAAATTCCAAAAGATGCTATCTTTCAACTTACCAACCAAGAATACAATTGCACTTTAAGCAGTATTTCTCTTCCCCTCTTCACAACCACTTTCTTTTTTCTTTAAATCAAGAAAAGGCATGTTTTGTATGTGATGGGGGAAAAATTAGATAGATCCAAACTGCTCTGCATCACTATTAAGGTCATAATTGAGACCGTTCACAAAATATGAATATTCATCATATATTACACAATAAAACATCGTCATATTAAACAGTAATATTAACATTAAATTTCCTGAATTTGTGAACCATACCGATATATGAAATTGTATTCATTCCTGGGGATTTATGGGGAAACACATAGGGATAATGAAAGTGGTAACTACAGTTTACCCTTCTTGTTACATTTAAAAATATTTTATTTTGTTTTATGATACAGTTCCATAGGCTCTGAGGTTGCCCATGCCCTTCCCCAAGGTTCCTACCCATTCCTCCATTGACTTCCCCTCTAGTTTTACAATGGATGTCCTTCATGTACAGTCACACCTCCATCATACTGTTATTGAAGTGTTTCCTGTAACTGCAGGCATGGACATTGTCAGAGTACATTATCGTACTGTTAGGGTGTATTCAGTTCTTTCACTGGGAGTTCATCTTTGGTCTGTATGCAGAGAAATATAGAGCAGTTTGTTTCCATATCTGAACATATCAGTCCCCACTATAGTTCCTTTATATATCCCCTAAAATACAGAACCGTTGAGCACAGTCCACAGCAGAGTGAAAATAACACATTTTCATCAATATGAAGTTAACAAATGTGCTACAAAAATAAAAATGCATCACAAGAGTGGTGAAAATGGGAATTGAAAGCCTTGTAGGAATAGATGTCAGTGTGTGACCCTTGTCGTGCTGAAGGAATTACAATTAAAAACTGGACTCCATTACTCATATGAGCTGCAATTTACTCTTAATTGGTTCAAATATTGGAAATAAAGGCAAAACATGCACAAAGATAATGCAGATACAGAAAATATGTTAATAAATTGAAAAGTTTGGTGTTCCTGGTATCATTCTGATAAATTTTCTGCAGGTTTTAAAATTCTTCACAATAAAGCTAAATTCTCAAATATTAAAACATTTCAAAATATTTTATCAAGAATCATTATATAAAGATTTTATCTTAAAAACAAAAGAATGGTTACTATGCTGAATGCTTGATGTTAAAACAAAAAAACTGGGCCTGGCGCGATGGTGTAGTGGTTAAGGTGCTCTCCTTGCACGCGCCAGGATCCCATATGGGTGCCGGTTCTAATCCCGGCAGCCCCGCTTCCCATCCAGCTCCCTGCGCCTGTGGCCCGGGAAAGCAGTCGAGGATGGCCCAAAGCCTTGGGACTCTGTGCCCACATGGGAGACCTGGAAGAGGCTCCTGGCTTCGGATTGGCTCAGTTCCAGCCATTGCGGCCGCTTGGGTAGTGAATCATCGGACGGAAGATCTTCCTCTCTGTCTCGCCTCTCTGTATATCCACCTTTCCAATAAAAAGAAAAATAAATCTTTAAAAAAAACTGTCAGTCTTCCAAAATCCTTTTCAATTGAGCCAATATAAATTCCTTAGTCACGGAATTTCACTATAAATTTATGATTTTTATAAAATTATCAAGATTTACATTTATTTCAAGTGTATGTTGTGATAACAGGATACAGAGTCGTTTATTCAGTGAATTGTTGTCAAAGTGTGCTCTTATGGAACACACCTATGTGTGGTCTTGTGTGTTTCTACCCAGGCACAGAAACTCAGCTTGTTAATTCTTGGGGAAAAATAATCAATACAATGTTGGCAGTTTTGTCCTTTTGACTCATAGATCATCGGTTCCTGCTCTCCTTGGGTCTTCCAATTTCTGGGAATTGACAAAATATTTAGGGAGTAAAGCAAATACTAAGAGATTCGGAAAACAGAGATGATCCTTTGTTCAACCTTAATTTGATATAGAGACATGCTTATAATAGTATCCTATAATGATAGTATTCTGTAATCATATAACCACATTGTCTGCTGGTAGAAACTGTTCTGAACTCAAACTTGCTTGTCACGTGGAAAGATCATGTCCTAACATATTTGAAAGCCATAGACTTAATATGCATAAAATTGAAAAAATTTTCAGAAAGAGAAGCTGTGATAGTAAAGTTTGCTAAGTATGAAATTTCCATTTAACTAAATAGTTGTGTAAATAAAATAAGAGGTTTCTTTTTTAAGGCTGAAACCCGTAATATATTTTCATATCCAAAAGTAATCTTCCTTTGACATAAGTAAGACATTTTAGAGCGACAGTGTGAAATCTAAATGTTACTCTTTTCCCTTAGAACCTGTATCGCCAGGCCATGGAAGAAGCCAAAAAGGAAGGCTATGACTTGAGAAGCGATGCCATCCCCATTGTGGCTGCCAAGGCCTCTCGGGATATTGCCAGTGATGTAAGAGCTGATCATCATGTCTTAACATCTGTTACCATCAAGGCGGCCACCTGCACAGGAAATCACATTATTGGAATATACGTAGAAGTCTCTTTAGTTATCATTCACCTTAACCCCTTCATTGATTGCACAGCTTAATAAATTGAGGCTTGAGGTGGAAGCTAACTTGCCCAGGATCACAGCAGCTTGGTGGCAAAACCTAGACTGCAATGTGGTTCCTTGGATTATTTTGTTCTTTCTGTAATAGTAATAAGTGCTTTGATGAAAGTTATATACACGTAGGTTTAACAACTCATAAAGCCTCACAAGCTCTCATGAGGATGCTTTCACATCAAAGATGCTGGAAAGAAAGTAGATTTAACTGAATTTTCCCCCAGTACCTGAAGAATGGATAGTCCAAAAGCTGATAATCTCTTCCCTATAGAGCCACAAAATCAATATTGGTCCTAAAAATACAAATGTCAGATTCTCAGTTGGATTCTGCATGAAGGACTTCAGAGGTACCGCGCTGGTTTTTCACCATAATGTTCTTGCCTTTTGGTGTTTGCTTCATGTCAGTTGTTGCCATTATAGGATTGCCTAACACATAGAATTAGCCATTTGTGAAGATCTGTAGAGCTGGAACAAGGGGCGCAGCACCCTCCTCTTGGAGTGTCGGCGTGCCCAGTGTGCAGCATCACAGCAAAATGGAGAGAGCCTCCTGTTACATGAACATCACCACAGTAAGAAGAGTGGAGAGCTCTTGTGCCTTGTTCTAACTTACTGTCTTGTCTCTTTCAGTACAAATATAAAGAAGCTTATCGTAAGCAGCTGGGCCACCACATCGGTGCCCGAGCAATACATGATGACCCCAAGATGATGTGGTCCATGCACATTGCCAAAGTGCAGAGTGATCGCGAGTATAAGAAAGAGTTTGAGAAGTACAAGACACGGTACAGCAGCCCAGTGGATATGCTTGGAATAGTTTTGGCCAAGAAGTGTCAGACCTTAGTCAGTGACGTGGACTACAAAAATCTTCTGCATGAATGGACGTGCCTGCCAGACCAGAATGATGTCATTCAGGCACGGAAAGCCTATGACCTCCAGAGTGACGTGAGTATCTTGGCTGTTAAGAACAGGTCACAACATATTCTGCTAGGGCAATGGCCTATGCATTCCAGCAACATGCAACGGAGAATCTGAAAGGCATTTTCATTGGGGAGCACTGTGGTTTGTTGCATTTCTGTTCTCTTTCAAAGGCTATATGTAAAAGAGAAGTACAATCAATACTATCCAGGTAGATAGCTCCCTAAAGATCTCTGTTTCCTTTGTCTGAACCAGTGCAACTTAGCCCTCAAAACTATATCATGGCTAAAAAGCTAGAAATGTATATATGTGTGTATGTGTGTCCACAGAACATGGTATGGAGAGAGTAGGACTGTATTTTGCTAAATTATCTGAATAAACATTTAACATATTTGCTGACAGGAAAATGGTGAGACAGTCTTGTCATCTGTAAAACCCAACATCTGATTCACATTTAGCACACCCTATTGAGAATAAAATTAAATGAGTAATTAGGGCAATGTCTAGTGCATTCCCCAAAGCACATTTCTATTTGATTCAATATGCTGTGATTTTTGGAAGATGGCAATCCAGGCAAGGGTGGTCTGATGACAACAGTCTCACAGTAGTGGCCGGAGCACATTTCCCAAGGCTAGAGAAGCTCCTGAGTAGAAACCATGCAATATTCTCATTTGGTGAACAACAAATTCAAAACACTAATTAAAGAATTGTTTCTTATCTGTTGATCTGTAGAATCTATATAAGTCAGACCTGGAATGGATGAGAGGCATAGGCTGGGTTCCCATTGGTTCCCTTGAAGTTGTCAAAGCCAAGAGGGCAACAGAGATACTGAGTGACAACATCTACCGGCAGCGACCAGACAAGTTGAAATTCACCAGTGTAACTGACTCACTGGAGCAGGTGCTAGCCAAGAACAATGCAATCACCATGAATAAGGTGAGTCTGAAATCCTGTCCATTAGATATCAGAAGTTCTAGGAAAAGGCTCTGACGTACTATTACATTTCAAAAATCACTGTAAGTTATGCTTTTAAAAAATGGCTTTTCTTATAAAATTATTTTCATGGCATAACAGAATATTAAAGTGATGTTGAAATAACCAATGCTGTAATAAAGAATTATTCCCTGGACAAATTGATTCTGCAAAAATTTAAGAGGTGTGTACATTATCAGAAGCTGCATCGGAAGCAGAGCTGCCAGGGTTTACATTACACTCAGATGTGGGATGCTGGCCTTTAGTGTGGTGGCTTAACCTATTATCTACTGGACAGATAAGTGCTGCAATGCAACTTTTTGGTACTATTAAATTCTTTGTAAAGAATTTGTAAAAAACAAAATTCTTTACAGTAATTTTTAGCAAGAAGTAAAAGGAATTTATGTAACTTTAATGATTATCTCTACTTTGCATATAGGTGAAGTGGCTGATATGTTATCAAAAGAAAAATTATGTTAATTCAAAAGCATTTTTTCCCACCTTTTGTTTTAACAGCGCTTATATACTGAAGCCTGGGACAATGACAAGAAAACAATCCATGTCATGCCTGATACACCTGAAATAATGTTAGCCAAACTCAACAGAATAAACTACAGTGATGTGAGTGTTCACCAGCTCCTGGAGCACACAGGCAGCAATAAACTACTGTAACTGCCTCCTCAATGACTGGCTTTGATTAGTTTACTACACATGCACCGAATCTATATTGTCAAAGAGGAATTCTCTCTCGATTCTATTTTTTGGTTATGTGGTAGATTCACGAAATACTTCAGCCTTTTTTATTAATAGGCATCAGGGAATTTGTAATGTTCGGGGGGAATGTGCCAGCATGAATCACAGTCTTAAAGCCTTTACCTGTAAGTGGGTATAGTAGCGAGCTGTTTTACTTACCAACTGTTTAGTGAACAGATACTAGGATGGGACCCAGAGATGCCACGCCCTGTTATTCAAGCTTCTCAATCTATTATTTACTATTACTTACAAGCATTTTTTTTAGGCTTCTCTTGTGATTCTGGATCTCAGGTCCATGTTTGATCATGACCTAAGATAATACTTCACTGCAAAGTAAGGAAAAAGTGGGGACAATGCATTGAGCTTTTCTACAATACCAAATCTATTTAATTTTGAAATCTATCCTTATATTTTTCTTGTTTTAGTGTTAGGGTGCTCTTTCTTTTATATTACGATGGCAATAATAAATGATTGTGGGTTTTTTTTTCTTTTTACATGTGTTTGTTTGCCAAATAAAATTTTGGCAACCAAATGTTGATTTTCCTCCACTTTTTTTTTTTTTAAATAAAATCCCAAATAGACGCCTTAAAATCCTTGAGCATCTATAAAGTGAAGAAATCTACCACTCCATCCTAGTACTTGATTGTTTCTGAAGTTTAGATGAGGACAGACAAAATAGAATAATCAGCATCATTTTTAATGAAAGGAGTGATACTCATGATCATCTTTTCCACAGAAACTCTACAAACTGGCTTTGGAAGAGTCCAAGAAGGAAGGCTATGACTTGCGGGTGGATGCCATTCCCATCCAGGCAGCCAAGGCTTCAAGAGACATTGCCAGCGATGTGAGTTGTGCTGGTTAACAGGGGCATTTCATATCAGCTGGCAAATATCAGTTTTCACAGTTTCTTTTGCTGGAAGCTCAGTTGTCCCTGTAAGTTGCAGTTCTCTTTAGCAGTTTCCTGATATACCAAGCTGCAAATTAAAAAGCACCAAGTGTTAGGTCTGTTACCCCTGTCAATCAAACAAAGAGACATTATTTTTAAAAGTAAGTGTTCTTTGGGCACTAAAACTGGGTTCATAAATCAACAAACCATTGACATAGATGTTTGTAAAAATAAGAGATTGAAACAACATGTAAATTGGCCTGTTAAATCTTCCCTCCTAATTCAACCATTTTATTTTGGTATGAAAAGCAAATGCGATGGATGTATTTATAAATTTTGTTTCATCTTTTAGAAGCGTCTCACTCTGACGCCCATAATTGGATACTATTATCAATTAGAAAGTAAGGAAAGCTTTTCCTCATTACTCATTGGCTCATGTCCATTCCTCTCCACTCTTCCTATCCCATTGCTTCACAGCAGAAACACTTTGTGGGTGTTTGTGTCCCCCACTATCAAACTTTCTTAGGATCCAAATCCAGGTTCTCTATCTGGAAGCGCCCCAGATGTGAGGAACCCTTCATCCCATAAAGATCTCAACTGTTTTCAGAGGTTAAACTATGAAATCCCACACTATGATTATCTTATGGTAAAATGGACCATCATGTATCCTTGAATATTAGAAGTAAAATGAGCCTTGACTCCAAGGCATGACTGTCTCATGCTGGCAGTCCAGTGATTTTGACATACCAAATAAGTGAAATATCCCCTAATGACACATGAAAGTCAATGTAACATGTTGCCTCAGCTAGGAGATTTGTTGTAAACTCTGAAAAGAGAGTCTATTCTTAATGTCCAACATGTTTACAAAACAAAACACCCATATGTTTAAGTAAATGCTCCATTAGATTGTACAAGGTGTTTTATTTTTACTTGTTAAGCAGATGTAAATTGGATGATGTGGTTTAAAGAAGGGGGTAGATATTAGGAATGAGAAGCTTTCCATTCCTGGCTCAGCACTGCTACTCCTTGTGATGTGACCTTGAACAAATCACTTAACCATTTAGGGTTCAGATTCCTGTTTCATAAAATGGAGTTAATAATAGTCACCTTTCTCCCTCATGACAATAGTGAGGAAAATAAAAAGAAATAGCATGTGTTCTTATTATACTCCCATTCCTTTTCTTTTTCAGTATAAATATAAGGAAGGCTACCGCAAGCAGCTGGGCCACCACATTGGAGCTCGGAACATTGAGGATGACCCCAAGATGATGTGGTCCATGCATGTGGCCAAGATCCAGAGTGACAGGGAGTACAAGAAGGACTTTGAGAAATGGAAGACCAAGTTCAGCAGCCCCGTGGACATGCTGGGGGTGGTGCTGGCCAAGAAGTGCCAGATCCTTGTAAGCGACATAGACTACAAGCATCCCCTTCACGAGTGGATCTGCCTGCCTGACCAGAATGACATCATCCATGCTCGGAAGGCCTATGATCTGCAGAGCGATGTGAGTGGCTCTGCTGTTCTTCAGGCAGTTTTTTTTAATTAATCACATTGTATTATGTGACACTGTTTTATAGGTATTGGAATTCCCCCCACCCCTCCCTTAAGCCTCCCCCCACCCCTCCCCAAATCCTGCCCCCATGGTGGATTCCTCCACCTTGTTGCATAACCACAGTTCAAGTTCAGTTGGGATTCTTTCATTGCAAGCATATACCAAGCATAGAGTCCAGCCTCTTATTGTGCAGATAAGTTCAATGGCTTGTTGGGGAGACCTTCTCTGGTCTGAAGGTGGAGCCAGCAGAGTATCATCTCAATCAATTAAAAACAGAGTATCATCTCAATCAATTAAAAACCCCAACATAACATCAGCAACAATTTATAACGTTATGGAATTAATTGACATAGTATTGAGTAACCAATATGTTAAAAAAAAATGCAAGTTGTTAACCACATCCTGTGACTACTTCATTGACATTTCAATTTTAGTTTATATACAACTGGGTTCTATACATCTTAAAATAGCTATAGATTACTGTTCAGCTGTCTTGTGTTTTTCAGGCAGTTTTTAAGGCTTGGAAAGGAAGTTGTAACTTTGGTGCTTACAGATTTTTGACGGCTGAAATTCATAGATACCTCTTCAGACAACATTATAAAATGCTTAATTCATGTAAATATATTGGCTTTGAAGAAACTAGTCATATCAAAATACAGTGATGAAAAAATGAATCCAAATTTATGTGATGTTTATGTGTTTTCATGAACACATTAAAGTGTCTAATCTGAGCGTAATAGCTAGCTGTGGGTGTAATAGCACTTTAATTTCCAAGAATGATGAGCATAAATATTTCAAAATGTCAGTAGGTGAAGATATTTGTAATTTCTGTTCCTGAAAAGGTCATGCATGTTAATACTGCTGTGATCTATTGCCTACGCTGAAAATTAAAGGAAATGCTATATTTCAGTTGCAAGTTAATGAAAATAAGAATGTCTTTATCCATGCTCTGACACCAGGAGAAGTATTCCTGGTTTTAGATAACATAAACTTCTAAATGAATTGTTGCATTATGCATTTATTGACTACTTACAGAGTATGGATGAAAAGTTAAGAATTAATTCTACATGTTTTGGCAATTTTTCTAAGAAACTAAAAGCAAGAGCTGCCTAAAAATGTTTTGTTATCAACTAGTAGATTGTCCTGTGCGGACTCAAATGTATCCATTTGTATAGTAACTCTTTGTTTTGATCAGTTGTTTTCTAAATTCTCCTGAAAGAATGATTAAAGTAATGGCATCATGGAAAAAAAATCCCCAACAGTTACAGTTACATAAACAAATATTTTTATTTGCAAGTTAGAAAATTTGCAGCAAATTATTTTAATTCAAAGCAACAAAATAAGAGGAGAATAAAAATCTTTTTAGGTAAACACAGGAAAAGTGACTGTGGACAAGATAAATAGGAATAAAGACATATTCTTGATTTCAGAAACACATACAGAGGATGATAGAAACAAAGCTGGCATTTTGTTGTCCTAGAAAATATTAATTCAAGAAGCAGCTAACCGAGACCTAATCCCCGTACAAGGAGATATGGGCAGTCACATCTGAGAATAAATAATTTAAGAGGCAGCAAGCACTCCCAAAGTGGCTTTCTGTCTTTGAAGTTGGACATTATAAAAATAATTTTATGGTCTTTAATACAACCCACATTGGCCATTACCTAGAACAAAGCACTTGAGTAGCCGTTATGGACAATCAAGGCAATCCTGTGAGTCTTCCTAGGAATCCACACAAATAAGATTCAGGATTAGATGTCCACTGTATGTATTAAATAAGGCTTGGGAGCACTCTGGCTGAGAAATGTCTGTAAATATTTGGCATTATTTCACTTGCAGGCTGTTTACAAGGCTGATCTTGAGTGGCTCAGAGGCATTGGCTGGGTTCCCATTGGTTCCGTGGAGGTTGAGAAGGTGAAACGTGCTGGAGAAATTCTGAGTGACAGGAAGTACCGGCAACCTGCAGACAAGCTCAAGTTCACAAGCATTACAGACACCCCAGAGATTGTCCTGGCAAAGAGTAACGCCCTGAACATGAGCAAGGTAAGTCTCCAGCCAGAGTCACACCTTCGCTGGCCTGGCTCTTAAAGTAGAACATGCCTGAGTACACCTAGAGAGAAAGCCTGATCCTCATGTGGGCCTCTGGGCTCTTCTCACTGTCCACTCCCCTCCTAGTCCTGGTGCTCTGCATGCACACGGAAGCCTGGTGTGATTTTCCTAGGAGTGATGCACACATCCGTCTGAGCTGTGACTGGGATCTATCACAACTGCCATACATGTACCTTCTCCCTGGCAAAACAAACTCAGCCTACTTGTATTTTTTTTGTCCATCTGTGAAAGAACTTAAATCATTTAGTATTTTGTTCTGAAGATTGGGTAGCTGTGCCAGCACTGCTGAATTAGCTGCTTGGTTTGCTCTTCCACCATAGGTGATGGAAACCCGCTTCTAAATGTGAGCTGTTACCTCTGTTTTCAATTTTGTTAAATGATCACTTCATTCTTGCAGAATCCTAGTAGCAATCTGTTTATGCCTAATCCAACAGAGAGACTCTGAACCCCTGTATTTTAGTTTGAACTAAAGTTACTGGAATTCTCCCATGACCACCTGTACATCTCCAAGTTGTTGCAGTAGGAAGAGTAGGTGCTCAAGGCACAATATGCAATTGACTCAAAATTCCACAGTGTAGAGTAAAAAACTCCAGAAACAATGTTATATCATATATACACAGCAACACAGTAATAACAGAAAACAGCAAAGAAATATTGCGTATTTAATATGACTCAGACATTTTACTTTTATCATGATGAATTTTCAAAACAAACTTAATAAGAAGATAGGATTATCCCTAACAAGATTATCCCTAGGGCAGGAGTCGTCGCATACTTTTCTCATGATCATATGGCTTTGAAACAGTGTAGCTGGTGGGGGTTTTTTGTTGTTTTGGTTTTTTTGTGTGTGGTTTTTTTTTTGTTTTTTTTTTTTTAAGGCAAAGTTAGAGAGGAGAGACAGAGATCCTCTGGTTCATGTCCCAAAACGCTACAACACAGCAGCTAAACCAAAACAAAGCGAGGCATTTCTTCCAGGTCTTTCATGTGAATGCAGGTGCCCAAGTGCTTGGGTCATTTTCTGCTGCTGAGCTAGATGTATTAGCAGGCAGCTGGATTGGAAATGGAGCAATTGGGACCCAAGGTGGTGTTCATGTGGACTGCAGTGTCTCAGAGACGCTCGACCTGTTATTCCGCAATGCCAGCCCTAAACACTTGGGTTTGACTTTGAGACTGATTCTGAAAGTCTAGGGATTTCTACTGTTTAACAGTCTGGAGTCAGACTCTGCTTGGAAGTCCTGTGAGTCAGTTTGTGATTCACTGGAAGAAAACCGTGAGATCATTCTATTGCTTTATATTAGCTGCAAAACCGTCATGTATCTGTTCAAATATTATATTTTGCTCATTTGCAAAAGCTATAAAAGGGTCTGTTTTGTAATTAAGTGTGAGTTGAGTTCAGTAGTAACTATAATGTTGCTGGCTTTAACAGAATGCTTTCTACCTGTCTCCCCCCACAGCATTTATACACAGAGGCTTGGGATGCTGACAAAACTTCCATCCACGTGATGCCGGACACCCCGGAAATCTTGCTGGCTAAGAGTAATTCTGTCAATATCAGCCAAGTAAGAGATTACCTGATTGTCATTTAAAGTCTTTCTAGAAGTAGTTCAAGTGCTTTTTTCAGCCTAACATTTCCATATTTGGCCCACTGACTTTCTAAAACACATTTGTTTCCTGTTACGTATCATCCCCCACCTAGAAACTTTACACCAAGGGATGGGATGAGTCCAAGATGAAGGACTACGATCTGCAGGCAGATGCTATTCCTATCAAAAGTGCCAAGGCCTCCAGGGACATCGCCAGTGATGTGAGTGCCTCCGCCATAACTTATTGAATCTCCACAGTGCTAAACGACCCAGATTGCAGCTGGTGGACCACACTTTGCAATCCCTTCCACATGTATTCCCCTAGTCATGTTTCCTACCTTCCAACACCTTTCCCTTGATCATCACAGAAGTGGAAATACTTTTTGGAATTGGAGTTCGTTCAGGGGAAGTTTTCATTGATGTTGATGTGTAATTGCATGGCAGTTATTTTTATGATAGTTTGAAATGCTAGTAGACAATTGTTTAAGGATGTCAAATGTTGAAAGTGTGAACTTACCCATTTCTAAGTCTACACTGGATTCCTAATGCCATGTTTCTGGTATTTTAGTACAAATACAAGGAAGCGTATGAGAAACAGAAGGGCCACCACATTGGAGCTCAGAGCATTGAAGATGACCCCAGGATCATGTGCGCCATGCATGCAGGGAAAATTCAAAGTGAAAGGGAATACAAGAAGGACTTCCAGAAGTGGAAGACCAAATTCACAAGCCCGGTGGACATGTTAGGCATCTTGCTGGCCAAGAAATGTCAGACCCTAGTCAGCGATGTTGATTACCGCAATTACCTGCATAACTGGACGTGCTTACCTGATCAAAATGACATTATCCATGCGAAGAAGGCCTACGACCTGCAGAGCGATGTAAGCAAGAGGAACACTGGGGAGAGGGAGCTGGGAAGATGTGGGTATTCTAGCTGTTCAGTCAGTGCCATTGTGCACTAGGCATCACTGGAAGGGAAGCAGGGCATTCACATTGTGTCACAGAGTGCTAAATTGAGGAATTAAGTCCTGAGAAGCAAATTTATTCCCTGAAGTAAATTTCAATCTATTGTTGATGGTAATTTCTGACTATGAAAATATATTCCAAACAAATATATATCATCTGAATATTTGTAAAATAATTGTCACTATTATTGTCACAAATATATATATATTTCTTATATATATATATATATTTGACAGGCAGAGTTAGAGAATGAAAGAGGCAGAGAGATAGGACTTCTCTCTGCTGATTCATTTCCTACCTTGACCAGGGCTGAACCAGGCTGAAGCCAGGAACCAGAGTTTCATCCGAGTCTCCAACACACGTTCAGGGTCCAAGTGCTCAGGCTGTCTTCTGCTGTTTTCCCAGATACATTAGCAGAGATCTGGATCAGAAGTGGAACAGTAGAATCCAACCAGCATTCACATGAGATACTAGTACTGCAGGCAGTAGCTTTACCCACCACACCACAGCACTGGCACCACCACAGCATTTCTTTGGGTCAGTTATGATAGGATTCAAATCAATTAAGAGTCAGTAAAGCTCCCCTTTAAAAGCTTCCAATGACTTAAACTTTTGAAATATCAAGTAATTGAGTCATGGAATTGAACGTTATTACTCTTGTTACCCATGGTTAGAATTAATCATTATGTTGTTACAAAGCACTTTTGTCATGAATATTAAAACTAAATCATGTGAGAGCTCAGGTTTTGCTCTTCTGCAGGTGTCTGCTATGTATTCTGTCATCAGCTAAGGGGCAGGATGGCTAACACCCAGAGCAATGATTTTGTCTCCTGTTTGCAGAATGTGTATAAAGCTGACCTGGAGTGGCTGCGTGGCATTGGGTGGATGCCTGAAGGCTCCGTGGAAATGACACGAGTGAAGGGTGCTCAGGACCTCCTTAATGAGAGACAATACAGAACGCGCCCGGAAGCCTTGAAGTTCACTACCATTGTCGACACGCCAGAAATCGTCCTGGCGAAAACCAACTCTCTGCAAATGAGTGAGGCAAGCACCCTCCTAGGAGCAAGCCGTGCTTTGTCTAGATTCTGCTTTCAGATAGTGAACTCAAACTGGGCGTGTGAACTCTTTGAAGGGTTCTCATGATGGGAGTTGCTCCAGGAGCCCTGGCTGGCTTAGTGCGAGTGTGTGGAGTAGGACTCCAGGGCAGCCAGTGTGCCACTGACTCAGAAGCTCTAAAGCAAAAAATGCTCCTCCATGGCCATTCCGGGAAATAAATACTTGACTCCTATTAGTGCTAAGACAAGTAGCCTGAAGCTGGTAGTAACGTGTTAAGATTGTCTAAGAGAAACAGAACCAATAAGATGTGTATATACATACAAATAAATATACACACATGTGCATGCAAGGATGAATATAAGAGGAAAACAGAATTAAATATAAATTTTTAGTCATCATTTTTCATAATACATTTTTTTAAGATTTATTTTTATTAGAAAGTCGGATATTGCTTCTCAGCCTTTTGGCTAAGATCAAGTGTAGAAAGTCAGATATACAGAGGAGAGATGGAGAGGGAGATTGTTGCTTCACTCTTTGAGTAGCCACAGCAGCCAGAGCTGTGCTGATCTGAAGCCAGGAGTCCAGTTCTTCCTCTGGGTCTCCCACATCGATGCAGGGTCCCAAGGCTTTGGGCTGTCCTCCACTGCTTTCCCAGGCCAGAAGCAGGGAGCTGGATGGGAAGCAGAGCTGCTAGGATACGAACCCATATGGGATACTAGCATGTGCAAGATGAGGACTTTAGCAGCTAGGCTACCATGCTGGGCCCCATAATAAACATTTTACATGAGTTTTTTTTTTTTAAGTACCATGTATGTGTGTGTGACAGAAAATATAGATGTGGTAGGCAGGGCAATAGGGGGAGTTGAAGGCATTGACTCCTGCAAGTGTGTAGACTGTCAAGCCTGAATTTCGCAGGGTGTGCCGGCAGATTGAAGAGCCAGGGAAGTGTGCAGTTCAAGCTTAGGTGCAGGCAGCTGGCCAACTTCCTTTTTGCTTAGCAGGTCAGTCTATCAAGGAGGGTCTACCTTCACTAGAAGGATAGTCAGCTTTATTCAGATTCTACGGATACAAATTTGAAACTCGTCTAAAAGTTACCTTCCCAGAAACATTCAGATCAATGTTCAGCCACACGATATCCGATATCCGCAGCATCTCAGAACTATTGAAAACACATGACCAGAACCCTCAGAAAACGCTCTACAATGGGAACTTGGGATGGCATCGGGGGGCAGTTCCCCAGTCCCTGGGGTAATGTGGCATTTGGGAGGCTGGGCATGGTTTCTCCTCTTATATCCCTGTTCCCCTACATACAGATACATGGAAGAAGAAGAAAATGTGTAAACAAGGGTCCCTGATCCTCAACCCTTCCCACCATGATCAACTATGTAAACATGGTCACTAATAAAATTTTAAAAAAATTTCAGCCACAGACTTAAGTTCCATGGTCTAATCAAGGTGACACACAAAATTTAGCCATCATAAACATATATGGAAGTGTTTTTGTCAGATGAAAGAGTTAAGGCTTATTGTTTCAGATACCCACTCTATTCCTGAGTTAAAATAGTATTATCTTTCTTTCCACAGAGGCTGTACCAAGAGGCTTGGAATAGAGACAAAACCAACATCAGTATTCCTTCAGATACTCCAGTCATGCTACAAGCCCAAATCAATGCTATGCAAATCAGCAATGTAAGAGGCATAAATAATGGAGTGTACAAACTTTATAAGATAATACCTGTCAGCTTATGGATTATGTTATACTGGACATACTTTAGAAATGCTTGCACCTTTGGGTATTAAGTATGTTCTCTTGAGCTAAAGTAAGAAAGCAGAAATTCTCTTTTAAACATTGGTTCAGACAGGTGACTAGAATGCCAGAGGTGAGATGCCCAAGTTCCATTGGTGTCCTCTCAATCTTAAATTCTCTGTTCTGTAGCCAATGTTAGGGCTTGACTGACTGTTGATCCGGAGTTTTGAAGTGCTAGCCAGTTGTCTATTGTCTTCCTAGCTCTTTTCATGGTCGTAAGTCCTTGGTTGACATTTCAAGGCCACATGAGAACTTTAAAAAAAAGTATTAATTACATTCAAAGTGCAAGAAATGTATAGTATCTTTCATATTGCCTTGCTAGAAACCTGTGACAAAGGACAAAGTCAGGACAAGTTCTGACTGGGTCTTAACTGTGACAAAGGTCTTTGGCTTTGCCATTGATTCTTAGTTATCATGCAGTGAGTGGTGGGACATTTTCAGATGCACTGTGATGAATGTAAGCATTCAGACATTAATAGAGCTCAATGTTTAGCTTTAAAATATTTATTAGAAATATCCAGTACTCTAAAAAGCCCACAATCAAAAGAACTCAAAAATGAATGTTTTTTGCTTATTCATTCTTCATTCCAGTATGCCCTGTGATTTAGATTCTGACTGCCTTGAGTATATGTGCCTATGTTCACCAGTTGTAAGCAAACCTTGTTTTCCCTTGATAGAAACTCTACCAAAAGGATTGGGATGAGGCCAAGCAGAAAGGCTATGACATAAGAGCAGATGCCATTGAGATCAAACATGCCAAAGCCTCCAGAGAAATTGCCAGTGAGGTGTGTATCCTTCTTTGTTTTTGTAGTTTTTTCCATCTGTCAAACAAAATTTTTCAAGAACTTGAGAATTTTAAATTATGCAAATGAGCTTCATCTTATGTTAATTTATTTAAAGATAATAAAATGGAAGGAAAAAAAAGTTATAGATGAGGTATAAACATAAACAACTCTTGTGTTGGTTCCAAGTGAAAACAAAAATCACTAAGATTTTACACACAGCTCTTGCAAAATTCAAGAACCAATGTAATATCATTTGTGCCCAAAATATTTTTTAAATTGTTCATAAATGTATATCAGATGAATTCAAATAAGCTTGAAAATTGAAACCACATACTATAGAAAATTTTATACCAAAGGCTAATACACAGTATTCCTGAAGACGTTTGAAACTCATTGCATACTGACTTTAAAACATACTAAGAATCAACATAATTATCCCACCAAGTTCGCCTCCTGCCCTACTGCCAGTTTGGAAGCTATCTTGTTGCCTTTCTCTACGTGCTTCTCCAGTTTCTAACATCAAGTATCTGGCTGTTTTCTCCTCCTTGTTCCCAGTTTTACATCTAATAACCGTAACCGTACCACAGTTTCACCTCATACATAATTTTTTTCTCTTTGTAGTCCAAACTTAAAGAAACAGACCATCTTCCTCTGGTCCCAACACACACACATCAGACAAATTCCTGCCCACAAATGTTGGCTGTCTTGTTGTCGTCTTCGGAGTCAAGCCAGCACCTTTGCTTGCTCTCCCTGAAACATGCGTCTTTTTTATCTGGCTTCAAAACCACCTCCCTGACCTTTCCCCTTTCCCCCATGGTACCTTCCCTACTCTCAGGAGACTGTCTGACCTAGTGAGCCAGGCAGCCTTGGGTGATGGAAGTTACTCTTTCTGTGCTTTATTTTTCCTATCTGAATAAGTGACTACAATAGTGTCTCCCACACAGAAATCTTGTCAGGATTAACTGTAATTATAATCCCAACTTTTCAGCTATTTTTAACTAAAAAAAGTCAGCAGTTTCATATGGATCAGCCTAACACATTTGAAGTTCTCTTATACTGTCTGACACAAAGTCATTTCTGGTATGTTTTAATCATTAATTTTTTTTCATGATCATATTTCCCTCCTGATTTACTCAAGTTCTCCATGAAACTGCCTAAGACTCTTCCTACCCAATTTCCTTTAAAGCAAACTGAAATATTCAGTAGTTGCCCATGTTGAGTCAGATTTATTAAGGCTACAAAAATACTCTGAAGTCATTTAAAGAAAAAGCCTCCTAACCGATTGTTTTCCTGTGCGTGTGTTTTTATCTGATTTTTCACAACTTTAGTACAAATACAAAGAAGGTTACCGTAAGCAACTGGGACACCACGTGGGCTTCCGCAGTCTGCAAGATGACCCCAAACTAGTGTGGTCTATACATGCTGCCAAGATCCAGAGCGACAGAGAGTACAAGAAAGCCTATGAGAAATCTAAGTCCGTTTACAACACGCCATTGGATATGATGTCAATCGTTCAAGCCAAGAAGTGTCAGGTCCTGGTTAGCGACATTGATTATCGCAATTATCTGCACCAGTGGACGTGTCTGCCAGATCAAAATGATGTGATCCAGGCTAAGAAAGCCTACGAACTACAGAGCGATGTGCGTATTTCTCTCTGGAGGGGTGTGTGCGGTTGTGTGTTTTTTCACAGCGTGTTCCCTGGAGGCATAATTTAAATGGTAATCTCACTAGTAGAGCTGAAAATATTCTGTGCAATTTGTGGTGGTTGAGCTTTTCCCGAACTTTTTTTGCTTATAAAAGAGCTCCTAGCAAGATGAGTAAGCAAGGGTTCATACTTGCTCACTAAGATGAAAATTGATTCTGTGTAATCAGGGAGAAAACTTGGACCTCAGGTGTTCTGACTCATTGCCTTTTCATGTTTAGGTATCTCAATTTTAGAAATAGATGTAAGCAGAAGCAAATGTTGGACTTCAGTTATCTGATACAGAGAAAAAGTGGTATAGATATAAATGTTTCACCTCATTTAATATACATCTAAAAAACTTTTTTCTCCTAAATTCCTACATCTGTTATTCCCAAGGATCATAACAGGCAGACTTCAAGTAGTGAATATAGAGCCCAACCTACTATAAGAAACAAAATTATGTGCTAAGTTTCTGTTGCTCCAGCAACCACCCGTTGTGAGCCCTGCTCTGATTTCTGTGGGATACTCTGAACTCTCCCAGAGACATCAGACTCAAATGTCAACAATGTTGTCCTTGAGCTTTGTGGGCTTGGCTACCCACTGTGGTTAAAATACTGGTATGTGTGGTTTGCAAAAATTGCACTTTATGGGCAAATTTGACTGTGCCAACCTGTATCTCTCATTCATGCAGAATGTTTACAAGTCAGACCTGGAGTGGATGAAGGGTATTGGATGGTTGACAGAGGGTTCTGTGGATGTGATGAGAGTGAAGAATGCCCAGAATCTCCTGAATGAAAGGCTGTACCGTACAAGGCCTGAGGCTCTCAAGTTCACCAGCATTGTTGATACCCCGGAAGTGATCCTGGCGAAGATCAATGCTGTACAGATCAGTGAGGTAAGAAGAGGGGTGGCGTTCCCAGGCCAAAGACCTCTCAGTCAAGGTCTTGACTTGTGAACTCTGATATCAGCGTTAGGACTATGAACATGTATGTCTGCAGAGAGATCCTCCTATAGCCAGTCAGTTACCAATCCAAGCTCACTAATTGCTTTGATCGATCCTTGCTGAGTACAAGTACAGTGAGCTCCTTCATGTTCTGCAAATTCTGCTACCCACCTTGATCTTATTTTGAGGTACAGACTGTAATCCAGGCCCACCACTTAATTAGGTAATTATAAGATTGCCAGTTTATTAGGAAATGAACATGCCCGGTGACTCAGTGGGAATCTCTAGTGTTCAATATTTTGATGGGATTTGGGGCCAAGAAAACTAGGTTATTTGCAAGGTGAATTTGTTTAACTGTCAGGTAATGAAATGTGAATTAATGGAAAATGATCATCTTGCCCCATGTTTGGGAAACATTTAAAATTTGTATAGTATCTTATGTATTTTGAAGTCATTATGGGTGTCTAATAAGAAAGCACAAAAAGACCAAATATTTATATTTACAGAAGACATTCATAGAAAACTTTTCACTGTATTTGTGACTGTATTTATGTGATAATAGGCTTCTTTACTAACCAAAACTCTCATTGCTTTTCATTTACCAGCCATTGTATCGTGATGCTTGGGACAAAGAGAAAGCTAACGTGAATGTGCCAGCTGACACTCCACTGATGCTGCAGTCCAAACTCAATGCCATGCAGATCAGCAATGTAAGGCACCAGACACTGATTGGCTTTTCAGAGAGCTTTATAGCAATATACTTCAAGAGGAGTCTGGCAACAGGCCTTTTTCCTCGATTCCTTTTATTTCTAACCCTTAAGCCAACGACAAGCATATAGATTGTGTGTGTTTATAATACTGAGATGTGTATTTCTGACTTCGTTGTGAGAAAAAAATGCAGCAGTTTCATCCACAAAGCGTAGCATAAAACTTAAGAGGCATTTGATATTTAGTATTTAGCATTTAGTATTTAGCTGTCTGTTTTAACAGCCACCATGGCTTCTTCTCCTTTAAAATCAATGTTTTCTTCTTATTTTTACATGGATTATTCTAAATTTTCTTCAAAAAATTTTTAGGGAAAGAGCTTTACTCCCAATCCCACCATTTTCCCCCAACATTAATATAATAGTATAGTCCTTTAGTGCAAGTTACAAGTTTAACTTTCTGATATTTAAAGATATCATGTCATGGTAAGCATAGGCAAAGGTAGAGAGCCTAGTAAGTAATGTAGAGGTAAATTTATAAGTTTTATAAGTTTGGGAATAGAGACACATACTGCATAGTATCTTTACTTCCTAGCATGCTAGTCTCCCTTGGTCAGTTCATACATAAGAATATATGTATACCTTGGATTTTATAGATATATGTGTGTATATATATGTACATACACATATATAGACATATAGTATTTTGCATATTGGCTATCTTATAGAGAACATATACTTGTCCTTTTAGTACTTATTTCCCTAGACATAATGATTTCCAGCTGGGATGATTTTGTCATAAACAGCAAGATTTCAATCTTTTTTTTATGGCTGAGAAGTAACCATGGAGTAGATGTACCAAGATGCCCTTTCAGTGTAATTGTTAAGATCTAGTCTTAAGCACATCAGCAATGTTGACTCTATAGCTTCCTCTTCAGAGTGATTGTGGCATTGCAATCTCCTTTTGCAGAAACACTATCAGCAGGCTTGGGAAGACGTGAAGATGACCGGTTATGACTTGCGAGCAGATGCCATTGGGATCCAGCATGCCAAGGCCTCCAGGGATATTGCCAGTGATGTAAGAACAGTTCCCTGTCCAGCCTCCATAAACACTAGCTGGTAGACACATAGTGAGATTGGATATAATTTGTGGGAAACTAAGTTACAAGGAACACAGATCATTGCTTTTAGTATATTAGGAGCTCAGACTCAAAGGCAATTCTTACAACTTGAGAGTCCTCCTGAAATTCTGCTTGTTTCTGTAAGTCTTATGTATAGGTACAAATTTTCATTTACTCTATAATATCTTCTCCATATTGGTTAATTTACAAGCACTTAGAGAGATGTAATGCATAGAAGAATTTTGTTCTTACTCAAAATGTGGGGTGCAGACCACTGGTTTCTGTGAAAGTTTTACGCAACTAGAATATTTTTCTAGATAGCTGTATTATGTGCAGAAAAACACTAGTTCTTTTAAGATAAAAGTTTAAACAAAGAATTAATTTGATTTAATGTAATATGCCATGTAGGTCGTGGTTTTTGTGTGCCAGAGCATCATGGGATGGTCCTCTGTGTCTAAAGTTTGGGGAACACTGAGAAAAGCTAAACTGGGAGAAACTACAGAAGTAGCTGTTGTCTTGCAGGCCCTCACAGTATTTTCATGCAGAGACAAAGAAGACAAACCAATATGTCAGGAAGTACAAAGCTTAGAGTGTGACATTTTAAAGAAAATTGGGATCAAAATAAGAAATTTGGGATGGAGTCATCTTGAGTCAGCTCTCTAGAAAAAGCAAGTTTAGAAAACCGACTTTATTCTTTTCACATTTGCCAGTATCTGTACAAAACTGCTTATGAGAAACAAAAAGGTCATTACATTGGATGTCGTAATGCCAAGGAAGATCCTAAACTGGTTTGGGCAGCAAATGTGCTGAAGATGCAAAATGACAGGCTGTACAAAAAGGCCTACAATGACCACAAAGCCAAGGTCAACATCCCAGCAGACATGGTGTCCATCTATGCTGCCAAAGAAGGCCAGGCCTTAGCAAGCAACGTGGACTACCGCCAGTACTTGCACCAGTGGTCCTGCTTCCCTGACCAGAACGACGTGATCCAAGCGAGGAAAGCCTACGACCTGCAGAGTGATGTGAGTGCCTCCCCTGGGAAGAAGGTCTCCCATGGCCTTGTCTGTGGACCTCTTCCATGCTCTGGAGAACATACCCATCCCTACCGGGGCCCTTTACTACAGCATTATCCCAAATATATGAAGCACCTATTTTTACTGCCACATCTGATCAGAGTTCTTATTTTTATTGTTAAATAGGAGAACAGAGTTATAGAAATTTATTGATATGTGCAAGGTTTGTACTTTATTAAGCACAAGAATGTCCTTGGTTGTTCAACTTTGTATTGAAGAAAGATGGCACTAACTTCCCTGGAATTATCCCCAGAGGTTGGTGGTGTAAGGGCAATTCATTTGTTCTCCTTAATTTGTTCTTTACAACATGAAGAACATTAATTTACCTAAGAATACAACATTAATCTACCTAAAGTATTCTACACTTACTCATATTTTATGCCTGTTTAATCTTCTGGAAATAAATGGACTCCGTAAGATTATTTGTTGTGTAAAATAGAAACCTTTTAATTGTATGTACTTGGTTTCCTTATACTTCAAGAGATATTTTTCCACAAAGAACAAGTTTGTTATAGGAAAATATGCTCATCACCTAAAATAAAATTGCCATGTGGTACATTTAGGCCAGTTTCTAGAGAACTGTGGTCCTAACTAACATGAACTGCATTCGTATGTTCGTTCTGGTTGAAATCATAAAGAGCAAGGAAGGAAAATGTCAGAATCTATTATGCATATAGTTTTCTGTTGAGGATCCTTTACTCTGAATTTTGGGTACCCATTATACTTTAAACACAACACAATGTCATTCTTTATAAAATGGATGTATTCCAATAATTTTTTTGTTCTAATCGCTACCATTTTATCCTGGTATTTGTATACTATTGACTACCAACTAAAATACCAGTTTTCAGCAACATAATGACATTTCAAGTGGTTTCTTTTCATTTTCTTGATGAAGAGTGATAAAAAGGAGTTTCCATCTCATGGTTTACCACCTCACCTCCCTGTACCCTTTCCCAATTTCCTGCAACAACCAGGGCTTGGCCATCCTGAAGCAGGAGCCTGGAATTCTGTCTAGTTCTACTATGTGCGTGGCAGTGGCCAAGTGCCTGAACCAGCTCCAGCTGTGTCCTGGCATACATTGGCAGGAAGTTGGATTGGAAGCAGGGAACCCAGCATTTAAACCAACACTGAAACAGGAAGCAGGCAACCCAACCTATGGCTGACCCCATTGCCTACCCACATAGTAATTTCTTATAAAATTAATAACTAGTATTTAACAGAGCAATTTTAGGTTTTCAATCATTTGCCTATAAATGGGAAGCAAGTTTAGGGCCAAGAACATGCAAATCTCAAATAAAAGGAAGATGCTATTAAATAAAATTTCATTGAGACCAAAATTGTGGGACTAATGATTAATAGCTAATCAACCTTTTAAAACAATTCGTGAAATATGCCTAACACCAGGCACTGTGCTAGTTTAAAAGATATGGTAATGCAGGCAAAGAAAGGAAAGACACAACTTACAGCTTTATGGAGTTCAGATTAATAAGAAAGAAGTAGGTGTTATTTTTAAAAATATGCACACAAAAAAGCTGAAAAGCAGTAATTCATGGTGTCATGACAAGAGAAGTTGAGAAAACTCTTCTGAATAAGTGTGGCTTTCTAGGGGATGTGAAAGGGGAGAGGACAGCACAGAGATAGTCTTTACCGGTTGGGCAGCATGTACAGGGCATCTGATGTGAGGCACGAACTGCACTGACAGCCAGTGTGAGCAGAGCACACAGGATGGAGGAAACTCCAGTGGGAGAATGGGTGGCGATGGTGCCAGATCCTCCCTCCCTCTCCTCTACTCATTTTCAAGGTTTTTAATCTTTTTTTCTAAGAATAATGAGAAGCCATAGGAGAGGAAGAATGTTGTAATATCAGATTGGAATTATGCATTTTGGAAATATGCTGCCTGCTGTGCAGCACACTTACTTGAGAGCCCATTGTCACTGATTTAAAGGTCTACATTGGTTAATATGGTTATTTAATGATAATTTTTCAAAGTGCCCTGAAGCATAGCTATCCCCCAAGTGGAGAGCTGCTTCTGCATCCCTCTGTGTTACAGGATGGAAATGGGCGCTATACAGACACTGTCACAGACAAGGAAAAAAAAGCAATCCACTGCTGGGGCTAGGAGAAGTGTCGTTCGGGCCAGGTGTCTGTTGTTAAGGACTGAAAAAAATAACCTGTATAACTCAAAATTTTGTGGCTTTCACATATAAGTGTCACTTGACCTTGCTTTGTTTTTCATCCCAGACCATCTATAAGGCTGACTTGGAGTGGTTGCGTGGCATTGGTTGGATGCCTGAGGGCTCCCCAGAAGTGTTGCGAGTCAAGAATGCCCAGGAGATCCTATGTGACAGTGTCTACCGGACCCCTGTGGTGAACCTCAAGTATACCAGCATCGTCGACACACCTGAAATTGTCCTTGCCAAGTCCAATGCTGAAAACATTAGCATTGTGAGTCATTTTTTCCCTCTATTAAAGTTGAAGTAGTGCTATAAAGAAATAATAAGGAACCTAATCAAGTGCTAAACTAATATTGATAATATCAGATTTTTCTATTGTTCTGCTTTTGATAATGAAGTTTAAACAAAAGCTCAAAGGATTATTATTAAAGTATTAACATGGATTTCAAATCGAACATAATAGTCATATTGAAAAGATTTTAAAAATCTTGGGCTTAATGTGAAAATAATCTGGATGAGATCCAAAAGAGGGGTTGAACATGTGCCGTTTGACTGGAAGAATTAGAAACTGTGAAGTAATTTGTTGTTGGTTCTTTCCATAGCCAAAGTACAGAGAAGTCTGGGACAAAGATAAGACTTCCATCCACATCATGCCAGATACTCCAGAAATTAATCTCGCTAGAGCAAATGCTCTTAATGTGAGCAACGTAAGTACTACAGTAGACGGATTTGAGTTTTTCAGAGAATCATCTGACCAGTGATGGAATTCCAGCTTCACAATATCCCGAAACTCTTCATAGCCAAGTAGGAGAAAATTGAGTAAGAGTAGAAAGGTTCTGTTTGAGAGAAGAGCAACAGATCCCTGGCTTGTGTTCTTGGACAAAGCCAGTAACAGGGACCCAAAGTCAGTATAGTGACAGGGAAAGGGCATGACAGTAAACTTATGGAAGAGTAATCAAGAGGTTTAATAAGGAGATTCAGATGAACACAGAATTCCTTGGGTGTAGACATTTTCTAGGATATTCTGAGTTGCCCAAAATGGCCGTAGAACACAACTGAAAATATACAACAGAAAATCAAGGAGGTTATTAAACAATTTTCTTCCTCTGCCCCAGTGAGAGCTCTCCTGATGATTTCACCAGAAAATTCTTAAAGAAGTTAAAAAAATTAACTAAGCCCCTATGGAGACTAATTAAAGAATGTCATCACAATGACCAAAACCTGTCCAATATAGTGCCACAAATGAAAATAGTAGACCCATCAAGGGGAAATTGGCAATGTTAACAAATTGAATTCAGTAATACATTCAAATAACATAATACACATAGCTGGGGATCATGCAGGACTGCCAAAAAGGTCCACATTCAAAAACTAATCATGTAATAGGACAGAAGAGGGAAATCATGTGCTCATTTGAACAGATTTAGAGAAGCACGTTACAAAAACCAGTGCCCTTTCTTATCTTCTGAAGTATAATTAACAATAACAAAGAATTCGTGTTTTCATGCATGTCTGAAATATAAGCTTCAGGCCAAAGACCAGCTCATCCTGGGTCAGTAAGCTTCTCTGTTGATCCAGGAGTGGTCAGGAATATCATTATTGAACACTTGCTGGAGGTATTTACTGGTTGAGGGAACGTCGCATTGAGAGTAATGGAGTTGCATAGAAGTAATAAAAAGAGATGCTTATTGGAAAGAAAGAGAAGAAACTACCATTGTTTTTGCAAAAGCAATTATTTTAAGCCTGGAAAAAAAAAACAAGAGAATTAACCAAAAGAAGAGAAAAGAAATCTCGTTAATAGATATAGTTCAGTCACATGGATCACCAAGATTGCTTGTATGTGAAAACAGGACCTTAAAAGAATGGTTCTACCCCAGTGCAATTCTCCAGGGTTTGAAACTTAGTATCCTGTCAGCAGAATAACACATCTTTGTGAGACAATGAGCTTGTTAGGCAAAAACATCATCACCAGGTGCCAACCTTCTGTGTCAACTCCACCATAATGAGTCACTTGAGAAATGCATTCTTTCAGTGTTTGGGAAGAAAACATAGCATTAGGACATGGTTTTGTTTTATTTGGTAGAAGTCTAGAATGAATATCATGGTGCAGTGCCTTCCCAAGTGGCTGCATTAAAAGGCAGGCAGTTGCTCATTACAGCATAGACTCCCCTGCCGTTCAGTCCGCAGGCATTGTTAGCAAGAAAATTGTGGAAAACCTCAAATGCTCCCTTGTCTGAAAAATTTCTCAGCTTAAAAGAACCCTACCAGTGATAACATGAAATGAGCAAGAGCAGTGTTCCAAACTGTGTGCTGAGCAGTTATTTCAGATGTTTAGATTTTTGTTAGAATGGCTTGCATTTTGGAAGAAATAAAATTGCTCAAATAATTACTAACCAAAATTAATTATTTTCTTTACTTATATGGTATCATTAATACTATAATCATAACATGACACTATCTGAGACTGCTTCTATCATTTTTTAATCCTCATTCATTTGAAAGGCAGTGTATGTAGGGAAAGAAAAATCTGCTTGTTTGATTCCCAGATAGCCAGGACTTGCTGCACCACAATGCCAACCCTTGCTTCTGCCATTTGGATAGGAAAGCAAAGGCACATTAGACTGACAGTCTTTGTTGTTGCTTCAAGAGTAACATACTGTTATTTTGCCTTATGAGATGGGAAAGTGGACTTAGAAAGTTAAGGAATCTGCCTGTGTTTTTAAAGTCAGTAGGGGAAGAAATTTTCTTTAAAGCCTGTGGGTTTTTTTTTTCTTCTCAATGGAAAAATAAATTTGACCCTGTAGACAAGCACAAATTTTTTTATGTGGAGAAAAAGGAAAAGCATGTAATAAGGTAGCAAAAGGGTAGCATATAATACTAATATTAAATGTACTTTAATACAATATATTTAAATATGAGGAATAGTTTTTATTCATAAAATGAATACATTGTTAAAATAGATCCACTCAAAATTTGCACAAAAGATAAAATTTGCAAGAATAAAATTCATCTAAGCCCTCGTTTTTCAGGCACGTAAAAACAACAAAACCATCAGTAGGTGGAATTTACCTCTTGCTATATTGTAGGAGCTCCTGTGTTGAGTACCATGACTTTCAAATTTAAATTATTATTTTAGACTCTGACATTGTGAGTAAAGAATGTGCCCACTAAAATATATCTTTTGACACGTCTGGAAATCTGTCACCATTTCAGGTCTCTAAAAAGGATATAGCAGTTGCTATACCCAACATTTCTTCAGCAGGAGGTCTGATATTCCCAAACCTATGCCAGGAAACAAAACCTACAAATGTAAAAAGTGTATAATTCTTCAGATTACAAAATTGAAGAAATTCAATTATAGCCTCTTTATATCTAAGTTTATCCCTTTATTGCCAAGATGTGAACCCAAGGAGGGGAAAGCAAAGCCCTTTCACATCCTGTGTGAGATCAGAAACAACAAAGCACATTGAGACTGTGATTCAAAGGGAGCAGTGCAATCGTGTTAAGCCCAGAACTCTGGACTCCAGATACCACTTTATGTTTCAGTACCAGAAGGTAGCAAATGATTGCTTTAACCCATTCTCTCTTCTCTGTTAATTTGATCTGGGATCTGAGAATTACTGGCCAAAGTGAATCTAGAATGATGCTTGATGGTTTTTTTGTTTGTTTTTTAATCTCTAGAAAATCTACCGTGAGGGCTGGGATGAAGTGAAGATGAGCTGTGATGTGCGGTTGGATGCTATTCCCATCCAGGCTGCCAAGGCCTCCAGGGAGATCGCCAGTGATGTGAGTGGGGACATTTATAATCTCTCAGCTGGTTGATCAGATGCCTGGAGTGTGTCAAGAAGACATGCTGTGATTCCTCTGTTTTGTTTCCTCATGTTTAGTATAAATACAAGCTGGACCACGAGAAGCAGAAAGGACACTACGTGGGCACCCTCACAGCCAGGGATGACAACAGGATCCGGTGGGCCCTCATAGCTGGCAAGCTTCAGAACGAGAGAGAGTACAAGATGCACTGGGCCAAATGGAAGACCAAGTTCCAAAGCCCGGTGGACATGCTTTCCATCTTGCATTCTAAAAAGTGCCAGACCCTGGTCAGCGACATTGATTACCGCAATTACCTGCACCAGTGGACTTGCATGCCTGACCAGAATGATGTGATTCAGGCCAAGAAAGCCTATGAACTGCAAAGCGATGTGAGTGGGCTGCCCTTGAGTGTGGCCTTTTCTGTCATTTGCCAGATAGACTTTGTAGTACAGTATCATGACCACCAAAGCCAGAGTGGAGGTAGAATTTCCCTCAAGACACAGCTGATAGTGTGAATACACTTCTTACATATCTGCTTTAAGGAAATGACTGAAAATATGGTTGCTCCACATGTTGGCAGTAACTGAGCTTTAAATCTGGTAAGATACTGGCAGCCCATGAACTGGATATGAGCACAGACATTGTGTTTTAGTAGACTCAGAGCTCATAAAGTGTAAGTTGCCATGACTTTTACATCAGGAAATTGTTTTAGTCACATCTAGGATTTTCTATTTCTCTTGAAAATTTCAATGGTTTACAGTTTTGAATATGCCTGAATATCCCTGGAACTGAATTTATGTTCCTTTTTAAACAAAAAAGATACACAAGCACTTCACAAAGTTAGTGGAAAAGTGAAATGAAACTTTATTTTGGTGTAGAAAAACTTATGAAATACATGCACTGTTTTGGGGTGGGTTTTTTTTTTTTTGTCTTTAATAATGTATGTTTTCTGGGAACTTTTAAGATCCCTCATATCCATCAGCTTGTCAAGCTGCCTGGCATCCTGATTAATTTTCTGAAGTTAGCTTCCAAGCTGCTGGAATATAAGACCCTACACAGGGTTACATTGTTTCTTCATCACCCGGTGGATGGGCTAAGCAGGACAAGGTGAGCAGGGTTGTTCCTTCATGCCAAACTTATTTTCCCAGGCTGTTTACAAGGCTGACTTGGAATGGCTGCGTGGAATCGGGTGGATGCCCAATGACTCCGTGTCTGTCAATCACGCTAAGCACGCTGCAGATATCTTCAGTGAGGTACGCCAAGGTTTTGTCCTGCTGGTCAGTGAGTTCTCCCAAGAGACAGAACAAAAACACACAGACCAAAATAGAATCTTCTCATATCAGCAGTTTTAATCATGTTAGTTGCTGTCATTTAAGCCAGATGTAGATCTTTTTTTTTTTAAATCCTTTACTTTCCCCATCACATTAAGGGACAGCATCCATATATAGTACCCAGCACATTGGGTATATGGAAAAAATAAATGGAAAAATTCTTCTGTTTCCCAAAACCATACACTTGGGAGACATTTTCTCAGTTAAAAAAAAAAATGTGTTGCAATACACAGGATAAATGATGTAACTTTGGGAGCTAAGCAAATGTACTACTTTAAAAAAAATCTCTGGGAAGTAAAATACACCGCACAGTGCTAACAGGAGAGCCAAATTACAGAGCAGATACCATTCAGTATGTCACTGCACACTTCTAGCAGAGAATAAGGACCCTTAAATGTTGCAAAACTTTCTTGCTCACTCAGGATTGGGAATGACAATTATCTAAAAGATACTTTCTTTCTTATAGAAAAAGTATCGCACAAAAATAGAAACACTCAACTTTACTCCAGTGGATGACAGAGTTGATTATGTGACAGCAAAACAAAGTGGCGAGATCCTGGATGATGTGAGTACATGGTTCCTGTCAATTTCTGCCGCCCTAGACTCGGCACCATTACTGTCTGGGATGCAGCATTTGTCCCCTGAAAATACCAATCCTAGCCATTGCCTGGACAACGTATTTTCTTAACTGACATTGCCATTTTCCCCTTGTCTTTTACTTTTAGATTAAATACCGGAAAGACTGGAATTCTATCAAGTCGAAGTACACCCTCACAGAAACCCCTCTGCTGCATACGGCCCAGGAGGCTGCACGGATACTGAATCAGGTATGGATTTTTACTGGGATGCTGGCACTTTGGGTGGTGATGGAAGGTCACATAGACTTGTAGGAAATGACATGCTCCACTGACGCCTCCCTTCCAACTCCTCATGACTGTTTATTGTGGCTCTCCATCTTTTAGAACCTGTACAAGGAAGGCTGGGAGAAACAAAAAGCCACGGGTTACATCCTGCCTCCAGATGCTGTGCCATTTGTTCATGCTCATCACTCCAGTGACGTTCAGAGTGAGGTAATCCATCGCGACTGTGATTGGACTTTGCAAAGGCTGGGCCTGTACCTAAAACTGCAGTTGTGCCTAAGGCATGGCGTTCCTTTATAGCTTGGCACACCCAACTGGGCTAGGCGGAGGTTGCAGTACCTGTTGTTTTAGTCCTTTTCCATGGGCCTTGGGCTTTCTTCACTTTTCCTGGCCTTTTAAAGAGCTCTTGTTTGTTTTTTATTATCTTTTAAATTCTGTGTCCCTCCCTAAATCTGTAGACCACCAAATAAAACCATTACCAGGATGGAAGGACACTGTTTTTTTCTTACTTTAAAAAGATTTGCTTTTCTCCTTTTCTTTATTTCCCCTCCTCTCCCTCTTCCTCTCCTTCCTCCCTTCTTTCTTTCTTCTCTCCTTCTCCTCCTCTTCCTCCTGTTCTCTTCTCTTCTTCACCTTCTCCTCTTCCTCTTCCTCCTTTTTTTCTTTTTCACCTCTCCTTTTCCTCCTCCTCCTACTTTTCCTCTTTCTCCTCCTTTCTTTTCCTCCCTCCTCTTTCCCTTCCTTCCCTTCCTTCCTGGTATTAGTTCCAGGGCAGGGAGCACTCAGAGAGCTGGTTGGGTGAGTTTCCTAGTGTTCTTTAGCCAGTGGTTGAGCCCCTTTCACCTTGTGTGTTTGTCAAAGCTGGTGAAATCTCATCTCTTCTTCCCACCAGCTGAAATACAAAGCTGAGCATGTGAAGCAAAGAGGTCACTATGTCGGTGTTCCAACAATGAGAGATGATCCTAAACTGGTTTGGTTTGAGCATGCAGGCCAGATCCAGAATGACAGACTTTACAAAGAGGACTATCACAAAACAAAGGCCAAAATCAACATACCTGCTGATATGGTGTCCGTTGTGGCTGCCAAGGAAGGGCAGACCCTTGTCAGTGACATCGATTATCGTAATTACCTGCACCAGTGGACATGTCATCCCGACCAAAATGATGTGATTCAGGCAAGGAAGGCCTATGACCTACAGAGCGATGTAAGTGATTCCTGTTCTTTCATTATCTAAGCAGTGGAGAGTGCTCCCTGAGGTTGATAAACAGCATTCCAGAAGCACCAGCTTTGAAACGTTGAGCCATAAATTCTTCTTGGTATATTCCTGGAAGAACTGGTGAGGATAGAGAGTAGAGAAAGATCAAGGGCAGTGTTGATAAATGTTTTTGCCTACTGACTGCATTTCTGAATAATTTTCAACATCTATTCTTTAAAATAAATTTTTTAAGATGTGCTGCTCTGGCAGTATTTCTGCTATCAGCATCTCCTCTCTCCTTCACATGGGGAAACAACATCTGGTTTTAAGTAATAGCTGACTTGAGTGGGAGTCAAAATGACTTGTGGATTTTATTGTTAGATGACAGAATAGTCCAGGACATAAGAATGCCTCATTCCTGCTTTGCTAAGCGTCTCATTCCTCAAAGCAGTTATGAAGGGATTACTTGCAAGGAATCAAATTAAAAAACAGAAACCAATTACTGATTAAGCTGCAACAATGGCCCAGTATCCTTCATGCAAAGCCTGGGTAAAACTAGGACAAAGAACATGGCATAGGCCACCTCCCACTGAAGTCTCTACCTGCCTCGAGGCATCCGGAGCAGCATAACAGAAACATAATACACTTGACTTAGTTGTTCTCATGCTTACCTGTCTCCTGCTCTTTATGAAAATGGAAACAGGAACTCGAAGGCTGATGCTGCCTAGGTGCTGGACTTGACCATCCACCTCACCAACAGAAGGATTGGCATGGAACTTCAATCCAATTATCTTCAGGAGCTAGGACAGGAGTAAGCAGAGACAGGCGTGGCCAGACCAGAGGAGGTGCCTCCCACATGCCTGCAAATGCACAAGCATTTGTGTGAATTTCTTCATGTAATCCAGACATAGCACCTGGTTGTATATAACTAAGTGTACCAAGTTCATCTAAAATTGCAATCTACTTGGTAAAGCCTTTCTTATGGCCTTGACTCCACTGCATAGAGTGATGTTGCTCTCACAGCACTTAATTGCTTCACAGTCAGTGAATAAATTCTCTCCACTCCCATTCTGCTCTTTACTGATTTCCTCAAAGCACCAAGCACAGGGTCTGTTGCCCAATTACAGGCTGAAGAGTCAGGTGAAATAATGAAATAAATTGAATGAATGAGGCAAGAACTATGCCAAAATCCTTTTTAAAAAAACTTCTGAGAAAAGAAGTTTGAGATCTGCAGCGCGTAACTGTGTCATTTACTCGGTCATCATATTCCCCTTCCTGTTCTCAGAATGTCTACAAAGCGGACCTGGAGTGGCTCCGAGGCATTGGCTGGATCCCTCTCGATTCTGTGGATCATGTACGGGTTACTAGGAACCAGGAAATGGTGAATCAGGTATGCCATGTTGGTTCCTTTTCTAATCTGCTTGTATAGGGATGGGTATGCTATGGGGAAAGACTTGTCACACTCATCTCTATTTGCAGATAAAATACAAGAAAGATGCTCTGGACAACTACCCTAACTTTACAAGTGTCGTGGATCCTCCTGAGATTGTTCTGGCCAAGATTAATGCAGTCAACCAGAGTGATGTAAGTTTGCATTTATCTATGCTGGGGAGTTCATAATATCACTGAATAGATGAGCTTAACTTTAGATAATTCCTTCTAAGAAATACACAGCAAAGATGGGAAAGCATAACAAAGTCTTTGGGAGGAGGAGGTCTTAATTCACTAGAAGGTGATCTGTACCCACCTCTAAATATACATGTGTATATGGTGTGTGTATATATATGTGTGTGTGTGTGTGTATGTATATATATATTTCATGTTCAAATTATTCTGTTAGCTAAAATTGACCAAGATCCAACAAATTGGCTAGTTCTAATCTCTAAATGCTAACTGATTATTGTGTTACTAGATAGATCCTAAGAAAACATAAATACATCTTTAATATTCAAAAGGTTTGATTTTGCTTTGATTCCTTAGGTAAAATACAAAGAAACATTTAATAAAGCCAAGGGCAAGTACACGTTTTCTCCAGATACACCACACATCTCCCACTCCAAAGACATGGGAAAACTCTACAGCACTGTAAGTCCTATTTCATGCAATAATTCAATCCTAATTTTAAGCCTTTTTCAGTTTTAATACTCCTGCTGATTTTGTGAATGCCTGCACAGATAAGGCAACCTATACTATCCATTGCATTCAATTTGTTGGAAGTAGCATACTATTCAAGGTGTGTAGTGTTTATTCAGCTGGCATTTTTTGAGTCCCTGTGACATGCCAGGCACTGTAGGAGCATGAAGGGGCAAAGTTTAATGAGGCAAGGCCTCCAGGAGCTCCTGCCAGTGGCAGAACAGGTGTATAAGTCAGTAGATGCAGGATGTAATAGGTGCTGTACAGGCTCTGGGTACTTGGAGCACTGAGCAGATATGTGAAGAGCAAAGGGAAGAAAAATGGTTCCCCTTTAGCAATCACACACAAATATCTCCAGCCAACAAATGCTTGTTCTCCAAAATTCAGCCTGTTCAAAGGAAGAAGATAATCCTTATATGTATGCCCAACGGGGAGCAATCACTGGTGATGCTATCTCTGTGTCCAAATGTCTTGTATTTTTACTGGAATTGTAAATATAATTGCCTCTGTTGAGCCAAATAACTACCCTGTTTTAGGTAGTTACCCTAAGGGCTTGAAAAATTTCAACCTTGCCTTGAGCAGAAAGGTTTTACTTGGATACCTGGATTTTACTGGTTGTTGTAGTGATATATGAAAGAAGTCAAAGGCAAACTTTTTACTAACCGAGTTTCTTGGCTCTAGATACTGTACAAAGGGGCATGGGAGGGAACCAAAGCCTATGGTTACACCCTGGATGAGCGCTACATTCCCATCGTTGGAGCCAAGCATGCCGATCTGGTGAACAGTGAGGTCAGTGTGACCTTTTCCTCTCTTAGGTTTGGGGGTGTTCATGGGGACAGGGGTTGCACAGCAGGGGAGTGGGGAAGCAAGGGGCTATTGGAGAATTCCATTAATTCTCATTGTTGAACCCACTTCACAGCTTAAATACAAAGAAACATATGAGAAACAAAAAGGTCATTATTTGGCTGGAAAAGAGATCAGTGAGTTCCCTGGTGTTGTTCACTGCCTGGATTTCCAAAAAATGAGGAGTGTGGTAAGCCAGTGTTTGCTTTAGTGCGGGATTCATGTACCTTCAGCATGCAGTGCGTTTGCCCACTTGTAAATTGCTCTTTAGTTCAAGATTAGCTGGGAAAATGGAGTGGGGTGCAAAGACTCACTCTGCAGGTTTTCTGCACCCTGTCTGCCAACCTGGGGACCCTTGAAGGCTGTGTGCCTCCTCTCTCCATTTCTGTCCTCTAGTGTCACACTCAGGACTCTTATGGGAAATTTTAACACTAGAAAAATATAGTGAAGCATGCATCATTTTTAACCCCTATTTTCGAAGTATAGATGTATTTTTGGAAAGAAGGCTTAAAAAATATTTGCATAATTTGCATTTCCATTCCTAATTTTCATCTTTGAAAATCGTTTTTTTTTCAGTTGAACTACAGAAGAGATTATGAGAATACCAAAGCAAATGTTCATATCCCCAATGATATGATGAACCACGTATTGGCTAAAAGGTGCCAGTACATCCTCAGTGACCTGGAGTATCGACACTACTTTCACCAGTGGACTTCCCTTCCTGAAGAACCTAATGTGATACATGCCCGAAACGCCCAGGAGATCATCAGTGATGTATGTTGTCCTCTCTGCTGTGTGATCTGATTATAGGCTTACCCAGCCCTGCCCGAGTCTGCTATTCTCTAATTATCCCTATGTTCCCAAACTCTGCTGCTTTCACCACAGAGTGCCATGAACTACAACGGTAGGCTGTAAGAATACCCTGTGCTCCATAATGACACACTTGTGAAGCATTTCATATGTCTAGGACTCTTCAGCTTCCTAGGCAGGGACTTTAAGACCTTCTAGCTGGAAAAAAGCCCATCCAGTGTCTGTGAGCACTAAGGACTGTGAAGGGCTAAGAGGAAAGGATCAAAATGTTCAACTGTAAAATCAGGATACTGCCAACCTTTCACTGTTTTTTTCTTTCTTGCAGAATGTGTACAAAGATGATTTGAACTGGTTGAAAGGCATTGGCTGCTACGTGTGGGATACACCCCAGATTCTCCATGCCAAGAAATCATATGACCTCCAGAGTCAGGTAAGCTGAAGTTGCTGGAAGGACCAGCTTCTCTTATGGGTCATTGGAACTCATGATGAGGTTTGATGGTCAGGTTCTCTCATGCTCAGGCAAAAATACATACATACATACATACATACATACATACATACATACATACATACATATGAATGTTGTCCCTGTACATGGTCTTAGGAAAGTAAAGTTCTTTCCCACTCCAACTCCTGGCCCCCTGGTTGCCTGTTTTGCTGCTAGACTTTTTCCATGGCATCTCCTATGGCTTAAGGCCATCTCTTTCATTACAGAAAGTCATCCCACATGCATTTGATAGTAAACTACTCTCAATATCCTTACCTTAGTTCATCAGGCTAAGTCACAGGGCATTTGATAAGAAAGCATACTTTGAACACAAGTAGATGTGTTTTGGAGCATAGAAGAGTTCTCTGGAAAACTCCCCAACAGGTTGATTTCATTCTGATAGGGCAGACCCAATTGGATGCTGGAATTGAGGAGTTGCTAAGGAGAGTAGTGGATGGAAGTGGGAGAACAACACAGGGAAAAAGGATGCCTGGCGAAGATCCACACCCCTCTCTTGGGCCAGAGCAATGATGCATTTTGGCAACCACACAAAGTGTGAGGGACAGACAGCATCTTGGTTAGGAGTGAAACACTCCTAGAAATGACACTTCTCAATGGCACAAAGCTGATAGTGGGTCTGAACTTGGTCATTTTTTTTTTTTTTGTAACCTTTGTTTCTCTCCACAGCTACAATACACCGCTGCAGGTAAAGAAAATTTGCAAAACTACAACCTGGTCACCGATACGCCGCTTTACGTGACTGCTCTTCAAAGTGGCATTAACGCCAGCGAGGTGCGTCTTTCTGGGCTTCTCTTTCGGGGAGAACTTTCTTGCCTTGGCATGGTTTCCAACAGCAGATGTGAATAACATAGGGTTTTCTTTTATGTGTTGGTAGGTGAAATATAAAGAAAATTACCATCAGATCAAGGACAAATACACGACAGTTCTTGAAACAGTGGATTATGACAGAACCAAGAATCTGAAAGATCTGTACAGCAGCGTGAGTTGAGGGGTTTTGTTTGTTTGTTTAGTCCCTTGGATTTGAGCCACCTTTGCCCCTTCTGAGATTATCAGAAAAAGAGCAGGGACCCTGTTTCCATTGGATTTTCCATATTTTTATCCATAGATTTTCAAATTATTATTTTATCTCAAAATCATTGCATGGATATAAGTCCAGAGCTGAAGAGAGAACTTGAAGATGGTAGGGAGTGGCTGGGAAAGAAAGAGGAAACACTTGTTCCTGGGAGCTAAGCAGAATGTATTCTCTCATATTCATGAGCCTTGTAACCTTCCAGAACCTGTACAAGGAGGCCTGGAACAAAGTGAAAGCCACCAGCTACATCCTGCCAACCAGCACCTTGTCCCTGACGCATGCCAAGAACCAGAAGCACCTGGCCAGCCATGTAAGTTGAGTCCAAACACAGCCGGCTGTCCTCTCCACCTGCTCCTCCTCCCCACCCCTACAACTTGCTATGCTGCCAGAAGTGCCCCCTGGGACTACCTCTGTATACCATCTAATCATTCCAGATGCTAGGTGGTCACAGAATTTGTATGCTCAGTGCCTCCTCTTGGCCCCATAGTCCACACACAACTAGCTGGGACCCTTGAGGCTGCCTGTATGCAGGTGCCAGGTGTGGGAGGTGAGGAAAGGTGGGAGTCATAACACTGCACACAGAAAACTCTCTTGGTCATCAGAAGTATGTGGGTTTGGAGTTAAAATAATCAATGGATATGCAGTTATGCCCTCTGCAAATAAATTGATGAAATAGGAGGTAGTTATTTTTGTAACAATGAAAGAGGAAACTGATTAAATCTTTGGAAATCCTGCCTTTTCTTAATTTGAGGAGTTGGGGGGAAAGGAGGAGAAAATGTACAAGCTTAACTGCTGGCTCACTCCCTTACTGCCCACAAACGCAGGGGCTAGCCTGAGGCCAGAATCAGGAACTGGGAATGCAATGCAGGTCTCCCATACTCAGGAACACACTGACATGGGCCACGACTGACTGCCTCCCAGGGACAGCACTGGTGGGAAGTCACATGCGCTGTTTAAATACAGGGTAAAGTCTTGTGACTTCAAACCCTAATCACTTCAGTAAACCTTTCTTGTAAAATTCCCTGTACCTTCGTTACAGCTCTGATGATCTCAGTTCTCATCAGAAACATCAGCTACAGCCTATGTCTTAATTGTGAACAGTTTGTGTAACACTGTAGATCATTATTTCTCAACCTTGTGTTTTCATGCCCATGGCGAGAGAGTCAACACACACAACTGAATTTATCTAAATCCCTCCTGGCATAAATGTCCCACCAACAAACACTTACTGCTATACTAGACCATGCGTTCTGATTATCTCAGTTCTGTTCTACTCATTAAGGTGCTAGTGCCCCAGTGCACCAACTCCACAAATCTCTAATGGATGTGGAGTTTCCCAGTTTAGAAAAAAAAGAGCTCAAGGGATAATATAATTATTTTAATGTTTACTTAAAGGAAAAATGATGGTAAATAATTTTACCTAGACCCAATTGTATTTGGAGGACTGCAAACACAGTAGCCTGCAAGAGCCAAGTTTTCACTCACAACAAGGAGTTTAGAGGACAGGATTCACAGAGCCTGGCAAAGGCTTTTTCCTTGGTTGTTGAGCAACTGCTTTTAACAAGGTTGAGAATACAGAAGTGAATCCTTCAAAAGAATTCCAAACGTATGCTTTTATTTTTTTTAAAAAAAGTTTCTTTGAAGAATGTCTGATTTGCAGTTGAGAAATGATGTATGTGAGAAGCTGGAATTTTCTATTCTAGAAGCTTCTGGTGGAAATTTTGGTTGGTTTCCAGTCATTGAAAAGCTTTGCTGGAATTCTGATCCAAGCCCTCCCATCTCCCCCTGTTTTCACCGAGATGTGGATCTCTGGTTGTAGGAGGATGGTTATTTTTCCTTCATATGCTGGATTTAGGCTTCCCATCTTGGCCTTGTCCCCTGGTTCATATGGTTTTGGACCATTCATTAAAAGGCAACATGAATAAAGAATTAAATTTCTTCCCAGAGGGTCAGCACTGTAGCAACATGAATTAAAGTCATATGACGGTGACTCAGGTGGTTTGAGTCTTGGCTGTTCCACTTTCAATTGAGCACCCTGTTAATGCTTCAGGGAAAGTTGCAAAAGATGGCTGAAGGACTTGGGCTGCTGAACCCACATGGAAGACTTGAATAAAGCTCCTGACTCCTGGCTTCAGCCTGACCTGACTCTGGCCATTGCAGCCAACTGGGGAGTGACCTGGTGGATGGAAGACAGCTCTCCTCCTTCCCATCCTCAACCTGCCTCCCTCTCTCTGTCTCTCACAACTTCTCTCTCTAGCTCAGCCCTTCAAATAAATAAATTTTTTCTATTTTTAAAAAATATTTACTTATTTTTATTGAAAAATCAGATTTCTAGAGTGAAGGAGAGACAGAAACCCACTGGTTGATTCACTCCCCAAATGGCTGAAACGGCTGGAGCCGAGCCATCCGAAGCCAGGAGCTTCTTCTTAGTTTCCCACATGGGTGCAGGGTCCCAAGGCATTGGGCCATCCTCGACTACTTTCCCAGGTCACAGGCAGGGAACTGGATGGGAAGAAGAGCAGCTGGGGTTAGAACTGGCACTTGTATGGGATCCCGGGCATGCAAGGTGAAGACTTTAGCCACTAGGCTACCACATCAGGCCCTAAACAAATCTTTTAAAAGGCAAAAACAAATATAAAAATTTCTCCCCTGCCCTAGAAGTTGGCCATAATGATATTTTGGAATAAAAAAAAACTTCATGGAAATTGAAATTCAAGGAAGTTCAAGTTATAAAAAGCAAAGAGATTCCTGAGCAGATTTTTCCCCTTATGATAGTAAGTTATTGTCACAAAGATTATTTTAATATTGCACAACCTTAAAATTGAGTTGGTCGTGGTAACTGTTGTATTACCGGTATTCAAATAGGCATTGTCACACAATAGCTATTAGTGTCATTTCTGTATGGTATAGAACTACATAGCATTGACATGTACTCATGTTTGGTGTTTCAAGTAATCAGGATGTGATTTAAAGTGTAAAGGAGAATTGTGGAGAGTATATACAAATGCTGTGCCATTTTATATAAGTTAGATTTTACATCTTGGTGTTGGGGGCAGATTCTGGACCTAATCCTGTGTGGGCACTGAGGGCCAATTGGGCTCTCTAAAGCTGTGCTCTTCCTTTTTTCTTTACAGATCAAATATCGGGAGGAATATGAAAAGTTCAAAGCTCTCTATACTTTACCAAAAAGTGTTGAAGATGACCCAAACACAGCTCGGTGCCTCAGAGTTGGCAAGCTTAACATTGATGTGAGTAACGCCAAAACTTTGCTTCACACTGAGACCAACTAAAACAGCCTCGCTTTGTAAATTGGAACAGTGAAAAGAAACAGGGATTGTGCATGTGATCAGAGACGAAGCGTTTTCCAGTTGATGTTGATTTTTAAAATATTCTCTTTGATTCTAACCTATAAAAAGTGTTGTCCCCACCTTGCCCTCAATTCCTGTCATTTGATCCCCTTGTCATCTTCTGTGTCTTAGCAAGGCATGTGTAGCCATGACTGGTTAGCATAATTTCCTGGCATGCAATTTTAATCCCACAGCGCCTCTATAGATCAGTTTACGAAAAGAACAAGATGAAAATCAACATTGTGCCTGACATGGTAGAGATGGTGACTGCCAAGGATTCTCAGAAGAAAGTCAGTGAGGTTGATTACCGCCTGCACCTCCATGAGTGGATCTGCCACCCCGACTTACAAGTCAACAGTCACGTCAGGAAAGTCACAGACCAGATCAGCGATGTAAGCCCATTGTCAATGCTGTTCTCCCACCTCTGTCCCATCCCTGACTCACCTGCTGCTTCATCTCTGCCTTTTTCACTCTTGCTTTCCTATGTGTCCTGGGCCTCATTTGATTCTGATGCAGTCCCACGGCTGCATTGTCCACATGTGGGTATTTCTATTGCAGCCACAATCTTATTTTGCTTACTACCTTGTGATTTCTAATATGCAATGGCACCTGGGTCCAGAGTGAGTCTGTATTCTTAGTGTTAAAGTCATGGTCATTTTTTTCCTCTCTGATTCCCTCCATCTGTTGAAATCTTCCAGATTGTGTATAAAGATGATCTCAACTGGCTGAAAGGCATTGGTTGCTATGTCTGGGACACTCCTGAAATTCTCCATGCCAAACATGCTTATGACCTACGCAACGATGTGAGTTTGCCTTGTTTTGCTTTGTTTAGTTGTATTTTTCCATTTTATACAGCCTGGAGTCGAGCAAAAGATAAGTGAAATAGGGATATTGTCACAGAGCAGCTATGGGTGAAGACACGTGGAGGATGGTAGAGCTGGGGAAAGGCACTGTGGTGAGAGTAGTCTTTTCGTAGGTGGCGTTTGACTCTCCTCCTAAACAGTGCAGTCCAGCTGTGTCATCATCCTCAATGGAGGAGGGATGCTTGGCTTCTCTCTCCACTCTGGACTGTTACAGAAATGTTACTGAGCACATAATTTTCATGGAAAATTTCTGTTTGTTGGGAATTTATGACACTAAAGACGGAGTCTCATTGGAAGGAGTGAATTTGCCAGGCAAATAAATATTATAATGAAAATGTCAGTAAGAAAGCTTAACTTTCCAAGAAGAGCAATCACTAAGACTTCCAAAAAATTCTAGAAGCCCCCACTTAAATATGAGGTACTGCTGATAAAAAAATTCATAAACAGCCTTATTTGCTGAGTCAGTGCTGACAGAGGCAAACATTGAAATTTAGCAATATTGAGTATAATGAATGATGCAGTACAGCCTTGTTTCCTTTGCTTTGGCAGATCAAGTACAAAGCTCATGTACAGAAAACGAGGAATGACTACAAGTTGGTCACAGATACACCAGTCTACGTGCAGGCTGTCAAGAGTGGGAAGCAGCTAAGTGACGTGAGTGGTCCCTGAGGGGTGTTACTGTGGGCAGTGATAATGACAGGGCCAGCGCCCAACCAGAGATTGGGCTTCACATGCACGAAACTTGTGAAAAGCACTTAAGCCCTGTGGGCCTCAGCATCCTCCTGTGAAAAGTAGAAAGTGCTTCTATGTAAAGACTCACTTCATTGCCTGACACAGAGCAGAAAACGCAGACAAGATCCTGTTTTTCATTTTTGGAAAAAAATTTTTTTTTAATTTGTTTGGAAGGTAGAGTGACAGGAGAGAGAGAGAGAGCATTTGTGTGTGTGTGTTTTCATCCAGTGATTTACTCTTCAGATGCCTTCAGTAGCAGGGAGTGGACCTGGAAAGAGCCAGGAGCTTAAAACTCCCTCCTGGTTTCCCATGTGTGAGTGGCAGGGGTCCAAACACGCGGGTTGTCTACTCCTGGATTAGTAGGTGCATTAACAGGGAACTGGATTGGAAGCTAAGGTGGAACTGCATCCTAGGCAGTTCCCAAGTGGCAGGTTTTTGTTGGGGTGGTGGGGAATTAACAATATTGGCCCATAATATTAGGTCTCACTAGGCAGTTAGAATGTTGAGATCTATTAGTTTGGAACTTCTATCAGTGAAATGCTGGTGCTGCCTCTTCCGATGTCTGACCCATTGCTTCCACTTATTTCTCAGCATAAGTGGGCCACACCTTGGCTCAGATCTCTTAGGTAAGATGCAGTGGTAGATCAGATGCAGTCCTCTTTGCAGAATGAAGAAGGCCACCTTTGGCATTTTCAAAAGAGAGATGTGGGTTCCCATTTACTTGGCCTCCTTCTAACAATGCCACTGAGGTCCAAATGGCTTCACTCTTTCTGTCTGCCCACAGGCTGTCTACCACTATGACTATGTGCACAGTGTCAGAGGCAAAGTGGCACCAACCACAACAACTGTGGATCTGGACCGGGCCCTCCATGCATACAAGCTCCAGAGTGAGGTGAGCACAACAAACTCAAGAGGGCCCAGCAGAGGCTCAGGGCCCTGGCCTCTGTAAAAGCCACCTTAGCTTGGGCACTCTTGTGGCCTGACCTTGTGAAGTCTTCCCTTTTACAAACAGGATCTTCCTATCAAGCAATTCAATAAATAATGCATAGGCATTTTTGAAGCAATATTTACAAGTTACAAAGAAAGAGACAAATACACTCTCTTCTTTCAAGAAACCTAAAATCAATGTGACAGAAACAAGGCACAGCATCCCCAAAGGCTACTAAATAGTAGAAGCTAATGCTGAAAATTGCTGTTGAGTTTCTGAAGAGAAAGAATCTGGAACCCATCCATATATTTTAATCTCCCTGTTAGAGTTCCCATGGGTACTGCTTTAGTCTCAACTTTTCATGGTATTTACCATCTTGAATTTACAGATACTTTGGTTTTTAATATTTTAGCAGTGTCCTTGATCCCTAGCTCTCCCGTTGAGAGCCAGAGCATGGGAGGTCACAGACTGGAGCGCCTCCTACCTCCCCTCTGTGTGAATCTGCTTCCTTCATAGCCTCCCAGCTTCTTCATAGTCTGAGGCCAAGACATGACGATGTCTCCTCTGGGAATGCTAATGGCCGGAGGATAACCCGTGGGTGCAGTTAATGACAGAGGTGGAGCTTGGCTGCCTTCTTGTCTGTATTTCCTCATTTCTTCCTAGATACCACACCATCAACTGGCCATGGAAGTGTGACATTTCTTGCATAGTTCCTTTTTCTAAAACAGTAGTTTAGCACGTTTGGATCTTATCTGATTTCTTCTGAAATCAATTCCGTGAGCACAAGCACATTAAGTATCCGATCAAAAACTCCAGCATGAGTTGTGTATGATTTGTGTACCTCAGATATTATTGAGGCCAGATGTCATTTTACTTGCTTTTCCTCATTTCGGCAGAATCTTTACAAAACCAGCCTTCGCACTCTGCCCACTGGATATCGGCTTCCTGGAGATACCCCTCACTTCAAGCACAACAAAGACATCCGTTACATGAGCAGTTATGTGAGTGGTCTCCTCCTAAGGTTGGGGTCCAAGATTGGAGTGGGAAGGAATAGCAGTTAACTAATAGTTTTGTCTTGCTTTCCAGTCACATATTTGGTGGGGGTAGGGGCAGGGGGGAGTGGGGCAGGGGAGAGTGGGGGGACATCTACCAAGTTAGTTGCTTTTACAAGTCAGTGGCTGGGAGGCAAGCCGTGGGATAAAATATAACGTTCGTGGGTAACCTGGCTCAGGGCCCACATTCTTGGCACAGAAGCAATTTGAACCATCCCAGACCATTGTCTAGAATTGAAACTTCGTATACTCTCACTGCCTGCAGCTTGCCTAAGTGTTGGAGTGTTGGCTCTGATATTACCCTTGGAACTTGGTGTATTTACCCCATGCACAAAACCTAGAGAACTTTGGTCAACCCAGTGACTGGCCTGCAGACCACACTTGTAAAGCAGTCATCAGCTGAAGAATCAACTCGTCCAGGCTGCCCTCAGGGTCTTGGGATTCAACTCTGCTGGCCAGGCAGAGTCCCTAGCCTGTGACCCATTAGTGTTTCCAAAGCAGAGATCTTAACGATGTGACAATGTAATGTGTCATGTGAAAGTCAGTTCAGAAAGCCATTCAACATTAAAAGAGTATTATTCTATCTTGGCATTTCCTAATTTTTTAGTCATATTGGGGCCAAAATACAGATTTTTTTCTTGCATTTTACATAGGGTAAAATTGTACATAGGGTGCTACAAATGGATTTCACCTAAGGAGGACTGAATCTTACTCATTTTTAGACAAGGCTTTAGTAGCCAACAAAGATTTTTCAAGGCCAAAATAAGGATAGATGCTGTGTCCCTGGCTTTTCTTAATTCATGGAAAACAATTTTCAAATGAAGGTGACCTCTTTTTTCTAGTCGAGAAATGCACTGCAGTTCTCTTTACACATCGTCATTGTCATTCTGACTTTGCTTTTGCAGTTTAAGTACAAGGAAGTTTATGAGCACATGAAGGCAAATGGGTATACTCTCGGCCCCAATGATGTGCCGTTTGTCAACGTCCGGAGAGTCAACCAAGTTACCAGCGAGGTACTATGAATGTCACTGGGGGGATATACTGATTTTCAAAGACTGTGATTTTGAAGTGGAGTAGGAATTAATTGTATTTCAGTTGTAAATGTACATGTCCACACAAAGTAAGAGTATCCTTTGTATCGCCATTTTTAAATGGTACTCTTAGCAGTGTTTTCTCTGTATTTGAAGTGTATTTTCAGAAACTCAGTTCCATAGTTATTATGAAGCAAACTCCTTCTAAAGAAAGAATTTCTTCTTTTGATACTTGTTTTCAGAAATCTTTGATAAGAATGTTTTGGTATGATTCATGACCCTGGTTTTCCACATCAGCTATTTGTATATCTGATCCAACTATGCAACCACCTATTAGAAAGTGAAAGACTTAATCAGAAATATCTGCCTAAATTAATAATTATCATTTTTCTCTTTTATCTCCATCATTTCCAAGAATCTTTTTCTGCTCTGTGTGTGAAGTATTTGATAGATAGGCTTGTCAGTCCTAAACTCCTGAAATGACTTTTCCCCTAATGCAGAGACTGTACAGAGAACTGTACCACAAGCTTAAAGACAAGATTCACACCACTCCTGACACTCCAGAAATTCGCCAGGTCAAAAAGACACAGGAAGCTGTCAGTGAGGTGAGTAACATGAGCGAGGGAGGAGAGGCTGCGGGATGCAGGGATGAGACCACCTGGGCTCTAACTGTGTTTCTGGTTCTTGCCGTGCTTTCCTCTAGTTGATCTACAAATCAGACTTCTTCAAGATGCAGGGCCACATGATCTCCCTGCCGTACACACCCGAAGTGCTGCACTGCCGCTACGTGGGAGACATCACCAGTGACGTAAGCATCTCGTGGGACTCTCTTTGGAGAAGTCTGGTCAAAGGGCAGCCTTGTTTACAGCAGTTGAGACCCTGGTGGTCTGTGTACCTCCTTCTCCGTGGAGTACTTCAATCACTGAGTGTACAGGGGGAGGTGACATGGAGGATAAGTGGAACTCCAGTGTTCTCCAGCCATGGCAACAGTGGTGAGGGCTTTTTGGAAATGGGTAGAGTTACCACCATTCTCAGTCTCCTGTGACCACCACCTATATTCTGTGCTGTGTCACTACCACCCCCATTCTGAGTAGTCATATCCAGATCATGTTAACGACTTCATCCTGCAAACACCCACTCCTAGCTCCCTGAGTAACTTCCCACTTCACTTCACTTTAAAATTTTCCTTGGATGCTCCCATCTCTTTAAGGACACATCCATTCAACCTCTGCTTTTCTCCCATTGATAGAGGATAACACTGACATCATTCTATTATTCTAAGCCCAGAGTCAGATATTTAAGTGAAGAAACCTGATTGATTCGGATGCAAGCCAATAAAACGGAACACAAAGTGGATCTGTTGAATTAAAATGAAAGTAGACTTTCTTTATCTACAGAGGATAGTTTCAAGATTCCCAGTAGCTACCCCACTCTGCATGGTACCAAATTCTACAGATATTTATACACTGTTTTTTTTCCCTATCCATATATACCTAGGATAAAGCTTGATTTATAAATTAGGGAAAGTAAGATACTTAAAAATAACAATAAAGTAGAACAATTGCAACAATATAACAAGAGGTATTTAACACTTATGAAATCCTTTTTTCTAGAATTGTCCATTTAATATTTTCAGTCTCAGGTTGACTATGGGTAAAGCAGAAGCCATGGGAAATGAAACTGTGGACAGCAAGGGCCCGCTGTGTACCAGTCAAGAAGCATGACTGCTCTTTTCCTTTCCAGATTTGTGTTTGCTCACGACCAGTTCTATTTCTGCATTTGCCCTCCACAGATTAAATACAAAGAGGACTTGCAGATCCTGAAGGGCCTTGGCTGCTTCCTGTATGACACTCCGGACATGGTGCGCTCCCGACACCTGCGGAAGCTCTGGGTGAGTGCAATCTCTACCACGTGCAGCTGCCTGGGCACAGCTCCCAGGCTGCCCATCACCAGCATCCAGCAGTTGGGCAGAGAGCTGCCTGCCTGGCTTTCAGCTACTCTTGAGGAGACATATACTCCTCACCCCCTTGGGCAGGCCATGAGCTGCTTAAGGTGATCTATACTTCCTGTGAAAGATGATGCTCTTAATTATCTGACAGTGGTTTTTGCATTTGTCTGAGAGGATACCCCAGAACATAGGAAGGACCTGCTCCACTTGCTCACTGCAGCCTTTTCAAAAACAACATGATGCGTACTTCCTTAAGCAATTCATCAACTTACATTTCTCCGTTTTTCTTTTTTTCAAGTCTAACTATCTGTACACTGACAATGCCAGGAAGATGCGGGACAAATACCAAGTGGTGCTTGACACTCCAGAATACAGAAAAGTGCAAGAGCTGAAGACCCACCTGAGTGAGGTAAGTGGGCCCTGCTGTCACTACGGGTAAATCAAGTTAATCAGGAGGAGCCAAATTACAGCAGTTCTCAGCTCCTCTCAGTGATCAGGTCTCAGGCACCTGCAGGCGTGAAAGTCTGACTTCCTCTGGACTCCTAACTGAGCAGGGACCCCCAGCCCTCAGCAGGTCAATTGACCCCACTGTGTATCGGTTTACTTACTCCAGCCCTGAGGTAAGGTGAGCATATTTGTATTCACCCTTCCTGAGGAGAGGTTTCACATGATTTTATTGGTTAGAAAGTCTTTGTATGCAGGCTATATGTAGAGTGTCCAAATTGGATTGATTTATTTTTCTCTCTTGGCAACCCCGACCATGGCAGTGACATTTGTTCTTGATGGCGCCCTACTCTTTGCCCACACAGTAACATTTAAATGATGCCATTTCATTTTGTTGTCCTGCCTGGCATTATGGCTCTGGAATTACTGAAATTGTCTCTGATCTTTGGCTTACTTAAAATTTAACCTGGAAGAAACTAAATTTTATTTATATTCTCTCCCTTTCAGTATTAACAATAAAAACAACCAAAACAAAACACACTTTAACTTGAACTGTATGTAATGTAGATTTTTAAAAACTGACATGTCTATACATCTAAACATGTGTATATATCTTATGTTTCATGTATTCAGCTGGTGTTTATATCCATTATTAGAATTTATTTAGAATTCAATCCTTCTCTACAGTTTGCCTTATTATACTAAATTCTCTCAGTATTTATTAGGGGACTACTGCTTTTCAGGCCCTTTGCCTAACCATTTATTAATGAGCTACTAAATTTCTCTCCTAGCAAGGGAGAGAAAACAGACACTGGTAAATGATATTTAACAAGAATGCTCATGGCAGTCTAGATTCAAGGAGTTTCCAGGCAGTTAAGGGGGAGAAGGACATTCTAAGTGGGTTGGCAGTGTGTGAATGACTTCAAATAGCACATGAGGGGTGTGGATGAATTTGAAGAAATAAGACCATATCATAAAAAGTCCATAGGTGTTCATGATGTCAGGGTTGTTGAAAGCCAGTGAAGAGTTATTTCTAAGCATGATAGATCTGAACCTCAAGAAAATCTCTCAGTTCTGTGAAATATGAGTGAACCACCGTGGAGCTGTCACGGGCATCAAGAAGGTGGTTTAGAAGCTGAATCGGGTCTGTGATGGTAAGAAAGGAGAAGGACCAGATATCAAGAGTATCATAAAGTTATGAGCCCACAATTCAGCACCATTTCAATGTGGGAATAAACTGGGTGTCTTGGGATACTCCCTCCCCCAAATTTTCTGTCCTGGGTGACAGCAAGATCAGGCAGTCATTTAGTAAAACAAAGACAATAGGAGCAGAAGCAGATTTTTTTTGCTAGAAATGGGAATAAAATAAAGAATTCCACATTGTAAAAATACTAAATAAAAAATAAAATTTGGAGAAAAAAAATCCTCCTCCATTGAAGATGATGAATCCCTCACATTCAGAAAGTTGTTGAAAATTTGGGCTTGAAGTTCAGGACAGACACTGGATGTGTAGACTTAAAGTCTCCAGCCTTATAGTGATGATGGAGGCCATGGGAATAGATGAGGTCCCTCAGGGGGCATGCAAATGCTGCAGAGGGTCAACCCTTACACCAGCTCCTGGCAAGCATGTTGGGCAGGACCATGGCAGGAGGTAGAGGGGTACCTAGGAGGGATTGGAGGATAGAGTTCTCAGGAGTTATAGTGGTGAGTAGTTGCAGTTGCTAAAGAGAAATATTCTTGTATTTGGCCATCCTAAAACTTTTGGTAGTCTTCATGAGAATGATTTTGTTCAAGTGGCTAGCTGAAAGTAAAACTATGGTGTTGAGAAATTAATTTAGAACAGAAAACAAGAACTATAAATCAACTTCGTTGAGAAGAGAGGAGGAGAGGGACACATGAGCTGGAGGCAAGTGAAGACGTCATGAAGAGGTGTTGAACCTGTCTGCAAAAGAAGGAAGCGAGCTCATGATGCCTCAGGGATTATAGCTGCAACAAGTTTCAAGGAAGGACCAGTGAGAACAGGACCACAAACAGTAGGAAAGTTGAGTCTTGAACAGACATCTTGCTTCGATGTGAAAATGAGAAAAAGAGAGCTCAGGAAGAAACCAAATGGTTGGTTTATTGGGAAGAACCTGAGATTGTTGTGATGGGAGGGCCCCTGCCTATGCCACAAGTAAGCACTAAGGCCATAAGCAGAGGAGAGCCCATGTCAAAGAAGCTAATGTGTTTTCTGCCTAGCTTGTGTACAGAGCTTCTGGCAAGAAGCTGAAGTCCATCTTCACTTCAGTTCCTGACACTCCTGACCTTTTAAGAGCCAAGCGAGGGCAGAAGCTGCAGAGTCAGGTAAGAGTAAAGGCTCATAACCCTGCCCCACTGATATCACATGACAGTTCTAAGAGCCTGATCTCTCCTGGCAACAGCATGCTCTCACCCTTGGTGGTCCTTATTCCTTGCTTCAGCTGCATGCTCATTAATATAATGACTCAAGCAGTGAGTTGTTGTTTAATAAAACATTTGTTGAATTTATTCGAAAGGCGGTGTGATGGAGAGATAGTTTTCCATTGGCTGATTCACTCCTCAGATGGGTTGCCCTACTGGGTCACAAACAGGGAGCTACGTGGGAAGTGGAGCAGCTAGTGCATGAATGGCCCCCATATGCTGGCACTCATAGGTGGAGTCATTGTGTCAGCCCCCCGAACTCACATTTTATGCAGTCAGAGAAAAATTAGGGGAGGGTTGAATGCCTGTCAGAATGTTCTTAGACTTCTACTGGCATTCTTTATCGCCTGGCTCTGGATTGGACCTAACTGGAACATCTTTGTGCTTCCAAATGCAAGACATAAAGAAAAAATGAACAGAAATACATTTTGAAAAGACAAACCAATCAGGACTAGTAGATACTGCCTTCTCACTTAAGGTTTAGAAGTGAATACCATGCATTAAGTGCTTTATGACATCTTATCCTATTCTCTTATTATTTAGTATTTGTATGTTGAACTTGCCACCAAAGAAAGACCCCATCATCATGCTGGAAATCAGACCACAGCCCTAAAACATGCTAAAGATGTGAAGGACATGGTGAGCGAGGTAAGATGGGGATTCAGCGCTTGTGGTACTGGACTAAAGGAAAACATACCCTTTGTAGAAACTCACCTATGATTTCCAATCAGAGGGCTCATCACCACAGGTGGTATTCAACATCATAAACACAGAAGCAAAGCTGTTAAGAGTGTGATGTACCGTGTCCCTCTGCTAGAGTTGTGACTTGCTTGTGAATCCATAGGGATGGAAGACTTCTTGAACTGAAATTTGTCTTCTTTTATTTTATAGAAAAAATATAAGATTCAGTATGAAAAGATGAAGGACAAATACACCCCAATTCCAGATACCCCAATCCTCATCAGGGCCAAGAATGCTTACTGGAACGCCAGTGATGTACGTATCCTTCCCGCTTCCTGTGTCTGTTGTGATAGGGAAAGCTGAAGTACAAGTATGTAAGAAGCAGGATAATTCAGTCACATTCATGGCCCAAAGTCATGGGCCACAGTTTGAATCAGGGAAAAAAAAAAAACCAACATAAACACAAACAATACCGGTCAAGCAAAGTAACTACAAAAAATTGGAGAGATGCTAGCAACCCTTTGTTCTCAGTTCTCTCCAGGGCAAAAGTATGACTCCTGTAATGCTTTGGTAGCATGTCGTAAGGATACTCAACAGTTAGTTTACTTTTCCATTAAAACCATGGTCTCAGAGTTATCCAACATGAATTTGGACCTGGATGCTGTCACTTGCCTGCTGTGTGACTGTTAGATAACTGTCAGATTGTTTAGATTGTGGAGTTGGGGATGAGAAACATAATAATTTAGTAAAATGAAACAAGATCATATGTATTTTTTTCTGGCAGATTTCTGCACCTTTAGCTGAGCTCAAAATATTTGTTCCCTTTGCCAATGACACCTGACACAGTAGTTGAATGAGGAACAGACTTTCGTTTTCCTTATACTGTGGTCAAAGACAAGACTGCCTGTTAACAGTACTGAGATTCTCTGTTATTTAGAATTAGCCCAGATAGATACTTGGAATTACCAATTTTGAGTCTTAAGAGTCAGCTGCAAGTTTTCTGTACCCACTCTCAGGATCAGAACCCCCTATTTGAGTGAACACACTGGTGCTGGTCACTGGTTTCATGGTGCTGCATGGTCAGTCCCATCCCTACAGCCTCACCAGTAGTAAATCTGATAACTGTAATCTTGACAAAAGTTCAATGTAGCAGGGTAGTATCTGCGATCAAACTAAGTAGCTATCCCCATAGATGAAGCAAAGTGATTGTATCAGAGTATTCATCCAAAATTCAACGTTTTGAAGTCCAAGCCAAGCCATTTGTCATTATGTATTTACTCAGATGACCATGAAAGGGAAGAACTGCTGCAGGTTGAAAGAAGGCAGCTCAGAGCAGTACCCATCTTGTACACAATAAATCAGTCTTCTATGACACTTTTAAGTTAGAGTCAGAACTGATTTCTCTTAAAGTATCCCAGCGATAAGGATTACAATGAAGGAAAAGTTCTGTACGACTTAGTGTAGAAGATATCTTGGTACCAGTAGTTAGAAGTGAAATCTTCCTCCCATTTCCGTATGTGTTACTACATTTATAGATTAGGGATACTAAGGTTATGTTTGTGTTTGGTCTTCCTTTTTAACTTTTGCTTTAGTTTTGCATATGAAGAAGCTTGTTATTTTAAGCATCCTGGGACTTATATAAAACGGACAAAGATAATAGTTTCCCTAAATCCTCCAGTTAGTTATCTCTACTGGTGCCACCTTATGTTACATGGTACATATGTCATTGGTAATGAACTAAGTGAGCTGCATATTTTGCTTTTCATTAGTTTTCCTGAAATATCCTGTTTCTCTTCTAAGATATGCGCTTTTTAATTTTTATGAGAAAATCTGAGAAAAGACTCGAGAGATCAAGCTTAACAGAGCCCAATTATTTAATTTGGTGGTTTCTATAATCTGCAACATGCTTTTGCTATTTCCAGCTACGGTACAAGGAAACCTTTCAGAAGACCAAAGGGAAGTACCACACTGTGAAGGATGCCTTGGACATTGTTTATCATCGCAAAGTCACTGATGACATCAGTAAAGTATGTCACAAGATAGTCCTACTTGTGTTAACCCTGTAACGCACCTTCATTTTGAGTTCATTTTTGAAGTTAATGTGTTTCTTTGAGAGAGACAGACACAGACATCTCCAATCCATAAGCCCAATGCCTAAATGCTCACATCAGTCAAGGCTGGGCTGGGCTGAATCAAGGAGCCAGGAACTCAATCCAGGTCTCTCACATGGGTTGCAAGAACCCAACAACCTGAGCCATTGGTGCTGTTTCCTGGAGTCACATGAATGAGAAGCTGCACTCAGCAGCCAGAGCCAGCCAGCAGATGCAGGCACTCTGACGTTAGATGAGCATGTCCTTACCTGATTCTTAACTGCTGGGCGGAATGACCAGCTCCCCTGCACTACAGCCCCTATTTTGAATCACGCTCACTTTTCTAAACTCTCCAGACTTAAATAGGTTTTGTTTTCTGTTTGTTTTTACATTACTTCTGGGTAAGCTTTCATGGCTGTCTTTGCATTTTTACAACAGGTGAAATACAAGGAGAACTACATGAAACAGTTGGGAATCTGGAGGTCCATCCCTGACCGGCCAGAGCACTTCCACCACCGGGCGGTCACTGATGCCGTCAGTGATGTGAGTGCTCAGATATTCCACTTCCACATGCACACTCACGTGTCCATGGGAGTTACGGAATCAGATACTGCACTAAATGTCTGTCTGCATCCTACATCTTTATGAGGGACATTTAAATTATAAAAAATCAGTTGCCAAATGAGTGAATTTCAACTTGAGAGAGGAAAAATATATTCAAATTTATAAGCCTAAATTTTCTTCTAACTGAATGGTATTGTGCTATGTGACTAGAAGTGCTGCTATACTTCATCTAGGAATTAGCCCGTTTTTGGTCTAGTGAAGATACATGGTCATGAAACAATTACAAACCATGACAATGCTTTTAGAGAGAAACTACAGCTTCCTTTACGAAAATATAGCTACCATGTTTCTGATATACTTTCTAGGAAAGTTTACATGTTGATTTCAATGGCTCTCACTTAGTATCAAAAATGAAAATTCTCATAAACCGTAGCATAATTCACCGTAAATGAGGAGAAATCAGTATTACTGAAAACTTGTGTGAGCAACTATTTTATATACTTTGTTTTTCCATATCCCTCCATGGTTAGTTTCTATTTGCCCCATGTGCGGAGATCCTAACATAATGTTATTTGGAGACAGATTCTGGTTTTTTTTTTTTAAGATTTATTTATTTTTATTGGAAAGGCAGATATACAGAGAAGAGGAGGGACAGAGAGGAAGATCTTCCATCCAATGGTTCACTCCCCAAGCAGCCGCAATGGCTGGAGCTGAGCCAATCCAAAGCCAGGCGCCAGGAACTCTTCCGGGTCTCCCACATGGTGCAGGGTCCCATGGTTTTGGGCCATCCTCAACTGCTTTCTCAGGCCACAGGCAGGGAGCTGGATGGGAAGTAGGGCTGCTGGGATTAGAAACCGGCACCCATATGGGATCCTGGGTGTGCAAAGTGAGGACTTTAACCACTACACTATTGCTCCGGGCCCAGGAGACAGATTCTTAAACTGGTGTTCTTCTTTGCCAGGTGAAATACAAAGAAGACTTAACCTGGTTGAAAGGCATTGGTTGCTATGCCTATGATACACCTGACTTCACTCTGGCTGAAAAGAACAAGACTCTCTACAGCAAGGTACCAATGGCTCTGTTCAGTGTATACGTACACAGAGAACTGGCACTGAGGAAGTAACCTTCCTTATTCCCAACCCTCTATCTGAATGTCTTCGGTAGCAACTTTAACTACAGTCATTCATTTGAATTTGGTGAGAAATCATCTCAGCTCAGTTTCTCATGGCCCTTCCTGAATTCCTTCCTTGGACTGTCTCTCCAGGGGACTTGCCCTGTTACAGCTGAAATAATAACAAATAAAACATAGGATAGTTTTAGGTACAAACAATATTTGACTTGAGGTGAATCACTTAGTTTTTATGGCTTCATTTCCGTATATACAAAATAGAGCAGCTGAATTCACTTTCCTTTGAGCTACAAGGCTGAAGTTAACTTTTTCTGGACAGTGCCGGATAGTACATCTTTGCCTCTTTCTAGCCCACTACTGCGTATTCGTTCTGGTACAGGCTCTTTCTTTCCACTGCAACCCTTTAAAATGATCAAAACCAATTGCAGTTCATGGGGCTGTTTGGAAACAGCCAGTCAGCTGCAAAGGTGATAGCTCACTTTGGCTATAAAATATTATGATTATCTGACTACCAGAAAACTGTATTCTAATTAATGAGCTAAAGCAATAATCAAGTATACATGCAAAAAGTCTTGCAAGTAAAATAATAATCATAAAATATACGAAAAACTGATTAGATTTTTGTTCAATATAGAAAATAATTTTGTTTGACATCCATTCAATTAAAGTAATTTTTAGTATGCATTTCTGCCTCATTTGTAAGGTGCCCTGGCAAGTTTGCCCTGTATTGCCTTGGAAACAGTAGATACTCAGTAAATATTTGCTAGCTCTGTGAATGAATTACCACAATTATAAGATAAATAACATATCTTGTTTTTAAGATAGTTACAATCTGCTATCAACTAATCTGTTCTATTTTTTCTAGTATAAATATAAAGAGGTATTTGAAAGGACAAAGTCAGATTTCAAGTACGTTGCCGACTGTCCAATCAACAGACATTTCAAATATGCAACTGAGTTGGTGAATGAGGTATGTACGAACTAATCCACTTGAACCTATTAGATTCATTAAGAAGACCATAGGATTATTTGATTACATCCAGTGCACAGAAAGACAGGAAAGCCACCCTAACTATTCTCCTAAGATGAAGATTGGGAAAAGATTCTAATAACATCTGATGGGCTCTGCCAAAACCATGAATGAGAAGTGAAAGAACTGTATGTGGTGTGAAAGCCTGTGGTCAACTGTATGTCTGTTTGCACTGCAAAGAACACCACAGCCCTGGGGTGCCAACAGCAAGATGGTAAAAGATTCTGTTAGCTCTCAGATGATGTCCCTTAAACAAAATCTTGCATGTTGTTGGGAACTGGAAGTCTAAGGCTAATTTAGAATTCCCCACCATGGCACCAAGATGAGACAGTGGCTAGTAGTGGGGACAGTAGCAAACTACCATTACTACTCCCTTGGATATTGGTGCATTGAGAAATCTGTTTACACCCAAAATTTGTATCCATCTTGACAATAATTGAAGTTATATCTAGTTTAAGATGACTGAAATAAGTGAGCTACAAATGTGTTTATGCCTGGATATTTTTATAATTCAAATGGCTGAATTTTATATTTTCAGACTTTCCATGGATTTCTAAAAGTTCAAAAACAATGTTAGAAGACTAGTAAAACATGTATAAAATATCAGTGGTATAGTAAATCTGACTTCTATGTTTTGAAATAATTGTTAAATGATTTAGTTTTGTGTAGGTTTCTAGGCTGGGACCCTCTGAAGAAATCTGCCAGTAGTTTCAAAGAAGACAGTTTAATATGTTTCGTACTTATTTCACAAAGGATTTCCAGGTCTCTTTTGTAATCGAGTAAAGTCACAAGTTTTCTATGAATATTTTAGCATCAGTTGAGCTTTTGAGTTCTCACAACCTTAGCAGTAATCTTGCAGCTGCCAGTATCTTGCTGTAAGTGCATTGCAGGATATCATCAAATCTAACGATGGCAGTGGCATCCGAGGGACACACAGAAAGTGTTCAGTGTCATAACGTGGCCCATTCCCTAGCTCCAACCTGTTCCCAGGTCACCTTCCTTCTCTTGACTCTTCTTTGCTTCACCCTGCGGGTTTTCAGCACCCATTTCTAAAAATCGTATGCCTTGGACTGTCTATGAAGCGTTTACTTTGGTACATTTCTGTATAGTTGTAAAGTTGTGCTCTTGTGATAATCTGATATGATGTTTGAGCAGAAAAAATACAGAGCTGATTATGAGCAGCGGAAAGATAAATACCACCTGGTAGTCGATGAGCCTAGACATCTGTTGGCTAAGACCGCAGGCGACCAGATCAGTCAGGTACTGTGAAAGGGGCCTGCCAGTGGCCCAGGCAGAGCTGCACTCTGGTTTTCTACTGAGGTGTCGTCCGTCTGCTGCAAGGATGTCATAGGTCCTACCTATGATATTGATCTGTCCTGTTTCCAAGTATCTGTCTAGCCACCCAAAGAGCCGGTGAGCTATTTGAGTGTGCCAGTCCATGCTCTGTGTCCTCACTGTGCTGTGGTGAAGAGAACAAGAAAAAGCTGGGATTTCCCACCAGGTGTTCTCCTAGAGAATATGACTGTTTTGTTTCTGCAACTCATTTTGCGATTTACAAATAATGAAAGGAGACAAGATGAAATTCCTAACCTTTCTAGTCCAACAATACCTTTTTCTCCAAAAAACACATTGGTGGTCATCTAAGCAGGCCTAATTGCTTGATTTCCAATTCACAAGGATTGTGGTGGTGAACTGCAAATGGTGCAGTCAGGTCTGCACGGCAGCATCACATACTCAATGTATTCCTTCACCCAACATACACATGTGAGCACATAAAGTGTGTCTGCCTCCATCTCTTCACTCAGAGGTGATGGCAATATAGAGCCATGTTCTTTTATGTCTTCATAAGTCTCTCTTGTGCTTCACTGCTCTTTGCATGGACAGAGAAAATATAAATCTAGTGCCAAGATGCTTCTGAAACAAGGATGTAATGAAATTCTGCGTCCAGATATGTTGACTGCCCTCTACAATACATACATGTGGAGTCAGGTAATGTCTGGTGGGGTGTGAAGAAGGACGCTTAGAAGTCTTGGGGGCCTTCCCTTCTCTGCTTTTTTCGATTTCCTCTCCCTGCTCCGTGCCCATGCTGGCTTCACATGCTAAAGCTGCATAGATACTCATTCCTTGGAAGTGAGCTCTCAGAAGGCAGATGTGTAACCATCCAATAGCTGTGCATGGGATTTGCTGTGCTCTCTGTATCTGCTCTGCTTGAAACAGCTTATGTGCATCGACAACAAATGTGATTTGGAAATTATAAAAGCAAATATATTTTATACGATAAATACTTCAACACTATATACACTTATTACCATTTCACATCTGTTTCATCTTTGTGATGGAAAAATACCTGAAAAGATCATATATATTCAATGCAACATATTGGGAATAGAATAGTATTTATCAGAGTCTAGAAAAAAAAGGCCCTGGTCTAGCTCTGATATTCACTCTAAGTGTGTCCCTGGCTTCATCTTGTAAACTTCAAGGCCTCACTTTATTTCCATATATATAAATGTATTGGAAAATAGTAGTCTGCCACTCCATTACACTGTTGGTTTCACATACAAATTTATAGTAAATGTTTTCCATCTATGGCTTAAGGATAAAAAGCTACCATTATACTTTTGTTGTTTCAAGAGAAAAATCAGCTTCCTGAATAGCTTTTATTCTTAGAACTAACTGGTTCTTCTTTCCCACAAATTTAGATTAAATATAGGAAAAAATATGAAAAATCAAAGGACAAATTCACCTCCATCGTGGATACTCCAGAACACCTGCGTACTACAAAAGTCAACAAACAAATCAGTGACGTAAGTACAAGAAACAGCAGATTCCCTAATTCTGGGGACACTTTAGATGATGACCATGTCTGGAGACGGCTGCCATTAAATGGAGAGGGAAGGCAGGGACGCTAAGTGTCCTAGGCACAGGAATCTTTCACAATCAAGAATTCTTCCAATCGAACTGGCAGACATGCTGGTTGAGAAACCTGGAGACTTGATGGGGTGCAAACAAGTCCCCGTTTACAGAATTCTTTCTCCCTTGTATTCACACACAAGAAATGTTTGCATTTATATTTTCACATTATAAATTCAGAAATGTACGTGTATCTTTCTGCTCTTTAATATCCTCCAGATACTTTATAAATTGGAATACAACAGGGCCAAACCCCGAGGCTACACCACAATCCACGACACACCCATGCTGCTGCATGTCCGCAAGGTCAAAGATGAAGTCAGTGACGTAAGTACCAGATGAATTCTTCGTCCCTCTCCGTGGCCTCTTCCAAGAGGGTTAAAACAAACCCTGGTCCAGTTTGCTCCTCCTGTATAACCACCACCTTGACACTTATTAAGATCACAACCATCTATTTCATTTGGGCTTCTGTGAGTTGGTTTGGGTCCCTCTTGCCCAAACCAACAACCCCCACAACCTCTAGTAGTGACCACTGTCTGATTCATCAAATTCTTACTTGGTTTGCATGTACCTGACACTACAGAATTGAGATGATGAACAGCACAATATTTACACTTGAAGGACTTTTACATAATGCAAAGAAGGCAGCCAAACGAATAATTCCAACATGACATGGACAGCTAGAACCGTGCAGCGTAGGAGAGCAAGATGTTCTGATTTGCAGAAGGAAAATCTACATGCATGGACAGCTACCCAATTACTGATGCTCAGGGTCAGGAATCCCAAAGCTGTGGACATAACTGGTGTTTCCCTGGGGGAGCAGGTATTACAATCTGAAGTGCCTGGCTGTACAGCTGCATCCTTCGCTCACAACAGCTTTTCCAAAAGTCTGTTGTGCACTACAGTCAGAGTTTAATATCTTGGCTTTGAAATAATTCAGCGCGCTGCTATAAAAAATTAACTTACCGCCTGTTTCCTCCCACAGCTGAAATACAAAGAAGTTTACCAAAGAAATAAGTCTAACTGCACAATTAAGCCAGATGCTGTTCATATCAAAGCGGCCAAGGACGCCTACAAAGTCAACACGAATGTGAGTTCCGGGAACTTCTCCAAGCCGGAAAGGGAGTTTGTCAGCCTCTGCAGCACATGTGGCCTCTTCTAGCATCTCCTCAGTGACTGGGCTCTCGGTGGGACTCAGAGCCCATGGGCTGGCCCCAGACGCACAAGTGATGAGATCTGCCAGAGTTAAACACTCCTGGGAGTCTCAGAAAGGGGCCTGAGGGAACAGCAAGGAAGGCTTCACCCCGTGCAACTGTTGCTGCTGCAGCCTTCCCGAGAAGTAGGAAAAGGGTCCCGCTCTTGGAAAGCGCCTCAGCAACTTTTACTCTCTTCTTGTGTCCCTTTCTTGCACCAAACTCTAGTATTGGCTTCTCCTGAAGGAGAAAACATGGGAGCTGCTTAGGTCTCCCTGCCTTCCCTGGCACTGCCTTGTTCCTGTGGGTGGGGCAGCTTCTAGCCACAACCTGAGAAACAGTAGTGAGTGCTGACTTTTTGAAAATATGCAAATGGTTATATAATGAAACCCTTAGTAGAACCCGCCTGGTGTTCACAAATGCTAGAGAACATGTTTATTAGAGCCAGCCAATTGTAGGAGTTGGCAGGTAGCTTGCAGGTGTCCTGAGCATGGGTTGAGGGAAAGAGGAATAGATGAAGGACAATGCAAATGCAGGAAAATGCACATTGCAGAAACCAAGTAAGTGGTGGCTCTATAGGTGTTCACTTTAATGTTCTTGTAATGTTTGAACATTTCCACAAGAAAAAATTTCACTAAAAAGTTACTCCTAAAAGTATGTATATCTTACTAGTTGTAAGTTACACCTGAAATTTTAAAAAGAAAAAAGGATAAGAAATATGCCTGATGGTAATGGGCCCTGTCCACCTATGTACAAATTAAATTAGACCTCTCTGGCTTAGACTTAATCCAGTGTAGCCAGCTGTCTAATCTAAGAAGCATACAAGTACCTGTGAAGTCAGGTGCTCGGGTTTGAATCCCTGCTCGACCATTTACTGTCTGTCTGAATCCCAGGAGGCAGTTCCTCAACTGTATTTAATGCAAGGGCTATAAAGATCCAGTGAGCTAATACGAACATTTTAAATTTAACCTATAATTTTTAAAGCACTTAGAAAAGTACCTAGAAAAAATGCCCTCAGTGTTTTTTTTTTTTTAAACAAATGTATACCTGAATTTAGTTACAAATTTAAAGTACTTGATTCTGAAGGTGATTGGGCTAGACTGGATGAGCTGGAGAAATTGAGGAATCATCTCATGACTCTCAAAGTTTTAAACCTTACTTCGGGACCAGAAAATCCCAAGTGATAATCACAGAATGGCTAGCGACCTACATTGTACAAAAAATGTGACTGGGATGCTCTCTTGCATTAAGAACCCCGATTTGTGATGTATCAAAAACATGAGTCCCTCAGGGCTGTGTGTGTATGGATTGAGCCTACTGAGTGAAGCCATCTCTTTCTTCTTAAAAACAGTTGGACTACAAAAAGCAGTATGAAGCCAACAAAGCCCACTGGAAGTGGACTCCGGACCGGCCAGACTTCATCCAGGCTGCCAAGTCATCCCTGCAGCAAAGCGATGTATGACAGGAGACTGAATCCCCCTGGGCATTCACCCCAACATTTGCAATCAAGGGAGCAGAGGAGGGTTGGGGGTAGTTAAAGGCCAGCTCATGAAGCAACCCTGGCCTTGATGCCCTGCATGTAGCGAGGGCCAGCACGCCTCTTGCCCTTTCTGGGAGCAAGCCCTCCTTGGCCCCTTCAGAACTCCCTGAGGATGCAATGCAAACGTCCAGCTTCCTCCTGGGCTGGTGACACTTACCCACTTCTGCTGCCTTTCCTCTGTTACAGTTTGAATACAAGCTGGACCGAGAGTTCCTCAAGGGCTGCAAGCTTTCTGTCACTGATGATAAAGACATGGTGCTGGCTCTCAAGAATTCGATCATAGAAAGTGATGTAAGTCTCCAGTCCCTTTCGTAATGCCTCACCTCACTCTGGGTGACCTGTGACTATGTCCCTTGGGAGACCCAGGAAAGAACAGAGGTGGGCTGTTTCATCAGGGTCTTAAGACTAGGTCCTGAAATATGGCCTTCCCCCAAGGATCACTGGTGTCCTGGCCCAGCAGGACGGCAGCAGTGAAATGGCCACTAACTTAAGGTGGCAGCTCTTGATTGTATACCTATACAGTCTCAGGACAGCTGGGCTGAACCACAGCCCACAGCTCAATCTAGGTCTTCCAAATAAGTGGCGGGGACCCAACTCTTCATCCTATGTCTGCCTACGGTGTGCCGTAAGAGGAAGCTGGAGTTAGAAGCCAGGGCCGGCAGGCATTTTAATTCCATTTTAATTCCTTTTAATTCCATTTTTCCATCCACTTTTTGAGGGAGCCGTGTATGGTGGTTTCCTCATTTGTAAAGGAGAAATATAAGACAACCAGTGACATAACTGGGAATGTTCTGAATGGAATCTATTTTAAAAAAATCCATGCTAAGATCCATTGCTACATTAAAACCTCAGCTTTCAAGAATTGAGGAAAAATATGCCCTTTGAATATTTCCCAAGACTTCCAAGGATCAAATCTTTCACGGAGTTAGTGATTCTGGTCTGTCAATTACAACTTAATAAATACATGCAGGATAACCAAATGAGCTAACAAACTAAATACTGTTCATTTCTTCAGCTGAAATACAAAGAGAAGCACGTCAAGGAAAGAGGAAGTTGCCATGCCGTTCCCGACACTCCTCAGATCCTTCTGGCAAAGACTGTCAGCAACCTGGTGTCTGAGGTAACTCTAGCAGGCCGTCTGTTCTCCCATCTCAGGCTCATGCCCAGACAGGCACCTTAACAACCTCTCTGTGGATTCCTGCAGAACAAGTACAAGGACCACGTCAAGAAGCACTTGGCCCAGGGCTCATACACAACACTTCCTGAGACCCGGGATACTGTTCACGTCAAGAAAGTGACCAAGCACGTCAGTGACGTAAGTGGCCGTGACCGCTTGGCAGCACCACCTGCCTTTCTGCTTACAAAGGCTGCTGCTTCTTTGTAGTTTCACTCATGGAAAAGAAAGCCCAGTATTGATTGGCTTTTTCTGTATGGCAAATGTAGATTCTGCATAGGACTTGTTATTAGTGTTAATGGGAAGAAGCATTTCTGACTAAGGTGGCCTCTCCATCATTAAGCCACTATGGAGTTTTAAAGAGGCCTCAGTATTCTCTGCTTACTATATCCCTATCAATAACACAGTAATCCTGACAGAGGTAGAATGTCCCTTATCCAAAATGCTTGGGACCAGAAGGTTTCTCCATATTTTGAAACATTTGCATACACAGAATGATATATTGGGACTGGCACTCAAGTCTAAACATGAAATTCACTTATGTTTCTTTTTTTAAAAAAAGATTTATTTATTTATTATTACAAAGTCAGATATACAGAGAGGAGGAGAGATAGAGAGCAAGATCTTCCATCTGATTCACTCCCCAAGTGAGCGCAACAGCCAGTGCTGTGCCGATTCAGAGCCAGGAGCTCTTCCGGGTCTCGCACACAGGTGCGGGATCCCAAAGCATTGGACCGTCCTTGACTGCTTTCCCGGGCCACAAGCAGGAAGCTGGATGGGAAGTGGAGCTGCCGGGATTAGAACCGGTGCCCATATGGAATCCTGGCATGTTCAAGGCGAGGACTTTATCTGCTAGGCCATGCCACGGGGCCCAAAATTCACTTATGTTTCAAATACACCCTATACACATAACATGAAGGTCATTTTGTACAGTATTTTCAGTCTGGAAGCGTTTTGATGGCATCTTGTCAGAGGAAGTCAGATACAGAATGTGTTAACTGTGGTGTCATGCTAATGCTGAAAATCCTTTAAGCTTTGGAGCATTTAAGATGTTCACATTAGGGGTGCTCTCAGTTTGTATCATGAGTCCCGTTTAGTTCCCTACTTTTCAAAAAGGGACAAACAGCCCCAGTTTGATGCCGAAAGGGGGAGTCATTTTCTTGGGACTCTCTTCACAGTTCAAGTGAATGAACTCTGTTTCCAACTTCTCTGCTCATGTACATAATTCTCTGTTTTAGACAAATTACAAAAAGAAGTTTGTCAAGGACAAAGGGAAATCCAACTACTCCATCATGCAGGAGCCTCCAGAGGTGAAACACGCTATGGAAGTGGCCAAGAAGCAGAGTGATGTACGTGGTCCTCCCCAGAGCCCCAGGGCCCACTTGAGCCATGGGTTCCTCGCTGGTGCATGTCTTGGTCCAGCATGTGTTCAGCCTAATTTCCACAACTGGTAGTTTTAAAAAAATATGTAGTGATGAAAACTGGAAAATTAAAAAAAAAAAGTTCTTCATGCTTAATGAAGACTTTTGGCAAGACAGTGTATCTCACAGAGCCTTTTCTTCCTTAAATAAAGGTTGCTTACAAGAAGGATGCCAAAGAAAACCTACATTACACCACAGTGGCTGACCGGCCAGACATTAAGAAGGCCACGCAGGCAGCCAAACAGGCCAGTGAGGTAAAGGAAGAGTGTGGTTAAAATATATCCCCAGTGCCCAAAGCCACTGCCCATAATGAGGACAAGGCACTCTTTACAAATGTGTCAGTCACTCTGGTTCCCTCTGATTCAGGTGGAGTACAGAGCCAAGCACCGCAAGGAAGGCAGCCATGGGCTGAGCATGCTCGGTCGCCCAGACATTGAAATGGCCAAGAAGGCAGCCAGGCTGAGCAGCCAGGTAACGTAGATCGACAAGCAGCAAGAAAATTCTGCAGAGGAAGGAATTCCTCGAATGAAGTGCTGGGTCTTGAGCAACACTGTAGAAATCTCAAAAGTTACATTGAGGAAATTTTGCTGAGGACCTTGGAGCTCTTTCTCATTCTGTGTTCTTACATGATGGTCATGCACTTAGGCGTCTTAAGGGGAATGTAAACATCTTTCTCATTCTATAGTATGTAATGTTTTTCTTCAAATCTAGAATTGAACTGGAGCCATTAATCTTCGATCATGTTTTTTTTTTTTTTTCCAATTCTGGATCACATCAATTTCTGACCAAGTTAAAAAATTTTAACTGATACAGAGCAAAAGTTCTATTTTGAAATAATCATGGATTCTCCAGATTTCAACAGATTCCTTACTTCTCAACTATCTTGATTACTTAAAGTTTTTCTTTGAATTCCTTACAGTGGATCTAAGGTTTTGGGGTTTGCTACTTCAGAGGGGTCCAGTGTTCTGAATCAGCACATTACATCACTTCTCCGAATTTAGCCTGAAGCATTTTCTTTGCCTTAGAAATAGAGGCTTGTTTTTCATGCTTTTGGGATAATACAAAATGAACAACATCAATACTGTCACTTGATCATATATTCTTGATATCTCCCCAGAATTATCCTCAGAAATGCTCCCTTTTATTCTTAAAAATGTCCCCATTTGGGTAACATATTTACACGGCCACTTTATAAGCACTGAGACTTCATATTCACATATTTAGATTGGTGTTCAGGAATAATCAAGATGTTTATTTTTCCTGTTAGGTTAAATACCGGGAAAATTTTGACAAAGAGAAGGGAAAGACGACAAAATACAATCCAAAAGACAGCCAGCTCTATAAGACCATGAAAGATGCTAATAATCTTGCAAGTGAGGTATGTTTTAATTTTCTTAAACTGGTGTAAAATATCTGATACCTGTCATTTTAAGTGTATAATTCACTATCAATTATACTCACAATGTTCAACTATTACTGCTACTTCTAAAATTTTATCACCTGACACATAGCATATGCTTCTCTTACTCTCAAGATAATTTTTTTCATTTTTAAAGGTTTTTTTTTTTTTTTTGGAACAGCAGGTTTATAGAGAGACAGAAAGATCTATCTACTGGTTCATTCCTGAAGTGTCTACAATGCCAGTGCTGAGCTTATCTGAAGCCAGGAGCCAGGAGCTTCTTTTGAGTTTCCTACATGAATGCAGGGTCCCAAAGCTTTGGGCCAACCTCTGCTGCATTCCCAGGCCATAAACATGGAGCTGGATGGAAAGTGGAGCAGTTGGAACACGGACTAGCACCCACATGGGAAATCCGGTGGTTGCAAAGCAAAGATTTAGCCACTAGGCCATAACTCCTGGCCCTCAGATCAGAAGGGGAGCAGCTGGGACATGACCAGTGCCCAGATGGGATGCTGGTCATGTAGGCAGTTGGCTTAAAACACTGTGCCATAACACCAGTCTCAGATAATTATTTTTCCAAGTTTTAAAACATATTTGTTCTTATTCGAAAGTCAGATTTAGAGAGAAAGATAGAAATGCTTTCCACCCTCTAGAGTTTGTTTCCCAAATGGCTGTAACGGCCAGAGCTGAGTTGATCTGAGTGTCCAGTTCCGTCACCTGGGCACTGAGTCCTAAGGCTTTGGGTCATCCTCCACTGCCTTCCTGGGCTACAAGCAGGGAGCAGGATGGGAAGCAGAGCAGCCGGGACATGAACTGGCATGCACATGGGATCCTGGAGCTTGAAGGCAGAGGATCGGAGTGTTGCCCCAGATAATTTCTAATTACTTTTGACTATGAACATACTTAGAGATTCTTAGCATTTATCGTATTTCACTTAGTGTTTTCAAGATTCATCTACACTGCAGTGTCTGAAACTGTTTTGTGTCTAGAAACACTCCATTGCATGTATATGTCATATACAGCATGTTTGAATCGATTCATCATTTGACTGCTACGTTGTCTTTTTGTCTCTGTGAGGTACTGTTTCCTATCACCGTCTTGAGCACAGACGAATACACGATTATGATTTCTACTTCCTTTGTATGTAATTTGCATTTTTCTCTCCTTTTCACATAGGTAAAATATAAGGCTGACTTGAAGAAGCTTCACAAACCTGTGACTGACATGAAGGAATCTCTGATAATGAATCATGTCCTGAACACAAGCCAGCTCGCCAGTTCTGTAAGCTCCCTCATTTGCTCCAGTTATTTCACACATTTGCATTTCAGTTCTAGCTGAGCTCACACGCCTCTCCTCTGCGACTGATACACTGGACTGACAACAAAGCTCTTCCACTGTTTCAGTGTATTCTCATGCATTAATATCCCAGTCCTCTACTGATGGTAACATGGCTTGGGATTAAAAGAAAGCCTCATTTTTAGAATATTTAAAAGTTTTCAATTAACCATTCCCTCTCCTTCTGAGGACATAGAACTACCTTCACTCATAGCAGCTACTTGGAATCAGCCTATCACCTGTGTGTGCCTACAGATCTGCTATTAACTGACAATACTGAAACTGAAACTCCATCTTGTAAAACTTAACTCTTAATCCTTGCTAATCTTACTGTGATCTTCATGCTGCTGCTGCAAAAACTCTCTAATCTAAAGGGGGAAATTTGAAATGCTGAGCAGCCTTCCTACCACTGTCCCTTTTGTGCCCCTTCCCCTCAGTACCAGTACAAGAAGAACTATGAGAAGAGTAAAGGCCACTACCACACAATCCCTGATAATCTGGAGCAGCTTCACCTCAAAGAGGCCACAGAATTACAGAGTATAGTAAGTGGAACTGGACTGATTTCTCTCCCCTAACCACCTTCATTTGTGATGCCAAGAGCCTGCATTGATTCCAGGCCAGCACTTAGCCTTTTTTATTTTAAGCTTTATTTTATCTATTTTGAAAGAGAATGGGAGACAGACAGATCTTCCATCCACTAGTTTACTACCCAGGTGGTTACCAATAGCCAGTGCTGGGTCAAATGGTGGAAGATGCATCTGTGTTTCCCACATGGGCGCTGGGGTCTGTATACTTGGGCCGTCTTCTGCTGCTTTACCCAAAGGGTCAACAGGCAACTGAATTGGAAGTGGAGGAGCCACAGCATGCACTGGTGCCTATATGGGATGCTGGCGTCAGAGGTGGTGGTTTACTTGCTGGGAGACAACAGCCCTAGGACTTAGGCTTTTAATATCATTGTTTGAGAAAATGCACATAGCAGCTTTGAATTCAGTAACATTTTTGAAGCAGTTTTGCTGTGGATCACAACCATAACTACATATGCAGAGTGTATTGTATATATGCACTACGTGTTCCACTCCTGGCAGGGACTGGAAGCACAGAACCCTCTAAGCAATCCCAGTGTCCCCTGGGGAGAGTTTCCCAGGCACTGCAATGGATGATAGTCTGAAGCCTTTATAGAGAATGACGTGATCAGATCTACCACTGATGGAGTCTGGCTATTTAAAAAGTTGCTGAATCTGTGCAATAACTGATTCTCTGAGGAAAGAGCTTATGATCATCTGATCTTTTGTTTCAAAAGTTCAGAAATTAAGTAGGACTCCATTTGGGCATAAATTGGGAAACTCACCAGAAACATCTTCAAATGAGAAGTAGCATGTGTCCCCTGACCCTATTCTGGTGCCTCAGATGGAATCCGGAGGTAAAGGGCAGCAGCCTTCACTTTTCTTTCAGTTACATGGCTGCCCCATTCCTAACTACAGGTTACACATCACACAGATGAGGGACCTGGCTTTTTAAAACTCATCTTGAGAATACCAGGTTTATTAAGTCAATCAACATGCAATCTAGTCAAGTTTTATCTTTATATTGGTTGTATTAGATATATGCCCATATGCCAGCTATAGCCCATAACTTTATAGTTCATACAAAAAGTTGTATATTATGGATTTAATCAAGATCCTGGGTCTTAAGAAAGAAAAACTGGAGCTTTTGTTTTTTTTTACCAGAAATATGACAAATGCTATTGTTAATCATTCACACCTATCAGTGTATCTTTGGTCTCCTTGAACTGAATCCAAATGCTTATTACACTTTCTGAATAATAATGATTTTTATCTCCCAGGCAATGACAGAAATCTGAGCCAGAACAGGAATCTGTTTCTAATTGCAGTGAGATGGCAGCCGACTGGACATCACTGTCCATGAAGAAGTGCCATCCTTGTAGCCATCTTCATCTAGGGTCCAGGGATTGCTTAGAGGAGAGATATCTAACAAGGTTTTCTTATCACTAGGTGAAATACAAAGAAAAGTATGAAAAGGAACGAGGCAAGCCCATGCTGGACTTTGAAACGCCCACCTACATCACTGCCAAGGAGTCTCAGCAGATGCAGAGTGGGGTGAGTGCTGCAGAACACATCACACAACCAAGACACCATCCACGTGCACAGCCGGCACATCCGCACACAGCCAGGCGCCTGCCATCCAACAGAGGCGGACACTCTACTCAAAACGCGATCCATAAGTCATTCCCATCTCAGAAATCACGTGCTTCAGTTTTTTAAAAAACTAAGTAGTATATATTGACCATATGCACCATTTCAGAGTAACTTTGATAAATTGAGAACACAGACAACTATTGCTAACTGCTGAACAGATTAAACACAGTATAATTAGAAAAGTTTTAACGAGCACTTTGTTCCACATACATTATCCCAAAGCCAATGGCACCTCTAAGTAAGGTATCTTAAAAAATGGGGATCAAGACATGCTTTGAAGAACCCAGGAAACTACAGGTCAAGGTGCCATATTTCTCATTTTACAATTGTAATACAAGAACTTAAAGAATGAAATCATATGCTGAATCTTAGAAAGTCTGTTTTCATTGGAAAACAGGTTTGGAATTTGACTCTCCTCCAAGAAGTGTATCTCCAATTGTAAAGATAAATGGTTTCAATAAAAGCTAAGTATAAGTTTGTAGAGCATTCTGGTATATATAATGCCAGGCAATAAGTTTTAGCTTCATGTAACTGGTGAAGCTGGAATCTGTGACAGTCCTTGCACTATTTTTGTCATTTTCCTGTTAACTTAAAATCATACTGAAATGAAAAAAAGAGTTCCAACATCTACCCCTGGCCTCAGACTCCCCCCACCCCCCCGCCAAGAAATAGGCAGAGTTTGGAGGGTAGCTCTTTTTCTCAACCATGGGAAAAATCACAGATTATACCGCTTTACCTGCTTGATCTATTCAATGATCTAAAAAGTAGGGCATGGATATAGAAAAGGATGTTTGTTATTTAGCATCCTCTGACTCAAATGCTGCTAGGTTTTTGTTTATTTTCTTCCCACTTGTAATTGTGAAATAAAATCTTTTGTCACTTAAGAAAAAAATGCAGACCATTTCCGCAGAGCTGACGGTAGATTCAGCCTTCATGGTACGTGAAGGTATGTGGTACTGCCCTGGGCAGGGCCAGCCCAGTCCCATTAGGCAGATGAAAGGGGCCATCAGTGTTTCTCTGCCTCTGAGTTTCCTGGGGGCCATTGGCTCAGCGCCTATGGAACTATATCCTAAAACAAGAAAAAACGTAAAAAAAAATCTAGAATAATCAGATATGTCTCAAATGTGGAACTATTACCAGATCTATCACTGAATAAGCTATGTATGTAAACAGAAAAAAAATGTTACATAATTCTTTTTCTTCCTAGGATTGAGAGATGGATCCTGAGATAAATTAACAAATTGTTTAACTTGCCTTTCCTTCCTACTCATAATAGAAAGAATACAGGAAAGATTATGAAGAGTCCATTAAAGGCAGAAACCTGACTGGCCTGGAGGTCACACCCGCTTTATTACATGTCAAATATGCAACCAAAATAGCCAGCGAGGTAGTGCCCATTTGGTCTTTTCTTTCCCTCTTGACACAAATAACTGCACTAATGACACTCAATCTGTTCCTTCTACCATTTTCATCACCACCTAACTGTGGGTTTCAAGTTAAGTTCCTGCGGGTTTGGTACTACCACCTAATCCGTTACCCATGTTAATTCTCTAATTTTTAAATTAAATATCTAATAAAATGTGCTTACCATAGCTTTATATTAATTTACAGTTTTTCATTTGATACTTAATGTATAACTCCTATTCCCTGCCTTTGTTTTATCTTCAGTTATTACTTTGAGTTGCTTAAAAATTGGAAGTTAATTTCTGCAGTTTTGCCTTTTCACTTAAGTGGGACAGCACAGGCTGTCTTGTCAGTGCCGTTGCTTTTTATTTTGTGAGACAGAAAGAATACAGGAGAGATCTGGAGGAGAGCATCCGTGGGAAAGGGCTCACTGAGATGGAAGACACACCTGACATGCAGAGAGCCAAGAATGCCACCCAGATCCTCAATGAGGTGAGCCCACAGCCGCCTGTGCCTCTGACGCCTTCCGAATCTTCCTAGTTACACCAGAGAAAGGCTTTAAAATTTCAATTCCATACTATACACAGTCACTAAAAATATATTTCAACTTCTATACCTTTTCTTAAAAAATCTTTTAATACTGTTTATTGTAACCTTATTTCTCTAAGCTTAAATGAACATTTAAAATGTAACAAGTTTAAACACTATACCGGAGTGGTGAGCTTATACATTTAATACTAGTTATGCACCAACCAAGATTTAAAATTTGCTTTATGCTAACTTTTGAAATAAAAAATGCTAAAACATTTTTCAAAAATAGGTCTTTTATTACATACTATTAGGAATAAGCTGACTTTAAAAATTCTTTTGCAGAAAGAATATAAACGAGACTTGGAGCTGGAGGTCAAAGGAAGAGGACTGAATGCCATGGCCAATGAGACTCCAGATTTCATGAGGGCCAGGAATGCTACTGATATTGCCAGTCAGGTGAGTGGTCCTAGTGACAGTCTTTTCAAGAAACTAGTTGTGATAAGGACACGGTGTTGTTTGTTATCTTACTGTTGGTCACTGACAGTCAAAATGCATACAATGGCATTTTTGATCATCATCTGCAGGGGGAGAATCCAACCCCCAGTGGGAAAAACTGCCTGAGAGCACTTCCACCTGCTGGCTCCACCCAGCATAAGCCAGGCATCTCCCATGTGGGTGGCAGGAACCCAGTGCTCCCAGGGTCTCCCTTAGCAGGAAGTTGGGAGTCAAGAACAGGAGCCAGGGTTAGGGCAGGAACATGCTGAGTCTCTGCCTAGGGCATCAGCATCCTTCATAAAGGTGCCAGTTTGAATCCCAGAGGCTCCACTTGCAATCCGGCTCCCTGCTAAAGGCCTGGGAAGACAGGTCTCCCAGAAGCAACCCCTTGTTTCGGACGGGCCCAGCTCTAGCTGCAGCCACGTGGGGAGTGAATCAGTGGATGGAAGATGGCTCTTTCTCCTCCTCTGGTTATCTGCCTTTCAAATAAAAATAAATCATAAACAGGAGGCAGGAATTGAAGCATCTTAACCATAAGACTGAATTATACTCACTCCCAGGCTGCCTAATCCACCTCCTATCCTTCTGCTTTTCTGAGTCTAGAATCAACCGGGACATTCAGAAAAATAGAAGTTGGAGAAATCACATTACTGCCTTGATTCTGACATCCTCACCTTTACTATTAGCCACTCTGCTTCTCACTGGCACCAAGAAATCTTTGCTTAGAATGTTCCTGTACCATTCTAGACCAACACTGGAAACTGTCTTTAGGCAGCCCGTGTTATCTAGTGTTAACTGGTATTGGTATTTTGTTTCTCTGCTAGCCCTAATGTAAACCAACCTGTATTTACATGTCTGATGATCACTCTCTGTGCCCATGCCCCTCTTGGGCCCCTCAGATAACAAGCCTTTCAACAACTGGGACCTTCTTTCTGAGTCGATTGTCACTCTTCAATTTCTAACTTCAGTGCAGTTACATTCGTGAGAGGAAGAAATGTCTTTTAAATGGCCAATCAATTATACTTCTGGAAAAGTAATGATGGTTCCCTCTCAATTAAACCAAGCCAACAAATAGCTGTACATTAATATTTAACTGTGGAATGTCCTTTTTTAGATTAAATACAAGCAATCAGCAGAAATGGAAAAAGCCAATTTCACTTCTGTGGTCGACACTCCTGAGATCATTCATGCCCAGCAAGTCAAGAACCTTTCCAGCCAGGTGAGGATCTATGTCAGAATACCTATCACAAACCCTCATCTTCCAAATTGCTATTTTTTCCAGTAAGACAGAAGGGGTTTGTGTATAATGAGTTGGAGTTGAGATTTCTGTATCAAAGTTGGAATACACTGTATGAGAACTCTCATTACGAGCTGTACCATAACAGTGTTCTAACAAGTGAAGTTTCTTAAGTGCATTGTAAAAATTTATGTGCAAATCTGGAAAAACAATGTAGACATCCCACACTGTATGACCAGTCATTTCTAACAAGATTACACTGTCTATCCCTGATTTTTCCGTTGATATCTAATTCTCCATCTTCTCACAAAAAGAGAGCCTGAGGCTGGTGCAGGTCAGAGAGCTGGCTGGCCATGGTGGCCAATTAGGTCTCTGTTTAGCAAAGCTGCCAGTCCAGAGAGTTTTCTGCAGCACAGAACTACCTTCCACAAGTAGTTTCAGGGCTTGTCTGCAGGCTCAGTCCTGCAGCCTGAAGCTCTAAACAACCTGCTTGAGGTTAGCAAAAAATCTTATCACTGAAAAAGCCTGGATTAAGAGGTTTTTACCACTTCTAGTTGCCTACTGAATAGCCTGGCTTCTGGCCAAGAGACTCAACAACTTGGCAAAGAGAAAAGCTTCTAGAGGTGTTCCCCTCTTACTCCCTGGGACCGCTCCCCCTACAGACCACCTCCACAAGGGTTCTGCTTACGGTGGGCCCTCCTAAAGATCTGGGGTGCAAGTCTCCCAAATGAAAAAGCAGAGAATTCCTCACAGCATCCTACATACACCCTCCCCAACCTTCTTGACAGTCAAGAAGATACCAAGCATTTTCACCCTACTGAGTCAGTCTCCTCAGCCCCTATCCCCATAGTATTCATTCCTTGGAATCTATTTCAGAAAAAATACAAGGAAGATGCTGAGAAGTCCATGTCATATTATGAGACTGTGTTGGACACCCCAGAGATGCAGAGAGTCCGGGAGAACCAGAAGAACTTCAGCAATGTAAGTATTTTGGACCCGAGGTTGAGCCCACTGGTTCTGAACTCAGGAAGGTTAAGGAAGATGCCTCTAGGGCCTCAGCCTTACTGAGATACTCAACATGATCATCCATGCCAAGAAATATGTGTTCAGTTTTTCTGTGAGCACACCTTAGATTTCAGCCTTAAGTCACAGGAGAGGCCCATCTTAGTTTGTGACTTCTTATCTCAGTATGATCTATTGTCATCTTCCATTAGTGATGACACCTTTTTCAAAGTTAGATCTAGACAAACAATATTTTAAAACATGTTTTAAGGCCTAACTTAAGGACTTTTGAGGAGAAACTTTTTCAAAATCGTAATTTAAAAATTTCCCTCTGGCTGTTAGGTTGTGCAAAAACCCACACACATCCACAGAATTTTAACTTATACAACATAGGACAATTAAAATACTTAAAACAATATTGAGATGTTAACAAGCTATTTACTCTTTCTTCATAGCTCCAATACCAGTGTGACCTTAAAAACAGTAAAGGAAAAATTACAGTTGTTCAAGACACGCCAGAAATACTGCGTGTTAAAGAAAATCAAAAGAATTTCAGCTCGGTATATTTATGTTTTCCATTTAAGCTAACCTTAATAATTCCATTCTCCTCTTTAAAAAAATACTTGTTTGTATCATATCGATAAAGACAATTAACATCTAACATGCCTAGTTAATATTAGTGATGGTTTGTTCAACTTCCGAATACTTTGATTCAAAATCATCACTCCAGAAACCACTTGCAATAACAAATCTGCTAACAAAGTAACTTTTTTTTTACATTTTTTTAATCCTAGAACAGTAACATACCTTGTCTTGCTCCAGAAGATTTTTTTTTGCGGGGGAGGGCTTCTTTTGGACATTGTGATTTCTTTAATCACCCCTTCAAGTAACTGACTGACTCTGCATTTCTTTAATGGATTTTGTGTATCACTTGGGAGGGGATCTGTTTTCACTGTTAGCATTTTCTGTTTTTCTTATACTGCATTAATACACACAATAATTTTAAAATCTCAAGATCTGGAAAGTGATTAGTGTTGCACACGTGGCTGACGTCAGAGGCAATGCTTGGGCACTTGCCTGGGAACACTGTCCAGTGGCTTGTCTTCACAGAAGCCAGACGTCCTAGTCTTTCTCCAGGAATTACGAGCTTTTCCTTTCTTCTGTGTAACACTCTCCTGCTTCGGAATGCTCAGGTTTTATATAAAGAGGACGTCTCACCTGGAACAGCAATTGGAAAGACACCAGAGATGATGAGAGTGAAGAAAACACAGGATCACATCAGTTCGGTAATGGCCCAGGGGACTCGTTTGCACGATATTCTGCCTCCCTTTGGTAACTTACACTGACTAGTGCCTGCATTCCTAATTTTTTATCAGTGGAAATAGCTGAATTAACTAAGCAGGTGCTAGTGGCCCATCACCATATGGTGATGTCAGTGGTAACAGGCATCTCATACTCCATGTAATGCCCCAGTGACTCTCATGAGGAAAGGATAATGTGAAGAGGCTTGTGAGAAATTAGAACATGTTGAGTCAAGGAAGTAACTTCCCATGCACAAGAACATACCTGTCCTCCTTCAGTGAAAGCACTCAAATGCTACAGTCGCTTTTTAATCTGTCTTTACTTTCACTGACTTCAGTTAACTGGGGTCTGAAAACGCTGCACAGACTACCTGAAGTACATAATTCCTAAGTTTGAATTGCATCCCACTCTGTGCAGTGAGATGAAATGTTACACCCTCCTGCAATGTCCATGAATCATTAAGAATGGATTCTATATACTACCCACCCATTAGTCACTGTGTTACTTAACAGTCACACAAAGTGCCTGAACAGTGATGTTGGCAGTTCAGACCAGAGAGAAAACATGAAGTGTTTCCTTTAAGTGAAAAGTTGAAGGTTCTTACCTTAATAGTAGCTGAGATTGCTAAAACTCTTCCATCTGTAAAATTATGAAAACAAATCGACTCTACTTTTGCTATCATACGTCCAACTGCACACATCATGACCATAGTGTACAAGCTGCTGAGATGGAGAAAGCATCAAACTTGTGAATGTATGTATCCACAGGAAAAATACAGTGTCATCCCCATGTACAGGCACTCACTGCGTTCTTACAATGTGTAAGTGACTACTGTATACAAGAGAAGGGATCACCTTCTAGGGAGATTCCCCACATTTGCCCTCAAAACTGCTCTCCTCTAACCCAGTATCAGAATGTACCCAGTTCACACTAAGCATAGAGCCTGTGCTATTTAAACTGTCACTCAGAGTGTAGGACTACCAGTCAAACATATGTACACACTGGGAAAATACTCTGCATGTAACACCTTTTCCTGTTTTCCTATCTGCAGGTGAAGTATAAGGAAGCAATTGGACAAGGAACTCCAATCCCCGACCTGCCTGAAGTGAAACGCGTCAAGGAGACCCAGAAGCACATTAGCTCGGTACAGGCCCCTGCCCTCAGCAATTGGACATGACAGCCATACAAACACATGCTAATTCCAGCCCCACTTGATACCTTCTATTGGGGGTCCCCTCCTGCTTTGGAGGTGTTAAGAATCCTGCCTAGGTCCTACAAAAGGTATCCAGGCTGCAAAAAAGTAGTCACAAAACTTGCTTTCATAGACTCTCAAGACAAAAATGCCTTGGCTTATGCCTGCTTATGCCTTCCACTTCTAAAGTAAAAGGTGCAAACAGTCATTAGTAAGGTTACTGGGATGACTACGTTACTTAACAAAAAGTATGTATATCTGAGTTGTCTTTACAATGCATATGAACTTTTTAAACAAACTATGCTTCAATTCAAATTTTTGGCACCGTTTTTGTTTTTAGTACTTTTCCCATAAACCTTTTCAAATCCTGTCATGTAATAAGCACAGAAGTAATGCATTTGTGAAGGCAGGATTGCTCTGTGGTCAGGAGGATGCTAAGGAGACGGTGAAGTCTGTGACACTGTCTTGTCGCGTGTTCTCTGCGCTTTGTAAACACAGCACTTCAGGCACTGGCTGTCATCCACTCAGTGGACTGTTGGATTGGAAGCCTCCTGTGTAACAGGAATGCCAGGCACCTGTGCCCAGTGTGTGTCGGGGCAGTCCCCCACACCTGAGCTAGCAGATTAGCCCAAGTTTCTCCTAACCTTTTGTCAAGTGTCCCCTAATTCTGGATCCCAACCTTCACTGCTCAAAATTTTATGCTGTTGCTGGCTACTTGACTATGAGAACCCTGGGGAATAGTTTATGGCCAATACAAATGAAAAACTTGGTCTTAGAGATTTCCTTGTCACTGGAGAACTGACACTCATTGCTTTCCACGGGAAGATAATTATTTCTCTTGCAGGTTGCATGTTCTAGCTTCCTTGTAGTATGAGCTTCTGTAGAATTCTGAGTGTACTCTGAATCTGGGAAAAGTGGACTATGGTTCCTTTGCTTTACAATACCTTGCCTTTCCCAATTGTGTTCTATCATCCATGATGTCAGGGTAAAGGATGAAGAAATACAACTTAGTTTCTAAGCAAAACAAAGATACCTTAGTTCCTAAGACAGCAATTATCAAAGGTACCATTGTTAGTTTGTTACTGGTCTTTGGACCTATCTGTGACATATACACCTCAATTATTTTGTGTGGCTTCCCACACCAAGTGCTAAGACATGGTAGCATCCAACCATCTAAAAAGAAGTGATGCATTCATTCGACTCATAGATTGAAAATTCAGTCTATCAAGAAGGCTAACTGGTACGTATGTGTCACAGCACTTTAGGTTGCCCTTAGCAAGTTTGCCATCTGCTATCATAGTGCCTGGTTTAAATCCTGGCTACTCCACTTCCTGCTAATGTGCAAGTAAGGCAGCAGATGATAGGCTAAGGACTTGTTCCTGCCACCCACCTGCATGATCCTGACTCCTGACTTTGGCATGGTCCAGTCCTGGGTCCTGCAGGCATTTGAAGAGTGGATCTGCAGCTGGGACTTCTGTCTCTTCTCTGTCACTCTGCCTCTGAAATAAAGCAATAAATCTTTTCTTAGAGGAGGAGGCAAGAGGCTCAGAAACTTAGGTGTCTTACTCTCAGAAAATTTATAATACTTTAACATTCCCTGTAAAAACCACAAACTTTTTCCCATTCAGAAAACACCACTACATGTGTTAAGCAATCATCAATGCGTATTTCAGGTAAAGATAGTTCTCCTGACAAACTATTGAAGTTTCCTTGTGTCATAGATACCTACAAACCAGGAGCCAACTAGGAATTCTGAATAGAAACTAAATTGATAAACCAAAAATCCTCAGCAACACTCAAGGAATAATATTGTATGATTAGAAAATTTTATTCCCAGTAACTTGCTTATTAAGTACGAATCTACTTCAGTTCCACTGTATTCGAGACACTCAATGTTAAATGCAATGGAATGGCTAGATTTTTCTCATGAAATTTGTTGTCACTGTGCATCTTAGTACCTCATATTTAGAATGCTAAAATTACTTTGAAAAAAAGATCAGTTCTAGGATTTCTTTTCCTTAAGCTTCGTATTTAAAAGATTGAGTTCCCACCAAAAAGCCCCCATGTAGTGGTAAGCTAAAGGATTTGTGGTTATTTTACCTTTTGGGGTATTCTAATTATTTTCTGCAGGTTATGTACAAAGAAAACTTGGGAACAGGCATTCCAACAACTGTCACTCCAGAGATTGAGAGAGTCAAACGCAATCAAGAGAACTTTAGCTCGGTATTTACAAATTATCAAATAAGAAACTATTTGCCCATTAAAAAAGTTTGCCAGAATAACCCATCATCCTTTTTTAAAAAAAGTAACATCTTAACAAACTCTGTGTGTCTGAGTGCATTACTTGGCAAAGCTATTTCAACTTAATACAAAATGACCCACTCTTCCGATCTTTAACATTTTCACCAACTGACCCGCGTGAATACTTAGATCTGAGAAATTGTAAGTAGCATTAACATAAAGATTCCCCATCATTATACTCATTTCCCATAACTCCACGTTTCCCACTGTACCTTTACATCCTCAGAATTAGCGCTGTCCAATCCTTAAAACTGTGGAGTTGAAGTCAAAGCACTCTCCTTACTAAATACCATCTACTAAAAACCTCCCCCGTTTTGCCCACACCCAGTGCTCTCCCTGCCGCAGCCTCTGTGCTTGTTTAGAATGTGTTCTGGATACTTTCTTGTATCTCACAGGTTTTGTACAAAGAAAATCTGGGGAAAGGAACCCCAACAGCTGTCACTCCAGAGATGGAGAGAGTAAAACGCAATCAAGAGAACTTTAGCTCGGTACTTCTTAGGGGACCAAAAAAAAAATCCTTTATACTTAACACCTTACAAATATAATAAAAATTACTAAATTTATATGAAACAGAAAATGTTACCTGTTTTCAACCCAAATCTAATGTAGTGCTTTAGTTCTGGTGTGAAATTTTAACTTCATTTTCTCTAAAACACTTTTCCTTAAAACTCTATAAAAACCTGTATACTCAGCCTTTCCTTCCTCCAATCTTTTTAATAACAGGTGTTTCTAACTGGTGTGACACAAATCATACATAAAAGCTAACACCTCTTTAAAAAGGTGAAAACTAAAGGTTTATTTCTTTGTTGTTCGTTTCATTGTGTTTGAGCATTCTTATGTTTGTAGCTTCTCTTGATGTAATTCTTAAGCATTTTCATTCAGCTAGTACAGTAGCTCAATTACTTGTCGCAGCTATTTTGTGCAAAATAAGTAAGGTTTCCTTTGGAATATTTACAAAATCAATGAAAGCTAGTAATTATTTAGCTTTTAATATAAATATCTAATTCTGCAACATTCTCTTCCTTTCCCTAATTTAATGTTACCAATACCCCAACATGAATATGAATTTAATTAACTTGAGTCTCATTCAGTAAGAACACTTCACCCATCAGTCTTGGAGCAGTGCATATGAACCCGGCCACTCGATGAATGAAGGGCTCCACAGTCAGGAGAGCTTAGAGTTTGCTCCATTTCTCATTGAGTCCATCAATTTTACATAAAAAATAAACCCCTTCAAATCTTCCCAAAAGATGCTGTCAAGCTGATGGACTGTTGGTTTTGTGCACACAGATACTGTACAAGGAGACCTTGAGCAAGGGGACTCCCCTGCCTGTGACTCCCGAGATGGAGCGAGTCAAACGCAATCAAGAAAACTTTAGCTCGGTATTTCAAAGAAAGTCCTCTAACTCTATATTAAAAATAATAATCATCTCCAGGAAAAAGTTCTATTTGGCCTTTTAAAATAATCTAACAAATTCTTTTAAAAAATATCTCCCTTTCCTTTATCTTTTACTCACCATCTGGTTCTAATAATTTATATTTTCTACACTAGTCCATTGCAATGTTCAGTTGGTTTTTCCCTTTTCTTTCCACCTTTGATATGTTGGGACTTCTGAAGTTAACTGCTTCCCAGACAAGACCCAAACATCAACATTTTTATTTACTTGCAATCCTTTTTGTTTCTGGGTCAGATTCGATGGAGCTGACGTATAGAAATTGTGCTCTTACTTGGGAATAAAGTCACTTGATCATAGATCCCGTCCATTTAAATAGCACAAAGAAAACCATTTTTGCAGTACTTTGAGACTTACAAGTAAAAATTCAAGCCTTCTGATTTCTTTCATACACAAAACAGATCGCAATAGTCAACATCGCTGTCTCTTTTATTAGTGTTCTTCCTGACAAAATCAAATTCCCAAATAGTCTGGGCTTCTGCATAGAAATGCGTTCTCTCATCCCTGAGATGGAGACAGTCATTACTCAGCCAAAAAAAGGCAGTGGTTTTCGTAAAGTTTATAATTGTCTGCTGCAACCTTTTCAGAAAGCTTGAATCTTTCACATAAACTGAGTAATTTCGTTTGGACCCACTGTATTTAATCACTATCTACTGATAACCCTTCAACTATGTTGTATTTTCAACATCAGTTAATGTCTTTTGGAATGTTATGTTCTCTGTTTTCTCAATGGCTTCATTATTTAAAAGGCTTGCATCTACTTGCAAAACTTTTTAAATGGTTTCATTCTGTGTTAGAGTAAATATCCTGTTATTTCTCTTTGAAGTGGATAGTGCTAGCTAACTCCTTTCTTGGGTGACCATTTGTGCTCCTTTTCATACAGGTTGCATCCACACAGACACGTAACAGTGGTGACCTGGGCACTGAGCATTTCAGGGTGGTATTTACCTTAATGCTAGCTGGAGGACATAACATCATATATGGGATACAGTAAAATGGCATCAGCTACTCCAGCACTAGGGCTAAGGAAACAGAAAACATCTGCTCACCCATATCTGTACTTGGAGAACGTGTCTTTCCTGTCTGATGTCTGTAGATTCAGAGCGGGTTTCCCAGGATAGAGCAGGGCTGTGGTGACTGCTCTTGCTTTTTCTGGTTGTTTTCTTGTGTCACAGGTGTTGTATAAAGAAAACCTTGGAAAAGGAATTCCGATCCCCATCACTCCTGAGATGGAGAGAGTCAAACACAATCAAGAAAACTTTAGCTCGGTATTTAAAAAAAAAAAAAAAAAACCAAGCAAAAAACCCTGTAAACAGTGAAAGAGAGCAATAACTAGACTTTCAAAAATCTAATTAACTTATCCCTTCTCAACTTAATACTGCTATTTCCTATGATTTAGTTTCTCCCATTTTGGTTAAATAATCAGTTGGCTTAAAAAAAAAATGTTCAATATCATGAAACTGTAACATTCCCAGTGACTAAGTATCCTGCTTTGGCAAGTTTTATCTGAAGACAAAGCTTTAAAATATGATTTTGCCAAGACCTGCCTGTTGGCCTCATTTCCTCTTCTAACCTGTCTTCACTGGGACTTGCATGGATATCCTAAGGTTTTTTTTAGCATCTTGCAGTAGCTACCTAGTGGCCTTAAAAATAATTCTTCCTGATATTCCAACCAAGCTACAAAATATTTTCTTTTGAAAGACAGCTAAAGATTTGTGTGTATGTATCTTCATGTATACTATGGTTCTAACTTCCTTGATTTTGTCTCTCTCCTTTTAACTCTTACAACAATCTGGGGAGGAGTACTTGCTCCCTTTCTCGGTGCTGTTTATCTTTTTAGCTTTGGGTGTTTCCTGCATTCCTCTGACTTTAGGATCATAAAGGCTGATCTCTAACTCACACCCGTGCGCTCTGCCTCCCCTCCTACTCCCAAGTTTCCAAAAGCGGAAAATGGCTGACTGCTCTGTTTTGTGGATGCTTTCTCACCACACAGGTGTTATACAAGGAAAACCTGGGGACAGGAACTCCAGTGCCCATCACTCCAGAGATGGAGCGAGTCAGACACAATCAAGAAAACATTAGCTCGGTACTCTGGAAGGACGATGCCTCTTGACCTCACAGATCCTTAATATTTATTCCTTTTAAAAAAATTCTTTCATTAATTCTAACGTTACCTTACTCTGCAGAATGGCATATGTTCTCCTTTCATTAACATGGTTCATTTTGATTTTTACTTCACTTGAATATTTTTAAGCATTAAAAAATGAATCCTTACTTGGTATGGGTAACAGTACAACCAAGTAGTGATCATTTCAGATTCCCATGTAATAACTGTTTGAAGAGGCACTGTGCTAATACAAATGAAAAAGAAAGTAACAATTGTAACAGATCCCTTTTTCCCAGCGGCTGAGGTGTTCACTACCATGAGAGGGGAAAAATTCCCACTCTAAGTAATGGCTTCTAGGAATGCTCTGTGTGGCACAGCTGCTGTACCACGGGTCATTTCTTTAAAAGGATGCTATCCCACCCTTAAAGTGCCACAGGAAATGACAATGTCACTTACAGCTGTTGTGATGCTCTCTCATTGTGCAGGTGCTGTACAAAGAGAACATGGGCAAGGGGACCCCTATAGCGGTCACTCCAGAGATGGAGAGAGTGAAACACAATCAAGAGAACATTAGCTCGGTACTCTGGAAAGACGGGGAGACCAGGCCTCTTAACCTCAGAATCCATCTGAGCCCTAACTCTGAGCCTTCTCACAGTCTTCTTCCCTCCCTTTGCTTCTAATGGATCCTACTCTGCAAAGGATATACTTTCTCATTTTCATAACAGTTCATTTTCTCTTTACTTTAGCTGACATTTATATAAATAATTTTTCACAAATTAGTTGTAACAGGTAGCAAAACCTGGAATTAACCATTTTGCATCCTGGTGTAACCCTTTAGGAAGCACTGTCCTCATACAAATGAACAAAATAACACAGTTAACCGACAGCTTTTCCCCAGCAGTGAAGCACTGCCTGCCCAGGAAGGTTTGGGCTCCCCATCCCATAACAGCTCTGAGACAGCAGTACCTGGTAGCCCGTCAGCATGACTCCTGGATCCTTGCACTCCTGGGTAACAAGGATGCTATCCCACCCTTCAAGTGCCACAGGAAATGACGATGTCACTTACAGCTGTTGTGATGCTCTCTCATTGTGCAGGTGCTGTACAAAGAGAACATGGGCAAGGGAACCCCTATAGCGGTCACTCCAGAGATGGAGAGAGTGAAACACAATCAAGAGAACATTAGCTCGGTACTCTGGAAAGACGGGGAGACCAGGCCTCTTAACCTCAGAATCCATCTGAGCCCTAACTCTGAGCCCTCTCACAGTCCTCTTCCCTCCCTTTGCTTCTAATAGATCCTACTTTGCCATATTACTAATAGTTAGATTTCAGAATATGAATAATGATGCAAGTGTTAACCATTTTGAACCTCACACAAATATAAAAATAACTGCCTTTTCCCCAGCAGCCAAGATGTTCCTTCCCACATGGGTCTGGGTTCCCCATCCCATAACAGCTCTGAGACAGCAGTACCCGGCAGCCCGTCAGCTTGACTCCTGGCTGTTCATACTGCTGGGCCATTTTCTAACAAAACTGATGCCACCCTTAAAGTGCCACAGGAAATGACAATGTCACTTACAGCTGTTCTCCGATGCTCTCTCATTGTGCAGGTGCTGTACAAAGAGAACATGGGCAAGGGAACCCCTATAGCGGTCACTCCAGAGATGGAGAGAGTGAAACACAATCAAGAGAACATTAGCTCGGTACTCTGGAAAGACGGGAAGACCAGGCCTCTTAACCTCAGAATCCATCTGAGCCCTAACTCTGAGCCTTCTCACAGTCCTCTTCCCTCCCTTTGCTTCTAATGGATCCTACTCTGCAAAGGATATACTTTCTCATCTTCATAACAGTTCATTTTCTCTTTACTTTAGCTGACATTTTTAAACACTAAAGACAATAATATGCCTTTAGTTGCTGTGGATAACAAAACCTGGGGTTAACTGTTTTGCATCCTAGTATAACCCTTTAGGAAGCACTGTCCTCATACAAATGAACAAAATAACACAGTTAACCGACAGCTTTTCCCCAGCAGCTGAAGCACTGCCTGCCCAGGAAGGTGTGGGGTCCCCATCGCAGTAACATCCGAGACAGCAGTACCTGGCAGCCCGTCAGCTTGACTCCTGACTGTTCATACTGCTGGGCCATTTTCTAACAAAACTGATGCCACCCTTAAAGTGCCACAGGAAATGACAATGTCACTTACAGCTGTTGTGATGCTCTCTCATTGTGCAGGTGCTGTACAAAGAGAACATGGGCAAGGGAACCCCTATAGCGGTCACTCCAGAGATGGAAAGAGTGAAACACAATCAAGAGAACATTAGCTCGGTACTCTGGCATTAAAAAAAAAAGCTACTTGTTTAACCACTTGGAAAATTACTTAAATCTACAATAATCCATTTTAATCCTACTTTTTAGAAAAACAAATTTTATCAGTTCCTATTTATACTTCCTAAAACCCTAGCCTTAACTTCATAACATGAATGCTGCGACCTGCAATTTAAAGTTCTAACATAGAAACTGATTTTCAAATAAAAATCCCTCTGCTCACCTCCCCCCAGACTCACTACCTTTAAGTCTATTTATACATTCATGAATGTGGGGATGGGTGGTTTGATGCAGCACATGTGATGAGACTTAAATACGCTTTTCATGATTTCATTGGTTGTTGCTGCAATGACTATCCTGTCAAATTTGGACAAACAACATCTTGGAGAAAATAACCTCTGATCTTGTCACTCAAGGCTAGTATCACTTATGATCCAGTGTGGTTTTAGTAACTGTCGACTCATCTACAAAGCAAAGTGTCACTACGTTTTGTTATGGTCTCAGCTGACAATTTCAGTAAATCATTTCCCTGGAAGTTGTGCTCTGTGACATTAAACATGTTTATAAATTGCTAGGAAACTGTGGTTTGGATGGGAACCTTTCCGTAATGACTAGCCTGGCAGGCCGCAGCAGACACTGTATAGCTCTCAAACCCTTTAGTGCCATGCATGTGACATGTTAGTAGGTTAGCAGATAGAATCATTGTTAAACCACATGGCTCGATTGCGTCCCCATGGCTTCTCATTCTGTAAGTCTGATATGCGACCAAAGAATTTGCACTTTAACAAGTTTTCAAGTTCTCCTTGCTGCCCAGAGCCCCTACTTTGAGAATCATTTACCATGGGAAGGCCCATGTATCCAGGGATGACACTGCAACGCTGAGGACTGATCCTGAGTGCCACTGGGTCTTGGTGATTCAACTGCTAAACACATCCCTGATAGATTTGCTGTTGTACAAAGCTAAAGCAAAAGACAGAGGGAGACACAAGACAAGGAGTAAACGCCTTGGTCACATCTGAGAGCCTGTCATTACACTGATGGGTCAGTGACAGCTTACGTGCTTCAGAAAGGTTCAGTAATGAGCTGCTTCCATCCTCATCAGTGGGAGCTGTGCCCATCACTTGTTTGACATGATCTGTATGGGGCATGGCACTCAAACTGATGGTGTAATAATGGTGGTCACAAATCCCTCCTGGCAGGGCTGCAGTTTCTCTCGTATTTCAGGGCCGGGTACCACTCTGGATCGTGTGTGTTGCTGGAACTACACTCAACTTTAAGTTACCCTGCTTTCCATCTAACCTTGTTCCCTGAAACAGTGTGGCACCCTGAACCTCATACAGAATGATCTATACCACATCCTCTTTTGATAACTATAATTTTGTTTTCCATCTTTGTGGATTTTGGACTCACATAGGTCTTGTACAAGGAAAATGTGGGGAAAGCCACCCCGACCCCTGTCACTCCAGAGATGCAGAGAGTCAAACGCAATCAAGAAAACATTAGCTCGGTACTGTCTTCAGCAATTACAGTGCTTTGGTTTTTGCAAAGTAACCCCTGCAGTTTGACCTGCTCCTAACCCTATCCCAGGTTGAAAATAAACAACACTGCCAATTACACTGACTCTCCTCTAAGTATCATAGTACCTTTACCATTGCCATTAACTATTTTCAAGCTTTCTTCATGGGAGCTCTTCTCACTAAAAATAGATTAATCCTAGCAGCACTTGTGCCTTCTTCCAAAATTGAAACATACGTAATAGTAAACATTGCCTCCTGGTGACTTTTGGGTGCACCTTTGTATCTCACAGGTATTGTACAAAGAGAACCTGGGGAAGGCAACCCCCACACCCTTTACTCCTGAGATGGAAAGAGTCAAACGCAACCAAGAAAACTTTAGCTCGGTATTTCAAAGAAAGATATCATTCAAGTTTTAACAAGCCTGACAAACATGGTTATACCACTAATTTTTCTCAGTGTTTCTAAGACTTTCGTGTAGTTTTAAAAATTTTTCCTTGTCCACTTAAACAATCTACCCTACCAACTGAAACCGCTTTCAACCATAACAACTTAATGGCTTTTATCATCTTGAGGTGTTTCTTACAGAAGTGTGCTATAATTGAGCTGTAACACCAGCTAAGTGATGACTTTCAGAACTGCTTTTATACTTTCTGATGTCTGGATGCTCTCTTGGCTCCCCTAGGTATTGTACAAAGAGAATATGAGAAAGGCAACTCCGACACCTGTTACTCCTGAGATGGAGAGAGCTAAGCGCAACCAAGAAAATATTAGCTCGGTATTTTCTAGGGTGAAAATTAAGCAGTGCAACAACTTGGAAAATAACATTTTAACACCATGAAACCATGCTTTTCTCATTCTGCTGAAAAACACACTAAATTTCTTTAAAAGAAAAATGCAACTTCTTGTACGGTAATATTTTAACACCATAAAATGTGCAATTCCTCATACAACTGAAAATTGACACAAAAATTAACAAAACACTGCTGTTCAACTCCAAGTGGTCATGCTAAACATAACACGTTAATTCCCAGTGTTTTCTTTCCCTATTCACTATACTCTGAGATATATATTTTCCATAACCAATTATAACAAACTGATTTCCTAACATTTTCAATCTTCTGCTTCCCTTCACGTTAAAGGTACTTTGTGAAACAATTAACATTCTGAAACAGATGCCTTTTCTGGTTTTGGTGTTTGGAGGTTATTAGTTTATGATTATACGATCTAGATATAGTCCAAGAAAGAATGATCATTTCTTTTAAAAGATAATTCTTACAAATTCCTTTTATATAGCATCAAATATGCTTTTGCCGTGTTAAATTCCAAAGTTCCAAGAGGCCACTTTTTCCCTTTAGAATTATACTGTGCTCCCCACCTCATTTGGGAATGAAAATTATGAGGAAAATCAAAGTTTCATTTCCAAAGCCAAATAAGTTCTTTCTCTTCGGCAACCAGCCTCACCTTTCCTCATGCTAACCTGTTCCACTGCCAGTCACCTGCCTCGCTGGGGCTTCTCAGTGGAATCAGTGATCTCATCCACACCAGCTCCTCTCACCTCCCTCTGCTGGCAAGTCTTTGAGGCTGCAGAATCAGGACAGCGCCAGGCACTTGACTCATTCACGGTCTCTCCTTGATAGGTTCTTTATTCGGATAGCTTCCGGAAACAAATACAAGGCAAAGCAGCCTACGTGTTGGACACTCCGGAGATGAGACGGGTGAGAGAAACCCAACGACACATCTCCACCGTGAGTTGGAAATCCTTTGGCTTGGGTGGACCCCAGCCTGTTGGGAAACCGTAAAAAAAAAAAAAAAAAAAAAAATTTATACCATATTTTCATAATGGGAATTCATGACATTACAGGTGAAATATCATGAAGACTTTGAGAAAAGCAAGGGCTGCTTCACACCAGTGGTGACTGACCCTATCACCGAGCGAGTGAAGAAGAACATGCAGGACTTCAGTGACATCAACTACCGAGGTATTCAGAGGAAAGTGGTAGAAATGGAACAGAAACGGAATGACCAGGATCAGGAAACTGTCACAGGTAATCGAGAACAAAGGTGACATTGTGTACATCAAGTCAAACCAGATTTCAGTTAGCTTTCACTATTTGAAAAAAATCCGCTATTCTCAGTTTGCAAAGTTTATTTCCATTCTCCCTTGTCTTTGCTCTCTATTAAAGCTCTGTTACAACCTCCACTGACTAGCAATAATAGAATTCTCTAGGGGTTGTTTAAATTCATGCCTTTATCATTCTAATGCCCAAATCATTCTAATCATTGTTTTTCTCTCAGGCTTACGTGTCTGGCGTACTAATCCTGGATCAGTTTTTGACTATGATCCAGCAGAAGACAACATTCAATCCCGCAGTTTACACAAGCTCAACGGTATGTTGTGCTATAAAAAGCATAATTTTGCCAGCACCATCAACTAGTGGCCCAGCATTGCTGATCCTTAGGCTCTCAAGTTCCTTTCCTCCAGGACTTGCCATTTGGACAGGTGTTTTGAAATAAAAATGCATATTAGTAAAAACTATAAAAAATTTCAAACTGTCATATCAAATCTCTTGAAAACTGAAAATGAAGAGATAGGCACAAAGGCTAGCTTACTCCCCAAACATAGGCCAAAACAGGAAGCCCAGAACCCTATCTGGGTCTCCCACATAGCACTTAGGGACTCAAATACTGGCACTATCACCACTGCGTTCCACTGGAGTACGTCAGGAGCTTGGGGCAGGACATGGACCCAGGCTCTCTAGGCATTGAGGCATCTCAAGCAGAGGCCCAGCCACTTTGCCAAATGCCTGAGCCTCCAACACATCTTTTAATTCAATTTCCCATAACTTTCGAAGTAGCCTCCTATTGCCGGTCCTAAAAGGAGTTTTCCATTCTACAGACGGAGAGCGGTCGAATCTATGGTTACCCCTACATGCACAATGATCTGCCAACAATATTATAGGCACACACACAAACACATCTAACTTAGAGAGGACTTTCTAGAAAAGCCAATGTTTGGTATGAATATTACTATCTGTTTTTGCTGAATGCAGAAAATGGGCAGAGTGGAAAGAAACAGCTGCCAAGGACAGACAGCCTGTCGGACATGACACCTGGTGGCACTACTTCCATGACACCCTTTCCTTTATTTAAGGCTCCCAAGTATGTATTCCAAGAGTTTGGAGAGCTCTAGTCATAGAAAACCACATAAAGCAATGCTCTGCAAGTTAAGAGCCGTGATCCAATGACTGGTAAGCATTACTGCCACAGACCTCCTGGCTGCATCTCTTCTCATCACCTCTCTTGCAGTCCAAGCCCAGCGCAGGAGCAGGGAACAGTCGCGATCTGCCAGTGCACTGAGTATCAGTGGGGGTGAAGAGAAGTCTGAGCATTCAGAAGGAGCCAACCACTACCTCTCCACCTACAGCGAAGGGGGCATCTTCTCCACAACCTCAACAGGTACAAGCCCCTGATGCTGACCACGAGAGCTTGCCCATGAGGCTTACAGATAGCTCTGTAACACCTGATTTGCATTGAAAAACAGATACTTTCTTCAAATGGGAGGACTGGAAATGTGAAGTTACATAAAGCTAAATGTTTTTATTTCCATTAATTTTATCAAAGCCTCCCTTCCTTGTAAATCATTGTACTTTGACATAACTTAGTAGCAGACTTATAGGACCAGCACAATAGACATTAAAAACATGTACTTCCATGCAACGCAAGTTAGAAAAGTGTAGTAAATGGATGGAATCTACAGCATAAAAATGTAACAATTTAGTTGCAGTAACAAAGTTTAAAAACTCACCTGCTGTAATTGTCCACAAGAAAATTTAACAGGTTCACTTATAGCTGGTATAAGGCTGTACCTTTAAAACTTGTTTGCTGTAACATTTTTGACATGCAATATACTTTCACATCCCCACACCGCCAGTACTTGACTTTAAAAAAAAAAAGTTTCAAAAGCAAGCTCACAGAAATCTTTTAACTACAGGTTAATTTCCCCAAAGCCTGAATCAGCCAGGAGCTCCATAGCGGTGTCACCCAACATTTAGGCCATGTTCCCTAACTCTCCTAGGCACACTGGCAGGGCTGCATCAGAAGCTGAGCGAGAACTGTTAGAGTGACTGTAATCTGATGCACCACAATGTTGCCCCTGACACCCAACCCCTGCTTATTTTTGCTAATCTGCACAGTTGCTATTATGCACTTAAGGCCCATTTTGATTCCATGGGGCGAAAAATACCTAATATTCAGACTTCTAGTATATGCAACATAAAAATTTAGAATGTTCCGCATTCAGGCCAGTAGACTTGACATTTTGATGACATTTAGCTTTGTTTTCTGCTTGCAAACTGTTTGCTCCTTTTCAGCTTACAAACACGTAAGAACCACGGAGCTCCCCCAACAGCGGTCATCGTCAGTTGCCACCCAACAGACGACATTATCCTCTATTCCGTCCCACCCATCCACTGCCGGAGTAAGTAGTTACTAACTTACCCAATTCATTCTTGTTTTTCAGTGTACAGAAACAATCGTAAGTATTATGGCCTGTTTTTTTAAATGAACTCTTATGCTTTTCCTGAAACATGTCTCAAGTTGATAGGATCTTCATTACCAAAACTAAATTAAGAAGTATTTGCTGCTTAGAATCCCTGAAGAACGCACATAAAAATACACATACTTACATACCTGCCATTATATCTTAGGTCTCCTATATTGAAATACTAACCAAATCTAATGTACTTGTCCATAATGCCATCAAGACGGTTTTTGGTAGGATGACATGGCATCAAATATGAACAGATAATACAGAAATGGCCCCCAAAAGAACAAGTCAGAAAGAAAGGAGTAAGTCAGTAATACTTGCATGAATTTGGGATACCAAGTTTACCTCTTCAGTAAAGTTTTCAATGGAAGAGGCAAATTACAGAAGGAGAAACTTTTTGGGACTGGGAAAAGCTTTCTTTAGCAAGTTTCAAAATGGAAGTGTTAAAGAATAGACCAAAAGATTTGACCACAGAATTTTAAATGTTTCTACAGTCAAAAGAAACATCTCAGTCTAGAAAAATACTTAACAGTGTACCTAACAAAGTATCAGTACCTCAAAAGCATACAGTATTCCACATTATTCCTCCCCCCTTCAAATTGAATGATATGGAAGAGTATGAATAGTTTTTGGTAAATATGGTCCAAAAACTTTGCTCATCAAGGCTAAAAAAGTAATCACTGGACCTGTCACTTTACCTTTACTATCATCTAAAGGAAAACACTATGATGTTCACTATAGTGGAAGAAAAAAAAATAGGAAAACTATCCAGAGAAATGGAAATGGACAAATAATTTATATTACTAAAAAGTCTCTCAATCACATTTTTTGGAAAGGCAGAAGGGGTGTTCCCATCTGCTGTTTCTCTCCCATCCAGACACCCATAAATATCCTGTTGGGGCTGAAGCCAAGAGTTAAAGCAGGCTTCCCACATGAGTGGCAAGCCCAATCACTTGAGCTACCATCTCTGCCCTCAGGGTGTGCACTAGTACAAGGCTGGCACGAGAAGCTTTCTTACATAGAACGTAGGCATCCCAATTAGCCTTAACACCAGCCTTTACAATTCAATATTTAGTGCTGTAATGAATAGCTTTTAGGAACTGGTACACTCTTTAAATTCATAAGATGAGCCAAGACATGCCAAGGATAGTTGAAAACAAAAGGGTAATATAAGGGCAATACGCATGCAACAATATCTTGGTTTGGATCATACCATAACCGAGTATTTAATCACTGCCACAGGTTTTCCAAGTGACGACACCATCTCACATCCCTAACAGTGTTTCACAAGCATTCCAATTTCTCCACAACATTGCTAACTCTTGTTAAGTCTTTTTGACAACTATCAATATTCTAGTGTGTGGCTTCTCTTATGGTTTTGATTGGCAGTTCCCTAATGACTAGGTGTAGCATGCTTTCAAATGCTAATACTTAAGGATAAGGAAAAAAAAAAAACTTCTCCAAAATGTTTTTTGGGGGGTAGGGTGGGGAGGGTTTGGGTTCTCTATATATAAAAATATAACCATCATCCCCCCTACTCTGTCAGACACGATCGCCAGGTATTTCCTATCTGTGGTTTTATTTTCTTGGTGGCGGCTGCACAGTAACTTACCTTTGCATATTAAATTATAAGAGATCTTACATGTTTGGGCTGTTATACATCTAACACATAGTATTCTTCTTTCCATCCTCACAAAGAAAATTTTCCGTGCCATGTATGACTACATGGCCGCTGATGCAGACGAGGTGTCCTTCAAAGATGGAGATGCTATCGTCAACGTCCAAGCTATCGACGAAGGTTGGATGTACGGCACAGTGCAGAGGACTGGCAGGACAGGCATGCTCCCTGCCAACTATGTTGAAGCAATTTAGTTAATTTGCAGTCAGCAAAAACTAGTCAGTAAAGACTATCACTCATTCTCAAGGTGCCCAGTGATTTTTCTTTGTCAATCTGTTTAGAATAGCACCATCCCCAATCTACTGACTACATTTATATGGGCTCTAAAAATTCTCCAGTAAAACAAATGCTACTTATTGGAATTGTATCTTCACTTGCTGGACTTGCACGTAATACTTTTGAGACACAAAACTTATGTTCTTTCAAAACTTCCACCAAAATCTCTTCTGGGGATTTTAAGGTTTAAAAGCTTTTACAATGTTATATTAGCAATCCTGTACAAAAATGTTTAACATTATTATGACGACTCTTAAAATGAACAGGTCAAACATACTAATGCCAAAATGACATACTCTTTTCTCTGCTTTGATGGATGCTACTACCGGTTTTATTCGAATTCAGTTAGAACCAATAGAAAATAGACTTGTAATTAAAAAAACTGCAATAAAATCTGTAATTCTGCAATAAACATGGCTAAATGAACATTTTAAGTGACTTTGGCATGTTCCAATCAAAACTTCAATAAAGCATATCCCTTAGACAAAATCATGTGTAGACTTTAAAAAACGTTCCTTCGAAAACGTCCATACTTGGCTCCACTGGTTATCCTGCAGTTTTAGAAGTGGACATGAGGTCCAGTCCTAAATTCAAAGAGATGTTCCTTACGTACCCAGCACATCAGCAATGTGGTGAGAAGGTTAAGTAGAAACACATCCATTAATCGCTGAATTTGTTTAACATCTACCCAACCTAAAAGCAACGATCTCCATAGTAATGCTGTTACTTACCCAAACTTGCAAATGTGTGTTCCGGAGACTCACCAGGGGTGGTGCTCTACAGAGACACGCATCTACTACCCCCAACACAGTGCTAAATGCTTTCTTGTCCATCACTTGGACAAGAAAGTGATGTCTGTTCCGAAATTAATGTTCCAAGAAACGGTAAACAATGCCGAAGCATCCTATTGCTGAAGACGACCACTGTCGTTCCCAATGCTTCTACTTTGGCTTAATCTTAGTGATAGTCTAAGGTAAACTAGACAACAATCTCATCATAGGCTTACCCAAGCTAACTTTGGGAACATCCCAGAGTTTAGGCACACTTTGCAATTCCTATCACATAAACCTTTCTTAATCCTAGAATTTTAAAAAAGCTTGGCAAACTTTTTCCTCTAAAACAGAATCTTCTTTCTAGCAGCCTGCCTCAAAAACGACCAGCTGACAGTTAAAATCTCATCAACCCCAGCCCACCAAAGACCTCCAATAGCTTCACATACTAGTTTTAACATACCTTATAAAGAAGAAAGAAATCAATATGGATTCAGTCTTTTTCTTCTCCTAATTTGCTTTGTGTCCATGTTGTCAATGCAATGACACCAGGGTAAAACAACATGCATTTCCATCTTGACAGATTCTCAGGACTGTAAGGCTACGAAGTAGCTCAGTTAACTTGATAATCTTTTAAGAAAGTAGGAAGGATGAAAATGTAGGTCATAGCAAAGCCCAAACACATAAGGATGTTACAGGTTGTATTATACTCCACTGCCTCTCAAATTTTAAGTGCTAATACCCAATACTTCAGGAGGTTGACTTCATTTGGAAATTCATCACAAATATATAGGGTAATAAAGTAAGGTGGATATATGGTATCCTTTTAACGAGATACATTCCAGTGCACAAAGGGAGAAGTCAAATGAAGATAAAAGCAGAGATTGGGACAAAGCTTCTACATCCCAGCAATACACACTCCCTACAGCGTGAAGGCAACAACCTTGACAACATATCTCAGCATCTAGTCACTGTAGCACTTTTCCTGTAGCGTCCCCAGTCAACCAGTACAATACCTTTCAATACAGTGTTTTTCTTACTTACAAGTATGGATGTAGGGCCAGTGCAATAGCCTAGTGGCTAAAGTCCTCATCTTGAATGTGCCAGGATCCAATATGGGCGCCAGTTCTAATCCTGGTGGCCCTGCTTCCCATCCAGCTCCCTGCTTGTGGCCTGGGAAAGCAGTCAATGATGGCCCAAAGCCTTGCGACCCTGCACCTGCATGGAAGACCTGGAGGAAGTTCTTTGCTCCTGGCTTCGATTGGCTCAGCACCAGCTGTTGTGGTCACTTGGGGAGTGAATCATCGGACGGAGGATCTTTCTCTATCTCCTCCTCTCTGACTTTCCAATAAAAATAAATCTTTAAAAAAGAAAAAAACACCAAAAACAAGTATGGATTTACACATCCATAGAACTAGGCAAAGTATGAAGCTATCCAAGAGCTTCAATTTAGAAAGACATAAAAAGGCAGAAGGCTATGAATGGCTCATGTTCATGTGCAGAAGGGACACAATGCTCACTTTATACTGTATTTGGATTGTGCTATCATTATCGGTTTTAGGTCTCACTAAACAAAATCAGAACACGAAAATTAAACAAAAACAGTGAGCATCAGAATTTAGTTTTACAGTTTTATTTCAGGTAAAAGTGCATTTCATTAAAACTGTTTCAAAATCCAGTTTTAACAGGCAAGCAGTAACAATCAACTTTCACTGAATCATTCAAGGTTTTACTGAGGACCCAACAGACTCTCCCTCCCTCAGCACAGTCACAAATGAACCAGAAGTAGTGTGGGACTAACTGCCTCAAACATAGTATATAAAGCAGTATACACTCAAAACAGACCACACCCATCCTACTCATCTTCTAGTGGAATTAGCCAAGGAATCAATCAGTATTCACTCATTGAACTTAATTTGTGAGACATATCAAATATAAATACTTTGTAAATGTAAAACTAAGTTCTCTTTAGATTTCACCAAGTAATGGAGATAAAAATACTATGTCAGTCAGTCAGTCTTATTCTAAGTGCACTGTAAGTCAAGGATGTGGACACAGACAGCATTTAGGACAGGTTGAATCCAAATGACAACTCACTGATAGAAAGCCAAGTCCTACATTCCAACTTATCTCACAGGCGATGTAAAGACCCCAGCGCCAAACAATTCCATTAGACTATCAGTGTTCCTTAAGATCACAGAACATTAACACTTCAAGACTTAAAAGATATACCAAAAACTGTATTAACATCTCCTAGTGTATCTGCACTGACACAGTAGGACACAAACATAATCAGAGAATCCTTTTATAAATGCATTCTAGGCGGGGTAACAGAAATTAAAGAAATCAAGACCTGATTCTGCCAGTGAAAACTCAATAACCAACTGGTAGCAAGCACTGACAAACTCTATAAAGGAACAGACAGTATTTTATACACTCTAGGCCAGTCAGACCGATCAATTTTACATTACCAGGAAGGCATTATAAAAAAAACAAGCAAATGAGTATGACATTCCGTCAATAAGAAAATTCTGAACAATTCAATTTTGTCCCAAAATATCACTTTACTTTCTCCAACTACTTAAAATATGTCAATACTGACATTTTAAGAACAAACCGACTCTAGCTTACAACCCCTGCTCTGTAACTTCATGCCATCCTTTGGTTTCTATTCTCAAAACTGATTCTACTCTTCACTCCAAATTTCTTTTAGATAATTTCTGTTCTTTAAAAGTAAACCTTTTCAGACAACTGTTAATTTTATAATGGAATTTAGTACACTATATTCTACACTTCACTTTGAAGGTAACCAACTTCCAAGCTGTTTGTCATAATCAACAAAATACTTTTTGTTGCAAATTACTTACTACTCTGGGGAGGAAACCGAATATTAAATAATGAATACTTTCAGCAATTACTTAAGGTATTCATAAACATCAACTGTGGTATTTATACCATATACGATTAACTTCCTGGATGATGGGCCACCAACTTTCCTCAAAGCATGTTAACACTGCTGCTTGTCCATATAAGATGATGTAACTTCCTTATATTTTTTGCTCACTCTGCCTTTTCTTTTTATTACTCTGCAATACTTTTTTCAAAGTTCAACAGGCAGTCTGTCAGAGTCTGAGACAGAAAAGAGCTATCCAAATGCCTGCCAAGAGCCAGGACTGGGCGAGGCCAGCCAGAGCCAAGGATGCCATCCTAGTCATTATCTCCTGCCGAACAGGGACACAGCACATGTGGTAAACACCCAGGTCCCACCACACAAGGAGGCGGCGTGGGTGGGAATTTCAAGCTCCTTGCTTTCAGCCTGCCCTTTGTGGGAAGTGAACCAGCCGAGGGAATTTGTGTTTCACTTAAGTCTGTATAACTTGGCTTTCAAATAGATAAATCTAAGAAACAACAACAACAAAAACCAAAGCAGCTCACTTACATCCTTGGAGTGCCTAGGCAATGGAACTTGGTTAAGCAGTGAGGCCTCTGCCACGAATGAGATGCCTACAGGCCCATCCCAGGCCAGAAATAGCACCTAGTCTTTTGAGAAATGAACCAGTGGATAGGAACTATGCCATCTAAACAAATTTAGGGCCTAACATGATGGCTCAGTCGCATAATCCTCACTTCACAGGTGTCAGGAATCCATATAGGGTCCAGTTTGTGTCCCAGCAGCCCCACTTCCCACCCAGCTCCCTGCTTATAAGCCAGGGAATGCAGTAGAGGATGACCCAAAGCCTTGTGACCCCATACCCAGGTGAAAGACCTAGAAACTCCTAGCTTTGGATCGGCTCATGCTTCTGCCAGTGAGGCCAGTTGGGAAGTGAACCAGGGACTGGTTCCTTCATACCATAAATCTGATCTGCAATTCCAATAAATATATCTTAAATTTAAAAATCAAAAATCTCAAAGAGAGACAATTTTCCACCATTTTGCTGAAACTTTCAATCTTAATTTGAAAACTTCCAGGCTAATTTGTAACTCTAATCATACCTTGGAAGAAAAAACACAGCCTTCAACTGTACACTAAGGATTTCAATCAGCTAGTTATCTTAGGCCTCTCTACTACAGAGCCTACTGACCCTCTGCAAGTTTACTAGTTACAGAGCCTTCACGTCTCAATACAGACCTGCTGAATCACAACCTGCATTTTCAAAAACCAAGTCTGAGAATTACTGCTAATGTTTGTGTCAAGCGCGACTTTCCTAACGACTTAGGGACAAAACGGATGTGAGCTGGGACAAGGAGCAGTCAAGCCATACACACCCACAATGGCTCTTGGTAGCCTCTTGGCCTACCATTTTCATTCCTTTATCACCACGCCAAAAAACAAAACAAAAAACTGTAAAACTTCACCACTAGTTCCAATTTGCTCACTATAATTTTTCACATTTTCATGATTCTTATATATGTAACATAAGCCTCATCTTTGTGCTGTAAGAAAACAACAAAGAACATTCAAAGGCAATGTAAGAAACTTGCATGCAACATTTTCAAAGTCAAGAGCTAAACGAAAGATCGCCCACGAGCCAGGACTGAGCTAGTTTTGTCAACATCTGTCATGTGAGTACAGGGAACGGAATCCCTTGCACTGTTTTTCCAGGCACAACAGCAGGCAGCTAAGACAGAGGCAGGAGAGCCATACCCTAATGGGATGCTGGCGTCACAGTGAATTTACCCACCAAATAACACCAGCCTGTCAATTCCATTTTTGACTGCATCATTCAGTATTATAATATGGCTCATTTATCCTATTTGCAAATGAAGACTAAAATCCCATAATGTAGGTATTGTTAATGCTGGGGTCACCTAAATACTGAAAACTTAAATCTATTAAATACAAAATAGATTTCAGATACTAGCAAGTATACAGTGACACAGCACTATTCTTTTTAAAATGAATAGATAACATTTTTTAAAAAAAGTTTTGTTTTAATAGTGAAATAATAACTTGGGGCTGGCTAGAGAATAGTTACCCTTTTTGCTACACAGGAATCATTAAGGGAAAATTTTGAAGAAAAACTGTAATCGAAAATAAGGTGCCTCAAGTATGTACTTATCAGAACACTCAAGATTTAACAAGCTAGCTTTGCAGCCAAATACTAAATGAAACACACAATGTTCTAATTAGTTGCTGTGCTTCTAGCAAAACTACAAATTTAAAAGTAAACGTTAACAATTTTGATTTTCTACTATGCTTAAGTGTCCCAAGAATTTCATTCATTAAGCATGGTTAGTTCACCCAAGCATTAAGGCATATAGTAGTCCTTACTCTGAGCTGCGTTAAAAATAACCTGCTGGGCCGGGCACAATAGCCTAGTGGCTAAGTCCTCATCTTGCATCGGCTGGGATCCCTTATGGGTGCCAGTTCCCATGTAGCTGCGTGCTTGTGACCTGGGAAAACAGTAAAGACTGGCCCTAAGCCTTGGGACCCTGCACGCACGTGGGAGACCCAGAAGAAGCTCCTGGCTTTGGATCAGCTCAGCTCTGTCATTGCGCCACTTGAAGAAATGAACCAACAGATGGAAGCTCTTTTTATTATCTCTTTATCCTCCTCTCTGTAAATCTTTCAAATAAGAAAATAAATTAAAGATTACTATAAAAGCTACCATTCTAACTAGGGGTTAGGTTTTGAATAAAGTCTGAAAAAGAAGTTCCCTCACTGACAGAAAGTGAGATATTCTCCAGTAAAAAGAGGAAACAGATACAGGAAGTCAGGCACTAATAGTAAGTTGGTAAAAATTACAAATGTTTTAATTATATACACCCTCTTTTTTTAAACCAGGCAAAACATACATATAAAAAGAACAATTTTCAACTTCTTTCAAGTTTACTTTTAGGTATAGATGAGAAAAACAATTTTAGACTTCTTATATAGTCCAACTTGCAATGAAAATAGACCAACTCTCCATAAGAAGAAATGGAATGGAACACTGTTTAGTGGGCAATATCCTCTTCCAAACAAAATGGGAGGGGAGGGCTACGGGGCAGTTAAGGATATGCTGTCACCTAACATTTTCTAATTTTGGTCATGTTACTAGTTCTAGATATGTTAGAAAATAAGCTCATCTGTTAACTAAGACTATTAGCTAAGTACAAAACTATTTGCTGTCTTATCTGTAGATACAGAATACTACAAGTATCTGTAACGAGCCCAGGAGGCACTTCTGTCTCCGAAAACTCCGTATCAAATATATACAAAAATTCTGTCAAATCAAAGAAGCTATTCACAAAAAGCTGCAGAGAATTCATGCAATTAACAAAAGCTGAGATTTATAAATTAAAAATATTGTTTTCTATACATAATGTACACAAAGTCATGCATTTAAGAACAAATACTATTGTTTTTAAACAGTAAATTTTCACAGGCACATTTTGCTGCTCAAGTATTTGCTAACATAAACTAGCGAAATCTGAATATATTCTGCACTACGATTTCACCTCCAGAGATGAAACCTCCTGGTATCTTTCTCCAAGACTGTCCAGGACTGACATTTGCAGAAAAACTACTCGGCGTCTTTTCAGATGTTACACAAAGAAGAAATTTAAATTTCAGCCCCAACAAATACAAATAATTTGTAAAATCAGTTCATCAGAAACTCAAAAATTTTTCAGTTTTACTTAAAACATTGAGCATTACATTATTTCAGTGGAATACGCATGAGTTGAAGAAAGTGCAAAATAAAATGAGTTTCACATCTCAGACATTTCAATTTCTTGACAACAACACAGCAGTCAGAAAGATTACACTGGGGGGTGGGGGGTGGGGACACACATAATGAAAATACAAATTTGAGCTTTCATAATGGTAAATCATTGTCTCTTGGTATTTTAAAATATTACCATCTTTGCAAAGTCTGAAATTGTGCTACACCACTGAGTCTGACAATCAAGAAATCGGTTGATATTTTAAAAATTTCAGTGTGTTCTTGAAATACTAAACAGAATTTTCATGGGCTGTTGACTTCCAACGTGACTGCAGATTTTTTATTATACAGTTTGCCATACTACCAAGTTTCTCGTGCATTTCAAATAGTTGGCTTCCTGAATAATTATGCAGATCTTCTGAATCCAACTGCAGGGCAAGAGCACTGATCTGTGCCATGAGATTTTTAGAAAATGGAGGTTCTAAAGTAACAGGATCCATCAAGTCTGAAAGAAAGCATACCGCAAATAGCACATCAATACTCAGTTACTGAGACTGCCATTCACGTTAATGAAGTCTAACTGTATAGATTTCGAACAGAACAGGTTGTTACCCTTTTCTAAAAGAACAAGGTGATAAAGAAGTCCATCACACATTATTCTTTCTAATTCAAAAAAAACACAAGACTAGTTCCTTTTTCTTTTAGTAACTGTAGCAAGCTACCCAGCTTACATTCTTATTTGAGACCTTACTGCACTGCAGGCTGCCACACACACACACACACACCACTGCACAAGTCATCGTCAGAGTAAAACCAAAAATTACCAAAATATTCCAACAGTGAGCTATCTTTTCAATATAACACAAATATATCAGAATATACCTGATGCAAGTCTTTCTTCATCAGATTTATTTTCTATGCCATTCACTGTTCTGTCAGAAATATCAAAAACTGGAATTTCTTCAAGTCCATGAGATTTCATCTTAATTACACATTAAGAAAAAAATCAAAAGTTAACATTTAATAGGAATATAAATACAAACACTGAAAACATGTTCAAAAGCTCATTGTAATTACTTAGCTTACCTTGTGAAGCTATGTTCTCTAGTAACTACACAAAACTGCATCGCTAATTATTTCCTCAATAAAAGGGTCACAAATTTCTATTTCATAGAGGCCAGAACTATAGCCTATTGGGTGAAGCTGCTATCTGAATGCATCCCACATGGGCACCAGGTTCATATTCCTGGAAGCTTTCAAATGCCATTCCTGTTCGTGGCTTGGGAAAAGCAGGATACAACCCAAGTGCCTGGGCCTCTGCTGCACATCTACAGGGCTCCCGCTTGTGGCCTTTCTTGAGCAGTTCTGGGTGCTGTGGCTATATGGAAAATCAATCAACAGGTCAAAGACCTATTTCTTTCAAACAAAAATCTTAAAGAAGTTTGTATTTCATGATAAATTTCTCAGTCACTGCTAAAGTTGAGAAAATTACATTATTCCTACTTATACCAATAAGGAAAAGAGAATTCTATAGCTGCATTTTCTATTTAATATATTTATTTTAAACAACATAACTTTCTAACTGTTCCAAGCGCCTATGGATGATGATGAATGAAATCCTGTTAAATTGTTCCAGGCATGAAAATATATACACATTTCAAACAAAACTGTATTGAAAAAGAAAACTCACTTAAGCAAAAATTTCTATATGAATGCTCAAGCAGCAATACATATATTTTCAAAATATATGAACTAAGATACCTGGCAACTTCCAAACAACCTCAATATGGCATATGTACTGGACCCATTTTCAACCTTACAACAGCAGGAAATTCTGATATGCTGAAACAATGACGAGTCTTGACAACAAACTTTAAGGGAATAACAATCAAAAGCTAAGGTTTGGGCCTGGCGCGATGGTGTAGTGGTTAAAGTCCTTGCCTTGAACGCGCCAGGATCCCATTTGATCGCTGGCTCCAATCCGGTGGCCCTGCTTCCCATCCAGCTCTCTGCTTGTGGCCTGGGAGAGCAGTCAAGGATGGCCCAAAGCCTTGGGTCCCTGCACCCGTGTGGGAGACTTGAAGGAGCAACTGGCTCCTGGCTTCGGATTGGCTCAGCACCAGCCGTTGCGGCCGGTTGGGGAGGGAACCATCGTAAGGAAGATCTTCCTCTCTCTCTCCTCCTCTCTGTAAATCTGCCTTTCCAATAAAAATAAAATAAATCTTTTAAAAAAACACAAAAGGCTACGGCTTTATCACCTAAAAGTCCAGAGTACAAAAATCCACAGGAAAGAACACTGAACGGGCGGGAGGGGGCCAGGTTGGAAAGCCAAATGTTAACAGTTGCTGGGGTAAAACATTAGCCTTTGTGATGGCTCTCTAACTCTACAAAGCTAGTCAAACTCAGTACTCATAAAACAAAAATCCTCAGTGCATGCACACCAACAAGAAAATATTTCAGAACCTCAACTCTGAATCTACGACATCAAAAATTACTAGTATAGCTGTTTGCATTTAAAGCAGTTGCATTATAAAAAGGTGTGAAACAGATTAATTTAAAATTAAATATTCGAACAAAATTTACATTTTAGAAATTCTAATACACAACACAGGTTTTCATTTATCATAATTCATCAGTGTCTCTGCTTTGGCTGATGTTCTGTTAATCCAAAAACAAGAAAAACTTTTACATATATTTTCACTAGAATTAACAATCTTGATTTCAACTTCATCTTGAAAATTGTTATTTGTGCACACATTCTAAGGAAAAAAATGATACTAGTGGGCATCTATATCACAGTACTGCATCCAATACATTTGCCAAGTTTCTGTAAATGTTTAGATTCACACAGATTGTGGCAGTAGCACACAAGCTATGAACCAAACTGAATGAGATTAAGAGAATAGAATTCAAAGGATCAGACAATTTAAAAATCAAATTGTACATTACAAAAATAAAAAAAGAAAAAAATCCAGTGTGGAATTTTAACAAATTCCACTTTAATTATTATTCAAGGGGAAGTGAAGTACTACATAAAACGAGATTTTAAAAGCAGCAGTAAATAGTACAACTGTATTACCAGATCATGTTTTTGTGATTAATACTTCTGTTTTTACCTGTTGCTCATGATAAACTCTAAGGGCTTTTTTCACATTGGACACTTTTGGAGAACGTATAGGAAGAGTTTTTATTTCAGAAGCTGTGAGAGTACTCAAATCACCAATTGTTTTTATATTCTTGGCTCTGATGAGCTGTCCCAGACCTCTTGCCCTGAGGAAAGATGAGAGAACAAAATTACAGCTTGTGTTAATTGTGAAGATTCAATCCAGTTGAAAAATTGTCCACATAAACTCAATATAACTAACTTTTTATTACACTCTTGTGGCAGGTGCATGGGGGGATCTTCAACACAAAAAGGGCCGGCACTGTAGCCCAGTAAGATACCACTTGACAGGCTAACATCCGACATGGATGCCTGTTTGAGTACTCTCTGCCCCACTTCAAATCCACGTCCCTGGTAATGCACCTGCTAAAACAGTGTAAGATGGCCCATGAGCTATGGCCCTTGAAACTACATGGCCGACTCAGAGGAAAACGGGCTCCTGGCTTTGCCCTGCCCCAGCAAGAGCAATACCTTAAAAATTCCTTATGCAAAATGTGCATTATAAAAAATTATGGATTTTCAGCCTCAAACTTAGCTTAAGCCATTTTTATGAACTTTTAGTATTAGTTTTGTATTAAAATAAAATTTGAATCTGATTAAGTCCATGTGGTTTTAGCCACAACATTGCAAACACATTAAGCCTATTGTGTGCCTCCTGCTCTACATATTACTTAAAGACACCTTTAGATCTTAATATCAACTTACTATTTTTGAAATGTTATGTAGAAAGATATTGGCTTATGCAGAGATATTTATGCTGCATTTACCGCTCAGACAAGATTTTTCCTAATTCATACCACATTCCATGTTCCCTTTCTACAATTCCTAGACACATTATTTCCATGAGTTTGAGAAAATTTCATATGCTACTAAGGATTATCCTACCATAAATAAGTCTTCTTAATAATTCAATGAAACATAATTATTTTAAAGCACCAAGGTATGGTATTATCTAGTCACAAGCATTTAAGCTGCCAAGACTGACAATGTCAAGGACAGAAGTTTTAACTAAAAGCAAACATCCTGGGGAATAAGTTTTATATATATCAATATTGTACTTTCACATGACTTTAAGCAGTTGTGTACTTTTTATGCACTAATCCTTTTGCAATAAGGCAGAAATAGCATATAATTCATGGTGTCTATATTAAGATCAAACAAAGTGGAATCAAGATGGCGGAATAGGGTAGACACGTTTAAATGGATGGAGAAACATTTAATTAGGATGAAGCAGAGAGGACACATTCCAGGAAACAGGAGAGGACACAACAACAGCAGAGGGGTACCTGGAGACTGACAGACACAGGAAAGCAGCAGACACAATGGTGTGCTGCAGTGACTGATACACCAGCAGCATTCAGCTAACAGCGATCTGAACTCCACCAGCAACCAGGTGGAAAGGGACTTTAACTGGGAGCTTGGGAGGTGAACCCAGACAAAGAACTGTGTCCTGCTGGTCCGTTTGATTTGACCAGGAGCGGAGACAGAGCAGCAGATCCCTGACAGGCAGTGCAAGAACAGGGTGGATTTCACAGCACAGTTAGCACCTCTAGAGCTGAATTGGGCGTCATTTTGCGTAAGAAGGTAAACACAAGGGAAAGGACTGCGCATAAGCTGAGCTGGGAGTGAATTCTTTTCTGACTCAGTGAACTGCAGCAACACGGCATTCTACAGGTCCCACCCGAGACAGGTCTGGGTAGCCCTCAGAATTGATGGCCAGCAGATCAAGAACTCTAGTAGCAGTATGTCAGACACCATTTTACACACTGTGGCAAAAGCTTTAGGACTGCAGGGACCAACAGTGAGCGGCACATGTGATCAGCTTGCGAGAACTCACCGAGTTCCGTGGATTGCACTGGTCCCACAGGAAAAACAGTATCAACTGTGGCATCATACAGGTCAAAATAGGTCCGTGTGGCACCCAGACCTAACGTCTAACAGGTTCCTGTAAGATCAGCGCCACCAACAACCTAGCTATATAGGTCACCTGGTGTCTCCCTAATCCTGGGACCTGCTTCAACCAGAAGTGGGAGAAAGGTTGCACAGACAATAGTGCAGCCTCAGCACAGTATCACAGGAGGTGGAGATTGGTGACCCAGGAGTTGAGGCTACAGAGTTCTTTGTGGAAATCTAAAATAAGAACTCAGACCTTGAACTCGCTGGAGGGTGTGGCACAACTGGCTGCAAGCAAAAAGTTGTGTATCAACTGCAATAAGTAAAATCAAACTGTAGACCTGTGGGTGACAGAGCTTAGAAACCTGCCCCAAGGAGAAGATTCTGCTAACCAGAAGTACAATGACCAAGAGCAAAACCCTATGCCAACCTCACAATTAACTCGGGAAGAGAAAATGGGGGACACAGAATTTGGAAAACTCATTTTAAAGCTTCTTATCAACAATGAAAAGCACATACAAGAGTTCAAAGAATTTAAGGAATATTTTACACAAGCAATAGCAGCAGTAAAGCAAATCAAGGCTGCTATATCAGAAATTAAGAACACAGTAGAGCAAATTAAAAGTACAGTGGAGAGTCTCCAAAGTCGAGTCGAATGAAGCAAGCAGAAGAATTGGAAGAACTGGACAGGATTAGAAGTTATTTCCTGTCACCAAGAGGAAACAAAAACATGGAAGCAAGGCTGGATCAGGCCAAAAAACTTTTCAAGAATTGAAAAGACACTATTAAGAGTTCTGGGAGTTGCAGAAGGTGCAGAAAGAGAAACTCGGATTAAAGGTGTATTCAATGAAGTAGTAAGGGAAAATTTCCCTAATGTAGAGAAAGAATTGGGAAACAACATCCAGCAGAGGTACAGAACTCCCAACAGGGTTGACGAAAAGAAGTTTTCACCAAGACACATCATCAAGCTCTCTTCAATTGAACATAAGGAAAAGATCCTTAAATGTGCATGTGAAAAAATAATCAATTGACATATAAAGGAATGCCAATTAAACTCACAGGATATGCTTCACAGGCAACTCCTCAGGCAAGAATGGAATGCAGTTACATATTCCAGATTCTAAAAGAAGAAAATTGTTGGCCCAGTACAAAGTACCCAGCAAAGCTTTCTTTTGTCTTTGAAAATGAAGTAAAATTCTTCCACAGTAAAGAAAACTTTGAAGACTCTGCCTCTTCCAAACCAGCCCTACAAAGAATACTTCAAGATGTTCTCTTGACAGAAGAGAAATAGCACCAAACAAAACCAAAGGCAAATGGGAAGAACAGCCCAGTAAAATGATAACAGAGGGCCCGGTGTAGTGGCCTAGCAGCTAAAGTCCTCGCTCTGTCTCTCCTCCTCTCTGTATATCTGACTTTCCAATAAATAAATAAATCTTAAAAAAAAAAAACTCTATTAAAATGATAACAGAAGACCAAACCAATGAACAACCCATTCCTAACATGACAGGACCAAATTACCACCCATTCATATGAACCCTGAATATAAATGGCTTAAGCTCAATCAAACATCATATCTTAGTAGATTGGATTAAAAAACAAAGCCCATCTATTTGTTGTCTAGAAGAGACACATTTCACCAATAACAATCAGCAGAAACTATATCGCATGGGTTTTGATGTTTTCTGTTAGTTTCATCTCTTCAAAACACTTTCTTCTGAGTACATTCTTCAATGACTCAAAGATCACACAGTAGCATCATTTTCTGCAAGAAGGTTCTTGATTTTACTTCTTCAGCTACATGTTAGTCATTTAGTAGGATGTTATTTAACTTCATAGTTATGTTAATTTCTTTTTTCTACCTGATGCTGATTTTGTTTTGTGGCTTTTTATTTAAGGGGATGTATAATAACTGTGAAATGGAGACTGTCAGATCTAGTACTATGTCATTTAACTTCATGGTGTTCCCTGATGTTGATTTTGTTTTGTGGCTTTTCATTTAAGGGGATGAGTAGTAGGTGTATAATGAAGACTGTCATATCTAGTAACATGTTATTTATTTAACTTCATGGATTTATAAATTTCTATTTTTCTTTCTATTGCTGATTTTGTATTATGACTTTTCATTTGAGGGGATGTACAGTAGCTGTGAAATGGAAAACTAACATATCCAGATGTGAGGATACAATGCAGTATGCATTTCTATATCCAGAAAAAACATGGACTTACAATGAAACTATTTGTTATATCTTGACAAAAGGAGGCTGGACTCTCTGCCACTGTCCATGCCCACAATGATGGACATATGGGTGTGTATGAACTATACTTTAGTAATGTTAGAGGAACTAGATGGGGGGGGGGCGCGAATTGGGGAAAGGATAAGGAAATTAGCAGGAGCTTATGGAACTGTATCATAAAATGATAATGAGAATAATAATAAAAGTAAAATGTGAAAAAAATCAAACAAGATAATACATACAAAAAGTATACAGAAGATAGTCGGTTACAGAGAGATCCTCTACCAACTGGTTTATTCTCCAACTGTGAACACTGAGCTGCGCAGGACTGAAGCCAGAAAGCACACCTCTGTAGGTGGCAGACACAACAACACCTGAGGTTGTTTCACAGATACGTGCAATAGGAGAAAGCTGGGATCAGAAGTACAGCAAGCTGGAATGAAACCAAGGCCTCCCAAAGGGCAACTGAACTCTTGCCAAGTGCCTCCTGCCTCAACATTCATACACAAATTACATTCATCATAAATTACGTCAGGATAAATACCTCATTACCTAGTATAGCCTACCTTCCAAACTATTTTACAAACTTTATTTTCTTTAATTGCTAAAACATACTGTGGGTGCTGGCAATTTCAGTATAGTAGATTAAACCTATACCTGCCAGCCTCCCAAATGGGCACAGTTCAAGTCCTTCCTGCCTTACATTCCAATACAGTTACCTGTTAATGTGCCTTAGGAACACAATGGAGAATGGCCAAAAGTCTAGAGACCCTGCACCCATATGGGAGACAAAGAAGCTCTCAGCTCTGGATCAGCTCAGTTCATGCTGCTGTGGCAATTTGGAAACTGACCCAAAAAATGAATATCTCCCTTTTAAAAAACAAAATAAACAAAAAGCAACACACAATGTGTGTGAAAGGAGTAATGCGAATTGCTTCTAAAGATAAACACCTTGATTACCCAAGCATTCCCCTTACACAAGGAGCCACGCTAGAATATAAGCCATAAGCACTTACCACATGTTTGATGTAATCTGAGGTAAAATAATGTCAACTGGTGCTGCACAGTTCACCAAAGCTGGGTAAACACATTCTGTTGGGCATGGAATGGATTCTTTGGCCATTTCTGTAATCTTAGAATAAATTTTGAAAACCATTACACAGAGGTCACCAGAGCAAACATGAAAATATAAAGTTACATGAAAACCAAAGCACTTCTTACTAAACACTTCTTTGAGCTCTTAAATTTAGGGCTACGTGATCCAGGGGACAGAAATCCTCTGATTGAAGTGGTATTATGCTAGACAGAAGGAGAGAAAAACAAACTCAGAACCCTAAATATAATTTTACAACATTAACAATTAAATCTGCAATTCCATTGAAATTTCAAAGAACATAAAAGAGAATAAAACCAATTACCTCGCCAACTAGAAACTTGATCACTACTGTCTCTTACCCTCCAGCAGTCAAAATATACCAAAATATACCAAAATTTGTCCTACTAAGACAAATTTTGCACATGCAATCCTCCGTGCGTATTCATAAATACCTAATTTTAGGGCTTACCTTAGACTGTGAGGTGGGTGACATTTTAATACTTTTTGCTATGGGAGAATTATTTGAAGAATGGGACCTAACAACAGAGCATCGTCTATCAATGTCATCTGCCAATCCAGCTTGATATATTGGATCTGCAAAGGAGACACGGCGAACCTGAAAGCACAGGTGAGACTTTCAAAAGCAATACCATAAACTCCCATTACCAGATTACTGAAAAACATCAACTTGGAAGCAATTTCACCATAGGCCAACTGCATGAACATCTATAACAGATTACCTCTTAAGACCAAAATTCATTCTAACTAACTATATTGTAAACTACCTTTGCCTAAGATAAAGCTAATCGTGAATCTGGGATAGCGCAGGAGCCTAATAAAACTGCATATGCTAGCTGAAATTATAGCATTCTTAGAACTTCATGATTAATTAAAAAGAGTAAAAGCCAAAAAAAAAATCTAAATTGGCCGTTAAGTACATCTCACTAAGAGTATCAAAGTTACAGTAACTAGGCAGCAATTTCCATCTTAAACATGGTTTGAGATCAATTTGGCCTAAACTTTTCAGTTAATGTGATGTAATGCCTCTTCATCCAGTTATATAGAAATACACAATAGAGCCTTTTTTTAAAAAATGATGTTTATTTCAAAGGCAGAGGGACAGAAAAAGATCTTTCATTCACTGGTTCACTCCCCAAATGACTTGTACTGCTGTCCTCAGTGCACTCGACAGGAGGAGCAAGCTAGCAAAGAGCAACCTGGACTCGAAGGGGCAGAGAATGCCTACACTGCAGCTAACCTGCTGCACAACATTCTTATGTCATTAACATATTTATGCAGGTCTCTTAGTAGAAACTGACCACATCACATTCTTCTCATATTTGCCTTAGAAAATTACAACATGCTGTGTTCAACTGGCAAAAGAAATTAAGCAGAAAAAAATGAAGTTCAATTCCTTTTGTGACTTCTACCAAAAGCACAGACCAAAAAGGCATTTCTATACCAAGTTTGTAGGAACATCGTCCTTTCCTCTTTCCAATGAGTGACAGAAGTAGAGTGTGCAATCCATTCCAATCCGAAAGAATAATGAAGTACAAGTTGTGTGGTGACAGTATGCAGGTCAGCGAAGTGAAAAGGTAGCTGAGGATTACACAGCATCTACACTCAACAAGCACAGTGACAAAATTCAATGGCACAACAGTCCGTGCAGACACCGCACCAAAAGTATTGATCACAATGCTAAACTTGGACAAAAACTGCAAAGAAAATTCTTGAGCAGGAAGCCAAATCCCACCACGCAGGACAGAAAAGGGGCAATTGTAAGGAATACACAATGGAGATGATGTAGGAATACCATATAATGACACATACAATATATATAACTGATTAAAAATCACTAAAGTATGAAAATCAAGTTCTATGAAACAACTTGTATAAACAATCTAAAATATACTGAAAAAATAAACTTTAATAACTACCAAGACTCACACATTAAAAACCTCCAAATCCATTAAACTAGCCTCCAAATAAGGAACAGGAAAAAAACCCCTCATGAACAGCTAAGTTTCCAGTATATCCTACAAAGTACAGGAGTTCTAAGTTAACAGGTACAGATTCAAAAGAGAAGTTATGAAAATAAGCTTGCTGAGGAATGCTGACTTGTTGAAGGACCACGCTATTATAATATGGGGGAAATTATTGGCAGGGAGGAGGAATGGGGAGGGTGGGAAGGGGTATCCTCGAGTCTTTGGAACTTTATCATAAAAAACATGTATACATATGCCTGCTGAAAGCAACAAAATCAAATGTTTGTGTGTGCCTAAGCATGTCACCTGCAGTAAAAAGCCCAAGCCTTTCAAAGTTTACTGAAAAGATTAAGTGCTTAGTGTAGTGGTTAAGATACTTGCCAGGTTTCCTACATGATGGGTTAAAACCAACTGCCTTTTCAACCTTTTTGCTGATGTGCTGACTGTGAGCAGAAGTTGACGGCTCAAGTGACTAGGTCCTGCCACTTCCACACGTACCCCTGGATTGAGCTCCCAGCTTCCAGCTGCATCCCAAGCCACTGCAGCCAACTGGGAGCCCATAACCATCCAGTAAGTGGGAAAACTGAGTCCAATTCAGAGACACAAATCGCAATTTAAAAAGGTAAAAGTAAAAATTAAAAATGTCAAAATAACACCTTCTGAAAACATCTACAAGACAAATCCAACTATTTGGGAACCTTAATTCTTGTTTTCATTTATCAGCGGCAGAGAGCGACCTCCATCCACTCTCGGTAAATGCTCACAACAGTGCAGGCTGAGCCAGGAGCTGGGAATGCAGTTCAGGTTTTCTACAAGGCCGTCAGAGTGCCAGGGAACTGAGCAGTTACCTATTCTTGCATAGTGTGCCTTCCCAACAAGCTGAAATTGGGAAACCAAACTAGGACCCAAACTCAGTCACTCTGACACAGGATGCAGCCACTCAAAACCTGGGAGTCAGCTTTCATCTCAACCTCTAGTCCAAACTCCAGCCATTTTTTTTTTTCCATTTCTACTTATTATTCAACAAATCACCAATGAAGCACTAGATCAGAACTTAAAAGAAAACATGCAATAACCCCAATTTCCTTACAGTTTTCAGTGCAGTTTAGTCAGTTTTATGCAGGAGATGGCAGTGTAAATAAACAGATTAAAAATGAAATCACATCTAGAAACTGAAGATGAACAGTTTAAGCTATCTTTAGACAAAGTCTGCAGATGGGTTTACATACACATTTAGAGTGAACAGCACACTACCCAAGCTCATACTGAAGGCCGCTCCATCAACAGCAATCAGTATTGCCTAAATTCCTAAACCTGGTTTCCAAAATGACAGGAAAGATTCAGACTTGTCCTAGGTTTACCAAAAGGGAACAATGTGTACAGCTGCCTTAGTATCTTTAAATGTTAAATCTGCTGGAATAGCCCAAATGGCTCATCTCCTCTTCTCGACACCTTCATCTTCCCTGCCCTTTCTCCTTGCGCAACCACGGCAAAAACGAATCATTATAGCACCCTATAATTCACCAGGTATCTTGATAATATCCCAACACAATACCTAACCCTTTATTATACAATCATTCTACTTACCTTATTAACAGGCGAAGAGTTCTCATCCTCTTGGGGTCTTTTTAGTGCCCTCTTTAAAATACTAGTGGATGGAGAAGCCAAGGGTGACCACACACACCGAGTCTGCATGCCACTGGGACTTTCATTTGCTGACAGGAGTAAAGGATCGCATTCCCTTGGTTTTTGAGGCGATCCATTATCTTCTCTAATCAAGTCAGAGACCATTGTTTCAGATGTCAAGGACTGGAATGATTCGTCCATTTTATTTGAGCTTTCATGAACTTCTGGTAAAATATAATCTCGTACTATAATGTGCCTCTCTTCTAATTTTGTGTCTTCATTATTGACTTCATTATTTACTACATTATTTACTTTCTTATCAAGTTCCTTATTTACTTCAGTTTTTTCAGAATCAACCTTTTGTTCTTCGGTATTCATGGCTGGTGTTCCAGGAACAATCCTGTCAGCTCCTATATTCATTTCGTTGTTCATTTCAGTTTCTTCAGTCTTTGAGGTTGCTACAGTCATGTCCCTGTCCTCAGCTTCCCCGACAGGCTCAGTTTCAGCGTCCACATCACTGCTCACCTTTTCATCACAAGTGTCCATGTTGGTATCTGCTTCTCCAGAGGGGCCTCCATACTCCTCTGTTTCATCACTTGTTTTATCACCTCCTCTGCTAACAACAAGTGCCTGTTCAGGAATCTGGCCTCGAGCATCATGTTTTACAGGAATTTTATTATCAGAAAGACTAATATTCGAATTGAATTCCTCAGTTGAAGCTTTTTCACCATTCAGTATTTCAGCTGTGACTGCTTCAAGTGCTTTGCTTGTTTCATTATTTTCCGTTACTACCACCTTTCCAAAAATTTCAGTTTTGGTGTTCTCTTGCTCAGAGGAGATAATTTCACCTTTACCATCTTCTCCATCTAGTGTCACATCTACTTCCTCTGGATTAGATTCTGCTAGTACTTTACACTCTGTGCTCTCATTAACAACGTTGCATTTGATTTGAGAGTTGACTTCCAGAGTATCTTCTTTGGTCTCTAAAGAACATTTCTGTTCAATGTCTTTGGGATCACTTAGACATGGTCCAACAGTTCTAAATTTCTTATTCGCTGGTTCTTGGCTTTTAAACGTTTCCCCTTCAGCAGAAATAACACTATGATTTTTCTCAAGACTTACAGGAGAAGGAATAGATTCTTGAATAACACTGTCTTTCAAGTTAGAGTGAGGCAAAACTAATGAATCATTAGCAGTATCAGTTTCTTCCTTGAGATCAAAGTGAAAATTTACACTGTGTTGTCCCTCTAACACTTTTACTTTGGAATCCGAACTAGAACTTTCTGATACATTTACAGGTGTTTGTACATCTATCTTTTCTACATCAGTCATCTTTTCATCATTTTCAGTATTCTTTAAACCAGTTATTGATTTCTCTTGTGACTGGGATTTTTCACCACAGCAATCACAACCTTTTGATTTCCGCACTCTCCTACTTCTCTTATGTTGGCATTCAAGAGTTTGAAGACTTTTTTCAGAAAGCAAAGAACTATCTGATGTCCCTACTTTTGATGATTCTCCCAAACTGTTATCATCATTAGACTCACGCCTATGCAGTCTCTTACTGGCATTTCTAGTCCTTAGATTTGATTCTGGCAAAGGTGGACTTGCACATTTGGTAGGTTTATTCTCCTCTTCGTGTGTATTTGATACATCATCAGAAACATGCAACAAATCTGAGGATTTTGCAGAATCCTGAGGAATTATACTGTCATCTTTTTGACAAGTTGGAGAGTTCATATCTGAATTATCTTCTGAGACTCCTTTACTATCATGCATCTGAGTTTCAACTGTCACACATTCATGTTTTACCATTTTCTCTTCTTGATCTTCAATGTCAAGACTGTCATTGCCTTTGTTTTTCCATTTTCCAGATCTCTTCTTTCTAGAGCCTTCCTCTTTTGCCTCAGAACTATCAGATTCTGAGTTTTCAATGCTGGAAAGCAAGCCCTGAGAGGCTCTTCTTGTCTGATAACGTGTTCGCCCTCTGAAAGGTTTCTCAGAGGATTTTTCTGCAGCATCCTGGGAAACATCGCACTCTGAAGGTATATTCTCAATGTCTGACTTTCGTTTATTTTGGTCAATTTCACTGGTAGCACTGGTTTCCCCAGAAATTTTCTGATGTATATTGCTGTCTTTGTTAGTTGTATTTTCTTGTGCAGCTTGCTCTGAAGCCAGTTTTTGTTTTAGCAACACATCCTCTTTTACATGAAAGGGACTTTTTTGCAGAGTTTTTTCTTCTTCTTTACTACGCTTTTCCCTTTTTTGATGATTATTCTCTTTATCCTGGCTATCAGCGCTGGATTCTGCCATGTCGGAACGCCGTCTTGATGATCTCCTAAGGGTTTTTGGATTTGGAGTCACGTGAATCTGATTATCCTCATTTACCATCTGATCTGCTGCTATTACTGCAGGAGGGGTGTTTTCTTTGGAATCCAAATTAATCCCTGCATTTTTCTCTTCTACAGTGCTACTTGCCAATACTGCATTTTCTGCTGTAGATTTAAGCTTAGAATCTTCATCTTCTGCTCTATACTCAGAAGGACGATAATCTAATACACATTCGGTTTGATTGAGCAAACCAGCAGGATTATTTTCTGAAGTTATTGCACCTTCAATAGATTCCTGAGTGTTTTTCTCTTGATCAGACCTCAATAAGGGCTTAGACCTTTTATTCCCTGACTGTTCTGCTTTACTCCACCTCCGGCCAGATCTCTTAATTCCATTCACTAATTTATCAGAGTCACATTTTGAAGCAACTTCTCTTGTCTTTGTTCTTGATGAAGTATCTGTTTTATTCATATTTTCCTGATTATTTCTCACTGAAACAGATGACGACATATCATTCAGTGGGGAAGGACTAAAAGGTCTATTTTCTGAACCATCAAATTTCTCCAAGGTAATGAAACTTTGCCTGCGACTTGTAGGCTGTAGAGGAGTTCCAGACACGGTGGTGTTAGAAATGGAGCCACTACTGGCAATGAAAGAACTGTCTGCATTAGGTTCACTTTCAGTAGAGATACTGTTTGATGAACTTAAAGCTCCTTTCCTGCCATCATTGCTAATGCTGGATATTTCTGGATTGCTTTCATTAATACAACTATGTTCCTTATTCGAAAGGGGAGCCTTTGGAAGATGCTCATCCGTACCACAGTTTCCCATAACATCTTGAGGCCTGACAATATGACTCTTCATTTGCTCCTCCTGCACAAAAATGTATATGTATATAGTTACAGCTTAACCAGTAAACATTGTCACTTTACAAGAAAATTTATTGTTAAGATTTAGTAGTTAAAAGATACTGCACATTACAAAGATGAGTGATGACGATGTTCCTAAGAAGCAAATACATGCATTTTGAATCCATGTGCATGTGCATGCACATACACTGTAATACCGTTAATACTGAATGGGAGCTCAAAGATTACAATGAAAAATTAATAAAATGGGGCCCGGAGCGGTGGCGCAAGTGGTTAAAGGTCCTCGCCTAGCACGCCCGGGATCCCATATGGGCGCCAATTCTAATCCCGGCAGCCCCGCTTCCCTTCCAGCTCCCTGCCTGTGGCCTGGGAAAGCAGTCGAGGACAGCCCAAAAGCTTTGGGAACCTGCACCCGCGTGGGAGACCCAGAAGAGGCTCCTGGCTTCGGATCGGCATAGTATCGGCCCGTTGCGCTCACTTGGGGAGTGAATCATCGGACGGAAGATCTTTCTCTCTGTCTCTCCTCTCTCTGTATAACCGCCTTTCCAATGAAAAAATAATAAAAATAAATCTTTAAAAAAAAAAAAAAAATTAATAAAATGGAAACCTACATACGTTTCAGAAACTATAATGGAATGGTCATGGTAAGAACTGAAATACAACACAACAAAAAAACTTTACCATTACCTTTGAATCTTCCTTTGTTTTTCTGGTAGAAGTCGAAACTTCCCTGAAATAAAATTTTTATTATGTGATTATTTGTAATTACTTAAATGTAGGAAATTATTCAAGTTAGAAAGTTTCCATACTCACATAGATTCTTCTTGACTATACGGATTAGAAAACAAAGTATCTTGTGACACATCCAGATTATTATACATTGCGGGAATATCACATCTAAAAAAAAATTTTAAATAAGCAACTTCAAAACATCTGATGTTGTTACAATTGGAAATGAAATGTAAACTTTGCTACACAGTCTTTTACAAACAAAAGGAAATCAAGACCTAAAAGCCAATCTCAGCATGTTCTATGTAAATACCTTTCCCAACCCTCCTCATTAGAGAAATTCTGAATCATTTAGCACATCAACTAGCTTGTTTTGTACTGTCAGGCAAAGTACTTTCGAACAGAACAACTTTGGTTCCACAGATATAGAGGGAAAATTGGGGAGGGAGGTGGATTGTAAACAGCTGTTTCATCCAATTTGCCACATTCTCGACCCTTCCCCTTCCTAATTGGCAGTCCACATGGACATGCATCCTTCTCAACTGCATAACCATCATAAAATTTAAAAAATCAGTACAGATATTACCTTCATATTACAAATTACAATGTGGGAAATCTAAGCATAAATATAGAATGCTAAGTATCAGCCAAAAAGCCTACAAACCGCTTTGTTTTAAGTACTTCTTTTTGATGTTCTGTTAAGATTCTTTCCTTCGCTTCATTTTCTTCTGGTGATATAAACACAAAGTCAACAGATTTTTCTTCTTCTAAAGACATGTCATTCTTTGCTTTTAAAGATGAGTCTAATTTCATCTGCAGATTAAAAGCATATATAAATAGTAAAATGGTTGTTACTAGAAGTGGTTACTACATGTGCTTGGCATACAGTTCTCCACAATAAAGTAAAATTATAAAAGCTCACCTGAGTTTGATTAATTTTCCGGGACTGACTTTAATTTTTTGGTGTATCAAAAAGAATCAAACTTTTAAGTTTTTGTTTTCCCTTCATTTTACTCAAGAGAGATCTCAAACCTATTGTTTCATTACTCAAATGCTAACATCATTCAGTACTGTGATAAGGTGAACATAGCCAGGAGCAAAGAACTCTGTCCACATCTCCCATGTGGCTGGCAAGGCACCCAACCAACTCCTGCTTCCTCACAACCTTGGCATTAGTGAGAAGCCAGAACAGGAGCAGTCTCAACTCAAAGAATGTACTCAACATGGAATGAAGGTATCCCAAGAAACAACTTAAATGCTGTACCAACCATCTACGAGTTGTGGTACTCTCATCATGCAGCACTTGAGTAGTGATAACAAAGTTTAAAGTCTAAGTCCTTTTAAATGGAATCAATTAGCAAATTGTACAATGTTCCTCATTTTTTTCCTACCCACAATAAACAGTAAAAACAAACAAAAAAAAAGTAAATTAGTAAATCCTTTAAAAATGTAGTATATGGCCTGGCACAGTAGCCTAGTGCCTAAAGTTCTCACCACCAAATAAATAAGCTCTTCCTTCCGGTTTGACCAAGCACTGGCCACTGACAGCCATCAGGGCAGTGACCCAGAAGATGGACAATGTCTGTTTCTGACTTTCAAGTAAGTAAACAAATTTTTTAAAAAGTAGCATGGACAAGAAATAGCAATCAACTAATTTGGGACAAGAATCAACTTCAAAGACTCAAACTGAAGCAAAATAATAAGTGTAACATCACAGGGTTCTTTTTAGAAAAATGCCTGCAAGCAGAAAAATAATCACCAAAGACTTATACATCACCCTTCTATCCTACAGCAGCCTCTTCTAGATCAAACTTCATCAATCCCAAAGTTTATTCAACAAAATTTTGGTCAACTTCTTGCTGCAATTAAGATTCTATGTTCTCTGAAATTAACAGCATTTCAGAACTATCCAAACCGCTTGGTCAGAACCCTCAGGACATGCACTACATTAGGACCCTGGGTGCCGGTTTCCCATCTGTGGGTACCGGAAGGAACATTTGGGAGGCTGGGTGTGGCTTCCTCCTTCATCTCTCCAGTTTCCCCAGAGATAAGAATAGACAATCTCGAAACAATGATTTCACCCACTTTTCCCTAACCTTCAAACCCTCCCACTCTAGTCAACCATGTAGTCATCATAAAAAAATAAATTTGTTATACTACTATATTCTTCACTGTAAAATCTCAATTAACTACGAAAATGTAGAGCCCATTACGGTGGCATAGTGGCTAAAGTGCTTGCTTTGCACGTGCCAGGATCCCACATGGGTGCCAGTTTTAATCCCGGCAGCCCCACTCCCCATCCAGCTTCCTGCTTGTGGCCTGAGAAAGTAGCCAAGGACAGCCCAAAAACTTGAGGACCTGCACCCATGTGAGAGACCCAGATGAAGTTCCTGGCACCTGGCTTTGGATAATTGTAGCTCTGCCATTGCAGTCACCTGGGAAGTGAATCATCAGATCATCCTGTCTCTCCTCCTCTGTATATCTGACTTTGCACTTAAAATACATCTTAAAAAAAAAAGAGGTACCATAATGGGTAGTTAGGTTGCCTCTGATTGACAAATTCAGACTAGTCCACTTCCAACCCAGCTTCCTTCTGATACATACAACGCAGGAGATAGTAGCTCATGGGTTATGTCCCCGAGTCCCTGCCAACCTTGTGGGTGAGATCCAGATTTCTGTCCTACCTTCGGCCTGGCCCAGATATGGCTCTTATCACTTGAAAAGGACCAGCAAATACAAAAAGATGAAATTAATAAAACACAGTTCAAAACTTTAGGAAAAAAACATACTTTGGCTGATGTCTTCGTATCTTTTTTATCTTTTGTTTGTGACAAAAAGGAATCTCTTTTTCCACTTGATTTTCTTTCCATGCCACTAATCTTCAAGCTTAATTGTGAATTTTCTGCCTGTTACATTAAAACAATGTCATTAAGGAAAATCACTCATTACATTCTCATTTTAAATCTCAAATCTCTTCTGATTACTGAAGTCTATTAAAATCCAAGAATGCAAAAACTACACTCTAAAGCAGAAAATGGACTTGATTCCTGAGAGGTTCACAATGGATTTTTTTTTATCAAATTTCATAAATTTCAAAAGATGTATCACAGAAAAACTGCAAAGTGAATCAAACTTTTAGACTCAAATGTTCTACCTATTACTTGAAATATTTAAGGAAAATATTTAAGTAGCTATTAAAAAGTAAATATGACAAAGCTATAAACTTGAGGACACAGCATAAATTGTATCCTTACTCCAAACACTATCTGCCACTAAGGGGTAAGAACTGGAAGAGCCAGAGTCCAAGTAGGCACCTAGCTACAGGATGAAAGGTGCCAAGTAGAGTCTTACCCTCTGAACCCAGCCCCTGCACCTGAGGTTACCCTTTAATTCCATTTCCCATGAAAATGTTGACATACCACTATCAATCTCTCATCAAAAGATACGGCTTTTATAGACCATGGAGGCTTAGGAAGTACAGTCATGTGGGAGAACTTTTCACTTTTGCCAAAAGAAAAAGTATAGTACTATGTCAGCAGTACCATTTTCTTTGTCCTACACTTTATAATGATTACTTACGTGTCATGTGTTACTGAACAGAAATAAGTGTTGTTAGCATGTCCTCTCTCTCATGGTTATTATGCTCATTTCTTCCTTCCCTAACCTTTTCCTTCACAAAATACTGATGCATAAACCAAAGTAACAGGTTATTGTGGGATGTGAAATCAAGGATCTGGATTTCTAACCGAAAAAATTAGTGTTCCATTAAAATAAACAAGAAACTAAAGAGTTGATCATGCTTGGATGTGGATACTAGTAAACTATTTTTATCAGTTCTTCCGAAAAGAACGTTTACCAAAGCAATATGAGGTACCTGTAGTTTCAAATTGTTCTTGTAAGAATCTCTCATGGAATATGTATCTTCAATTATTTCAACTATTCAAATGTTCAAAAATTAAAACTTACTGCATCTGAAAATGGTCCACTGGATTCCTCCATGATTTCAACATTTTCCAAACCAGGTAACAGAAGCAGAGATTTCTGTTTGGCTTGTCTCAGTACTTGTCTTTTAAGAAACAAATTTATACAACAGATGTGAGTAAACAGTATTACTACTGGGTATGTACAAACTCAATAAGAATTACAATCTTGAGTAAACAAAACACCTGACTTAAAGTCTCTTACTACACATGTATAAAGAAACGGAGAAACTACAGAACCTGAATTTTTCTCTGTAACTTTCAAAAGTTCTAATATTTCTGAAATAACAAGATTCCTACATTACACTTTCTATCATGGAAAATTTTAAGGAAAAGCAAAATGATTACAGAAAGCAGCATTTGGAGTAGTTGAATTGCCAGTTAGGATCTCTGGCACTTGGCTCTAATCCCAGCTACATCTCTCCCAAATAAGTTTACTGCTAAGTGCACCCTAACTGGTGAGTCTTCAAGTACTTAGATCCCAGCCACCTGTTTGAAAGACCCATACTCAATTCTGGACCACTGGCTTTGTTATAGCTCAGCACAGTTTGTTGCAGGCATTTGGATCTAATCAGCAAAACACACTAGAAAGAATTAAGTAAAACTGTCCTTAAAAACAAAGCAAAACAAAACAAGACAAAACATCCAGGTCCAGCATGATAGCCTAGAAACTAAAGTCCTTGCATTATAATCACCAAGATCCCATATGGGCAACGGTTCATATTGCGACTGCTTCATTTCCCTTACAACTCCCTGCCTGTGGCCTGGGAAAACAGTCAAGGACAGACCAAGACCTTGGGATCCTGTATCCATGTCAGAGAACTGAAAGAAGCTATTGGCTTGGGAACTGCTCAGCTCCAGCCATTGTGGTCACTTGGGGAGTGAACCAGCAGAGGGAAGCTCTTTCTGTTTCTTCTCTCTGTAAATCTTTCTGATAAAAACAAGTCATTAAAGAAATTTTCCTGCCTTTCACACTTCTTTTATTAAGGATAATTGCAAGTTTTTTCAATTGCTAAAATCAATGTTACCTTAGTAATCAAAGACAAGGTAAAATGGCTCACAACTAGCACAAATTCCAACAATTATGCAATGACTGCTCCCAGATGATTAGTAGATAAATACAACACGATAATAGCAGTACAAAAGTTTTGTTGTTAGCTTACTTTAAGTCCTCAGGATAAATTAATGTTGTCACTTTAGCAAATGTCGCATTCCAGAATTGAGCACTCTGTTTGCGTATCTGTTTATTCTTGTGCAGAAATATTATGCATAACAGTGGGGAGAGTTGTTCAAGAAATTCATTGTCGTAAGATCCAGTGTAGTTGAATTGTAGACAGGTAATAATTTCTCCTAGTAGCTTTTCTAACTACAAAAAAAGCAAAAAATACAGCATCATCAGTTTACAGAACACACTAATTTTAAAAAGTGAAACAATTTTAACTGAATTCTCAAAATCATCTTTATGAACAGTACATTTCATTACTGAAACTACAGCTTCATTTTTAGATCTTCCATTAACAAAAAAATTAACAAAAATGAGTATTTCTCTTTGTAAATTTTTACCTACAAAATTTAAGGCAACATCCATCATGCACAAAAAGAAGTTTGAGCTTAGGAGCCAGGTTGCAGATTAGTGGGTAAAGACACAGCCCACAATACCAGCTTTTCATTAAAGCGCCAATTCATGTCCTAGCTGTTCCATTTCCAATCCAACGGCTTAAACGGCTTGCTAATCATGTGGCAAAGGCAGCAGCAGTGTTTGAGGCCCCGAAACCAATGTTGGAAAGCAATTTGAAGCTTTTGACTACTGCCTTTGGCCTGTACAGCCTTGGTGATTGTGGTCATGGGGGAAGCAAACCAGCAGATGGAAGCACTCTATTACACTTTCAAAACAAAACTGTCAATCTAAAAAAATAACATCTTGAATTTATACTAACATTACTGAACCCTTTAAAAAAAAGTGAATTTATATTTTTGTAAGTATATTAAAGGTTAAGAATAGTAATCTTTAGAAACCAGAATTCTGGGAGGAATCATTGCGGCTACTCCATTTTTGATCCTCCTCCCTGATACTGGTAAAGTCTGCAGAAGAGCCCAAGTGTTCCGGTCCCTGCCACCTAGATGAGACATCAAGATGAAGCTCCTGGCTCCATCCTGCTGCACTGTACTGCTGGCAGCAGTGTCAATCTTAATACTGAATAAATATAGAAATATCTTACCCTCTCCCTCCGTCATCCCACAAAACATTCAACATAAATGATTTTTACAAAATTATTTTGAAGAAAAATAATTTAACATGAAAATGTGCTTTACGGGAAGTTATCAGTTATCATTTTTACCTTGATGCTCAGACAACTATACACTCTAGGAGCTTCATCAAGCCTAGGAATATAGAACAATGTGACTTTTAGTTTATAAGTTGACACCACTGTCTACAAATTAAACCTAGAAATGAGCAAATAGGACATTAAAAAAAGAAATCTAATGATACAAAAAAGTACATCGTCTTACAAAAAAAGGACTCACAGGGCCAAATAAGAAATACTTAACAAACTTTAAAGAAATCTAAAAAGAGCTCTCAAATGCTCTTATCAGTTGCTCATTATCCTATTTAAGCACAAATAATCTATAATGAAATAAGGACAAAAAAACTGTAGAAGTTCATGGCTGTTGGGTTGTGGTCCGTATTTTATAAAATCTGTCCCTATGGACCAGGCACACTGATTCAAAAGCTAAATCCTTGCCTTGCAATGGTGCGATTCCACATGGTTACCAGCTCATGTCCCGGTTGCTATGTTCCCATCCAGCTCCCTGCTTGTGGCCTAGGAGGGCAGCTGAGAATTACCCAAAGCCCTGCACCTGGGTGGGAGACCCAGAAGAAGCATCTAGGTTCCTAACTTTAAATTGGCTCAGCTGCAGGCACTGCAGCCAGTTGGGGAGGCAACCAGTGAAGGGAAGATTTTTTTTACTCTCCTCTGTAAATCTGCCTTTCCAATAAAAAGTAAATCTTTGGGGAAAAAAACAATTGTCCCTAACGCATTCTGAATGAATCTAATTTGACAAGACAAAGTGTACTGATCGAACCCTTCTTGGTTTTTAACAGCATTAATGAATCCTCTCAAAATGGCTTCAACAATTGATTATTTGTGGTTTTTTCCAGGTTTTAGCACATCGCCCACTTTGATTTAAATGTAAAAGTAGTACAAATATATTCAAACTTTTGTACTTATGTAATTTATGTAAATTAAATAATTTGAATGTATATTTTTTCAACTAGCAGTTTAATTTCTTACTAAACCAGTAGCAAGTGTGAGCAAGATTTATGTACAATGTTCAACTGTTATGAGGAAGTCTGTTTTACATTCCCTAATCATGAACTGTTAAAAAAAAACTGCAAAACTGTAATCTTTTGCAGACATTAGTCAAATTCCTATGATGCAACATGCCTACAACACAAATGTGCATGCTACACCTACAGAACATTTAATAGGTGTGCTGCTTTCCACAAGCGATTCTAAACACGTAACAGTTGAAAAGTTATTATGAATAACATGCAAAAATAAGGCAATCTCTACTTCACATTTCTGTAATAACCCTAACAGAAGACAGTTTCTTAGCCTCAAAGCCACTCAACTGTCAAGATTATCATTACAAAGCTGGTATCAAAATTAGCTGTCAATAAACATAAATTAAATAATTTATATTATAAAATAAATAATGAAACTATTAAGGCCAAAATACTTACTTTGCGTTTTCAAAAAACAATGCCAGCGGTCTTGTTAAAGTTGCAAATATTTTTTGCATTACAGAAGGTAATGAAATATGTCCAAGTATACTGGAGAGAATGCTGGTGACCGAGTTGCCCACAGCCAGCAGAGTGTCCGAATGAACTTCTTTGAAGCTCAGAGTGTGGAAAGCATAGATTACTCTCACAATAAGTTTAAATAAAGAAGCCAATTTCCCTAGGGGCTCCTTCTTCTTTTTGGACCAATCTGAAGGTCTCTGCGGTGCTAAGATAAAATTGCATTCATTAAAAACTCAAGTATTTTGGAAAGTGTCACTATCCATCTTTACACAATCCATCCCACATAAATGCTAGCTTAATATTTTTGCTTTAAGCTGACACTGCAAATATTAATATGCCACTAGCGCTGAAAGTTACTACACATTAGACCTGCAGATAAAGGAAAGCTAGCTAGTTCATATACCCACAAAAAGAATTTAGAAAAATGAGTCTATTTCCTCTAGGAAAAAATATACTAAACTTCAAACTTGTCATTCTTTTATCCCCAAAATGTAGCAATTTATAAAGAAACAGGAATCAATTGTTTCCAAGCTAAATCATTAACTCGCTCATAAAAAAAAAAATCTTAAGAATTTTCACTAGAAATTGCTACTGGCATTATATAAGGTATGTATGTTTGACACATCTGCAAACATGCTTAATTCTTATATATTTTTTTCCAATTTAACAGATTCAGAAAAAGGACAGGAATTTTCTTCATAAAAAGATTAACTGAAAAGCAAACTAAATTTACACTGTATCCTTTTTAAACCACTTTCTCAAGGTACCTATAGAACTCACATTTTTCTCAATCAGAAAAACCACACTATTCCAACATTACTTTTTCTCCTTTTAAACAAACCAACTTTCTAAAAATGTTAACGCAGTGATAATTAAAAATTAAACCTAAGCTGTAAAATGAAACTTCAGGAGCTGTATTACAGAAGGGAAAGAAGTCAACTTTGACTCCTATAATCTGTTCTCAAACAGAAATATACCTGAAAACAACAGTCAGATATTCAGGGGCCCACAAGGTGGTATAGGAGGGTAGCACTTGGCCTGCAGCACTGGCATCCCACATGGGTCGCGGTTCAAATCTTGCCTATTCTACTTGTGATCCAGCACCCTGATAATTTAGGCTTGGGAAAGCAGCAGAGGATGGCACACAGGCCAGAACAACCATAAGGGAATTATCGGTGATTAACTGAATCATAATTAAATTCTCAAACATTAGAAATGCTTCAAACTGAAATGAGATCCTAGAGCTTCTGATATGATGAACTGAACTAGGATAAAATACTGAAATGGAACCCCAGGAGTTCATACTGAAAAAAACACGGATGCTACATTTTTTTCATATTATTATGATGTCTCCAATATCTGCATGTGACTAGTGCCCATTAAAAACAAGATGCTAGGTGCTATTATAGAGAATTGGAATGTATTGCAAACTTAACCAGAAAGGCATGAACAACATCAACTAACATTCTCAATCAGTGCCAGATAATCACTGTAAATACCTATATGGGAGTAACACTATAAAAACGTATGGATCTATTTTAAGAATTACATTTCAAATGCTCAATATTTACAACAAAAAATCTAAAATTTTTTTTATAAGTAAGCTACATAGTTGTAAAAATGGAAAAAACATAATAAATAAGTTTTAATGGTAAAAAAACAGGTTAAATTTATGGAACAATGTTGCTTGGGGAATTTTAATAATGGACAGACTCCATATTTTCTTCAAAATCTTCATGTCAACTTACAGTTCCAAATAGAACTTTAACCAACATTTAAATTATTTAAATCATTGTTTTTGGATAAACCAAAATCTGTAATTAATAAATTCTATGTTACAAAAAATTAAAGACATGCACTCAAGTTCCAAATATATTAACTTACATGCTTAAAAAAGACTAGAAAGTTAGATAAGATGGGAAAAGCTGGAAGGAGTTACTGTGACATCTATTCACTAGCATGTGTGAAACACAGAATGAACCAACAGATACTTACATTTAACTTTAGACTGGTATTTAACATTATACGGTGAAAAATCAATGCAATCAACCATTACACTAATTACATGAATGATCCTCTCTAAAAATAACAAATCCTAGAGAAAAAGAGCAAGCACAATAATTAGAAACTTATGCATAATACCAAACATGAAAGTTCTAATTCCCACATGGATTGAAAAAAAAAAAATGACATTTTTACAAGAGGCATTTTAAGTATGGAATATATATTTCCCAGTTAACAGCTGTGGGTCAAAAACAAAGTTTTTTTTTAAAAAGATTCATTTTTATTGGAAAGTGAGATTTACAGAGAGAAGTACAGAAAAAAAAACTTCCACCTGCTGGTTCACTCCCCAAATGGCAGCAATACCCAGACCTAAGTGGACATGAAGCCAGGAGCCTCTTCCTGGTCATCTCTGTGGTCCCAATGTTTTGGGCCATCTTCTACTTTTCCCAGGCCACAATCAGGGAGCCTAATGGAAAAGCAAAACAGCCAGAACAATGAATTGGCACTCATAAAATATGGGTGTGTGCAGGCAAAGGATTAGGTAATTGGCACATTTTGCGAACTCTGAATACTGTATGCCTGTTAAAAAAAAACTGCAATGCATTGATTTTTCTTGTAACTATTCTGTAAGCAATATACACTGCTATTATGCATTTATATTTAACAGGACAATACATGCCAGTTACATGGAAACAATTCCATTTAATTCCAAAAATCTGGGCCTCCGGCACACTGATACTCTTGAGAAGAAAATGTTCCTGGCAACCATTCTTGTTACCAAAGAAGTCAACTTGCACTTTCAGGGCCTGGCAGAGCAGCCTAGAGACTGAAGTCCTGCCTACACGTGCCAAGAGCCTATATGGGTGCCGCTTCTAATCCTGGCTGCTCCACTTCCCATCCAGCTCCCTACTTGTGCCCTGGAAAGCAGTTAAGGACTGTCCAAAGCCTTGGGACCCTGCACCCGAATAGGAGACCCAAAAGAGACTCCTGGCTTCGGATTTGCTCAGCTCTAGCCACTTAAGCTACTTGTAGAGTGAAGCAGCAAAAGAAAGATCTTTGTCTCTCCTTTTCTCTGTAATTCTGCCTTTCCAGTAAAATAAATCTTAGAAAAAAAAATTACGGAATTTCTAAATGAGTAACAAAAGAGCTACCAGACATGAGATGGGAAGGAGGAACAAAGCATATAGTAGTAAAAACAGCAGTAAAAGAGTCCACTACTAATGTTCTTAAAACACTGACAGTTGAGGAGCCTGAAGACGCACAACAGTTTCCCTAGCATTAGTGAATAACACTTCATAGCTGTTAAGGCCCATTTACTTCAAGTGAACCTTTGGAAGACAAAAAACAAAAAACAACCACAAATCTGTACAAACTCACAGCAAAGTCTTCTTCTTCCACACTGGATAAAATCTTAAAGCAAAGCTCCTCACAACACAAGTTTTCTTCTGCTGTTGCCACCAAAGCTGCACAACGGGCAAATGCTCTATATAATTCTGACCAAGCTTTAAGTAAGGTTTTCATAGTGGCCTGAAAATAACAATAGCACAATTATGAATGTATAATAACATATGAAGGTCACAACACAATACAGCTGTAAATTTATTACTGAAACATGTAATATACAAGATCAGCCACTTTACCCATTTTACTTAATAAAAACTCAAAGTATCAGTGTTACATCAGTAATTATCAAAAGTACAAAAGAATGTCTTCAAAATTTCAACCTGCTCCAAAAATTTAGTTTCGGAAGAATAATTATAATAACGCATTATAATAGAGGAAAACGTTAATCTTCAGAAAACCACAAATTATTCCCATGAAAAAAACCATAGCAGTCTTACCGCTGGAAATTTCTGTGTTGAAAATATATGATTTATTGGTAAGGTTAATGCACCATAGATGGCACTAAAATTATGTTCCAAGGCATCACCTTGATTCACTTCATTGGTCTAAAATAACAAAGTTATACAAATTACTATCAACTTCTATCCTCAATTTAATATACTCACAATATGATAAACTCCTGTTACCTGTGATTGAGATCTGATCTGTATACAAAACCTTTAGATACAACCAAATTAGCATGAGTTTATATTGCATTAATTCGACTGATCCAATGAACGGCCTCGCATATTAGGAGAAAAAAGTAGACATGGAAAACACACAAGGAAGACCACGTGTAGAGAAACTGAAGTGACGTAGCTGCCTCAGGGATTGCCGGCAACCACCAGAAGCTAACAAGTCTAACAGTCTAAAAGGAAACCTTCACCCACTGGTTCATTCTCCAACGGGCTGCAATAGCTGGGGCTAGACCTTCCCAAGGCCACCCCAAAGCCAAGAGCTCTTTCCAAGTCTTCTACGTGGATACTTGAGGGCCCACACTCGTGCCACACTCCACTGCTTTCCCAGACCTATTATTGGGGAACTGAATTAGTTTGGAACAGCCAAGGCACAAACCCGCACCCCTAGGAGACGGCTGTCAGGCAGCAGCAGCTGTACCCACTGTGACTCAACTCTAAGTCCCACTATACAATCTCAACGAGACAAAATTGTCCATCGGTTCTAAGCTTCCATTTTCAGGGACAGCACTGTGGCACTGCATTTTAAACTGCCACACACAAGATCAGAACCTTACATAGCCAACTGTTTGTGTCCTGGCTCTAACACTTCTCCACCCAGCTCTTTGCTAGTGCTTGGGAAAGAGTGCAAGATGGCCCAATACTGGGCCTTTGCCACCACCGTGGGGGACATTAATGCAATTCCAGGCTACTGAGCTCAGCCTGATCCATATTTAGCTATTGCAACCACTTGATGAGTGAACAATCAGGTCAAAGATCTTTCTGTCCCTCCGTATCACCGGTAAAAAAGAATAAATTTTTAAGTTGCATTTATTATTATAAAGGCAGCTTTACAGATAATGAGCTTCCATCCACTGGTTCACTCACCAAAGGGCATCAATGGCTAAAGCAGAGTAGATCCCAAAACCAGGAGCTTCTTTGAGGTCTCCCATGCAGTGCACCATCCCAAAGCTTTCGGCTTTCCTCAACTGCTTTCCCAGGCCACAAGCAGGGGAAGGTAAGTGGAGCAGCCGGGACACAAACCAATATTCATATGGGATCCCGGCATATGCAAAGCAAGGACTTTTGCCATTAGGCTACCATGCTTGGGACCCCAAAACAAATAAATCTTTTCTTTGCTCTCAAGATTAAAAAAAAAAAGACAATACCTACCAACACCATTCACTACACAAACTGGACTGCACTGCACGTATGCCCAAAGACACTTTGACATTCTTCATTCCGAAGGCTGGTGCAGGGGACTAAGCCTCTATCTGCAAACTAGGTATCCTCTGTGGGTGTCCATTTTGGCACTGGCTGCTCAACTTTCAATCTTGCTCCCCACTCGTTTGCATGGGAAATCAGTAGTGGACTGCTGAAGTAATACAGGAGACCTGGGCAAAGCTCCAGTCTGCTGATTTGGCTTGGCAAAGAATGACCAAAATGGTCACTCAAGACAATAAACCAGTGGGTCGAAGATCCCTCTTACCTCTCTGTAAGTGTTTCAAATTTTAAAAAGCTCTTTAAAATGGCATTAAAATGTTATACTACGGGTCCAGCATGGTAGCCTAGCAGTTAAAAGTTCTTGCCTTACATGTGCCGGGATCCCATATGGGCATTGGTTCTAATCCCCGCAGCTCCACTTCCCATCCAGCTCCCTGCTTGCAGCCTGGGAAAACAGTCAGGGATAGGCCAAAGCCTTTGGACCCTGCACCCACGTGGGAGACCAGGAAGAAGTTCCTGGCTCCTGGCTTCAGATCAGCACAGCTCTGGTTGTTGCAACCACTTGGGGAGTGAAGCATCGAATGGAAGATCTTCCTCTCAGTGTCTCCTACTCTGTTATTATCTGGATTTCCAATTAAAAAATAAATAAACCTTTAAAAAAAAGTTACACTATTACAAATTCAGTGCAGGCTGCAGCCATCTCTAAAGTGATGTCTTCACTCTATAGGATTCCCAAGCAGCACGTGAAGCTCCTCAATTGAGCCACAAGCAGCCAGAAGCTGATGATCGTATGAAGCATGAAACAACTGAAAACTACCACCCCGACTGAGACCTGCGGGTGCTACTTACTGCACCTCTTCCAAAGCCCACGTGAGCAGCTGTGTCACTAAGGGCTAAAAGCTACCTTCTGGGAAAATACGTCAAGTGGGTGGAAGTGGGAGCAGGAGGACACCAAATCAGCCCATCACATGAGAAACAGTAAGTCTTCTACTTAACTTCAAACTTAATTTCATTTCCCCTTGTACTCTAACACAAAAAAAATGAAAATACTCTAAATTTGGTTTAAAAAAAAAGATACAGCACACTTTTATCATACCTGATTAATGAGTTCAGTTAACGGCGTGACTATAATGCTCCACATTCTCCACAGATGTTCCTTGTTCTCCAATTGCTTCGCATTCTGATTTATAACACTTAGTACAGAGTCACTGAAAGCCAGTGGTGAAGTCGGACCAGAAAGCACACAGGCTACAAGTGTCTCCAGATTGAGAAAAAACCTGAAAAAAAAATTAAAAATGTACTATAATCTTTCACACATTAAATGTACAATGACAATTCCAAGGATGCAAAGAATATGAAATGAATTTCAATATTTCATTTACTAATTTAAACAAACACCATGATAGTATACATGTATAAATCAAAAGAATCTGATGTCATAACATCTCTAACAAAGAAGTTTGAGGAGAAAGGAGGAACTTACTTTTCATCTGCTATGCCACATTCCAGGAAATTCTCACTACAAATTAACTGAATTAAGAACAAAGCTGGAGTCCCCTGAAGAAAGTAAAGCATGAAGTCAGTCTTCTCATGAACAGCATATCAGTTTCCAATACTCATTTAAGAAACACTGTTAAGATAACTTCCTTATCTTTCATTATTACTTAAAATTTGACAACTTTTTTTGCATAATGTAAACCATACACACATATAAAGCTCTGAATATTGTAGTCATTCCATCAATACAAGAAATCAAGGAACTGGTGACTTCAGACACAGAACATCAACGTAACCCACAGTACCCATTATGCATATATTAAGCAGAGTTCAAATGATGAACTCAAGGCTCCTAACCACACAGAACCTGACCAGCAGTTCTGTTACGTATAAACACAACTTTCCTTCTGCAGGTCATTATAGAAAATTGCTTCCACATTAACTATATGATTAACATTACTGCATTACTTTATCAGCTCTTTAATTTGGTCAACAAATTGCAAATCCAAAATTCTCAATCTTGTAATCATAAAGTATACTTTTTTACGAACGGTAATCATCATGGAACTCATGTTTTTGACCAATCTTTAGCATATCATTACATTTAAGATACTTGCATTAAGAATATCCATATTAGCAACCTGATATGCCGGTGAACCTAATACTTTCTGGGGAAGTCCTTTAATTGCAATTTCCATGAGGACCTAAGAAAGATTAAAAAGTTTCACAATAAATTAGCCATAAAAATATCACTTTAGTAACGGTAAATCAGCATCAACTACTTTTTTTACTTAAAATTTCACAAGTTGAATTGTCATTCCTTCAAAATGAATAAATCCGTTTCTATCAATACAAATGTATTCATTGTTAAGATTAAACAAATGTACAGAAAGTCACCCAAAAGACATTTACCACCAGGGATAACTAATACATTCAATTTAGAATCCAATTTCCTGGGCCTGGCTCAATGGCTCAACTGACTATTGATCCCCCCAAAAGCCCAAGCATCCCACATGAGCACCAGTTTGTGTCCTGGCCGCTCCAGCTCCCATCACGCTCCTAGCTTGTGGCCCAAGAAAGCAGTGCAGGATGGCTCAAGTTCACGAGGGACTGCACCTGTGTGAGACCCAGAAGCAGCTCCTGGATCCTGACTTAACTGGCTCAGCTCCAGCCACTGCTGCCATTCAGGGAGTGAATGGCAGAATAAGATCTTTCTCTTGGTCTGTCCTTCCCTCCATAAATCTAGTAAAAATAAGTAAATCTTGAAAAATAATCTAACTTCTTGAGCATTTTGAGCTGCTTTTTAATATACACTAAGCCATACTATAGTATTACATCGTGTAATTCAGTGTTACTAACCTTTACAGCTAGCTTCATTCTTACATTGAACTGAACCAAATCAAGATATGATATCCAACTCAACTGTTTTTCTACTAATGACTTTGAGGTTACTTCTAGTTTCTTATACAGATAAAATCTGACGTAAATCAGATACTCACAGGTGTCAGAAATCAATTATTTCAAAGGATTGCCAGCTTAAATCTAACTTCCTAAATTGCTATCTTAAAATATCACTATGTAACCAGTCCCATTAACGATGAAAACTGTTACTGAAGAAAAAGCTTTCACAGTCCTGAGACACTGCTAGATAGTGACTCTGCACACCTCCCATTATGTTTGATATGATTCACTTTTTTGTGACTGATTACTACCATCTCTCTTTACAAGTAAGTAAAATAACAATAACACATACTTGGACAGAGATTCAATATAACAGCCAATGCTTATATTAACCATTTGGAAATAATGATGCATATAGAATCATAAGAAAAAATATTCTGTGTAACAGTACTGCTTATTCACTCTGCAGGATTTCAGAGGCTCGCTAAACAAAGACCCAATTCACACTTTCCTTCTCCACAATAAAAACAGGCACTATGGAATATACCAGCAAGCAATTCATGAAGTTCACTAATCTTACTAGAGTGCCAGACATTTTTCTTTAGCTCAACTTTCATACCTTTTACCCCACTTTCTTGGTGCGGTTGATTCCAGTGTTGTGTTTTGTTTTTCAGTTGCTGTCACAGCCATTTAATTAAGGTTTCAGAGGCCTCCAGTGTGGTTTAGCAAGTAAAACTTGTTGTGTTACCTATGGGCTCTCTGTTTACTAATGCACCTGCTGCAAGGCATCGTTGAGGGGAGGTTGGAGCTTCCCCAGAGGAAGCTCCTAGCTCTGGACAGGCCCAAGTCCAGCCTGAGGCTATCTGGGGATTAAACCAGGTGACGGATGAGCTCCCAGCCCCATAACTCTGTTTCAATTAAACAATTCTTTAAAAATTCAAATCCAGGGCCCAGCGGCATGGCCTAGTGGCTAAAGTCCTCACCTTGAATGCACCGGAATCCCATATGGGCACTGGTTCTAATCCCGGCAGCTCCACTTCCCATCCAACTCCCTGCTTGTGGTCTAGGAAAGCAGTTGAGGAGAGCCAGGTGCTTTGGGACACCCTGTACCCGCGTGGGAGACCTGGAGGAAGTTCCTGGCTCCTAGCTCCAAAAAGGCACAGCACCCACCGGCTGTTGCATTTACTCGGGGAGTGAATCATTGAACAGAAGATCTTCCTGTCTCTCCTCCTCTGTATATCTGACTTTGTAATAAAAAATCTTTTAAAAAAATAAATACAAAATAAATAAAACAAAAATTCAAATCCAGGGCCAAACCACCTGAGAGACCTGGAAAAATTTCCTGGCTTGTGGATTCAGATCTGCTCGGCTCAAGCTATGGGTTGTCACTTAGGGAGTGAACCAGCAGATGCAAGATCTTTTTCTCCTCTCCCTAAGCGGTTTTAAGCAACTACTAAATCAGTACTTCATATTTACAAAGTTAAACTGCTGGTAAAAAGTTGAAATATATAGCTGCTCAGACATTTTTGCTCATGTATCTTCACTTTTATCTTCAAAGTTTGGTTTTCAAAGTCCTACCTGATGGTACTATACTTACCAGTGATTTTGAAACAGGAAATGCTTCTGACTTCACTATGCCTTCCAAAGATTTTAGTAAAAGAGTCAAAATCTCAGAACCTGGTCTCTCTTTTTTATTACCTATCAAACAGTAAAAAGTTAGGGCTTTTAAACATGTGCATCCTTTTGGAGATATATTTCAAGAGCTATGAAAATCCATTTTTTACTAAGTAACTTGCTATGCTCAGCTTTTTTTCTAATTAAATTCTTCAGACTCGTAAGTCATACTATGCCTTCAGAAAGGTTCTTAATATTCTTCATTGTTCAGGTACGTATTAGTCGCACAGTAACGTTATTTAACTTCATTGAATTGTAAATCTGTTTTTCTTCCTGTTGATTTTGTATTATGGCTTCTTACTTAAGGAGATGTAGAGTAACTGTATAATGGAGACTATCATCCAGATGTGAGGACACAAAGGAATATGCACCTCTACTTCTGGATCAAAGATGGATTCCCAATGAAACTGTTGACTATATCTTAACAATGGGATGCTGAACTCTGCCATTGTACATGCCCACTGTAGGAGGACATTGTGAGCCTGGAAGGTCAGGGAGCACAGGTTTGCAGTTCATTGGACAGTATTTGCATGACAACAACCAAATAGCTACCTTTGGTATAAACAGAATGTAAATGATTACACCTGGTGTAATATACAAAACAAAAGGAATTCCAACCAATCAAGAGAGGGAAACAGTATGGACTCTCAGTGTATGAAGTCTGATGCCCCTAATAAACTTCGGCTTTGACCATCAGTCAGGGTCCACGCGTGTTATTATCGGCTCTGTGCACCAAGTCCATCGCTGCGGGACAGCGACACCCACAATGACGGACTTGTGACTGCTTATGAAAAGCTATACTACTCTATTAATATAGGGGAAAATCAGTGTGGGGGGGGGGTAAGATTTTGGGGGCGGAGGAAAAGAGAATTCCAAAAGCCATGGAACTGTATCATAAAAGAATTAAAAAAAAAAAAAAAAAAAAGTAACTGCTTTGCTTTTACAGCAAAGTCCAGAATTCTACAAAAAAATTTTAAGAATCATACACATAAGCCATTTACTAAGTGCTATAAAAATCATTTGATCAGGCCCCAGTGGCATGGCCTAGTAGCTAAAGTCCTCGCCTTGAACTTGCCGGAATCCCTTGTGGGCGCCGGTTCTAATCCCCACTGCTCCACTTCCCATTCAACTCTCTGCTTGTGGCCTGGGAAAGCAGTTGAGGACGGCCCTATGCTTTGGGATCCTGCACCCATGTGGGAGACCTGGAGGAAGTTCCTGGCTCCTGGCTCCTGGCTCCGAATCGGCACAGCACTGGCTGTAGTGCTCACTTGGGGAGTGAATCATCGAATGGAGGATCTTCCTCTCTATCTCTCCTCCTCTCTGTATATCTTTGTAATAAAAATAAATATGTCTTTAAAAAAATCATTTGATCAGTATTTTACTACTTACCTGATTCAGTAACTGATTTGACCAAGCTAATTAGCTCCTTCCAGATAGCACTGAGAATTGCATCTGTCAAACAGAATAGTTTCAATGAACTACATGTAACTACAAACGCTGAACCCTTCTTCCATGTAGTAAATTGGTATCTCCCCCTCTCACTGGAGAAAAAAACTGAAAACGTTTATCTCACACACCTTCTACCACACCTTGACCCTCCTCATTGTAATCGGAACCTTGTATAGGTATCCATCCCTAAACTATGTAATCAATATTCAAAATTTAGATAATTTTAGATTAAAAATGAAAAAGAATTTCCTTACAATACCCCATATAAATACTTTCTTATTGTGTTTGCAAAAACTAAAAACATTAAACATCAAATAGAATTCTATCCTGTTTCTGTGTATTCTGAATTTACTTTTGAGGCCAAGAAAAACAAACTCAGTAGGTATCTAACAAAAAAAAGTTATGACACATTTTCAACTTTTTATTACTCATTATCAGCCAGATTATACAATTTTCCAAGTTAGATATACACGCTGGACGTGCATCTGCTGGGGACAGTCTAGGAATCAGTCATAGCTGTTGCTGCACCACTTATTTTGTGACATTACAACACATATGCACAGCCCAGCTAACTTGTTATTACAACTCACTAACAGGGATTAAAGTTGCAACGCAGTAGGTGAAGGTGCCAACAGTAGCATTTATTGTCAGCATTTATGGACTGGACAAAAAAAAAACCTCCCTTCCCCCTCTATCTCCCTCCCTCTCTTTATCTCTGCCTTTCAAATAAAACAAATTCATGGAGCCCAGCATTGTGACATAACAGGTTAAGGTACCCCTGCATTGGTGGCATCCTACATGAACACTGGTGAAGCCCCTGCTGCTCCACTTTGATCAAGCTCCCTGCTAGAGTACCTGGGAAAGCAAAAGGTGGCCAGTGTCTTGGGGGCACTGCATCCAAAGAGACCCAAATCAAGATTCTGGCTTCTAGCTTTGGTCTGGCCAACCACAGATGATATGGCCACTGTTAGGGGAGTGAGCCAGCAGATACATCTCTCTGCCTTTCAAATAAATTTTTAAAAAATTTTGAAGAACAATGTTGCTTCGAAAATTAAGTGAGCAGCTGCTTCGTGGCACTGTGCATAAAATTGCCATGTGCAAAGCTGGGATTCCGTACAGGTAGCAGCTGCAGTCCCAATTGCTCCACTATCCATCCAGCTGCCCACTAACAGTTTGGGAAAAATAGTACAAGATGGCCCAAATGCTCAGGCCCCCGAACCCACATGGGCAACTCAGATGAAGCTTCTAGGTCCTGGCATCACACTGGCCCTGCCCTGGCCACTGAGGCCATTTAGGGAGTAAATCTATCTTTACACAACAACCAATGGAGGGTATTATATAAGCATCTCCTACTTGAACAAATACATTCTACAGTATTTACCAGATGCATCTCTTCCAACTGCAACGAAGCTATCATGAACAGCAGTGATAAGTGTATTCGCATGCTTGGAGAAAAAAGGAGGGCTGCTGATCAAGGGATGCTCAAGTGGCTCTAAAGAACAGAGATCAAAGAGAAATAGGCAAAACAAGATTCACAAAACATTAGATACAAAATTTCAGAAGGTCTCAAAAAATGTTTTGAATTTAACATTTATAATAATTCATATGTAAATTACAGAACATATTAGTTCTGGAAAACTTAATTCTCATCTTCACACAATGTTATAGAATTCCACATTATTTTAACAATTTAAATTTTTTAAAAACAAATACCTAAGCTCAATACAAGCTTGTTTTGCTTAGCGAAACTCAAGACTTCTGGACCCAACAGAAAATGGAGCAACATTTCAAGTCCCAAAAGTTGAATGGAAGGGATTGTGGCCATTCCACTTAAATTTGAACTCAAGTTCATCCTGGGGTTTACAGAAACTCCGTACGGGGAAGCACCTTAAAAAGAAAAGAAAAAGCTTATTACTTAATACTTAATTTTAGCATTGCAGACACAAATGTTTTATTTCCATAAAATATGTCATAAGAAGTTTCAGTCATTTCACCATATATTTATGCCTTGCAATTTCAATATATGCTATACTTGGAAAGAAGGGAATGACTGACCCAAAGCACTCACCACCCATGTAAAGGGAGCACTGGGAGTGTACAGGCAGAAACCCATCTTGAAACCCAATAGTCTTTGTGGCTTCCCCACCCCACCCCATTACTGATCTGCTACGCCACACTGGTGCTGGCCCTCCTCCGCCTGGCCGGCATTGGCCCTCTCCTTTGGCCCTCCCTCTCCTTTTCTCCAATTTTGTTCCAATCTCTTGAGCTCCCCTTCCTGCTTCAAAGCACAGCCCCCTCCTAGGCAGTGTGCATGTCCACTCTTCCCTGTTGCTTCGCCCAGATTCCTCTTATCCCAGAAGCTTACTGGATTTTCCTTCTCCAAAGAAATTTCCATCACCATTTGGAAGTAACAGGTTGGGACCAGAGATATCAAATGTATGTTTATTTAAAATTTAAAAATAGAAATCAAAATCAAATAGAATGGCTACCATAAACTGTATTAAAGTGATCACTTCAATGGTGCAAAACCTCAGCAACATTGTTTAAATGAACTACAGACACGTTCCATCTCACCTACTACAAAAAACATGCATTATCAATAGTCACAAAGGAAATAAAAATGTTTGAGAACACTATCACACAAACAGCATGCGAATGTGACAAAGAGTAAACATCTTTATCAAAAGCCTTTCAATAACAAATAAACAAAAATGTGTCTTACCTTTGGATACAGGAGTCATAGGACTTAGACCAGGAGAACTAGCTCCACGAGAGGAAGCACTAGGATCGGTGCTTATTGTGCTCTGAATCAGAGGCACACAAACCTATTAATCAAAACAAGAGGAAATTTCTATCAGGAAATTGCATAATTGAGTTCTTAAAATATTAGATTTTTTAAAAAAAGATTTAGTTAATGGAAAGACAAATTTGGAAAGCAGAGACAGGACTTCCAGCTGCTAGCTCACTCCCTAAATTGACCAAAGCTGAGCAGATACAAAGGCAGGAGCTCCCACCATGACTCTCTTTTGGGTGCAGTGTCCCAAGAACTTGGGCTATCCTTCCCTGCCTTCCCAGTCCATAAGCAAGGAGCCAGATAGGAACTAGAACAGCCGGGACATGAACTGCCACCCAAATGGATTACCACCACTTGCAGACTGAGGATTAGCCTACTGAGCTGGTCTCATAAAACTACATAGTGGCCAGCAACGCAGCACAGCAGCGAAATCTTGCTGCCTACCACACCTGACTTTGGCCTTGCCCAGCAGACCACTGCAGCCATTTGAAGAGTAAATCAGCAGAAGAAATGTCTGTACCTTCTCTCCTTGAAACTCTTCCAAATAAATCTCAAAAAGAAAAAAAAAAGGCTTAAAATTATCCCCACCTTTTGAGAATGTACTTTCTGATATGCAAACAAATTTTAAGTACTGCAAATTCACAATTAAAATGTACCCCAAAATAGGCAATGAAAATTGACATCCCCGCTGCTCCACTTCCCTTCCAGTTCCTTGCTTGTGGCCTAGGAAAGTAGCCGAGGATGGCCCAAAGCCTTGGGACTGTGTACCCATGTGGGGTAAATCTGTGGTTGCAGCCACTTGGGGAGCGAACCAATGGACAGGAAGTTTTATGTCTCTCCCCCTCTGTTTATCTGGCTTTCCAATAAAAATAATTAAAACCTTAAAAAAAAACCAACAGGGGCCAACACGATAGCTCATCACCCAAGTTCTCGCCTTGCACAAAACAAGATCCCACATGGGTGCCGGTTCTAATCCATCCAGCTCCCTGCTTGTGGCCTGGGAAAGCAGTAGAGGACAGCCCAAAGCCATGAGACCCCCCGCACCCATGTCTCATGGAAGAGGCTGGAGGCTCTGGGCTCTTGGCTTCAGACTGGCTCAGCTCTGGTCATTGTGGCCACGTGGGGAATAAATCAGTGGATGGAAAATCTTCCTCTGTCTCTCCTCCTCTCTATATATCTGACTTTCCAATAAAAACAATAAATCATAAAAATTACTAATCATCACCACATATTCTAAAAACTGCTACTGTTCAACTTTATATACACACAATGTATCACATAACTTTTTTTTTACACATTTACTTTACTTTTACTGCAAAGTCAGATATATAGAGGAGAGGAAGATCTGATGATTCTCCCCCCAAGTGGTCGCAATGACCAGGGCTGAGCCAGTCTGAAGCCAGGAGCTTCCTTGACTGCTTTCCCAGGCCACAAGCAGGGAGCCGGAAGGGAAGCAGGACTCTAGGGATTAGAACCAGTGCCCATATGGGATCCCAGCATGTTCAAGGCAAGGACTTCAGCTGCTAGGCCATCGCGCCGGGCACACATGATTTCTTTAGATTCCTAATGCCTCCACAGCAAGAAATCTGATTTTTTTTTGCAGTGAAGAGAGTAAGTGCTGGCTCTTTCAGCAAACTGAAGAATATTCCTTCATAAATGATTTCAAGTACTCTGCTAAGAAAAGCATTTTCATATATAACAGGCTACTAAATATAAGATCCAAGAAAATGAAAAATTTATTCTGATGGAAAAACAAAAGGGGGGCAGTTGTTTGTAACTTTTCAAGAGAATGCATTTTCCAGGGCCTGGTGTAGTACCTATGTGGCTGAAGTCCTCGCACTGAACGTGCTAGGATACCATAGGGTGTCAGTTCTAATCGCAGCTGCTCCACTACCCTTACAGCTCCCTGCTTTGGCCAAGAAAAGCAGTAGAGGACAGCCGAGAGCCTTGGGACCCTGCACCCAAATGGGAAACCTGGAAGAGGCTCCTAGCTTCAAATCGGCTCAGCTCCAATTGCAGCCACCTGTGGAGTGAACCAGCAGATGAAGTTCTTTCTGTCTCTGCTTCACTCTAGATTTGCCTTCCCAATAAAAAGACATCTTAAAAAAAGAGAATGTATTTTCCAGGAATTTTTGGAAGTTCCTATGTAGATACCAAAAATAGCTATTAGCTAGGTTGGGAAAACAGAAGACAGAGGACAAAACAAATCAACTGCATCAGTCATGTGTTAGCAGTGAAAATCTGGGCAAAAGGAGACTCTAACGTGAACTATGTCAGCCAGTGGATTCTGAAGAGATTTCATCGTGTCTGGAATGGTGAGACTGGCAGCAATTCCGAGCTGTTGAACTATCAAAACTGAATGAGCAGGACCCTCAGAGCATGTCCCACATTGGGGAAGCTGGGATGGGATGGGAGGCTGAGTGGGGCTTCTCCTTCCCACCTTACCCCAGACACAAGAAAAACAGTGGAAAAATTGGTCTTATCTAATTTCCTTTAGCCCTTGATCCTTTGTACCCCAGTCAACTATGAAGATAAGACAAAAGACTAGATTGGGGAGAACCTAAGAACACATTAACATTAATTAGAACATAGTTAACAATTGTAATGTTACCTGTTCAAAATTAGCAGGAAGATGAGGTCCAAGTCTTATCAGCAAATACCACCACACTTCTACTTTTGTTAATGCTAGTGTTTCTGTTCTCACGTGGATGGAACTTAAAGGCTGCATTAACAATTTGAGTCTTTTTGCACTACAAAGTATATCTTAAAACAAAATAAGCACACAAGTAAAACTTAAGACCTAAGCATCATTTTTAAGTTCACCAATGCAAGCAAGAGTATTTAAAAATTGTAAAACAGCATCAAAGACTGGTTAAAATGTCTCCAATCCCAAGGCCAATCGCAGTGCTTAAGTTTAATTCCAAGCTCCAGCTCCTACTGGCAGACGGCAGGTAGCATTCACAGGAATGTTGGAATGCATGCTGGATTATGCCTGTCCCAAACTCAACCAACTAGTGGACAAAAGCTATCAAAACTGTCCCTGACTTCATGATTTGATAAAACTGAATGATTGATACTCTGGAACACTAATAATCCGTGGGTAAGGTTATGCTCTTGTCCCTAGAACTTCCTGATGGATCCTCAAAACTGTAGCTTTCCCTATGGCTCCTCCGACCTCGGAAGTGCAGCAACTCCGTTGAATTCAATGCTGCCCCTGGAGAAGACGGATTCCCCAGTGAAACTGCCTCTAAGAACTGAATAACTAAATGTGTTTAATATTCTTCTTGTTCCACTACAGATCAAAAATGCAGACAAATTCTCCACCTTCTTAGAGTGTCTGAGGAAGACTTTAAATGTAATTTATTATTTATAAATAACAAATTCTTAACGGCCTTGGGCTTACAAAAACCATAGAAATTTGTGGTGGGATCCAAGAATAAATAACCCTGACACCCTCTTAAGAGGAGGCTGTATGTATAGAGTGGGAGGGGATCTCAGGGTGGAACAGGAGGATTAGACAAGGTCTGTATCCTAGTCCCGGAGACTCCCAGAGGCCTCCAAAGTGCTTTCGCCACAGAAGCAATGGATACTTTGCCAAGGATTGTCAGTATGGACACTGAGATCCATATCCCGACTGCCTAGGAGATCACAGGGAATATGAATGACCTCAGAGGCAGAGAGAACTCTGAGGTCAGTCATTTCCTATTGGATTTCCCACACGGGATGGTAGCAGCTCAAAACCCTCATATGATCTGGTGACATCGGAACTACAGCCCGCCCTGGGTAGCACAAGGATTCTAAATTTCCTTCTGGACTCAAGAGGAGCTTTCTTTCTCTGGTCCTTATCTAGTTCCAGCCTTGGCTCCAGGCCCTCTTACACCAACCATCAGGGTTGCTTGATGAAAAAAAAAAAGGTTTATAGTAGCCAGTTGTGTATATACCAAAATTGAGATGTCAAGGAAGTAGTTACAGGATGTGGTTAAGAACTTGCATGTTCTAACATACTGGTCACTCAACACCATGTTAATTGACTTCAATGATGTTGTTAAAAAAAATTTGTTCCACTGAAATGACAAAAGTGGACCAAATAACTTAATAGGCCATTCTCATTGTCGCTATCTTAAAATAAAGCACATTTTATTATGTCAAAAATACCTTGGGTCAAAAATGTAGTATAGCACGTTAAGATGCCATATGCAGGCCTGGCACAGTAGGCTACTGACTAAAGTCTTTTCCTTGCACACCCTGGGGATCCCATATTGGCACAGGTTCATATCCCGGCTGCTCCACAGCCCTTACAGCTCCCTGCTTGTTGCTTGGGAAAGCAGTCAAGCAGACCAAAACCTTGGGACCCTGCACCCGTATGAGACACCCAGCAGAAGCTCCTGGCTCCAGGCTTCAAATCGGCTCAGCTCCAGCCACTGCAGTAACTTGGGGAGTGAACCAGCAGATGATCTGTCTCTCTTCACTGTATAAATGTGATTTTCAAAATTTATTTATATATATATATAAATATATATTATGTATTATATATGTATGTATATGTATTATATATGTGTTATATATATATATACACACATATATGCTATATGAGTGCTGGTTAAAATCCCAGCTGCCCCACTTCCCATTCAGCCCAATGGTAATGCACTTGGAAAAGTAGTGAAGATGATCCTTTTAACAGACCAGGATGAAACTCCTAGAAACAGCCTATCCATTAAAGCCAGTTGTAGAGTAAGCCAGAGGATAAAAATCTTTTTCAACCTTTATCATCTAACAAGGACTTTCAAAGAAGTTTTTCTTAAATCTTTGTATTTAAAATTAATCATGAATGCTGCTGGGGTCCACTGATTATATGCTGGACATATAAATACTGATTCAGGTCTATCGTATCTCATCAATAACCATTCCCAAATTTCAGTACAAATATTAAATCTAACTCTAAACAAAATGCTTACACTGGATGAACAATGTGCGCTCACTGGTAATGCCTGCGAAAGCACCCGGATGGGCCCCTGAACCCACATGGGATAAAAAGAAGCTCCTGAGAACAGCTTTACAGACTGGCCCAGTTCCGGCCTTACAGCCATTTGGGGAATGAACCAGTGGATGGAAGATGTCTCTGTCTCCCTCCAACTAGCCCAAGTAAAATAAACAAATCTTTAAAAAATAATTTTCAAACATTGGTCTTGCTTTGCATATGACAGAATGGCACTTTCTATTCTTACAACTGTTCTTTCAGCTACTTTAACACTCCTCTAGTAAGTATGTGGGAACTAGAACTCAGCTCTGGGCCCAGCAGCATGGCCTAGTAGCTAAAGTCCTCGCCTTGAACTTGCCAGAATCCCTTGTGGGCGCCGGTTCTAATCCCCACTGCTCCACTTCCGATCCAGCTCCCTGTTTGTGGCTTAGGAAAGCAGCTGAGGATGACCCAGAGCTTTGGGATCCTGCACCCATGTGGGAGACCTGGAGGAAGTTCCTGGCTCCTGGCTCTGGACTGGCACAGCACCGGCTATTGCGCTCACTTGGCGAGTGAATCATCGGACAAAAGCTCCTCGTCTCTCTCTCTCCTCCTCTCCATATATTTGATTTTGTGTAAAAAAAAAAAAAAAAAAAAGAATTCAAATCTGACATTCCCCTTCGGACTCCTATGACCCAGAGGCTAAGAATGCCCGAGTAGAGCCCTCAGCTCCATTCCAGATATGTGGATTCTGCTTGGCTTGCTCAGGAATTTCAGAGTAAACCTGCAAACTGGGTACTCTCAATTCATTGGTCTCAAATTTAAAAAGAAAAAAATTTAAACATGACTTACCTGGATTTAAAGCAAAATTGTCTATTAAGCTTTTCCAAGCAATAAAAGCTATTTTTTTAATCATAGGTGTCCCACTACGAAATCCTAGTTCTTCTAACTGCAATAATGAATTGATGAAACTTCCACTTCGATGTAAGGTCTAAAAGAGAAAAATAAATCAGAAGCTACTTATGTAAGAAACAAATATAGAAGCAACTAATATCAATTGTTCATCCATTTAATTCTTGGTATTGGGAGTTAACAGACACAAAAGATAAGCTACTTTACAAAACATTCTTTACAAAATATTGACCATTAGGCGTGCGACTGGTGCAGCGGTTGGTATATAGCCTGCACCCCCAAATCCCATCGTCAGACTGCCCAGGTTGCTTCCTGGCTCTTTTTCCAAGCCCAGCTTCCTGTCACTGCTGCGTCCTTGCCAGAAAAATGGGAGAACCAAACCAAGTTCCCGGTTGCCAGCCTTGGTCTGGCTTAGTCGCTGTGAACAAGTAATGAATACAGACTGCATGCCTCTCAAGTTATAACAGACATGTAACATTTTAAGACTGTATATATACAAAGTACACAAAGTGGTGTAGGTGGATGTGTAAACAAAGCTCTAAAACATTAGGAGAAATCAGCCAAGTCAACAAATCCCAAATTTTATCAAAGTAATTTCAAAGACTGTAGGTCCACACTTGGATACCCCTTATTCAGAATGCCAGGAACCAGAAATACTTTGAATTTTTCCCCCAAGAGTTGAGTTGAGAATATATGTATACATAATGGGAATATTTGCATATATAAAACAAATCACCTTTAGAATGGAATCCAAATATAAGCCAAAGTTCACTTTTGTTTCAAATAACACTAAGCACACAGCCCAACCTTACATGACATCCGGTATAGTTTAACCCCACTCATGATGAGCACATGAAAAACAGTTATAGAGATGTTAAACCCCAAAAACATTAGAAACAATCTTTCCAAAAAGGCTGAAATATGTAAGAGCAGATACAATAATTCATGTAGAAAATGGTAAAATCTGCTAACAGCAAAAGAGTAGTGAATACCAGTTAACTAGTAAATCTGCCAAAACAAGGCCATCACAAACATCAACACTAAGTAGCTGTGAATCACATATAATCAAGAGTATGAACAAAAGTAAATGGCTTACAAAATAAAATTACTACAACTAATAGTCTGCAAACTGCTAAAAAAACAAGATCATTACAACCTTGTGTTTCTAAATACCAGCAACAAGCAATTTAAAAATGGAAAAAATAGTCACGTATTATCATTTGATGATAAAGAAATAATCTGAAAAATAAGTCAGGTAATTCTGCCACTGCAGGAACGTGAAAGAGTATACCTAAGTAAGCCTCAGGGTGTACAGGATCCCTCCTATCAGAGCTCTGATTCAAATCCTTTCCACCTTCCCACTAGGGTGCCTGGGAAAGCAGCATGTGATGGCTGCAGTACACTGACCTAACCCTGCCACCCAGGTGGGAGGCCAGGATGGAGTTCCTGGTTCCAGGGTTTAGCACGGCCCAGCCCCAAGAGTTGTGCTGGGGAGTCAGTCAGTGCATGCCAAGATTCTCTGTCTCTCAGCCTTTCAAATAATCAAATCTTCTAAAATAAAGTTTCATAGGGCCAGCACTGTGGCATAGCAAGCATTGGCATTCTCTATGCGCACACCAGTTCAAGCTGCTGGATTTCCTATCCCAGTCCATGCTAGTGCACCTAGCAAAGCAGCGGATGAGGACCTAGTCCTTAGCCTGACCCAGCCCTGGCAAGTGCAGCCACAGGGAAAACCAACTAGAATATCAAACACCTGTCTTCTCCCTTTCTTTCAAATGAACTAATCTTAAAATTCTGTCTTGCCAACAGACTCGAATCAGCATTAGGCAACAGTTAAACTACAAAGACATGTAGGGAGAATCAAAAGCGATCCTGACCACCTCTTAACAGGAGGCCATATGCACGGGGGGGGGGGGGCCAGAGTGGAGCAGGGGGACAGGAGGATAGTTGTATCCCAACCCTGAAAACTCCCGATCCTCACCAAGGACTATCAGTACGAGCACTAACGACTACACCCCAACCGCCAAGGAGACCACGGGGAATTGGAGTGCCTTCAGAGGCCAAGAACTCTGAGGTCATCCACTCCTGCTTGGATCTACCACATGGGATGGAAGAAATCCAAATCCTTCCTCACAGGATCAAAGGGCATCAGAACAACAGCCAGGAGCCCTGAGCAGTCCACAGAAACAGAACAGTAAATTCCCTTCGGGACTAGGCAGGGGAGGTCTCTCTGGTCCTCACTTGGTTCCAACTTGGGGTTCCCACCCTCTCTTGCAATGACCATCAGGATTGCTCCGGACACCCCTCAAAACAAATAACCAACCAACCAACCAATCTAGAATAGAGAACAAGGAAAGCTTAGAATCAGATAGGAAATGGTCAGTGTGGATTCACTTAGTAAGGTATAAGTGGGTAAGTAAGGTATAGGTAGGACACAAAGGTTAGTTACTCCTCACTAAGGTATTGAAGATTTCTCTGCACACCCCTCCTAAAACTGTTCTGCACCTAAACTGTTGACATGTCTTGTTAGAGTTATAAGCCAGTCTAGACTATCCGAAAAAAAGCCAGGTTCAGCAAAATTATGCTTCAATGCTATAAAATGCTAAATATTATAATGAAAATAGACATGAGACAGCTGAACAGTAATCTATAGCTATTTTAAGATGTATAGAACCCGGTTGTATATAAACTAAAATTGAAATGTCAATGAAGTAGTCACAGGATGTGGTTAAGAACTTGCATTTTTTTTTTTAAACATATTGGTTACTCAATACTATGTCAATTAACTCCACAATGTTATAAATTGTTGCTGAAGCTATGTTGGGGTTTTTAATTGATTGAGATGATACTCTGCTGGCTCCACCTTCAGACCAGAAAAGGTCTCCCCAACAAGCCGTTGAACTTATCTGGACAATAAGATGATGAACTCTATGCTTGGTATATGCTTGCAATGAAAGAATCTCAACTGAACTTGAACTGTGGCTATGCAACAAGGTGGAGGAATCCACCATAGGGGGAGGGTTTGGGGAGGGGTGGGGGGAAGCCCAGTACCTATCAAACTGTCACATAATACAATGTAATTAATAAAAAAAAATTCTGTCTTGCCATGAGGTCATAAATTTGTATTCTAAAAACTATAAAGCATTTCTAAATGAAGTTAAAATGGAAACACATTCATACTCAAGGACTAACATGTTAATACTATCAAAATCTACAGACTGAACAGTCTGTCCTCATTCCAAGTCTCAATCTCTTCAACAAATTCAAATATAGAAAGGTTGATCCTTAAATTCAAAAGGAACTGCAGAGCCCTGAATAGTAAATACAAAAAAAAAAAAAATTAAAAACGAAAAAAACAACTACTAAGACTTACATAATTCACTTCCAAATTTAGTACAACAGTAACTGAAACATGGTAATATAAAGAGTTGTAGCTCCTACAGAAATTACAAAGTTAGTGCTTGGTCAAGCACTCAACATACACAACCTTGCTTTACGGGTTTCTGTTAAATGACACCTCTATCATACCATAATCTATACTATTTACTGTATGTATTATTTATTCCTAACAGTGAACTAACATCCAACATAATCCAAGTCAGAACAAAGTTTATTTAATACACACAAAAGTATTTGCTCCAAAGGCACATCACAGTCTATTCTTATGAATACTGGACATTACTTCTGCTCAGGAGCATGTCAAACTGTGAAATCAAAAAAAGCATTTAAAAAAGAAAATGTGGGATCAAATGGACCATGAACAATGCAGTTACCTAAGGAAGGAGAAGTTAAACAATAGGGCACAGAATAACCTCGCCGTGACCTAAGCTTGGAACCATGCCCTCCAAGCTTACAAACTGAGAAATCTCCATATGAACTGAAAAAAATTAAGTTTTCAGCTGGAGTTTACAAAATACTTTTAGTACGCAGGAAAATGTGCAAATGAGGCAAATCATGAATGTAGTGGACATAAAGAAGGAACCAACAAAGCTGGTAGACACTGATTTAGCAGCTTAAGCGGCGGCCTGGGATGCATGAATGCATCCCACATGAGAATAACACCTTGGGGCCCAGCGGCATGGCCTAATGGCTAAAGTCTTCGCCTTGAATGCGCCGGAATCCCATACGGGTGCCGGTTCTAATCCCAGCAGCTCCACTTCCCATCCAGCTCCCTGCTTGTGGCCTGGGAAAGCAGCTGAGGACGGCCCTATGCTTTGGGATCCTGTACCCATGTGGGAGACCTGGAGCAAGTTCCTGGCTCCTGGCTCTGAATCAACACAGCACTGGCTGTTGTGCTCACTTGGGGAGTGAATCATCGAACGGAGGATCTTCCTCTCTCTCTCCTCCTCTCTGTATATCTGACTTTGTAATAAAAATAAATCTTAAAAAAAAAAGGAAAAAGAAAGTTCTCTCTCAAATGCACTTGGGAAGCAGCATGATAGGCCAGCCATTTGAATATCTGTCAGCCTTGTGGGAAATCCAGATGGAGTTCAGGTTCCTGATGGATTCAGTTTAGTCCTGACTGTCGCAGGAATCTGGTGAGCCAGCACATAGGAGCATTCATTAGCTCACTCCGCCTTCCAAATAAATCACCTTCAAAGGAAAAAAACTGGGATGGAATGGCATAGAACATTCAGACCATTAATTATCACACTTACCTTCCCAAGAAGTTTGACAAACAAAGGCCATAATTTTAACACGTATGTCTCATTTTTGTTCATAAATAGCTTCTGGAGCTCTGAGAATAATTTCTATGAACAAAAGCAAAATATTTACCAAATTAGCATCTGGAATGGGGAAAAAAGACCCACTGCCAAAATCTAGACACAATTTTCAAATTACGTTCTCTCAAATAACCAAAACAGTCCTCACGCCAAAATAACATTAAAAATCTTCAGCAGTGCATCAGAAAGCTTAAAAGTATTGGCATTGCAGCACAGTAAGTTTACCAACCACGTGCAGCAACAACATCCCATAGGGATGCCATTTTAAATCCTAGCTGCTCAAGTTTCAAATCACCTGCCTGATAATGTGCCCGGAAAAGCAGCAGCAGATCATTCAAGTGCTTGGACTCTTGCACTCACATGGAAGACCCAAAAGAGGTTTTAACCTCCTGGTTTTGGCCTGGCACAGCTTTTGCACAAGTTACTGCTGCTGCAATAATTTGGAAAGATAAATCAGTGGTTTTTGTCATTCCTTTTCTCTAGCTCTGCCTCTAAAATCTTCCAAGAAAAAAAAGGTACTGCAGGAGAAATACAGATGTTTTTAAAGTTACACAATAAATATTTGAGAACACACAATATGGTGCTGCCATGAACATTTACTGAGCATGCATTACTACTTACCTGGCCTTCTTACAACTCTCCAATCTATCTTACTCTTTTTTTTTAAAGGCTTATTTTATTTTTATTGGAAAGGCGGATATACAGAGAGGAGAAAGAGAGGAAGATTTCCGTCCGATGATTCACTCCCCAAGTGAGCTCAATGGTCGATGCTAAGCCAATCTGTAGCCAGGAGCCTCTTCCGGATCTCCCACGCAGGTGCAGGGTCCCAAGGCTTTGGGCCATCCTCGACTGCTTTCCCGGGCCACAGGCAGGGAGCTGGATGGGAAGCGGGGCCGCCGGGATTAGAACCGGTGTCCATATGGGATCCCGGGCGTGCAAGGCGAGGACCTTAACCACTGCGCCACCGCGCCCAAATCTATCTTACTCTTATCCCAGAAAACTTCAGATGTCTATAACTAGATTTCAAGACCGGCACAATGGCTCAGCGGGCTAATCCTTTGCCTTTCAAGTGCCAGCTACTGTCCCAAATGATTCACTTTCCTTGTAGCTCTGTGCTAGTGACCCAAGAAAGCAGTCGAGGATGGCCTAAAGCTTGAGACCCTGCACCTGAAAGAAGCACCCAGCTTTGGATCAGCTCAGCTCAGCTTCAGCTATTGCAGCCACTGGGGGAGTGAGCCAATGGATGGAAACTTTCTCTGTCACTCCTCTGTAAACTTGTCTTTTCAATAAAAATTAAAAATCTTTTTAAAATATGGGCCCAACCCGATAGCCTCGTGGCTAAATTCTCGCCTTGCACATACCAGGATCCCATAAGGGTGCCGGTTATTAAAAAAAAAAAGGGGGGGGTGGTCTAAGGACGGGACATCTCACGCCTAGATCCCACAGGCCAGCCACCCTGGGCACGTGGTGAGCTGTCCCCAGAGCTGCCTGGGCTCCGGGGGCTGTTCCCTTTGGCCGCCCGGCGGGGGAGCTCTGGGATTTTGGTGGTTTGAATAACTGCTTATGTAGCTCCAAGTTGAACCCACTGTGCTTCTGGGATGTGAGTCAATCCCAAAGATTCCCAATGACAGTAACTCTTCCTTTGAAGAAGTTTGAAGAACAATGCTGAGCAAAAGCTCAGTTCATGCAAAAGCTAAGGCTCGGGGCTTGTCCAGCAGCATATTCTATTACCTGACATGATGATGGATCAGTAATCGGGTCACACTAGGCAGGGCCATGACATTAACTAGTACTCAGCATACGGATCACAATAGGCAGGGCCATGACATTAACCACTACTCAAGGACCATATCCAGGGATAGATTCTGTGGGCGAAGTGTGGGCCACACCCTGTGGAAATTCTAGCCCCACTGGTTAGCTCAACAGTTTGGGTGGTGATGGACTAAGCTAGGTATGACCAAGGAGCTTGCCATCAATCACTGGTAAAGGAATCCACAGCAGTCTGGACTGGTCAAAGCAGCAGCACCCGAATGTGCATCCTGAATAGGGTGTGGGGTGGACCAGGCTGCAGCGTTCACCAGCTTATACAAAGCCAAATGGAAGGCCAGACTGCGCCAGGCGCTGGCCTAAAACCCAAGACATGTATGAGAACTGGGTTGGGGAGTCGATCAAGTGGAGGAACTTGGGAAACTCCCTTGGTGAGTCACAGCTCCCACTGGTGAACATGTGGTCCAGGCCTGGGGGTCGGACAAGCTGGGAAAAGTATCTCCAATAGCTGGCCATTGTGTGAATTGATAATGGAGTACAATGTACTGGGCAGGCCCGAGCAAGCCTTGGCCTACAAGCAAAACTAGAAACCAGCATGGAGCACAGGTCATGCTGAGCTAGGTTCTTGTACCTACTGATCTGAGTGAGCCAGGGACACTAAGCCACAGTGTCTAAGGCATAGGCTGGGACAGGTGAGGGGGCTGAGCTGAGTCAGAGCAACCACTGGCATGCGCATGATCTATGGCTGGGAACAGGCCCAGGTGGAGAGCTAAGAGGACACCATAACTGGGTGGAGGTTCCCACTAAGTGGTGTGTGGGCCAGAGTGGGGACTGCATTCTGATCAGGATACAGTTGTAGTCTCCCTTGGGACTAGTGTGGACTGGGACTGGACACACCAGGCCAGGCCAGACTCCAACACCCTCAGGTGTCCTGGAGGACCAGGGTAGATGTGGGACAGACTAGGCTAAGTCTCAACCCCTACTGAGCCATATGTGAGCCATATGTGAGCCATATGTGGGCATGGACGAGCCGTGGCTGGGCTGAAACATCCAAAAGCAAGAACCAGTTCGGGTTGAAGGTCAGTCAGGAAAAGCCACTGTTCCTACTAGGATAGGAGGTGAAATCGAGTATGTCTGGCTCATGGAACCCCTGGTATGTGCAAAATCTGGCATTGGGAGGGGTTCTGATGGAGGAGCCTGGGCAACTCCTCTGGCAGGACACAGTCCCTGCAGATAAGCACAAGAAGCATGATAGGAAACAGCCCAGAATAGGCCATGCAAAGTTTCCCACTGGCATACATTTGGCATGGGCCAGGGGCTGACCAAGCTGAATTAGTTCACATCATCCACTGGCAAATCCAAGCACCAGAACAGTGTGGGTCGAGCCAGGTTTGGCTGTAACAAAAACCAGTGCACAACATGGAATGCCAAGGTGAGGTTGCCTGTGCCAGACGTGACCGCAGCAACCAACCAGCACGCATGAGAACCATGAAGGGAGGGGACAGAGCTGGCAAGGGAATAAGGGGTGGTCCCCTTGCCGGACAGCTACTCCCACTGGAAGAGTGTGGGATGGGGGCAGACCCGACTAAGCAAGACTACAACACCTGTGGGCCTCATGTGGACTTGATCAGGGAAAAGCCGGGCTGAGCTGATTATTCCTACTGGTGCAAGCATAAATTAGAGTGGGTAAGGATTGTTTGGGCTTGGCTGCAGCATCAGCTGGCAGAAGATGGCACTGGGGGCTAATTCTGTCAAGTCAAATGCCAGAACCAATGAAGAGTGCATAACCCTGGAGTGAGAGAGACCTGGGAGGGAAACAGTGGGCTCCTCCCTCTTAGGTTACCACTCCCACGAGAGGGCACTAAAACTAGAATGAGGGCTGGGGAGGGGGGCTAGACAGAGAGGCACTCAACAACATCTGTAAGGGCTAGATAGTCGAGACTGGCTGGATGGAGCTAAGCTTCAATACCCATCGACATGTACGGAGACAAATGGGATGTGGGAGAGACTGGACTAGCCTGCTACACATACTGGCAAACCAGGGTAGGGGGCGGGCCTGGTGGGGGTTATTGTGGGTTGCTCTGACTAGGCTGCAGCTCCCACTGGTTTATGCGAGGGCCGAGTATGTGATAGGGAGAACCAGGCTGGACTACAACACCCATTGGTTCCAGTGGAAGTCAGGGCTGAAAACAGAACCAATGCAGCAATTGCAACCACCAGCTGATCGGGGCGATGGATTCTGCTGGACCCTGTGCTTACTAGAACACACAAGAATCTGAATACTTAAAGTTTCTTTGGGGATCTCCCCAATCGAAATGGCGGACTCAGAAACCTAACCAAGAAAAGACAGAACAAGTCAATCAACCACCTCAGCTATTTGTTGGCAGAGAAATACTGGGCAGATGAAGACTCTATGATGGACTGTGTCAATGATTGGATTCTTCACCGACCTCATCGTGCTTGGAGTGGCGAGACTGGCAGCGAGTCATAACTGGTGAACTATCAAAACCACTTGAGCAAATATCTCAGAGCATGCCCCACATCCAGGACTTGGGGTGAGTGGGAAACTGGGTGGGGTTTCTCCCTCAATACTCCCCTTTTAAACATGAAGGAAACAATATGAAAATAGTCTTACCCACTTCCCTATAGCCCTTGAACATTTTTACCCTAATTAACTGTGTAAAGATTTTCAAAAATGTAATAAAAATTCTTTTTAAATTTATATAAAAAATATATGAAAAGCCAGGGATTGTGTAGGAATTTGGAGTAACAAGAAGGAAGAAAAACGCATGCAGATTCAAAAGGAGCTACTGTACCAAGTCCATTATTAATACACATGGTCTGAAATCACTACATTAGCCATCTTATCTTGCATTCTAACATTATGTCGATCAACTGTTTAAAGAATCCCGTGGCATTGATGTCCCTACCATCTACCAGGTACTTCCTTTCCATTCCCACCCCTTGGATTTAAGCTGGAGGGGAGGGGTGGGGAATGTCTGGGTTTCTTTGCTGATAGTTTATCTCTAGTCCCACCCCCAAGCATTTTCTTCCAAGTATACACTGCAAATGGCATACTCCAAAACCCTCTTTTGCCCAACTCACTTATCTAAAATATGGTCCCAAGTTTATGGTCCCACGAGCAAGCGGCCCTCCATTTCTGCAGTTACCTACCTTCCACCCAGCAGACAGGTCCCCTCATTATTTTCCATTCACACCAAGTGCACTACCACTTCTGCACCTGCCCTGGAATGCCTTCTTGCCTAACACCCTTGCCCAGCCTCCACACCCTGCTAAGCTCCCTGCACAGGACCCTCCGTCTTCCCTCTCCCATTCCCATGCCTCACAATTCCAGGTCCTGGAGAATTCTTGTGTCCCTGAAAAACTGCAGCATTTATTCTCTAGGCATTTTGCATAGGCTGTCTTGATTTCTTCTGTTTTTGTGAAAAATCTCATGATTTCTAAAACTGAACTTTTTTTAACAAAGATTTGTTTTTGTTGGAAAGGCAGATATACAGAGAGAAGAGACAGACAGGAAGTTCTTCTGTCTGATGGTTCACTCCCCAAGTGGCCGCAATGCCTGGAGCTCAGCCAATCTGAAGCCAGGAGCACATTTAGGTTCTCCCACACAGGTGCAGGGTCCAAGCTGGATGGGAAGCAGGGCCTCCAGGATTATAAAAGTGCCCGTATGGGATCCCAGTACTTTCAAGGTGAGAGTGTTAGCTGCTAGGCTACCGCGCTGGACCCAATTTTGAATCTCTTACTTTCTGTTCCTACACCTTACATATAGGTAAATTTCTCCAGGCTCTGGTTTTTCTAACTATGTAGAACTTCCCACTATAGTTATCTATTTCTGATTTTGAGACACTATCACAGTTGATACTTAATTGAAACATATAGAATGAATCATTACTGCCAGTAGGATTTGGATTTTCTGGTTCTCCACTGCAACAATCCTACATGTGCTCCAGTTTGTGTCCTAGCTGCTTCACTTTCAATCTAGTTCACTGCCTGTGGCCGGGAAAAGCAGTCAGATGGTCCAAAGCTTTGGGATCCTGCACCCACGTGGGAGACCTGGAAGAAGTTCTTGGCTTCGGGTCAGCTCAGTTCTGGCCACTGCTGTCTCTTGCAGAGTGAATCAATGAATGGAAGAGCTTCCTCTGTCTCTCCTCCTCTCTGTTTACCTGTATTTCTGACTTTGCAATAAAATTAATCTTTAATAAAAAGATTTTTATTGGAAAGCCAGGTCAAATTTAGAGACAGACAGAAAAAAATCTATCTATTGGTTCACTCCCCAAATGGCCGCAAATGCCAGAGCTGAGCCAATCCAAAACCAGGAGCTTCTTCCAGTCTCCCACATAGATCCAGGGTCCCAAGGCTTTGGGGCCATCCTCTGTTGCTTTTCTAAGCCATAAGAATGGAACTGGATGGAAGTGGAGCAGCCGTGACATGTACTTACAAGGTGACGATTGAGCCACTGAGCCATTGCACTAGACCCACCTGCTTCTCATTTGGAGATAAAAAAAAAAAAAAAGAGTTCAAATATAAACTAATCTTCACCTAGCAGTTAAAAAAATTCAATAGCATCAGAAAACACTTAGCTGAGAATATTTGAATTCTTGAGTTTTACATATGTAGCCAATAGTTATAAAATAACTAAGACATAGGGCCCTGCGCGGTGGCACAAGTGGTTAAGGTCCTCGCCTTGCACGCCCGGGATCCCATATGGGCGCCGGTTCTAATCCTGGCAGCCCTGCTTCCCTTCCAGCTCCCTGCCTGTGGCCTGGGAAAGCAGTCGAGGACAGCCCAAAGCTTTGGGACCCTGCACCCGCGTGGGAGACCCAGAAGAGGCTCCTGGCTTCAGATTGGCATAGCATTGGCCGTTGCGCTCACTTGGGGAGCGAATCATCGGACAGAAGATCTTCTTCTCTGTCTCTCCTCTCTGTATATCCGCCTTTCCAATAAAAATAAAATAAATCTTTAAAAAAAAATAACTAAGACATTAAGCTATCATTCTTCAAGGCACCTCCTAAACTTTAACAATCAAAACCCTAGATTTTAAACTGATAGCTCCCAGAATCTCTTTAAAACCCAAGTCAGAATTTATCACTCCAAGAATCAAAATATTCAAAAATGGCTTTTCAAAATCAAGTGACTGCAATGATTTCCAAGTTGCGTGCAATCTGCTCTTCTGCCATCTTCCCCTCCTCTCACCCTCCATCCACAGCTGTCACATAGCTGAGTGCTCCCTACACACCAACTGCGTACACCACCAAGCAGGGACTTTTGCTCTTGGGCTTGTTAGAGCTTAATCTGTATCATTTATATAGCTAACTCACATGGTAAACACTGTTCAAATGTCCAATTATGGGGGTGGCGTCACGCTGGCAATCCCACATGCACACTGGTGTAAGCCAGAGCTGCTCCCACTTCCCACCCAGCTTGCTGCTAACACCGACAACGGCCCAAGTGTATGGGCCATTGCCACTCATGCGGGAGACCCAAAACAAATTCACAGCTCCTGCCTTCACGCTGGTCCAGCCACAGCTGCTGAAGCCATTTCAAGAGGGAACCAATGGATGGAAGAGCTCTCAGTCTTTCCCTCTTTGCAACTCTGCTTTTCAAATAAATTTTTTAAAAAGGCAGTAACTGCTCACTACCATATTCCCAATACCTAGAACATACTGCATTACCAGGTGCTTCATGACTACCTGTGGTAAGAACAAACATGGGAGTTTTGGTTGTAGCTTGGAAATGGTACAGTCTCTGAGTACAACAGATTCTACTAGGATTATACAATAACCACCCAATTTTCACTTTATGTTCTCACTTTTTCTGAAATACGGCCTTTCCATTCCTCAGTAGAGACAGGGTAAATGCTTACACCGCAGTAACGATGAATTGCGAGCTCCTTGCCTTACTGTTGCAGAGCCAGTGTCTCCATTCGCCTTAGTAATTTTTTTTTTCATTCAAACTAAAACTAGACCGCAGTGCAATTATACTAGTGAGTCCATAATAAATTAGAAAAACTTACAGTGGTCATAAGCTGCTCCGTAATACATGCTATTTCTTGTTGTTTTTGGAGCAACAAAGGCATTCCCATCTCCAAAGCGGTTGCACCCCGCAAATGAACCTTTTGTGCTGAATGAACCACTAATGGTATGACTATTTTGGCCCACCGCACTGACTCTTCTCCCATTTGAACCGGGGCTTGTTCAATTAGCCTGTAACAGAGAAATGTATGAATTAGCTTAGCTTCACCTCACTTTTTAAGCTTGAATGACCATGAAAATAAGCAACACCTAGAAATAAGCAGGAAGCCAGTAACAAAGCATCACAGATGGAGCTGCCCGTGACACCAGCACACCATACCAACACTAGAGTTCTAGCTGTTCTGCTTCTGATCCTTCTCCCTGCCAACACGCCCGAGAAAGTAGCAAATGGCCTCCAATATCTGGGTCCATGCTACCCACACACAGTACCCAGATAGCTCCTAGCCTCAGCTTCGGGCTACTGCAGCCATCTAAAGCTTACAGTTTTCTTATAGTTCTTGAGTTACTGCTGGAAGGCCTGACTAGAGTCTCTGCTCCTTGCTTACAAGGTAAGCAACACATAACCTGCTAACACATAACCTGGGAGGCAAGAAATGATGGCTCAAATAGTTCCTGTCACCAAATTAATTTTTTTCAGATTTTATTATTGTTTTTAAAGATTTTTTTTTCCCATTGGAAAGGCAAATTGACAGAAACTCCGAGAAAGATTATCTTCCACAAATTGGTTTACTTCCCAAGTGGCCACAATGGCCAGAAATGAGCCCATGTGAATAAGGAGCTTCTCCCAAGTCTCCCACCCAGGTGCAGGGTCCCAAGGTTTGGGGTTGTCCTTGCCTGCATTTGCAGGCCACAAGTAGGGAGCTGGACAGAAGTGGAGAAGATGGGACATCCACTGGTACCCAAAGGGGACCCCAGTGCTTCCACTGCAAGAGTTTAGGCACTAGGCTATCAATCACACCAGGCCTGAGGCTCATTTAATTTTAGGCTTCTGGCTCTGGTCTCAATCAGCCCTGCCTGCTCTGGGCATTGGGGACTGATTCAACAAATCAAAGATACTTCTTTCTCACTCCCTCTGCCCATACCACTCAGAAAAATTTGAATTTCTCATACAGCCCACTTTCTAAAATATTTTAAAAGTTTTCTAAACAGAAAACTCATTATCTTGCTTTAGGCTATAAACTGAATACAAATTACCACTATACTATTAAACCCAACACTCACAAAGCACCCAAACCAGAATACTAGGTAGTCTAAGCAAAAAGCCCAACAACTGAAGAAAAAAAAAAAACAGAGCAAGGATGGGTAAATAGACAAATGCTTTCCTCCTCGGCTCTGCTAGGTATTGAGACTGCCTTCCTAAACAAAGAACACAAAAGAGTTTATAGTACTGGGCCTGGTGTGGTAGCCTAGTAGCTAAAGTCCTCTTCTGGCATGCATATGGGCAGCACTACTAATCCCTGGAGGTCCTGCTTCCCATCCAGCTCCCTTACTGTGACTTGGAAAGGGGTAGCCCAATGCCCTGGGACCCTGCACCAGCATAGGGACCTGGAGGAGGCAACTGGCTTCAGATTGGCTCAGCTCTGGCCACTGCAGCCACTTGGGAGAGTGAATCAGTGAATGGAAGCTGTTTCTCTGTCTCCCCTCCTCTGTATATCTGCCTTTCCAATAAAAATAAATCCTTAAAAAGTTCATAGTACTTTTTAAGTTTATAGTACCTTTTAAGCTTGCAAAAACATTAGCATATAGTTATTAATCAAACAGGACTGTGTTGTCAGCAAGTACAAAAATCAAAAAACAATTTTGGGGCCCAGCTAATCCTCTGCCCATGAAGTCAGCATCCAATAAAAACACCAGTTCTAGCCCCAGTGGCTCCACTTCCCATTCTGCTTCCTGATTTTAGCCTGGGATAGGGAGAGAATGATCATCTGAGGCCTTGGGCCCCTGCACCCATGAAGGACATCCAGACGCTCATGGCTTCCAACTAGATACTGGCCCAGCATCTGTAGCTGCAGCTCATCAAAGTTCAATTTCCCCTCTGTAACTTTGCCACGCAAATAAATCTTTTTAAAAATTAAATTTTTTTTAATTTGATAGGTTCACCTCCTAAATGCCCACTTTAGCTGGGGTAGACCAGCCCAAAGCCAGGAAAAACCCAGTTTCCCATGTGGGTGGCAGAGACCCAAGTGCTTCAGCCACCACCTTTGCCTCCCAGGGTGTACATTAATGAGAAGCCAGAACTGAAAGCAAAACCACATTCCAACCCAAGGACACTAATAAGGCCTACAGGTGTCTCCAAGCAGTGTACCAAATGCCTGTCCTAAGGACGTTACTCTAAGACTGTCCTAGGGCAGGCTTGTTGGCTCAATTGGCTAATTCGCCACCCCCAAGCATCAGCATCCCATGGTGCCAGTTTATCTCTCAGACACTCCACTTCCCATTCAGTTCCTTGCTGGTTGGCCTGGAAAAGCAGCAGAGTACAGCCCAATGCCTTAAACCCTGCACCCAGGTGGGACCCAGGAAGAAGCTCCTGGCTTCAGGCTGTGTCAGCTACAGCTGTTGAAGCCATGTGGGGAGTAAATGAATAGATAAAAAGATTTGTCTCTGCTCTGTGAATCAGCCTTCCCAATAAAAATATCAAAAAAAAAAAAAGACTGTCCAGTAAAAATAGATTAACCTGATAACATGTACGTCCAACTTCATATTACTTTTCCTGCATCATTTAGTCTAATAACTGTTTCTCTTAATGTTTCTCATATTTAAACCCAAAATCTGAGTCCCAATTTTTCAAGCATTTAAATGCATACCTTATTATAACATTTAACGCTTCAAAATCAATAATAGCAGAATGCACCTCTCCTTTATTATATACCATTTCTAATGAGTCAATTATATTGGGTACCTGAAAGAAACAAACACAAGTCAAATAAACCTGAACTGCTTTTTAATTTCATGTTATTTTCAAGACATAAACTATACTCACCACTTTGGCAACACTCTCGGCAGGAAATGTCTGCTTGGATATCACCCATAGTGCCCTGGTACGAACATTTTTGTCTGAACTTTTAACATGATCATTTAATTGAGAAAGCAGCTCCTGAATATTTGCCTCTGTAATTTAAACAGCTTCAGTTTTTAAATGCAACTTAATCATGTGGAATATTTACAATCTTAGAAAAACAACATACTCTTCAATCAGAAAGGCACATGTATATCCTCACAGCAAACAGAACCACTATGGATATCAAATTTCCTCCCAAAACATGTACTTTCAATCAGAGGGGAGGGAGTATATTCAGAAAAACATCCGCAGACTCCAAGTTAGGTATTTTATGCAATAAAAGTGCAATTAAACATTATTAGGTGTACGAAAACCAAAGACAGTTTTTGGCAAAATACAAATCCTAAAAGTCTTCCTACATGAACAACTTTTATTTATTTACTTAATAGAAAAGAGCAAGACCATTAACTTTTCCTTCTGCGGGGGAAAAAAGAAGTCAAGAGAAAGTTGGAAACCATCCTCTAGTTCACTCCCAAATGCCCACAATGGCCAGCCAAGTTGGCAGCTGGGAAGGCAATCCAAGTCTTCCATGTTAGTGGTACAAACCCAATTACTCCAGCTATACCAGCAATAGCAGGATGCTGTGATCAGAATCTGAGCAGGCAATCAAATGCAGACAGAGCACACACTAGTAGTCTTAACTGATACACTGAAGGCCTGTAGCATGAGTCAAAGCTGTATTTAGGTCTGATAGTGTTGGTCACAAGGCATCTTTCCCAAAAGCAATTTAAAATCTACAGGTTTTTCAGAACAGTACAGAAATAACACTTTTCATGACAGTTGTTAAAGTATAATCTAACAATGATGCAGTAGCCTAGTAGTTAAATCCTTGCCTTGCATGCGCCAGGATCCTACATGGGTACCAGTTAGTATCCCAGCTGCTCCACTTTACTTCCAGCTATAGATGTGTGGCCTCGGACAGCAGCTGACGACATCCCAAAGCTTTGGGACCCTGTACCTGTGTGGGAGACCCTAGGAAGCTATTGGCTTCGATTAGCTCAGCTCTGGCTATTACAGCCACTTGGGGAGTGAACCAGTGGATGGAAGATCTTTGTTAATCTGCCTTTTCAATAAAAATAAGCAAAAATCTTTAAAATAAAGAAAGCCTTAAAATACAGAATAAAAGTATCTACCTGACAATCCTGAGGTAACTTTAGGATTATACAAGCAGAACCCCAAGGCCTGTAGAGCAGCACTACTCAGCTCCAAATTTTGACTGGCAATATGAGTCTATAAAAACACAATCATATATGTAAGTACAATTTCAAACCAACTTTCAGAAATCTTAACTGAACTGAAACAAAATAAACCCCCATATGTTCATTCAACCAACAAAGCTTGCAGTTGTGTGGGAAAACAGTATCAGGCGGTCAAATAATCAAATGCTTAGCAAAGGAGGAAGAAATAGAAAAAAATGAAAGCACAATTTTATTAAAAGATAAAGGACACCTATACATGTGAAAAAGGTCAGTAGATGAAACATACTAAAAGTGAGGCAGGAAATAAAAGAGTAAGGCTCTTCTACCCAGAGTAAGCAATTGCCTGTAATACAAACACGGACATCCTAGCTTTAGCTTTAGAGTGCAATAATACCTCTTGCTCCAAGACATCAGAAAGAGACTGGAATGTAACACTAAGAATATAGCACAGCAATGGGGACCATTGTTCTGCCAAGGGTCATTTGGGTATAACACCATTCACCAGCCTTACAGAAACAACAAAAATCAACCCACTATAAATGACTTCAGTTTCTAGTCTTGCCTATAGCTGTCTTGGAAGGACAACACCAAATGGTTCTGCAGGCCTCACAGTGCCCACAAAACACGCCCCACCCCCCATACCTCACCTGATGCTATGGGTTTTTAACATTACCTCTGCCTTAAAAAATGTAATCCTTATTTTACAGAAAAGAGAATGAAATCCATGTCAGTATAAAATTCAATGTTATCCACACTAAAGATATAAAAGCTAAAAACGGCATTTGTCCAAAGGGTTCTCCACGTATCCCTTTATGTCTTCTACCACCCCTCAGGCTGTTTCTAATTATTTGAAAAAAAGGAATTGATATAACTATACTTCTGATGTACTTTATGTAGTTTCAACATATGCACACATTATGCAATACTCAATGAGAGACAGATCTCCTTAAAACATTTAACACTTGTGCTGAAAAACCAACTATCCCATTTCCTATATTTTCTGCAGAGAACAAACAGCCCATCTACAACTACTTTGCTGGGCAGCAGAACACCAGAAGTTCTTACTCATGAATAGCTGTAGCTTAAGTCATAGTAATTTATCTCCATTGAACCAAATAGCCAAGGAATCCTCAACTGCTATTCTTGACAAGAACAGCAAATGTTCATCATCAGATATATAATATCTTCCTGGAGCACCCCTCTTCATTTCACAGAACCAAACAACACACACTATAGTTAGAGATGCTACATGAACCAATTCAGGAAACAAGGCCTAAGACATTGAGAGCTATCATTGTAATTCCTGGGATCAGCCTTACTACATACATTCGCTTCAAAGTTATTCCTTAACATTGATGCGTCCTAAAATGTGGTAGACTCTTAGATATAATTCTAGAATTCAAAAACAATATAGAAATATTTTTTATCTAAGGTAAAGCTTAATTCACATGGAAGGCTAAGGTTACTGATCTATGACCAATCTTCCACACGCTTACAGATTTACAAGGAACTGTAGTTACAAATCCAATATACAGATAAGGCAACAAGACTCACAAATAAGTACCATGGATCCTGATCCCACATGCCCTCAAAGGCTAAGTACAAGAAGGCATCTTCATCACATCAACTGTACTTATGTAACGTAAGTGGAAAGATGGGATTAACGTTGTTTAAGGTTATGGAACAACCTCACAATGCAGTTCCTTCCTATGTAAAAGCCTTAGAAATACTTTAGAGGAGGCAGTAGCTTAAATATTTTAGCATTCACACAGAAATGCTAAGATATACAGCCATTTGACAAAATGCTTAAAGGTACAAAAACAGGTTCTTAAAAACAAGTGCTCTAAGAAACTTTGGAGACTCAGCTCAAACATTTCAATCTTAACAAAAACCCAGCAACTTATAGAATTGAGGTGTTTTCCGTGTTATAAACCCATTGAGTAGCCAACTGAGGACAAGAACACAGGTCCATAGTTACAGTCTTCTGACCAGTGGCAATAACCGAGGGTGAGTGAAGATCAAAGAAAAAAGTGAACGCTAACTATATAAAACACCAAAGACAATTATAATTTTAGAATCACTTACTTAGAAGTACATTCCCAAAAGGAAAGAAAACAGATTAAATAATCTCTGATCACTGCTGTCAAGATAAGAGCACAGGCTTTGGATTCAAGTGGCCATGGGCGACTTTAGGCAAATTAAATCAATTTCTTCATCTGCAAAGTGGGGATTGAAGAGTAAGCTCGTGGAGATATGGAGGATTAAATGAGAGAAAGCATGGAAGATCATTAAAACACCTGACAATTATGTAATGGATACACAGTACACCATTCAATACAATTGCTTCTAATATACTCTAGATTCAAAATTGAGTCAACTTGTAAAACTTAACAGAAGGTTAAGTCAGTCAATTTACCAAACAATACATACCCTTAAAACTTTATACAACCGAAGAATTTTTTTCTCAACCTCCGTAAGAATTTCTTTTCCACCTTCTCCAGTCATACGACTTAAAAAGCAGAAAAAACAGAAGTTTATGTTCGTGGTAGAATTTTATATGCACTGTACTCATTCACTAAATTACTCCAACTTGCATATCTTCTCAAAGACTGCTTTCTAACTCTTTTAACTCAAGTGATGGAACCGAAATCACACGTAATACTGCAATGAGGAAACTTCAAAACGCTTGTTCAAGATGCAAGTACAAGATAAAATTTTAATGCCAAAAAGCAAAATGAAATCCACATTTCATTCATGTTCATTTTCCATGAACTTACTGAAGGCCATAATTTCAGAGCTGTTTGCCTATGAATTTCATTTTCCACGAAACAAGTACTCAAACCCTCAAAGTAACTGTTGGCATCCATGTTTAAGTTTTGACAGTTTCACTGACTGGAAGGGAAGGAACACTTTCCCAAGTTACCAGCTTACTAACACTACCATCTCCCTAAAACGCTAACATTTTCCACAGCGATACGTGGAAGCATTATACAACTCAAATAAAAATCAGACTACCGCTCCATCAAACCATTCCACATTCCCCCAACACCTCAGACGGTTAGGCTGAATAACACTCCTCCCTTCCACCACTTCCCACCCAAAACTTTTTCCCGGACTCCCGCCCTAATCCCTACCGGCTTCTGGGCTGCAAACGCTGCCACCATACTCGAGGCGAGCACACAGCCCCCGATCCCCCACTCGTCCGCAAGCCCAGCGTCCTCACAGCTCACACCCAGCAGGTCCCAAGGCCAACGCCACCATCCTCCTCCTCCTCCTCCCCTCACCCGTGCCCCGAGCCCCGACCCAGGCCAACGCCACCATCCTCCTCCTCCTCCCCTCACCCGTGCCCCGAGCCCCGACCCACACCGAGCCTCACCTGGTCAGAGCCAGATAAGCATCCACCTGTTCTCCAGGGGAGGCGGAAGAGTCCTCCAGTGTATCCAACAGCGGCGCCAGGGGGCTCCGACCCGGGGCCGTCATGTTGGCCACCCTGAGGCCCGGACCGGAAGGAGAGAAAAACCAATGACCGACGGAAAAGGCCCCCGCGCGGCGGCCCGGCCCCCACACCTGCACGCCCGCGCGGGCCTCGCCTCCCCGGCGTCCGCGCCCCCCGGAGCCCCCGGCGTCCCCGCCAACCCGAAGAACCGGTGCCCCGGCAGCCCTCCTCCCCGAGCCCCGAGAGTCCCAGGCGTCCCCCCACCCCGAGCACCCGGCTTCCCCCCACCCCGAGCACCCGGCGTCCCCCCACCCCGAGCACCCGGCGTCCCCCCACCCCGAGCACCCGGCTTCCCCCCCACCCCGAGCACCCTGCGTCCCCCCACCCCGAGCACCCTGCGTCCCCCCACCCCGAGCACCCGGCTTCCCTCCCACCCCGAGCACCCGGCGTCCCCCCAGCCCGAGCACCCGGCTTCCCCCCACCCCGAGCACCCGGAGTCCCCCCAGCCCGAGCACCCGGCTTCCCCTCACCCCGAGCACCCGGCGTACCCCCAGCCCGAGCACCCGGCGTCCTGGAGTCCCTCCACCCCGAGCCCTGCGCCCCCGGCCCTCCGCCCGGCCTCCCACGCCACCGCGCTCGGGTCTAGCCCGCTCCCGCCACCACTTTCCCGGGCATCTCTCCTCAGAGGGAGGAGACCGGCGAGGGGCGGGAGAAACTCGGGGCGCGAGCGGCCAGAGGCTGCGCCGGGCCGACGGCTTCACGGGGGGCCCAGGCCTTTCTGGTCGTTACTCACCCGCACGGACGAAGGCCCGGGCACGGTGTTCTCGGCCGCGGCAGCAAGACGGCCGCACGCGGGTGCAGCTCGACTTTCCCGGCTCGGGATGTTTACTCACGCGTGCGGCTCGCTCCCTCCGAGGCCAAGATGGCGGCGGGGGCGGGCCCAGGAGCGCGCGGGAGCAGGGCAGGCCTGCCGGGCGAGGCTCGAGCCAATCCAACAGGCCTCGGTGCGTCTGAGCTGTCGATCGTCTCTCTCCTAAGCCAGGCTAGAGCCCGCCTCCCCCGCCCCCTCCCACCCAATCACCTTCAATCAGGTCACCCAATCAGGTCACCTTCAGGTGATGGTATTTTTGCCTTAGGCAAAGAACTTGAAATTCAAAATGTCAGGGAAATGGCCTGGGGTCGCTAGAGTGAACCTACAGAGCGGTCAACCAAGTTTTCAAAATCAGCACTAATCTTATCCAAGTTTTAGCAACGAATCGCTTAGCAAAAGGAGGTAACTTTCTCACTTGGCTTTGGGAGGAACAGCTGTTCTCTCCCTACTTGTTTTCTCTTCCAAAATAGAGCTAAAAATGATACCCTACCTCTGAGGACCAGTGAATTGACAAAAGGTGGGAGAAGCCTAAGGGTACTTAATTTTCAGCCTGCATAAGAGTTGGGAGTGTTCTCATCAGGGTGCAGATGTCTGTACCTTCCCACCCAAACCTGTAGACTTCCCCTAGGGCCCCCCATGCATGCCCTGTTGGACGCCAGGTGTGACAGGAGTGATCTGGCTAGGAAACCACAGGAAACCCTTGTTAACCGCAATAGCAGTCGGATTGAGAACTCCAAGTGGAAGGCTTGTTCAGGGAATCAAACTGAGGATTTAAACCTGCAAGCAGTTGCTTGAACTGGCTGTTCTCCAATTCTGAGTTTCATGGCAGGTTTTAAACTTGTAAAGCACGTGCACTGATCAGGTGTAAACAATACAAATTTTAAAAAAATATTTTTTGGATCTTGATATCATTTAGTTGGTGGTGGGCTCTCCCTTCCCCCTCCCCAAATTCCCTCCTGTTTGCTCTAATATAATATGTCAGATCTGCAGATATCATATATGAATCTTACTCTGTGTTAATCAGTGTTACTTCATACTTACTTGTACCTAATGAAAATACAGATTTACCCCCGGTTCTCAATCACACTATAGAAACCAAACAATACCTGTGGAAAACTGGAAAGTACCTGGCAATAACCGACAGGTGAGTATGGCTGCAGAAAGTGTGTCTCCCCCTCCAACTCATCTGCTCCACCGTATATACGGAGAGAAGCCAACAATCCAGTGGTTAATGGGTCTTTCTACAACGGCTATAACACACAAGGCTTACTTTTCCTACATCTTTCTTTTAATTCCTTAAACAATTTAAAAAGACTTATTTACTTTTATTGGAAAGGCAGATTTACAAAGAGCTTCCATCTGCTGTTTCGCTCCCAAAGTGGCCGCAATGGCTAGAGCTGAGCTGATCCGAAGCCAGGAGCCAGGAGCTTCTGCTGGGTCTCCCACACAGGTGCAGGGTTGGTAGGCTTTGAGCCATCCTCTACTCCCTTCCCAGGCCACAAGTAGGGAGCTGAAATGTAAGTGGAGTCGCTAGGATGTGAACCAATACCCATATGGAATCCCAAATGTGCAAGGTGAGGGTTTAGACACTAGATTATTATGCCAGACCCACATTTTTTTTTTTTTTAGGAAAAAAGAATTATTTGAAAGACAGGATAACACAGGAGAAAATTTCCATCAGCTGATTCACACTCCACTCCAAATGCCTGCACCAGCTGGAGCTGCATCAGGACAAAGAGCCAAGACCTGCCTATATCCCCCCAACACTCAGGCTGTTATTTACTGCCTTGCTAGCTACTTTAGCAAGGATCCTGGACCTGAAGTGGAGAAGCTACTGCTGGAACCGAAGTTCCACACGGGATGTAGCTGTCCTAGATGTGCCACAATGCCTGCCCAACTCACTCCTTCCTAAGGTACAGTAGATGCTTCTCTGTTATCTGGGAACCACTGCAAGCCACCTGCCATCAGCATCCTGGCAGGATTTCAGTTCACACCCTTAGTGAAAATCAGTTCTCCTTCTTATCACCCTGCAGCTCCCCTTTTCATGTGTCTCCGAGAGTGCCCCCAAATTGTACTGAATCTAGACCTAGCCCGAAAGCCCAGCAGAAACAGCAACTTTCCACTCTTTTCTGGAGTTCCGGAAGTCAGTGCATTTTTAAAGGAAAAGAACTTACTAGAAAATGAATGGAATATCTGGGCAGGTTAGCAACACTTAAATACGGGTCATAATGGAGCCCCTTGTGTTGAGCAGGGAGGGGCTTGGAATCCTATGACTTTCTATGGTGTCTATGATGTTAGTGGAAGTGGATCTTAAGCAGATAACTGCATCTAGTCAATATTCACCCTGCCTTATTTTTTCTAGCACTTAACACCACCTGTAGCTATTATAGATCTATTTTTTAGCCTGCCTCTGCCCACTAGAATGCTAATCCTATGAGGATAGGAATTCTTGCTTTATTAACTTTGCCCCCTTAATTTCTCATTTATGAAGGAGGTAGTAGTCATGTTGCTTGTACATCTTTCAAATGAATTATGCTATGAGTTTCATAAATTGCTTTCATAATTCATTGTTGTCACTCCTCTCCCAACTCACTCCTGCCCCAACTCTTCCCAACTCTTCCACTCCTGGCATAACATGCAAGCCTGATGGCTGACCCACTGCTCACCCTTTATATCCAACCTAAATTCCCCATTATCAGGTTCTGAACGGTCCACCAGGGTCTCCAATCTTTCTGTACTGGAAGATGCCTCATTTTACAAAGTGTTCTTTTTCAAAACTGATACATCAACTAAAATCTCATTTCTAATAAAATGAAATACTAATAGCACATGGCTGTTAAATGCTGCTCTGTAGTAGTTTGAGAACATTTTACTGCTCTGTACGTTGTGATTTATATATAATAGGGAAAAGTAGCTTTTGAATCTTGAGATACTATATAAATTTGGGACTTATCAATTTTTTCCTTTTCTCACTGACACCCATCACGATTTGTACATTACTAATACTATGAGAAGGGAGTGGTTCATGAACAACTTTGAGCAAGACATAACTTCTCACTCACTGTAATACTCCAAGATACACGATTATCTAAACATGATTCTTCACAAAGCAGCGCAATGGCTCAACTGGCTAGTCTTCCACCTAAACGTGATAGCATCCCATATGGGCCCCACTTTGCATCCTGGCTGCTCTACTTCCCATTCAACTTCTTGCTTATGGACTGGGAAAGCATTAGAGGACGGTCAAGAGCCTTGGAACCTGCATCCAGGTAGGAGACCTGGAAGAAACTCCTGGTTCCTGTCTTTGGGTTTGCTCAGTTTTGACTGTTGAGGCCATTTAGGAAGTGAATAGAAGATTTTCTCTTTCTGTTTCTCCTTATCTCTGTAAATCTGTCTTTCCAATAAAAATAAATCTTAGAAAAGAATTAGATTCTTTACTTCAGTAAAGCAATAAAGAGTATACAAAAAAATTATAGACTGGAGCCAAATGGTGGCCTAGAAGCTAAAGTACCCATCTTGAATGCACTGAGATCACATATTGGCACCAATTCTAATCCCAGCAGCCCCTCTTCCCATCCAGCTCCCTGCTTGTGGCATGGGAAAGCAGTAGAGGACAGCCCAATGCCTTGGGGTCCTGTACCCATGTGGGAAACCCAGAGGAGGCCCATGGCTCCTGGCTTCGGATTGGTTCAGCTCTTGCTGTTGCGCTCACTTGGGAAGTGAACCATCACACAGAGGATATTCCTTTCTGTATCTCCTCCTCTCTGTATTTGCAATAAAATAAATAAAATATGTAAATGTATAAATACATCTTTTTAAAGAATGAGCTACAAGAGTTCTGAGAAACTTTCAAAGCATTACCCAACTTTATACTATTTTTTAAACTTTTTAAAAATTTTATTTTATTTTATTGAAAAGGCAGGTTTACAAAGTGAAGAAGAAACAGAAAGATTTTCCATCCACTTGCTCACTCTCCAAATGGCCACAATGGCCAGAGCTAAGTCAATCTGAAGCCAGGAGACACCTCCAGGTCTCTCACGTGGGTGCAGGGTGCCAAGGCTTTGGGCCATCTTCTACGCTTTCCCAGGCCACAAGCACGGAGCTGAATGAGAAGTGGACAGCCAGGACATGAACCGATGTCCATATCGGATGCCAGAGCTTGTGGGTAGAGGATTGACTAATTGAGTCATTGTGTCTGTCCCTTTTGAATTTCTTTTTAAAAAGTCCCTCTTATCTATTTAATTGTTTTATCTTGTTAAATGTTTTCAATAATTTATTTTGATTGCAAGAATTTCAGAGAGGGATGACAGACCTTCCATCCATTTGTTCACTCCTCAGGTGGTCACAATATTAAGGGCTTGGCCAGGCTGAAACCAGGAAACAGGAGCTTCTTCCAGATCTCTCGCCTGGGTACAGGTACTTGGGGCATCTTCTGCTGCTTTTCCCGACTCGTTAGTAGAGAACTGGATTAGTAGTAGAGTAGCCAGGCCTTGAAGCAGCATCCTTCTCTGTGATACTGCGGGTGCACCTGCTGATATTGCTAGTAGCAGCTTAACCCACTGTGCTGCATTCCCAAACTTCTTAATTGAAAACAAGCCAAAAAAAAAAAACAGTGGTTTTTTTTCATCTACTTGAAAAATGATGATATGGGCCCAGCGTGATAGCATAGTGGTTAAAGTCCTCTCCTTGAATGTGCTGGGATCCCATACGGACACCAGTTCTAATCCTGGCAGTCCTGCTTCCCATCCAGCTCCCTGCTTGTGGCCTGGGAATGCAGTGGAGGACAGCCCAAAGCTTTGGGACTCTGCACCCACGTGGGAGACCTGGAAGAGGCTCCTGGCTTTGGATTGGCTCAGCTCCAGCTGGTGCGGCCACTTAGGGAGTGAACCATTGGACGGAAGATCTTCTTCTCTGTCTCTCCTGTCTTTATATCTGCCTTTCCAATAAAAATAAATCTAAAAAAAAACTTTTTTTAAAAGAAAAATGATGACACACAGAGAGAATGCCTTTCCATCTTTTG